CGTTATTAAGAGGATTGGTAGAATATCCCGACGTCGGTCTATTGACGCGAGCATGGTAAGGTAGCTGATCAGAATGGCGAGGTGGGAAATGAGTCTTCATCATATGATCATGAGTAGGGATGCCGGGAGCAGATTGGGCCCATGCAAGCGCCGGGTCAACGTGGCTCTCGCGCTGTATAGGTTGTTGGTTAAATGACGATTGTTTAAGTTGCCTGGGGTCGAAAAAAGGGGGATCCCGTAGGAGTTGGGGTGCCGAAGCGTGAATCTCGAAAGGCTGCAGGACGGTAAGGAATGTAAACACCATCTGGCCAGTATGGGCCATATGGGCCAGATCCAGCTGAGGCAGTTGGCCCAACGCACTGCTGGAGCGTGGCAGGCAGAACGGTCGGAATGTAAGAACCATTCTGCAACATCAATCGCTGAGACGCCTGCAACGGAAGGCTTTGATTGAGCACCGAGTCAATTCCTGGTGGGTAATTCACAGGACGCACCCAACTAGTCCCATTTATATTGTGAACCACCTCCCCCGCAGCGATCGGATTGCTGCCGTCGTTTTTGAACACGGGTGGAAAGTTCATATGCGTCGAAATGGACTGGTCAAGAACAGGCGGGTACCAAGTATCTGGCTGCAGACCTGCCTGCTGAGAAAGAAACTGACCCGAGTCCATCGGGGAGACCAGGATGTGCTTGGTGGCGGGTTGAATCGTCGTATCGCCAGGAGTGCCATCGTATCCAGCAGCCAAAGTTCCGTTCGGTGTTTTCCTTCTTAGCGCGTGTTCGGCTGTGGAGTTTGAAGTAGAACTCGTCCCAAATGCATCGCGGGGGTCAAGGCGTTGGACCGGCTGCGGTAACTGAAGGCGCGTTCGGGAGGACGGGTCGTGAAAAAGAGTTGAGGGATCATTTTGAATGGAGAAGTTCGGGTCATTTGCATCGTATGGTTGGTTTGAGGTATCGTAGGAAGGATAATGAAGGTGGTGATGTGGTTGAACCGAAGGGAACTGCGCGACGGTCGGAAACATCTTCACCACCTCGACCACCGCCGGTCGGTCTCCTATTCGACCAGGACCGATGGCAGCCTACCAGGGGTATAGGGTGAAGATGAACACACGGTCAGTTGGAGATCGTGAGAATTCAGCAAGCATCCTCCTTGATGCGTTTCCGACACCTCATTATGGGTTTTCCAATCCCGCGTAGTGAAGAGTGGAGCAAGGTGTGTACCTGGCTCTTAGTATCGTCATCGACCGTGGAAAAAAAAGAGCGTGTCCCCGCGATAAAGTTGAGAAGGTCGATAAGAGTTAAAGGACAGGGTGTAACAAGCAGAGTTTCGATTTTCAAAGTCGAATGCAAGGGAGAAGGGGCAAGACCAGCTCGCGATCTGCTGGTGACCGAGACGAGTGGGCCAATGAAATGCGGGCGATCTTGGCAAGAATTGTGCGCTGAATGGATTCGATGAGGTCCAAGGGAGGGCGGAGACGGCGAGGAGAGGGTGATGAGGAGAGGTGAGGATGGGGATAAGAGAGTGAGAAATGAGAAGGATGGTTGGAAGGTAGATGCGAAAAGGTAAGTTACAAAAAAGAGTCATTACACTTCCACACATGCCCGCCGGTGCCCACCAACGACCAATACCTCCAGCCAAGCCGAGTGGGGGGGGGAAAGGCGGGATCGTCACGGTAGCTTTTTTTTTTTTCTTTTACTAAATTACTCTGGACTAAAAAATAGAAAGGATTTTCCGTCATCACTACAGTATCACTTAATCACTTAACAGTATATAGATTAATACTCGTACCAGTACTGGTACTTGATACTCATAGTCGATACAGAAATACTATACTATGCTATCCCGGTCGCACCTTCTTCTAATCTTTGAATAAACTTGGGGGAGCACCTGCCTCTTTTTCCTTCTTTCCTTTTTCCTTTTTCCTTTTTCCCTTATACCATTTCTCTTTTTCTCTTCTCTTTTCCCTTTCTCCCCTCTGAGAAGTGCCTCAGCCCTCCTTCTCCTCCTTCTCCTCCCTCTTTTCCTCCCCTACTCCACCCGGATCCACTTGATCCAACGGCTGAACCCTCCTCTAGGTTGCTGTCTCCATAAAGAGTCCAACGTCAGTGGACCATTGGTCCCATTCAAACAACTAGTCATGGATCGGTGACGCCCCGCTGTGATGATCGAGTCGAGCCCGTTCTCACCTTTGCCTTCCTAGGTGGAGCTACAAATGATTACTATGGAGTTGGGCGGAACCTTCGTGATGAGATACGCATGGCTAGACCTGATTCCTGGCGCCACCACCTGCCTCCAGAACGAAATTCGGATCTTCATGCTGGTGCTGGAAGTACAGTACAAAGTACGAGGATCCTACTCCATGCCCCAGCCAGAAGGGAGGAACCCAGCTTGCAAGCACCTGGAAGAAAAAGGAAAGAAAGAAAGAAAGAAAGACACATCTCCCTCCCCTTTACCCTGGAGAACCTGGCCAACAACTGCGACCATCCCAAAAAAAAGCACACAGCTGTACGAGTAAGCGCCCCTCCTGCAGCCACCACTCCACCATCTGCCATCGCTTCGTGCCCCGGTGACAAGCGCTCCCCTGTTTGCCTTGGTCGCCTCATCCAATTTGCGAATCTTTGCCTATCCGGGTCCGAGATTCTGGGGTTGCTAGCAGGGATGTCGCGATCCTATCCCTTCGCCTTCGCCTCAATTTTCTGGGTATTTGGATTTCACCGTTCGGGCTATCCATACTCGTACATGGTGGATTATTATTGGTATTCTTATGCGTATTAAAGCTCCTCCACTATGGATCTGACCCCTCCCCTTCTTCTTCTTCTTCCTCCTCCTCGAAGTGAAAGAGATCTCGTAGTGGCACGGTCGCACCAAGGAATATTCGAACCTTCCATCCCAACGGCCTCGAGGGACGTTCCACTGACCACTGGTAATGATATATCGACATCCCCCTACCCACTCGCGCCACCTACAGGCCGCAGTGATCGGCAAACTCACCCTCCCATCCTCCTACGAGTACATACAACCAACGCTTGTTTGGCATGAGGGTCGGGTTGTACGGAGGCCGTCGTCCCAGATGGGCCGGCAGGTACCGGTTTCAAAAGGAGCTGCGGCGAGAATCCTGGAGTCAGGCGACGCCGCTCATTTGTCCAACCTTCGATATTCCCCGACCCCATGCCAGGACTTGTACCAACGAATGTTAGGTCAAATCAATGCGGTGGGTAAGGCTCCAGTCATCTCCAGCGATGCTTTAGTGATTACCCACTTTGTCTAAGTAGAGGAACCGTGCACTGTAACTCCCGCTCCCTCGAGTCCCCACCGCCGTCCGAGTGTGAGTGGAGGCGTGGAGGGGGGAGGTGCACGAACAGCGCTTTATCAGGGACGGCCTTCTAGCAAAGATCGTCATTAGTGGAGCTCACTCTCTATCATCTCTTGGCCTTGGCTGGGTCAGCTTTAGGGCCAGTCATCCTTCGCTGCATCGTAATCACTCGTGGTCTGTCGTGTATATTTATTTTGTTTTTGTTTTTTTTTTGTTTTTTCAGAAAAAATTATATCTCTCTTTCATACCGTAGACATCGCTCGAAGTTCCTCCCGTACACAGCCTAGATCCTGTGCCTTCAGCATCCAATCACCACAACACGACTACCCGCGACACGTTGCTCTAGGTGGTCTGCCGTTGCAGATTTTCTACCGCAGGCGATACGGTGTAGATTCACGGTTGTTTGAGGTGTTTCAGATTTTGGGTACATGGACGTTTTCTTCTCTCGTATTACCATGATGGCACAAAATAAGCTCATCGCCATATGGCGGTGGGGAAGTCGAGGTCAAAGGCCGTCGACGCAGACACATCATGTATACCTAAGGTTATAATTAGTACTTCCTGCGTGGGAGATCGCTGCTCAAATGTCGATCTGGGTAAGGGGCGGAAATCCTTTCAATCTACCGACCTACTTCTAGTGGAATTGCGAGTCATGCCACAAGTGCGTTTGATGTCTCCATTCCCCAAATCTACATGAATATATATCCTAGTAGTACTAGTCGATATGTCGCGCGCCGAAGTACGACATGCAGACGACCGCAATTGCGTGAGCTATTGGTACCTAGAGACACCGGAGTAGAAGCAGAAACAGAAACATGCATGCAATCAAATATCCGAGTCGGAGAAAAATTACTACAATAATCGATGGACGCCCGGGATTGACAGGATCTGTTTGTCCTATCCATGGACGACTTCTGAACACGACTCGACGACGATCATATACAAGCTGGGGCCAGTCCTGGATGATCCCTACCCGAGAATGAACGTGGCACAAATCTTAATCGAACAGATCAACCAAGGATCAAGGCAAGACATTCGTTCTCGACTGATGTGGTGAAACACGGCTACTTTTAGAAATGCAGGGATTGACAAGACACATTCAATTCAAGTTCTAAATAAACGATGCTGAGTCTACGAAGCTACAAGATCAAATCATACCACAAGGTAATCATTGATGGGATGTAGATCACAAAAATGGACCACTGTACCCACGGAGCACGCAAGCGCACTCCAAGGATACCGCGGTGAGTAAAGGATCAGTTGCTCTCCCTTACTTAAAATAAGCCGGATACCACAATGAGATATGTCCAGTTCCCGCAGGAAAAGAACGGTAAGGGCCAGAGTGTTGTAAGGTGCTTGGAGAAAATGGGTTGCGCCGAGGCGTCTATGCTTTCAGGAACTTCATCGCCAGTGGGAGCGGAAGCGAGAAGAACCATGAGAGGGATGGGTGGGAAAAACTGGGAGAAAAACCTATACGAACGGGAACGGAAACAGAATGCGAGGGTGATCCAGTTGTTCATTCGGTCACTCGCATTAGAGCGCGGAAAACAAGGTATCAAGTCATGACTCGTGAATATCTTCTTTTTTGTTGAGGCAAAATTCATATTCTGCAGAAATCGTCGCATTTTCAGCAGACTGATACTGTTACAAAAATAGAAAGCCACCTCTTTCCTATCGAAGAGGAAAGATTTACTCCTCAGGAACTATACTAAGTTAGCGAGATGTACCCCGAAGAATATTGTAGATGAATAGATAGCTTACCATCGATCTCGCCAGCCTTGATGTCGTCAGAGACATCCTTGGGGCTGCGGCCATCGACCTGGCAGCCGACGGAGAAAGCAGTACCCAGAATCTCGAGGATGGTACCCTGGAGGGACTTGGCCATGGAGCGGGGACGCATGATGCGGGCCATATCAACAATCTCGTCGAGGGCGACGGACTTGCTGTGCTTGATGTTCTTCTCCTTCTTGCGGTCACGAGGAGGCTCCTTCAGGGCCTTGATGACCAGGGAAGAGGCGGAGGGAACGACGGAGACAGCAGCCTATAGATTATGGTTAGATACTGCATCGAAGCCAGAAAATTTCGATTTTGGATTTAAATTACCTGTCGGTTCTGGATGGTCAATCGGACAGTCACACGAATACCCTTCCAGTCTCCGGTGTTCTTGGCGATATCTTCACCAATCTTCTTGGGGGACAGACCAAGGGGACCGATCTTGGGGGCCAGAGCGGACTGGGCTCCGACCTCACCACCAGTCACACGGAGGTGAATGATCTTCACCTCATTGGGGTCGAACTTGGGAGCTGTAAGAGAGAGAGGTTAGCCGCCATTAAAATGACCAAGAAGGCGATGATACTTACGCATGGCGAGTGCGAAAGGTAGTCAATCTGCCTTTGGTTGTCGAAGGGGTGGATGGGAAGGAAAGAAGAAAATGCGCGCAGAATTGCGACGAAGTCTTCGGCAGGCCGGCGGACCCACACTGCCGCTAGTGACAAGCGAGTGACCGAAAAGGTTAGTAGGGCAAAGCCCTTGGTGTGAATGGTCACGTGCTACGAGCTCCGCTCCTGATCGGGTATCTTGTTGACTCGGGACGATGGGGCAACTACGAATCACGGCCCCATCAGCGGATCTACGTGAGCCACCTGGACGCACTTAATATAGAGTAAGCTTACATTAGTACTACTATATACGTACATGCAGTCACATACTGACCCAATTGGCCGCCCGCTAATTGGGTCAGTGTACGAGTGCTACATACTACGCAACTATATGGTGGGTCTTTCAATGCCTTGGTATCAATCGATTCAATCTACTACTATATTGCGTCAAAATAAAATTCAATCACCGCTAAAGATACACAAGACCCGAGGGGCCGATATCAGACCGCCCTTTGCTCTCATGACTATCGTCTCGTTTACAACTAGCTAGTGCCGGAAACCGCAAGTCTGGTTCAGATGGTTAGTGAATGTATAGAGACTGCGGAATAGAACAAATAGGTACGTACTTCATCAGGTGATCCATGAATGTCTGCAGGGAAACATCGTCGGTGAAGATGGTCTGCGAAGACACGCCGCCACCGTATCCACCGGTAGTGTGGGTGGTTGACGGGTTCAGCTTAGACAGAAGGAAACGGGCCTGAGAGCCGCCAGCATCACAGACAATGAAGCGGGGCAAGGGGAAACGATCGGAGATAAGTTCCTATGAAATAGTTAGTTTTCCATGACAGTAGGCAGTCGGACAAAAAGATAAAACGAACCCTAGCATCCTCCTTGGGCTGCTCCAGCAAAGCTTTAAGGTTTTCGTAGCCATCTTGCTCCTGGTAACCGGCTTTCCTCCACTCAGCGATGGTTTCACCGTGGAAAATGAGAATGTGGAAGAAGGTGTCAAGGAGAAGGATGTGGGCGGGCTGGATGGAGGCGGAGTCCAGCAGAACGGGCTGGCTGCCCTCGGCCTCCAGGGAGTAGGAGTCCAAGGTAGGTTGGATCATGACCAGTGAGTCGCCGGCATCTTCGTAGTTCAGGACATGACGGTAGAAAGCAGTCTCGTCAGGTGAGTTATTAAAGACCTGAAGGAATTGACTTCGTCGCAAGTGGAACATAAACTGAGGATAGAGAGTGAAGTTCTTTTCCAGTCGGAATGATGTCGGGTCATCCTTCCGGTAATCAGCAAAGCGAGAGCACAGCCTAATCAGCATACGGTCCACCCAGCGGAGAACATCAGGACCATCGTCCACCTCTGCCTTGAAAACGGCGATTCGAGCCATCAGTACGGCAGCGGCTTCCTGGTCGAACGATTGGGCTAGCGTAGGGTCCCCCGCGGGGCCACTCAGAGGGCGGGCAGTAGTCGTGACACGCAGGTGGAAGTTGCCGGAGGAATGTTGGTAGTATGTCAAGAACTGCATCATAGCACGTTGGGGACCAGGCTGCTGTGCAGCTGGGCCACCTTGGTTGGCGATTTCAAAGTAGACGCCGTAGCTGGATGATGGGTCGATACCGCACATCTTCCAAGCACAAGTGTTGCCAATACCACACTCTGTTTCGCCGACCGAGCTTGATTTCTTGTTCAGAGAGATCGCGTGTCCAATGAGACCAGTAACCTTCAACTCCTTGGTAGTCAGCACCTCGAGCGAAGCGTTGAAGCCCATCAGAAGGTTGTCGTTGGCATCTTTGTCGAACACCCGGACAAATGATTGCTTGAATTGAGACGAGGTGAAGCTATCGGTCAGAAGCATATGTCCACCAGTATAATTTGACAGGTTCTTCATTTCCAAAAGGCCAACTTGGTCCAGACATCCAGCGAAGATATCGATAACATGGCCATTGTTCGCGGCACGCTTGGCGAGATTGTCATAAAACTAGTGGCTCATTAGCGGATGAAAGCATTATGTTGTGGTTATTAGGAACGCACCTTTACGGCCTTCTTATAGAACTTGATGTTGTCTCGATCAATATCGTGATGCGAACGGATTGGCTCCTTCAGCTCGGGCGAAACGACCTGGCCCGGCCCATCGGTAGCGGGTCCACTTGTGAAGTTCATGATACGTCCGCCGGCATTTTGGAAGGAAGTCTCGAGAAGACCAACGGCAACGCTCAGAGCCACACCGGTGCAGCGGAGAGCACGTTTATCGTTGGCTACTGGCCAGGGGTCACGCTGAAGTTGTTCGAGGACGTTGGTAATCTGGAACTCGGCCTGTTGGACCGGCAGGAGGAAGCGGGCCGCGGGGCCAAGGGGAGGGCGCTGCGGTTGCTGCTGGGGGGGGCATACCCGGGCGAACACCCTGAGCAAGGCCCAGCATTTCTTGAACCTGCTTAGCAGTATAGTCCTTGTTGCCTCGGAATACGTATGACTTGGCGCACTCGGTGTAACCAAGCTCATGAACTTGAGTCTAGATGATATGAATCAGCATACCGGCTTTACCTTGTGATAAAGGGGAGAGGTTTGTGCCGCATACCATTGTTCCGTAGGTGATCAGACCAACCAGCGCATTTGGTGGCAGAAGCGACAAGCTCATGACAAGGGAGTCCTTGACTGCCTGGAGACTGTCATCCTCCTGGCAAGTGTCGACAACGTAGACGAAGATTGGGGGAGCCGGAGCGGGTCGTGCCAATTGGTACTCGATCGTGGTGCTCTGCGGGTGAAGCTCGGGGGGGTATCGTGTTTTCGGTGATATCCTTATAGTGAGGCGGAAGGGGATTGCGCATCAAACAGAACGGGCAGATCCAGATCCGCGCGCGGATGTCGACAGTACTAGCAGCGGTCAGTCCATGTTCAAGGCTCAGCTTACTACCAAAACACATACGCATATGGGTTGAGAACAGCTCGGCAAGGCTGCTTGCAGGTGACAGGCTCATATTGAAGCAATGGAGAATCCGGTTTCTCTTTCAATGGCGTGTAGACGGCAGCAATGGGAACGACCAGGCGAGAGGCTTCCTATATCCCGTGTTAGCAAGTGATGCAATCGGTGTAGAGCGGCTTGCGCTCAGCCAAGCACGAACCATGCGAGAGCTCGGGAACGTGTTCCAGCTCAGGCGGACACCATCACGATCCTCCACGTCGCTCCATTGATCCTTTAGAGCTTCAAAATCCATTGTTGTGGTTGGGGTTGGAGGTCTCGGGGGCGGTGTTGACAAGGAGAGGAGGGGGGCAAGGAGCGAATCAAGTCGCAATCAAGCCTCGGTTTCGAGAGATTCCTGGGAACTTCAGACAAAAGAACCACACCGGAGCACAACCCAGTCCCAGAATTAGATGCCCCGACGTCTGCTAGTTGGATAGAAGGGAGCACAGGGTGAGTCTGTTGTGTGGAGGTGACCGTTTCCCCCCATTAAGGCCAGGTTGCAGCGCTCCTGGTCACTGCCGCCAACCGTACCCGCCCGACTTAAATCTCGGCGGCGCCGCCGCATTCTCTTCCTTTCTTTCATTCAACGCCGACTACAAAAAAACACATTAGTATCGACAGCTTCCGTCATTCCAATTGATGAAGCTGTTTTCGCGTCGAGCGGAGATCGACCTGACCCGTTGCTGGGCACCTGATTTTGAAAGGTCATTCTGATCCTTTCGGATTTATTGGGAATCAGCTGTGGTCACATCTCCCGTAAAAAAAAATCTTCTTGTTATTTATACGTTGTTACTCGTGAGGAATATTAAAAACAAAAACTAAAAAGAATTATTAAAACAATCCTTTCTTCCTAAATGTCTCCTTCAATGTACAAAATCAAACCCCCCTTGAACGCCATTTGACCCAATTGCACGACCTCGGACAAGTCGACATGACCTCGTGAGAAAATTTCACATGTGAGATGCCCTCAAGCATCTCGGCTTGGAGCCTTGGCCAGCTGCTTCAGCAAGTAGCTGCGCTTGAAATAAGTATTGGGGTGAACAATGGTATCCAGATCTGCTTGGGTCCAGGTTCCATCCTCCTTGACCTTTTTGATCTCGCCCTTGTGAGACCACTCGAACACACGGTTGCAAGCAATGTGAAAGCGCTGTTTGCCCACGTCCTCGCGGACTCCACGCAAAACCTCCTTGTCATGAACCCCAGTGGATTGGAGTAGTCCAACAAGATTATCGACTGAATGATGGCGGTACGGGCAGCCGTGTGTTTGGCCGATACCGACGTTATTATCCTGCAGAATTTTCTGGCACGAATAGGGAGGGTATCCTCGTCCCCGGCGATTCACATCACCACCAACATCACCATATGCGTGACGAATATTGTATTTGTATTGTGAATTGAATTCGTCGTCTGTCTTGCCCTTAAAAGATTGGCGCCAGAAGAGAATACATTCCTCTAGTGAGAGACCAATACCTTTCAAGAAAAGGGTATATTGAAGTCGACCAAAGTGTTTCAGATGGTTATCCTTGCGGAGATTCGTGTGTAGGTTACGCATGCACAGTGGGAAGTGCTGGGATAGAGAGTCAATGGAGCTTGCAGTGATTGCTGTACCATCGACATGCCCTTCGCCTTCAGTGTATACCGAGTCGGCACTGCCGAAGTTCTTCGAAAGGTGATTCAAAATGGGAGTTAAACGATCATCCTCGTCTAACCGCGGAAGAGCACGGCTCGTTAACTTCGTGATGTTAGCTGGTTCCTTCCGAAGCATTTGGGCAAAGGTATGTGGTGCGATAAAGACCTACTTCGAGTGAACGTTCAAGACGAGCAGTAAATTCCGCCATAATCATGCTCAGCTGCTCCCTTCCAGGAACATAGGCTTTCCCCTTCTTCAGGAACACATTTCGGCGCTCGATAAGCTCAGGGACCTTCTCCCAATCAACCTTGTACCAGGTCTCCTCGTCGACTCGACGCAGCCCAGGTGTGGAGCTGGCCAGGCTCTCTGTGACTTCATGACGTTCCTCGTCGCTGACTGGCTCCCAATCGAGACTCAAGCTTTCCACGAAGGCACGTCGCTCTCTTGAGTCATCATTTTGGAAGCGGAATCGGAAGAGCATGGTTTCAGCGCGTGCGAATCGTCGTCGCAGATCCTCCGTGGCGGAGAAGGCCAAGCGGAGGATGAAGTGGGAATAATGATCTTTTTGGCGTTCATTTTTCAACCGTTGGTCGGCGGCACCAGTCGCAGATGAGGTATTTGAGGAAAGAGGGAGGAATTTCTGGAGAAGAGGGGTGATATGCGACGCGGTTTCGGCGGGGGATTTGTTGCGATAGGAGCATGCTTCGATCTCGGCGAGGACTACACCAATATTAGTGAGCAACTCGTTCATATAGAATCCGCTAGGATCGTCATACTCTTCAGTCTATCAATGGCCCATTGTTCAAACTGCTCCAGGGTGATCTCTGCAGTTGGCGGCGTGTCGTACAGATTTAGACGAAACGGGTAATCCTGCTGCTTGTAGATGGGCGCGGCGAACTGCCTTTTCTTGGGGTCGATGATTGCCCTGCGTTTAGGATCGATTCGGTGGGCGTCTTGTCGGATCATGTTGCTGGCCCGAGTCTTGATCGAGAGGAGACGAGACAAGAGGAATCAATTAGACTTGGTATGGTTGGATGACCACCCCCAGTTACCGACTAAATGGCGGACGCGACCTTTACGCGCCGCCTGACTACGAACGCGACTCGGGCACGTGACACTAATTACCTTTGAGAACAGGGTATCAAGGCACCAAGGCATCAAGGCAGAAGCAGCAAGGTAAGGTAAGAGCATGTGAAGAGCGTCCGTGCCGAATCAGTACTTCCATAATCCTGATCAATTACTCTCTTCTGAATTTAAGAGTCAATACGCCTTATCGCGCGGGCGCATCGCATTCTCATCAAGGAGCTTTGGTATCGTTTTCCTCGGAGCTCTCTCCTCACCGGTTGCCGAAGACAGCGAACCCGCAAAAGCAAGCCAACCCCACAGAGTCACGAAATTGGTCATATGCGCTAGAGCCTCGAGATCGTGCTACTAGCACCTATATACGGCTCCGGTTTCTTCCTTTCTCTCGCGCGCGGGATGTATCAGCAATAGTCCGTCGCTCAGACTTCTTTTTCTCTGAGCCCTGGTCTTTTGCTTACCCCTGTCACCCGCGCCGTTTTTCAGGAACCGTTCCACTCTCTGGGAAATTGACGTTTGATATCGGACCAACCCCGGACACCTTTTGGAAGACACCCTTCCATTCTCCCAGACATTGCTCCAGCATGTCTCACACACCAAAGAACCTGAAGAAGGCCGCGCGCATCATTCTCGTCGGCGCTCCTGGAGTTGGTAAAGGCACACAGTCCGAGCGTTTGCTGTCTCGGTTCCCTGGGCTGGCCTCCATCAGCTCCGGCGACCTATTGCGTGAGAATGTGCGTCGCAGGACACCACTGGGTAAGTTCTGTCCCATTGATAACAAACAATGTTGGAGCTCCGCGCACACAATAGGTCCCATGTCTAACCAATTGGATAGGTGTTCAAGCCGAGGCCGCCATGCAGTCCGGTAACCTCGTCCCGGACTCGATGATTCTGAACCTGATTTCCTCCGAATTAATGTCCAAGGGCTGGCTCCCTCCATCTGATAAACCGTCTCAATCTACCTCATCACCATCCTCCTCGTCTACCACCACCTCGTCCCCCTCAATCTCTTCCGCCGCATCCTTCATTCTCGACGGGTTCCCTCGTACCGCTTCTCAGGCCACAGCCCTGGACACTCTTGTCCCTGTGAATTTCGTTGTGGAGCTCATTACCCCGGCCTCGGTTATTCTCAATCGAATCGCATCACGCTGGGTACACGAGCCATCCGGTCGAGTCTACAACACGGATTTCCATGCACCGAAAACCCCCGGCAAGGACGATATTACAGGCGAACCGCTGACCCAGCGAGAGGACGACTCTATCGATACGTGGAAACAACGCTTGCAGAAGTTTGAGGAAACTAGCCGAGCTCTACTCAATCACTACGACGGCCGCGGCTGCCTCTGGCGGGTAGAGGGCAACTCGAGTGACGAGATCTCTCCAAAGCTGTTCGCAGAAGTCGAAAGGCGATTCTGCTGATCATTCATATTGGCCGTGTATAAATATTTATTAATCGAAGTCGCTTTGACCCCAACGGGCCGCGCTTTTAGGTGGATACTGAATTCTGGGCTTCAATATACCCTCTTCATGATTCGGGACTTGAGGAATATGTCTCGTGCTTGTATAGCCATTCTCGAATTGCATAATATCCATATAAAGAAGCCGGGCCCTGATTGACCCTGTGAACAAAGGTCATTGTAATCCATATGTAGATGTAGTTGTACAATCGCAACTTGCAGATACCTAGGTAGGAAAAAGAAATTCGTAACCTATAGGCTCGAAATTATGAACCGGAGGATATTCACAACTTGGATTACTTGGATTTCGACTTCCCACCATTCTCCACCGGCTCACTTTTGCCCATACGAGTTTTGTACTCCCGTGGACTCTCCCAGTCAGATCCAATATCCTTCCACAACCCCTTGGAACGGCGTTTAGCCCACCATTCCGCACGGCGATATTTCTTTTCCATAGCATCACCTCCGTACTCCGCACCGACCTTGGCTTCGTAAACGGTCGCCAGACCACGTCTCAACATTTCGTATGAGACATCTCTCCGACGGAAGGGCGGGAAGTCAAACGCCTTCCTGACAAACACACTCGCCACGACACGGTTATATTGGTCTTGCTTGTAAACGGAGGCACGTATGCGACGGTTGGAAAGATACTCCGTGAGCCAGACATGGGCTTCACGCGCAAAGGGTTGCTCCGGACGACCGAAATGAGCGAGTTCGGGTGCATCGACGCCGGCGAGACGAATGTGGATCTGTATGCGAAGGGGGAGACATGTTAGCTGGAAGGGGCGCCAGGGAGAATCTCAACGAGAGAGAGCGCGCGAGAGACGAACGGTATTATCTTTCAAATCCTTCTTGTTCGTCGGGACTTTCTTCCACGGTAGCCAGCCCCATCCAGCAATTCTTCCGCCAGGCGTGTGGAATATCCTGAAGTTGTCGCCATCGCCAATGCTGGTCACTTTCCCGAAGACGGAGCGGCGGCGCAGAAAGGAAGGCGAAATGCTGGGCGCATCGGGGATGCGGCGTAGATACCGACGGTGAAATCGTAGGCCGAAGAGAATACCGCTTGTTAGAAGGACTGTCGGGATAAGAGTTCTAGGTTCGACAAAGGCAGCCCAGTCGAGGTACGAGCTGGGGTTGTTTGTTGTGGTTGCGGAGCGCGAGAATATGGAGTTAGACTCCTTGTTTTTGTCGTCATTGTTCGACTCGGAGCTCCATGGTGGCCATCGCATGTCGGCCCATACCCTCGCAGCGGCAGGACTTGAGGGGGGTGAGCTGGAGAGCCGAGGGTTGATGGGGAAGGTCGGTGATCGCCGTGGCGGGAGCGCTTCAATCCCGCGGAACAACCGTTGCCGAGAAACGTAATGTGCCGCTCGGTCTATAGCAATGGCGCAAATTACGTACTGCTATTGCACATCCAAGTAACAGAACTTTTGATGTTATCTTGAACAGGATGATAATGATAGAATTTTTTTTCTTTCAAGGAGGTATTGATCATGATAGACTTGAAAATGACTGCAAAATCGACTGTTTATGTACAAATCTATCGACGCTAATCTGGCCAGAAACGAAATGTTTCTACAGTACCAGGCATCTGTTCGAAAGCCGAAAGGAATCTAGACTGGCGCAAGGAGAATCGCATGAGAAAGGAGAAGCCGACACGCCGTATAGACACAAAAAAGAAGAAGGGTTCCTGAAGGCGCAGAAGATTAGAAGAAAGGCACCGGGTTTTGAGACAGGGCAGCCTATTTCAAAGTAGCAGGCAAGCTAGTCTTAGCCTGCTCAGCAACTGCACCGGCAGCCTTCTGCAGCTTCGATTTCCTAAGCTTGGTGAGATAAGCAAATAAGACAATGAAGAGAATTTCCATTCTGGGAAGAAAGTTAGCGACCGCAACTGAAGATAGATAGGGTGATTTGGCATACCTCTCCTTGGTCATCATTAGCAGACCTTGAACCAACAGACCCTTTGTAATCTGTGGCCCAATGCCCTTGAAGAGAGCCAAGGGGCCCTCGTTATCAACAATAAACTTCATAACTTCGCCGAATGTCTTGAAGGGCTTGCCCTTCCGAGCTGGGGGTGGACGAGATTGCAGGCCAACCTTAGCAACAATCAAAGGCTGAGTGGCAATGGTAGCGAGTGCCTTAGACATGGCGCCAAGGACTATGATTGGTATTAGTATAGTGTGCTAGCAGGCTAAATAAGCAAAAGAAAAAGACCGAATCACTTACAGAACGCCTCCCAGGGCTTCAGGTTATTCTTTCCTGGGAAGAAAACTTCCTTGAGACGCTGATAGGCACCGTAGGTAATGGCTGGGTTGACAACCAGAATCAAACTGGCCTTCAAGCCGCGCCACAGGCCGGACCAGCCGTCCTCGCTATCCACCACCTCTCGGGCTGTCTCGACAAGACCCTTCTTCTCTTCCTTAGGCTGTGTCTGCTGGCGCGTAGTAACGACCGAGACGGGGATGGTGAAGATCTGGGCTACGGCACCAGCAACAGCACCCAGCGACAATTCGATCGCAGTTCCGGGAGGCTTGGGGGTTTTGGTGGAGGACATGTAAAGAGTTCGAACAATGCTGTACCAGTAGAAGTACGCGAAGTTGGTCGAGGCGACTCCTAGCAAAGAACCGGCAATTCCAGAGTATAGCCCGCTGATGCCCTCTTTCTCGGTGATTTTGGTGATCGCATCGATGGTAGATTCGTAGACCTCAACTCCCTCATGCTTCTCCGCCCCGTCGGACTTGACTTGAACCTGCAATTTCGTCTTGACCCTATTTGAGGGATTATATAGTTAGTGGGGGTTTTCTTCGAGGTGGTAGGAAATTTTGCGTTTGTGGTGGGATCTCTCACAGATCAAGTGGGTATACCATAGCATTGGCTAGGACTGCGCCTGTTGCGCCTGCAACTGCGCTGCCCCATGGGGAGAGAACAGGCTTTGATTGACCAGCCATGATCTGTATTGGAAGAACGAAAGCCCGATCACACTGCAACGAACAGAGGAAAGGAAAGGAAAGGGAAAAAAAGACGGCGAAAGTGTATGAAAGGGGAAATCGGAGCGGGGCCCTCTAGATGACAGTTACTCCGAAGACGGAGATGACAGAGCTGACTGGAGAGAGAGCAGGGAAACGAAGCAAGCCGATCAGGAAGATACAGATGATAGTAGTGGACGAATCGACAGCGAGGTCATAGTAACCGATGTCACCCGACAAGAGCACGACCGAGCTGGATAACCGGAAATACCACAGGCAAAAAGCACCTCGGCGCGGCGGTGACGAAACGAACCGAGGTCCACTCGGCCGCGGGCTGAACGTTGAACCTCCAATGGGAATTCACACCAGCCGCCAACAACACCCACGAGCTCGGACAACACAAGATTTGTTCGGAACCAGACAAGCACGCAGGTCACTTGTTATTCCGAGAAGCTGAAGCCCACTAAATCCCGATTCGGAGGTCTACTGCTGGCGTGGAGGTCGATGCCTGTCAGGTCAGGCCGTCTCCCGAAGTCTATTGCGGGGCGCATCGTCGAGCTGTTTGGACGTACGACGATCGGATTTCCCTGACGAAGATCGAAAGAGCCTCTACAAGCTATGGCTAGACCCGATGGGTCCATCCCAACATCTTCTTCGTCTTCTTCGTCACCATCACTTCCATCTCAGGCACAGGTAGGTCCCATTGTCCTCTCTTCTGTCTCGCCCCTCTCTCCTTCCCCCAGGATCTGATAACCCCCGGAGAAGCTAATCGGCAGTTAGCGAGCCGAAGAAGCCATCACCGCCGCGACCTCACAAAAGGCGGCACTCGCGGCCGCCATCGATGCCGCTGAGCACTACATGAGGGCCTTGCGCCTTGCATCCCCCAATGACAAAAAGAACTTAGATTCCAAATGCAAGGAACTCATAACTCGAGCCGAAGCGATCAAATCCGCTACCGACTGGCGATCAGCCGCCCAACCAAAAGCTGCTACACCTAAATTGCGGCTCCCCACATCCACGCGAAAGCTCACCACCCGTGAAGAAATTATTATTCTTGAAGGTGCAAAGCTCAATGGCTTTATCTTCCCACCATGGAGCCGCCCACCGGCTCCGACAGAATTCGTAGCATATGACGAAAATGTCCACTTTACGTATGTGTCAAATGTCTTAACAAAAGGGTGACGATTTCGCCAGCTGACCGGATCTAGGGACACACCAGACTTGCACCTCTCACAATGTCAACGCGATATATTTGCCGGTTGGAAAAGACCTGCAGATCTCCTGCTTGCCAGTGAGCAACTCAATGGCGCTGAGCCGGTCATGTCGGTGACAGGGATGACCGATCTAGTACAAGATGTACTCACAGATTGTTCTGTGGTTGCTAGCCTATGCGCTACCACCTCCCGATCAGAACGGGGGCTAGGGAAGGTAAGAATCCAATTCTCTCCCTACTTGTCCTGACCTGATCTAACTAAATTAGCATGCGTCCCCCGCCATGTACCCCTGCGAAGGAGATCCTACCAGCCCGACTCTTTCACCCACTGGGAAATACATCTTCTCATTCTATTTTAATGGCTCGTTTAGAAAAGTAGTCATAGATGACCGCTTGCCATCCTCCAAAACATCCCGGTCGCTTCATGTGATCGACCGGAAGAACCCCAATTTCCTATGGCCTGCGCTTGTCGAAAAAGCTTACCTGAAAGTGCGCGGTGGTTATGATTTCCCCGGAAGCAATTCAGGGACCGACTTGTGGGTGCTGACCGGTTGGATTCCCGAGCAAGTCTTTTTGCATAACGAAGATGCCACGTCGGACGAGATCTGGGGCCGCTTGTTCAAGGCATTTTCATATGGCGATGTGGTGCTGACTATTGGCACTGGAAGATTAACTGAGCTGGAACAGCAAGGCCTGGGGTTGGTGAGCGAGCATGACTATGCGATTCTGGACATGAAGGAGGCCCAAGGGCGTCGCCAGTTCCTCTTGAAGAATCCATGGGCTGGTGCGGAGCCTGCAAGCATGCGGGCCAGTCTAGATCATCTACCGTCTCCTCTATCGCCAGGGACATTCTGGATGGATTGTGAAGAAGTCCTACAGAACTTCGAAAATCTCTATCTGAACTGGAACCCTGGGCTGTTCAAACATCGACAGGATATTCACTTTACATGGGATCTTTCCCATGGGCGTGTCATTTCTGGATGTTTCGTCAAAAACCCCCAATTCTCCGTCTACAGCGAGTCTGGGGGGCACCGTGTGGCTCCTCCTTGGCAAACATTTCAAAACCGACCACCATCACTTCATGAAAGACACCGATCCTAAAGACGGGGAATTGGGCTTCATTAGTATTTACATTTTCCAGGCTGACGGCAAACGTGTATCTCTCACTGACGGGGCACTTCATCGGGGACCGTATGTCGACTCTCCAAACACACTGATGAGACTCGAGATGCCGCCAAAGACAACATATACTGCTGTGATCTCGGAGCAATCGCTGCCTTCCTCGACTCAAAACTTCACTCTGTCCGCTTTCTCAACTCATTTTGTATCTCTAGCGCCGTCCCGAGACAAGTACATGTGCCTAAGCAAGGCAGTCGGTTCCTGGACTTCCTTGACAGCCGGTGGAAACGCAGAGTCAGCTCGGTACTCATTCAACCCTCAATTTAGCTTGAAGGTATCCGAAAAGACGGACATATCTATCCTCCTAGAATCAGACGAAGCCGAACTCGCAATCCACGTGAAGATTTTCTGGTCAAATGGCCAGCGCGTTTCGAGAGTGCGCAATCGAGATATCATAGCCGACAGTGGTGACTACCGTCGCGGGTGTGCTCTGGCCGAGACCAAGTCCCTTGGGAAGGGGGTATACACCCTCGTGTGCTCGACCTTCGCACCAGACCAGATTGGTCGTTTCACTCTATGGATCTCATCTGACATACCCTGCACCGTGCAGTCCTTAGCTTCCGAATCTGCCGGTCGTCGAGTGGCCTTATCTGACGTTGGCGTTCTCCACCCCGGGAAAGATAGGATGATGGCTTCTCTGCAGACATCTCGTTTAACCCGACTCAAGCTCGTTGCGAGAAATAAACTATCGAAGATTGGATCTCGTTCCGTTGCGCCGTCGCCGGTATTGATGACTGTGGAGCTCGGTCAGGGCCCATATAAAGAAATCCTGGCTGCTTCAGAAGATGGAAGCTATTGCGATGCTGCATCAGGAGTGCGAGTTGAAGACTTTGATTTATCCCCGAGTCTAGAATTTCAAAACCAGGTGTGGATTGTTATTGAGCGGGTTGGAGGCCCGGGAGGACAAGTTGAGGATCATTTTGAAGTGGAAGTGTTGTCAGAGGAGCGGGTTGATGTAGGGGGGGTGGATTGTCGAGGATCCATGAGCACGGTTCATCTACAATATGGTATCTGCATGCCTCACCTGGGCATGCTGGCATACTGAGTGGTCATAGTACTAGCATTCAAGGTTTTACAAAGCGAGATTGTGCAGAATCTTCTGAAGATTAAACCAGTGATGGTTTAGCCAATAGTACCAATAGATTTTTTTTTGATATTTTTTTCTTTTTGAGGTCTTGCAAAAGCAAAGGAAGACGAATGTTTGAATATTCAAGTTTATTTTCGCCTCAAGAGAGGTTATATGTCTCGGTTTCCTCTTCTGTCCTAGTGTCATCGCCGATCTGGTGGCAGGGATCACCACGACCACTTTCTAACCAACATGAACGTCTTCAAACCTTGGAACCTACGATTGATTTATGCGTCCAGGACATCTGGTCTGTTTCATTACATATCTAGACACTCGCATTTCTCCACCTCAACCCCATCCATGTCATTGAAACCACCCCCTTCCGATCTTCCAACACACGCCTTCCCCGCAGCCCAAGCCCTGGAAGAATTTCTCGAGCGAGAACATCTAACAGCCCCAGGCTTTTATCTCAAACTCGCCAAAAAGGCATCAGGCATCCAGTCAGTATCCACCGCAGAAGCTGTAGAAACAGCACTATGCTTCGGCTGGATTGACGGACGCGCCAACGGATTTGATAAGGACTGGTGGCTTGTACGATACACGCCGCGTCGGGCGAAGAGTATTTGGTCCCAGAAGAATGTGAATACGATCAGTCGACTGATTGAAATGGGTCGAATGCGCCCTGCTGGTTTGACTGCCGTGGAGGCTGCGAAGGCTGATGGGCGCTGGGAGCGTGCTTATGCTGGACCTGCGACTATAACTATCCCTGATGATTTCGCTACGATTCTAAAGGAAAATTCGACAGCGGAGGCTTTCTTTGAATCGTTGAATAAGAGTGATCGGTATTCAGTACTGTGGCGCATTCAAACATCGTCCCCAACGGCGCGAAGTAAGAAGATCGCGACGTTGGTGGCGATGCTTGCAAAGGGGGAGCGACTCACGGTAACAAAGTCATCTTCAACAAAGTCCGAGAAGGGGAAGGTATCTGGTGAGGATATTGTTAAAAAGAAGAAGGTTGAGAAACCCATGGTGACGAGGCCGAGGCGTAGTGGTCTTCGGAGTAGTTCAACTCTGACTGAGAGATGATGCGAAATGGCAGCTACTGCGGCAGAGATATATCACGTGTAATGGGCTGCTGTATTTAATAAACAAAATGGTGAATACGTCAATTACTGTATCTTCTAGACACTACTACTATTTAAAGATCGTACTCAACCTGGAATCGTCATATCAAACAGACACAAGTGTACTGTACATAGCCAGAAGCACGCTAGTTTGTATGGCCGCCTGGCGCGGGTCTCCGTCTCCGCACGGGCGGTGGGTTCTCCGAGCTCCAAACGTCATCTGCCCAGAGCTTCTCCTCTTCTTTTTGGCTTCAACCCCTCCATCATGGCGAATAATATCCCCGCTTCGCTGAGAACTGCTGATATCGGGCGGTTTGCCCTCAGGGCAGCGCAGATTGAAAAGGCCAAGCCAGTCGTGGCCTACTGGTGTGAGTCGAGTGTTTATGCCCCCCGCCATGGGACATTTGAGCTGACCGCATCCCCAATGCAATAGGCAACTTTCATATTGTGAACCAAATAATCGAGAGAGGCCTTCATAATTCAGATGATGAGGTCAAACTTTATACAACCGATCTGGTGGAAAAGTTGGAACAGGTTCGTTGTCCTGCCTCCCCCACCTAAGCTGGTGATGTAGTTGTGGGGAGCCGGTTATTGACTCTAGAAATGGCAAACAGTTCAAAAGCGATAATCAAGAGAATGAAACTGTCACGGATGAGGTTGCTGCCAGTGCATATGTCGAACAATTTGGACTCGAGGTGTTCAACCGCGCAGAGGCGGCCATGACCGCCAACAAAGTTACCAAGTGCGTTCTACGTTGGTGGCTATTTATCTTAGAACCAGACATTGACATGGTGCTTCTAGACAAACAGCGGATACATTCCAGGCGGCTGCGATATTCCTCGAGCTCTGCCAGGTATGGGGAGAACTGGACTCGGAGATTGCGGGGGAGAATCAAGTTCGCCAAGTACCACGCGATTCGAATCGTGAAAGCGATCAAAGCCGGCGAGGACCCCAATGCCTCGAACCCCACCCCACAGCAAGAAGAAGAAAATGAAGCCACCGTGGCCGACCCCGATGTCCAAGCATTCGACGAAGGTGTGGCGGAGCAGGCCTCCAAGCCAAGACAGGCCTCCGTCGAGGAAGTCCCCGATGAAGCTGATCGTCTCGGGCGCCAGATGGCCCTTCAATCATCTCTGGACGAGTCACTACACCCATCCCGAACTTCCTCGATGCCACGCCCGCAAGAGTCTTCTCTTCCTGATATTCCTTCCGTCCCAAGTAATGCGCCAGGTTCTCCCACAACGCAGAAGATGGACATCGATGACCCGCAATCGGGAGGTCTCGAGCTTCCATCAACTCCCGCTACGATAGGTGGCTCGAGCTCTTTCCCAAAGCTACCAGATACACCGGGTTCTACGAACGCGCCTGTCTCTCATGTTTCGCGGAATTCAAATGCCTTCCAGTCATTCCCGCCACCGGCCGATACCCCCTCCGTCCCTGCTCCAGACCCGGCTTCATTCTATGATCCTACAAGCGCCAGTGCTTACATCCCACCCCCGGCAGCGTCGCCATCTGTTCCCCCAGCGCGGGCGCCTGCTCCTCCAGCACCAGCACCTGCACCTGCACCCGCTGCTCCGAGCCAACCCTCGCATTCGATAGATGACAACTCTATCACCCAGGCGCAGAAGCACGCTCGCTGGGCAGTATCTGCGCTGACATTCGACGATGTCGACACGGCAGTGAAGGAACTGAAGAACTCGCTGAAATACCTAGGTGCATCATGAAGAAAGTAGTATACCAGTGTTTAATTTTGCCTGTATTACCGATTCCAACCTCAAGCCGCGTAAAAGTATAGTTACATCGCGGGCGGACCTAAGTTTTGTATTCACTTCAAGTTTGTTACAAGTTCTTGGTACTATTATCTGCATAGCTTTGCCACTTAAATCCAAGAATGCTTCAAGTTACAATATGACCTCAACAAGCAGAAGATAAATGCTGTGCATCACAAACGTAAAGGTTCAAATTTTGACCGAAAAAAAATAGTTTTCATTTCTCCAATCGATGTCTAAACTAATTGCAGTTCAAAGGGATATATGCCCGACATATGATGATGCTATGTGGTGGGAAGACGTGATGTAGAAAAGAAAGTGGAAGGCTCAATATGCAAATGCAGAATTGGTCAAGCGACTGGGACAGTTGAAGACCAAGGTTGTGTCAATGAGAACTTGAGAAAAAGAATGATTCAACAGGATATATGCAAGAAGTATAAAAAAAGATGTAAAAGGAGAAAGGGAAAGGGAAAAGGGCCATAAAAAAGAGAACAAAATCCCGACCAGAGAGAAAGGGTATTACAGTACAACGGCAGGCCCAGCAAGCGCGAAACTGGATTGTATCTGGTTCGACTTTTGACGAAGATGGAGGGTGGGGGGAGGAGAAGGCCCGGGAGAAGAAGAGGTATCTTGGGGGGGAAGAGGAGACGAAGGAAATCATCAATCAAAAGATTCATGGCGAGGAGCGAGGCTCAAATGCTTCCTTCACTTTGCAGACACAAAGTGTGACCGCAAAGTGATGTCGAACATCGGGAAATTCTTTCAACAATATTAGACCGTAAAATTGTTCATGCGAGATCGAAAACCAACGAAAATAGGCCAGCGACAACTAGGCCGGGGAGGCTTTATGGCCACCAGCCCATGCGCTTGTAGCTCTCGACCATGGTGCGAACACTGTCGGCGTTGAAGCGCTCGTACTTGGGCTTCCAACCCGTGGTAGACTCGAACAGTGAGCCGTCAATAGACATATCCTGATCCTTGAGGACATCACGCTCCAGGAAGGGACCAATGGGGCCCGGGCGCACGATCTTGCTCTTCTCGATCAGTTCAGCCCACTCCTGCAGACTAACCTCATTCATGTCGTCGACAACATCATCCAGGTTCATCTTAGCCAGCTGCGAGACAAGGGATCCAATGAACGAGACCTTGAGGCCAAAAACCTCGGACAGGGCATTGGCAACGTGCTCCTGCTGGGTATCGTTATGATCGACAACATTGAACGCCCAGGCAACGGAACTATCCTTGAACATTGCCGGAGTTCCCTCCGACGAAGCTGTTCGTCCGGCCCGCCACTCGGCAGCGTGAAACAGGGCACTCGCAGCATCCTTGACGTGCAGCGTGTTCACCTTGAGATCCTTGGTGTAGAGAAGCTCGAGATCCTGACCCATTTCGAGATACACGCGGGCCAGACACAGCGCCATGGCGAAGTAGCCGGAGTTATATTCGCCATAGACGTGCGGCAATCGCAGGGCACAGTAGTTCAGGCCGTCGATCTTCAGCAGCTCTTCCGCGGCCTTGAGCTTCCATTTGGCCAGCTTGTGCCACGGCACCAGTTTATCGTGTTCCTTGCGCGGCGAGGATCCGCTCTTGTAGACGTGTGCGGTCGAGCACTCGACGTAGGACTTGATGCCTCGCTTGGCGACTTCCTTGCCCAGGGTAATGCTCAGATTGCAGCTGCGCGCTTCGTATACATCGTCGGGCTGGGAGTGTCGTGTTTCGCCGCCACAGTTGATCACATAGTCGAATTGTTCGCCGTTGGATCGATCAAAGATACGTGGTAGGTGCTCTGCGGTAGGAGTGTTGTTAGTGATGGGATCTTTTTGTCATATACATATATATGGTAAAATGAAAATAATTCTCATGTTTTCGGGATTTGAAACCCCTCAGTGATCTTTGGTGATATTTGTTTGGAGCTGGGTAAATCGTGCGCCACTTACGTTCGCGGCTGGCGTCCGCTTGCACGAACTTTTCCTTCGAGCATGCCTCGTCAAATTCGGGGGCCAACCAGGCCAACTGTGGGAGAACCTTGTCGACTAATCGAACCTCCGAAGCCAAATTGTTCTCGTGGATGTGAAGAGCAAGATGGCGACCGATAAAACCTGGGAGGGGACACAGTCAGCTTTGGATCTTTCAGGAGGCGGGGAAATCGGAAATCGGAAATCGGAAATCGGAAGGTTGAAATCGGGGGGATACACACCGAGACCACCGATGATCAAAACGGCAGGCTTATTGGCGTCCATGATGAGACAACAAGGACACAAAAGGGGGCGAATAACGCAGAGAAAGAAGGACTGATTGAGGAGAGAAAAGGAGGGGGAAGGGAAAAGACTAAAGTGCGAGACTCCCGACTCACACGGGGCGAACCTCCCGGTGGTCCACTCGTCCACTCAGTGCCATCGCTAGAAAATTCGGGAAGATCGCAAAATGCGCTTTGTGACCCCCTCCCCCTTTTTAGTCTGGTTTAGCCCCTCCACCTAACGACGCCGTTGATCTATAGTCGCGCATTTAAGTGGAACCTCCAGTGGAGCAAGATTTACAATTCGTCCAGCATGGAGTGACGTCGTGGTCCCCCTTGGTTGCTGCCCCATGGTTCTGGGCTGGAAGATCGCCGGGACCCAAACTTGAGATTTCCGGGGTTTGTGAAGGAAAGCTTGATTGATTGATATTGATTGATATTGAGATTGAGATTGAGATTGAGATTGATACCAAGTATGCACTATGTACTAAGTTCATCGCATCAAACCTGACACTTTCCCTGAAACATCTTGTAGTTCCACTCTGTTATCCCCTGATCCCTCCGACCCTAGGTAGGGTTCCTCGGTTCCTCTACTCCTTCAAGGTCACCTCAATACGAAATTCCGCCGCAGAAATTTTGCCCTGGTCATCGGCGTGCCAACCACACCCAACATGTCGCACCAGCTCTTGCAGGTCCCAGTCATTGCCTCGACGAATCACAAATTTCAAGTCCGACCATACGAGATGGACGACTGCATATGAGTATCGGGACTGATTAAGCTCGTAGTGCAGCTGCCACTCACTGGGGTCGTCCCCATGGGCCAGCTCGGAGACCATACGATCTATCAGCTCCGAACTAGTCTTGAACATCTGCCACGGAATGGACCGTGCTTTCGCCGGGGACCGTTCTTCCCGGACTAAAAAGTATGTTCGCTGGTCATGAGCGCCAGGGTTTTCGGGAAAGGCAATCTTCACTATTTTCAAAGCATGGTTAGTATAAATTAAAGACTACCCGAGAGGATTCATTCGACCATACCGGGCTTTGAAGCTAGCTTGGGCCGAACCTGAGCCGGAATTGGAGCCTGAGCTGGAGCCGGAGCTTGAGCTTGAGCCTGAACCTGATCACGAGAGTTTGACGATGAAGACATGGAGTTGCGATGAGCTTGCTTTCCGCTTGGTGAAGTGTTTTCCTTTGCTGGCACGAAATTCCCTATCTGAGGAGGCGGAGGGACTTTCTTGACAAGGGTAGGGGAAGCCGAGAGATCCTTCTTGATTCGAGTCGGGGTTACCGGTTCCGCAGAGTGAGCTCGTGGGACTGCCCGGGCAGCCTGAGTTGGCTGAGTAAATCGATTTGGCTGAGCTGTCTCACTAGGTCGATTTGGTTGGGTTGGTTGTTTAGGTCGACTTTGTTGGGTTGACTGACTTGCTTGGCCTGTTTGACTCGGCTCATTTGGCTGGGTTGCCTGAGTGCTGCGCTGAACTGGCTGGGCAGGCTGCGTCAGCTGCGTCGGCCGCGTGGTTGTGGGCTAAATTTGGTCAGCAGTGGTATGGTATATAAGACAAGATGGCCCATCTGGGTAGGAGATAGGTAAGAGATAGATAGGATATGGGAAGGTACGTACCAGTTGTGAGATGGACTCCCGTTTGGGTCTGCTCTTGCCCCCAGCGATCTTCCAAAGCAGTATCACGACTGCCTTGGTAATTCTAATTGAACCTTAGTGAGAAGATGCCAGTAAAAATAGAAGCAAAAGCAAAGATAGGATACTATTACTCACGGGTCCTTATCCTTTGGCCACTGGAAGTTGTCGTCCCGACCATCGTTGGTGGTCAAGTACTTTTCCCTTTTCTCAACCTCATCCCCCCAATACTCTTTTCCGAACCGGGCGAGAAATCGTTGGGCGCAAGCGTCTCGTGTCTTGGAGTCATTAATTTCCTCTCCTTCCATATCAGTTAACTTGAAGTTATGCTGCTCAGCAAAGCTCTCCAGCTTGCGGCGAAAAGCGTTGAAAACCGGATCATCCTTGAAATCTAGAAAGGCGAGAAATTTGCTGTATGGGTGTTTCTTTGTCAAGAATCCATCGTCAACCATATTGGCTAATTGATCCTCGCTTTTCTCGCGCTCAGAGCGCGGGCCAGCGCTCGCCATCTCGGGTTTATTAGTAAGTATTTCATAAAAGGAGTGGGAAGTGAAACTCACCATGGATGATCAACGAGGAGGGCCAAAGAGGTTTGTCTGAAGTTTTGACGATCGAGATATGGTTTTGAAAGATGAGAGAAAGAGAGAGAGATGGAGCTGGGGAGAATAGAAGTGGGAAGATAGAGTTGAGGATAGATGTGGGAGGTACTTAGGTCGGGCTGGGAAGGAATGATGGTGAGAAGAGGATAAAGAAGGTGCAAGGTGAAGGTGAAGGTGAAAAGTGGAAGGTGAAGGTGACACCCTTGGAAGAAGAGGAAGGCGAACCCAGCAATGTTGAGGTATAGTACTACTAGTGTAAACCCGGGCAGTCCACTTCTAGGCATGCCTCGCACTTATCATACTAGTAGTTCATGGTTTATGCCCAGGCGGTTCGTGGTCCCCAAAAACGTGGCATGCATGGGACGCTGCATGCATCTCATGCAGGTCACGCTGCATGATCCACCTTGCATGCGGTGGCGGCTCTTACGTTCCAAGGTTTGTATCCCTGTTAGTTGTACATATAGTAGGTATCTACTCCGTAGGAGACTTAAGATATCTCCAGATCCATCTATCTGACATGACCTCGGTAAGGCACCCCCATAGCATACACTTTTGTACCCATGGAGGTACTACCATACTAGCACTCGGAAGCCTGATTAAAACTGGGTAAGCCATAATGGCAGCAACCTTGGAGTATCCTAGTATCCCACTACAGTGGACTACAGTGGACAAGAGCTGAATAACACAAATGGTAGATAGAATACATTGCGATCTTTCTGTATAGATTCTATGAACTGAACAAGGAAAGCAAGAGACGATCCCGATGGCTATAGAAGAGCGAAACCGAGATCAAGATCAAATCACTGTATCCAGTGCAGGTGCGTCTTTTTCGGGACTTTTGCGAGTGTTTGTTTTGTTCTTTTTTGTTTTTTAATGTTCGTTCTTCGGGATTTGCGAGACTGGTCGTGGCGCGTTCCGTATGGGATGGGTCAGAAGAGTAAAAAAAGAGAAATGTCGGGGTTTGGCCTTCGCTAGAACCCAGGATGGTTGAAGAAAGCCAACTTGAAAAAAAAAAGGAAAAGGGAAAAAGGAAACAAGCAAATAAAGCAAATGAGATTCAGACATTCCCCACTGTGCAAACGGAGATTGATCGGATGAATGCCAACAACAGAGTCTATGGTCGGTGTGGGCAGAATCAAAATTCCCAGTCTTCTTCAACAGACTTGATAGCCCATTCAAACTTTTCACGCAGGGCCTTCGAGAAGAACTTCTCGATGGGGACGTTGAACTTCTTGCTGAAGACGACGGTGAGACGAGGGTCGATATAGTTCTGTGAAAATGTTAGTAGGTGCTCGTACCGACCAGCAATTTGGATTCACTCACGATCTTCGAGGTCCCGAGAGCAACCTCCTTGTTGTCCTCCTTATCCTGGGCCTGGATGGACATGGTGTCGACACGTTGATCGAGCTTGGTGATGTTGGCCTCGATTTTCTCAACGGTTGGCCCACGACCTTCAGCCTCAACCTTGCCGGTCTTGTTCTCCTTGTTGAACTTCTTTTCCATGTCTTTGACGACCTCGAGGCGCTCCTTCAATTCAGAGGCCTTCATTTCCTTCTCGCCGTCAGCGACTCGCTTCTCGTTGTCCTTCTCAAACTTCTTGTTGATCTTCTGGGTCTGTTCCTCGATCAGGAAAGCCTGATGCTCCTTGATCCATTCCTTGTCGAGATCCTCGTCAATCTCGAAGAAAGCAGCGCCTTTCTTCTTCTTAAGGCTTGGCTCCAGGTCAAGCATCTGCTGCTTCAAACGCCATTTCTGATAGCGGAGTCCCTTGATCTATTGTGAAGGACAAAGATTTAGTATGAAGTGACAATAGCACCCAACAGAATTGAACTCACCCGTTCGCTCATCTTCTCCATCTGGCTAGCGTGGCCAGCAGTCACGGTACGCTTGTGGTTACACAAAATGGCGACTTTGCGGTTTGCGTCGTTATAGGTCTTGATCTTCTCGGGGATGTTACCGGAGGCCTTGATTTCTTTGAGCAGCCTGCTCATGGTGTATGAGGCGTTGTATGTACGGAAGACCTTGGCGGTTAGGCCGGGCATGTAGTTCTGAAGATGTTTGTTCAAGGCCGAAGTCTAATACCATCATATTAGTAATTTGTCCAAGGCTTCATTAGAAAGATAGGGTAGAAATACCGTCAAGCGGTCAAAAACCTCGTCACCATCCTTCTTGGGTGCCTTCTTGAAGATCTTGAGGTTCTTGAAAACTTGTGCATCGACCTTGACCTCGTCGTAGAATCGAATACTATCCTTACCAAGGAAGTCGAAGACGACAGTATTTGGGGGCCTCAACGAGATGTTCTCGTATTTCAAAGAGCAGCAGCCAACGGTCTCAGCTTCATCTTCACCTTTTTCGTTTCCGGCACGCAAGGCGAATTGATCGATGAGATACACAGCCGTGGCCTTTTGGCGCTCGACCATCAAATCATTTTTCAAGTTCTTCTGATAATCCTTGCGAATCTTGTCGATATACTTCTTGAGCTCTCGCGCCTTTTCGAATTTTTTGTAGTCACTCTGTCCTTTGACATCGGAATTGGCAGCCAGCATGACATACTTGTAGTTGCCGTTGATGTTCTCTTGCCACATGGCTAGCCATGTGCCTTCTTGGTCATGCTTCACTTCTTTCCATTTGTGCCCAGCCGGAGGCGGGGGAACAGTGGCCTCCTTGCCAACGTTGATGGTGATTTGTTCAGGCTGGACGCGAGTCTTGACGTGGCCAGTTTTGGGGTGCTCACCACGCCCACGGAAAAGTGAAGGAGGCTCAACACGGAAGTTGCCAACTTTCTGCTTGCGGCCATCCCATGTACAGAATTGGAAAGCAGCTTCTTCTTCATCCTTCTCGGCCTTTAAGCGTTTCTTTTCAGCAGGGGGTAGGTTTTTCTTCTCGAGGCGCTTGGCATCATAATATTCGAAGATTGGCTTGAAGTCGCACTTGGTGAATTCCTTGATATCGACCTTATTGCCTTGCGAATCCTTTGCACCACCAGTCTTTTTGATGATATCCTTGAAATCTCCGAAAAAGTTCTTCTGGAAGGTAGGGTTTTCGACGTTATGAGTTGAGTTGAGCATGCTTCCGAAGAATCCGGCGACTTCTTCGGCGTCAGGGTGCAGTGAAATGGGCACTCCATCGTACCTCATCTTCACATTCTTCGGCAACACCTCGTAATCCGGAGGGAAGACCACACCACTGTGCTCCAAGGTGGTCCATTTCTTGGTACCGTCGCCCTTGGTTGGATCTTCCCACCACCGGTATTCATCCTCCTCGCCTTCCTTCTCATCAAGGTCCTCGCTTTCAGCCTTGATAGCGCCCTTACCTTTTTTCACGGCGGGAGAGGCTGGCTGGGCCTTGACCTTCTTGATGGCGGCCTTGTCATCTGCGGCCTCCTTCTTGACGCCGTTGGCTTTCTTCACGGCGGGCTTGGCTCCCTTTGCGGGGGCGGCGGATTTGCGCGCGGCCGGAGCGTCCTTCTTGGCCTTTTGCTCGATCTTCTTCTTCTGCGCAGAGAGTCGCCTCTCAATTGGAGCGTCAGAATCAGACTCCTCACCAATGGCCGTTTCCGAAGCCTTCGGAAGCTTTCGTCCGTTCAGGGCCAAGGGAACATCCTCATCGGTTTCAGGATCTTCATGCTTCACTGAAGTTCGTCGACGTTTGCTCTATCGAATGGTCAGTCGCCGAAACCAAGAGCGACAACAAGGTCGCAAGGGGAGACTGTGGGTCAGATTTGCGACTATGGTGCTGCGTACCAAGGGCTGATCATCATCATCGCTGCTTTCCGGCTCAGCGTAGGTCTTCTTCTTGTCGATACTGGCGCGGGATTTGCGCTTGCTCAGGCTACGGGCATCTGCATCATCCATATCCACGTCCTTATCTTGTACGGGGCCGAAACGAATTGACACGCCCGGGTCAACGTTGCCGTTCGTTCCGATAGGAGAGGCTTTCGCAGGAGGTTTCGCCGAATGAGGAGCAACTAAGGGTGTAGGGATCGCCATGTTAGCTTAAATTGATGAGGTGGTCAAGATGTGAGACGAAAGGAAGATAATGCGCGTGAATGATGCGCCCAAGTGAGAAGAAGATAAGGTAATGGCATGCGGTTAAGATGGAAGTGAATTGTCGAAGCAGGAATAAGAGCCGAAGGGGTACATATGCCAGCGGAGTGACATTGGGGAGATGCTTACCACGGCCATTCGCGCGCGAGAGCGGAATATCATCCTCCGACGAACTCATGATGGCGGTTGAAGCTCCGGAAGGAATTAAGCGCGAGAAAGAACGAAGTGGGCTGGGGGCGAAGTATGGAAGTGGTCCTCGTGCGCCTAGTCGGGCAAACCGAGCCGCCTGAAGTAGAAGGATGATGAAGTCAGGGAAATTCTGACCAATGACAAGACAGTTAAGATGTTAAGAAGTGAGGATGCATCAATGATGTTAAGAGATGGGAGAGAGAGAGGGTGGGAGATCACACAAGATCCGAGTTAGGGAGGGAAGGGAAGGAAGAAGTAACCAGCAAGAGGGAAACTCGCAGAGCCAAGCGGCAGAGGAGGAAGGGAATGTAGGAAAACCAAATCAAACCAGGCTTCACTGGGGCTGGCTGACCTCAGAGAGCGAGAGGGCGAGTGCACGTGACTTTGCAGTGTAAGTATGCACTGTGTACAGTGCTCAGTCACGTGATTTACATGGATTCTGCGGTAGAAGCCGGAACGGCGTACCGTAGATGCCTACCTAATCGGGTTTAGCGCGTCCACCCGGCCAGGAGTTCAACTTCGCACCTTCCCGTCCTCCTCTTCAAGCCAAAGCGGTCTTTGTATCTCTTGCACCCCCCCCCGACCCTCCCTCCTCCTCCTCCTCCCGCAGATTATCCTGCCCCTCTAACCTTCTCAACTCCCTTATAATGTTCTCTCGTGCCGTTCGCCCGGCCGTTCGGGCTGGCAGCGCTGCCGTCGCTCGGTAAGTCTCTCTTCCGATGCCCGCTCGTGGCGCCAGGCCCTTCTATCCCGATACCCGCAAAGGAGGAAAAAACACTGTCAACGCAGCTCCATGTCACCATACTCGGACTCAATGATCTCTCGAAACAAGTCGAAACTCGTTCGATTGCTAACCCGACCTTCCAAAGCACCGCCCCGCCCAATGCCGCCAACTTCGCGACTCTGCGTGAGATCGAGGGCCGTCTCAAGTCCATCAAGAACATCGAGAAGATCACCAAGACCATGAAGATTGTTGCCTCGACCCGTCTTACCCGTGCCCAGAAGGCCATGGATGAGTCCCGCGCCTACGGTCAGACCTCCAACACTGTTTTCGAGCAGGCCGAGACCAAGCCTCTGGAGGACCAGAAGACTCTTTACGTCGTTGCTAGCTCCGACAAGGGTCTTTGCGGTGGTATTCACTCCGGTCTGAGCAAGGCCACTCGCCGCCTGTTGGCAAAGGACCCCAACGCCGACGTCGTCATTCTCGGCGAGAAGGCCAAGGCCCAGCTCTCCCGTTTCGCCGCGGATAACATCCTCCTGAGCTTCTCCAACGTCTGCAAGGATATCCCCACTTTCGCCGATGCCCAGGCCATCGCCGACCAGATCAGCCTGCTGCCCACCGACTACAGCAGCGTCAAGATCATCTACAACAGCTTCCTGAACGCCCAGAGCTACGAGGCTACCGTCCTTGAGGCTTTCTCTGAGGAGGCTATCACCCAGTCCGGTAGGTTGAGTTTGCGCGCTCACCCGCGACTGTCTTCTTGAGAATGTGGGCTAAATTTTTTTCTTTTTCAGCCAACATCTCCGCTTTCGAGATCGATGATGAGGCCCTTGCCAGTCTCCGCGAGTACGCTCTTGCCAACAACCTTTTCTGGGCTATGGCTGAGGGCCATGCCTGCGAGATTTCCGTATGTTCACCCAGCAATTCTCTTTTACCCGTGGCGCCTTTTCTTTGGCTAACTTGTTTTCTTAGGCTCGTCGCAACGCCATGGAGAACGCCTCCAAGAACGCTGGTGATATGATCAACAAGTATGTTGCCCCCGCTTTTTACACCCAGGAAGCTTGAAACTAACAACTCCCCAGGTTCCAGATTCTCTACAACCGTCAGCGTCAAGCCACTATCACTGGTGAGCTGGTTGAGATTATCACCGGTGCCACCGCCTCTGCCGACCTGTAGAAGCCTCCTTCTACTGCATGAAGTCGCCTTCGGTGTAGACTTGTTGATATTTAGATCGACCCTCCGTTTGTGTAAAATCAGTGTCAATCCATTTCAATTTCATATGTATTCCTGGTAACATCGAATTGCATCGCCCTGTAGCCCGTTGTCTGGTACAGTACCTACTAGTACCGGCTGGCGCCTGGTTGACTGGCTTGAGGGGTGCGTATCAATTTTACTCCTTACCCTAAGGTAGCACCCAGTTTATTCACTGCTGCTGCTGGGTTCCTTCCCAGGACTGTTACTTTTGTCCCCGCCAGTCGACTACTACTTCCTTCACCTTTTACTTTCTCTTCCCCTCCACACTTGCGTCTCTATTTTTCCACAATCCTATTTCGTCGCACTGACCCCAGTGACAAGAACCTCTCTCCCTATCAAACCTTTGAAAAGGCACAACCTTGTGCGAACTTTCGAAAATTCTCAGGTCTTATCGGATTCCTCTTCACTCCAGGCAGCATGTTCGTTCAATCGGCCTCGGTCGATTTCTATGCAGCCCTGGACATACCCCGAACTGCTACTACCCAGGAAATAAACGCTGCCTACAAAAGGTTGGCCCTGAAGTATCATCCTGACAAGTGCGGTGAACGTTATCTGGAAAAGTTTCGCCAAGTAAGTCATTCCAGCACCAAAAGCGATACGTGCCAACAACCAAAGATTACGGAAGCAGCTGAGGTTCTCCGCGATACTCAGCGCCGTCTTGACCATGATCGTGCCATCGGACACGCCCCCCGCGGTTTGAATGATAACCGACGTCAGCCACGTCGATACAACCGCGAGGATGACTGGCGAAACTGGAGCTCGGAGCAGAGACCCTGGAGAAACGATGAGTTTAACTACAACTTGAAGAACCCACAGGACTGTTACATGTACTCCTATGGCTCAAGTGTGCACATGGACCCCAACTCTGCAGATTCCATGGCAGAGTCTGATCGGATCTCGGCAGAGGCAGAGAGATGGGCAGCAGAATATGCAGGTAAAGAATGGCCCTGGTCTACTCAACCGGAGCAGGGATATGCAAGAATCGAGCTGATCAAATCATAGCCATGCAAGCCGAGTATGAAGCCGAGTCTGCAGCTGAGGCGAAAGCTGAGAATGAAGCTTTCGAGCAGGCCAATTTTAACAGATGGCCAAAGAACGCTAAAGATAACGTTTCAGAAACTAACCAGGCCGCCGAACCCGCGATGGAAGCTGAGCATGCAACTTTCAAGGAGACTGATGAATTTGACGCATGGTCAAATGATGGTCAAGCTTCCACTCAGCCTGAATTTGAAACACGGCCCAAGAATTCTCAAGAAAAGTCTTTTGAAACTAAACAGGCCAACGAAACTGATCGAGCTACCATGTGGACAATGCCCGGGCAATACTCCTCCAGTCAATTCGACTCCATTCAACACTCATACCTCGATGTTCCTCCTCGACCGGATATAAATGAGTTGATTGGCAGCGTTATTGGCAGCGAAATCCCTGGGCAATACCCCTCCGGTCAATTCCGCACTTCCACTTACCACTCTGGCCACAAGCCCCGTTCTGGTCAAGTCTCCTCTCCTCAGCCGGACTGCAAAACCTCACCGGATGAATACTACGACTGCAATGAGCATCTTAGTACAGGACCTAGCGTTAATCGCAAACCATCCGCCAAGAAGGCAGGCCTGGCGGACCGAGCAAATGTCCAGGAACTTGTTACCGCCGAAGGCCCTCTGGCGCCGTTCTGTCCATATTTCAATGACAAGTTGGCTCATGGAAGCGGGCGTTACAACTTAGACGACATGGCTATGGAGGTAAACGGTATCATCAGCCAGATTATGTTTGAATGGATTTTGGTCCTTAAGCAAGAAAGTGGAGTCACGGCATCACTTATCAACTTGGACGATGGAAACTGCACTCATCATTGTGAATGGACTAAGGAATTCGCCCTCTCAGAGTGTACAGTCTGCCGCTTCTGGAAGCCCATTTACATGATGACCTGTTCAATGTGTGACACTAAGAGATGCATCTGCTGCAGATTTTGAAGGGCTAGAAATGGTCCACAGTTTGTTTTCGACAAGGCATGATTTCCGTCAAAATGATGCATTCTATTTGACCTTGCCGTAAAGAGGATGTGGCGTTTAATATGTGTGTTGACTGGTGCATTTCTTGCTCTGCTGATTATCTCTACCTCTCCCCCCCATATCCCTGTTTGGTTTGATGTGTTTCCCCTCGCACATCTCTTCACTCATTGTCATTCATTCTCCTGGTTCCCGAGATCAGAAAAGCGATTTTGACGACCCCAGTTGTCACTCAGTGCTGGGTTGGGCTGAAAAAGATTTAGGTATTGTTATCAACATAGGTTCAATGAAATTGTTTAATCAGTCAAGTTTAAATCCAATAATTAGACTGCTCTCATATTCAGGCTGTTAGCTTGACTGCCCCGGGTTGTCTACCTGTAACCTGTTTTTATACGAAAGTCTAGTTAGTCCCTTGGGGATCCCGAGATGGGTGGCTAGTATCTACTAACTATATCTAGATTTGTTATACTAAAGTACCAGGTAAAAAAAGGGAGATGCTATTTATTTTTGGTTCAAAATCATTACACGCAGTCTTTTTTGATATCTATCGTAAACTTTTAGAGTCATTATAGGTCGTAAATCGGGTTCGTCATTGAACGGGAACAGTTTGCGAGGTTTCCGAGGTCGAACCAGGTAATGCAACAGCTCTCGGCGCAGGAACTGAAACAAGTCGGTGGATGTGCTACGCCGTGCAGCTGGGAATTCATCGGTCGAATCTATAAATCACCAATTCCCTATTAGAGTTCTCGCCCAGGAGATATCTTTCACATCCACTTATTTTCCCTCTGCCAGTGAAGTCCAGGTTGGCCGTGGTAACTTGCGAAGGCTCTTCGTAAGATCCCAAGACCTGGTATGTAAGGCTGATAGTTTGATCCTTGAGCTCAGGCTCTCTCCGGTCCTCATCCCATTTGGCAGGATCAAAATGCAGGCAGAAGCTGACGCCGGCTTGCTGGTCAATGACCTGGGCGATGGTGCCGTACCAGCATTCAGCCATGATAGCTAACACACTTATTGGTGACGTTTGCAGGCTGCAGTTACCCCGGTAAGCTGGGAGTATCAAATCGCTCTGCTGTCGCCAATGAGGACCACAGCCTTGCATGGGAATGCTGGTCACAACAGCCATGGGTAAGCCGAGCGGGTCTGGGACCGTCAACCAGGTATTAATATTTTCTGTAATTTCGACTGCTAGGCTATCGTCGGTGATTTCGAGTCGCTGCACGCTCGGGCATCCTCGTTGTCGAACGCCGAAGAACTCAAGGTCTCGGAAACCAAAACGAGCCACGATCGCTGGTGATTCATCGCCTTCGGAGTCCTCGTGTTTTCCTGTTGGATCGAGCGATGGACGGTAAGAAGACGGGGATGAGATGTCCCAAACAAACAAGGATTCAATGGGCGCGTCCTCATCGGCTGTGTATAGGCTGCGATTGGGCTGCCAAATATAAATCACATAGTGCGTGTTACTATGAGAGGAGAAGAATCGATCTCGCTCACTGAGCGGGTGGCCAAGGAACATGATCTTCCACTCATTTCGAGCCGTGATCTCCCAGCCGTCCTCGATACTTGGCTTCACATCAAAGGATGAAGCAAAATGACGATGCACGCCGTCGCTGTCATTAAGCCAGTGAAAGGCCTTTGGTTCAGCCCACTCGACTACCAACAATTGCTTCTGTAGTCGGACTCGGCGTACGACTTTCCCGGTGGTGGTAAAGGGAATGGTAAATTGCCGGTCATTGCTCAAGTCCATCAGTACCAGACACTGATGTTCAGCACTCGGAAACACCAGTAAATCCTGATCATGAGTCCATAACGCCTCGGAGAACTGGCGGTCGACAAACTGTCCGACATGGCTCGCGTGCGACTCCCATGGCGGGACCTGGAACCATTCACGGTCCCCCGCGGCACCAAAGTCGTCACACAGGCGGTATTTTTGAACGGAGCGGGGCTTTCCTCGCTCGAGATAATCATAACGCGAGGCAACCTGGTCAAAGAGGGAGCGGATCACGATCGGATCGGTGCTGGTGCCACCAGTACTGGGGCCGACGTGGAGCCCGTAGACCTCCCTAGTGCGAGGGAAGTGCCTTTTCATGAGTGGGACCAATATGGCCGGGTTGCCGAAGGCCTCATTCCAAGAGCGCGAGACACGGCGGCATCGAACCAGATCCGGTGGGGTCAAGTAGGCCAGGATGAGCCAGAAAATGTCCCGTGGTAGAAATGCCAGGTCATGACCATTATCCTGAAGAGCTTGATCACCGTTGGGGTACGAGGGCATCGCGGAGCACAACCGTAGTAGCAAACCAAAAAAGGGCGAAGCTTCTCATTGGAGAGAAAAGCTCTCTCCGCATGCCAAGAGCTTCAGGACACCTTGCACTCTTTCCACTTCCACTCATTAATGCAATGCTCCAGCCCGTATACTGGGTAACTATCGAGTAGTGGATTGAAGGCTTCCATCACATACCTCCCCCTCTCTATCCACCATGCTCCCACCCAGCTCTTTGCTGCTTGTCGCCTCTCTGTTGGTGGGCGCGAACGCTGATGGGATCTACACCAAAAAGTCACCGGTGCTTCAACTGAACCAGAAGACTTATGGCTCGTTGATTGCCAACTCGAATTACACTTCAGTGAGATGAATCTCTTTTCTCATTGTTATTTTCCTTTTCTTTCCTTTCCTTGTATTTTCTCTTGACTGACTATATACTAATCACCCTTATTTTGTATAGATCGTCGAGTAAGCTCTCCCCGCATCCTCCAATCCTCCTCCAACTTCCTCCCCACTAACTCGAACACCCTCCTTCCCCAACAGATTTTACGCTCCCTGGTGTGGTCATTGTCAGAGCTTGAAACCGGCCTATGAGAAAGCTGCCACCAACCTAAACGGCTTGGCCAGAGTGGCCGCCGTCAACTGCGATGAGGATGAGAACAAACCCTTCTGCGGCCAGATGGGCGTGCAAGGATTCCCGACCCTGAAAATCGTCACCCCCGGCAAGAAACCCGGAAAGCCCAAAGTTGAGGACTATCAAGGCGCACGCACCGCCAAAGCTATTGTTGACACAGTCGTTGACCGAATCCCCAATCACGTCAAGCGTGCCACGGACAAGGACCTGGACAATTGGCTTGGCCAGAACGAGGAGCGACCCAAGGCTATTCTTTTCACAGAGAAGGGCACCACAAGTGCCTTGATTCGAGCCTTGGCTGTTGACTTCCTCGGCGCCATTGATGTTGCCCAGGTGCGCAGCAAGGAAGCCGCCTCTGTAAAGAAGTATGGCGTGTCAGAATTCCCCGCGCTGGTCGTGGTTCCCGGTAGCGATGTGGAAGCCCAGCTGTATGAGGGCGAACTTAAGAAGCAGCCCATCCTAGAATTCCTTGGTCAATTCGCTTCGCCGAACCCAGACGCCACCGGCAAAGCCGCCTCTGCCTCTACAGACAAGTCCAAGTCCAAGTCCAAGTCCAAGCCCAAGGCCAAGCAGCCGCCAAAGCAGCCAGAGACTGAAGATGACGCACCGTCGGACGAAAGTGAAGAGCCCGTGGCCAAACCCGTTCAGGAGCCGGAATCAATTCCTCCCCTCTCAACACTCGCTACTGCCGAATCTCTCGAGTCATCCTGCCTAGCCCCGAAATCGTCTACCTGTGTTCTTGTTCTTCTCCCAGAGACAAGTGAGGCAGATGCCGAGCTCCCCTCCGCTGCCACCGATGCTCTGTCCAGCCTGGCAGAGATCGAACACAAGCATTCCTTGCGTGGTGCCCGCCTCTTCCCCGCTTACTCGGTGCCGGGCGTCAACACTGGATCCCAAGCGCTGCGCACCGCATTGGGCCTGGAGGATAACAAGAACGTGGAGATTATCGCCATCAACGCCCGCCGTGGATGGTGGCGCCGGTATGGCAATGCCGAGGACTTCGGCATCGCCGCCGTTGAGAGCTGGGTTGATGCTATCCGCCTCGGTGAAGGTACGAAGGAGAAGCTACCTGAGGGTATCGTTCGTGACGACGAGGCCGAAGCTCAGGAAAAGAAAGCAGAGGCCGACGCGGAACATGATGAGCTGTAAAGGAATCATCAAATAGTGCAGAGCAGTAAATCTGTGTGTTGCTTTATGAACATGAATAGCCCCGTTGCATTCTAGCTGAATCTAAAATGTTTCAATCTACATTGGATCCGTCAAAGTGTAGAAAGCCATCAGGTCATTCATATATACAAGAGTGAAAGGCCCAACAACCAGCCTGAGTCAGAACAGGTGTGGATCTTCCACTCCCCGTAGAATACAATCAAGTGGAAAAAAGAAAATCACAGGAACACCGTGAGGAAATGCCAAAGAACGCCACCCCATACACACAAAATCAATCAATCCTCGGCGCATCTATTTTTTGCGGCCTTCAGTGCCCTTCTTGATCATCCTCTGTCTCTTGGAGTCGACCTCCTTGTCGAAGATATCCCGCGCGGTATCGCCCTTCTTGCGCTTCGAGGGCTTGGTCTTGATGCTAACCGTTGAAGCACCTCCGCCACGGATCTGCTTCTCGGCATCATCCCAGGTTGCAGCGCCGTTGTCAATTTCGTATCTGGAGACTAGGAATCAATTATGGTTCATTCGAGACTGATTTTGTAGTAGGCGGGAGAAAAGGGTTATTTACCTGTCCAACGGAAGGGAATCGATTAGAGCACGCTGCTTCTCACGCAGCTCCTCATTGACTTCCTCGCCACCTTCACGGAGCTCGTCGTCAAGGCTGGTCTCGAGGGGCTTGAAGCGGTCCTCCACGATGTCGTCGTCGTGAGCACCGTCAGCGGCCTGGGATGCTGAGATCTGTTGGGCGGGGATAGACTCCGCGACAGCGCCTTCGACCAGACCACGGAAGTGGGTAGAGACCTTGCGAACGATCTTCAAGAACATGGCGAGAAGTTGGGAAGAGGGCAGGTTCAGCTCCTTCTCAACATCGTCCAGACTCTTGTGCTGCAGACCAATGGCCAGTAGAATAGACTGCTGCACGCCAGAAAGGCTGACCTTGCCGGAAAGACGGTTGGCGAAGTAGTATTCAGAAATGAGCGGGATCATGTCCAGGATGACGTGGTAGTCAAGAAGGTTGTTGGCATAACTGTCCAGACGCTTCAGGTCGAAAGGAGAGAAAGTAGCGTCCAGGTCGGCCTTCTTAAGGAAGCGCTGCACGGCGGCGGCGTCCAACTTCGCGCCCGCATTGGCAGATTCGCAAATGCTGAGAGAGAGGACCGAGGGAAACTCGCGGAACTGATAGGAGAGAAGGGCCAGGAATCGACGGTGGAAGTCACGAGCGAATGCGCCCAGCCAAGCAGCATCGTTGGTACCGGCAGACAGAGTGCGCAGCATCACGCAGGAGTGCTCGCCAGTGAGCTCGTTGGGTGTTTGGCGCAGATAAACGGGGACGAAAGAGGAGCGTTTCCAGAATTTGTGGAGAGAGGGGGTGAGACCGTAGCTGACACCGATATAGTCAAGCTCGTCGGGGCGACGTTCGGTGAGCTTGCCAAACAGAGGAGGCATGGAGCGAATATCTCGGACCTGGACATTATCGTCCAAAAGGCTTGAGTTGGTGAGCTCAGAATCAGACACACGGACCATCTCTTCCTGGGGACGGCTCATATCTTCGTCCAGGCTGGTGAACTTGCCCTCGAAATAGTCAACAAGGAGCTCCATAGCGCGTGATCCGTAGCCCATTCCAGTATACTCAGGGTTGGTCGCAATGCGAACGACACGGGCACCTGAAAGACCAGCGAAATCCTCATCTTGGAATTGCTGGCTGACCAACCATGGAATCAAGTCACCACCAGCGCGTTGACCACGGCTCAGGCTGTTGAGAACACTCTGTTTGCTGATACGACCTTCCAGAGCAACTTGAATCACGCAGAGCGGCTCCGGAAGCTTCGTGGCCTCCTCGTCGATAGGCGGAACAAGTACATAGAGCTGGTGTGCAGGAGCATCGCTCATGAGTTGAAGATCGTTAGGGGTATTCTTGTAGTGACTAGCAACATAAAGGGCCATCATCTGTTGCAGGAACTTCTCCGAAACGGGATGGAAGGAAAAAAGGGTGTCACGGTTGACCTGAAGCAGCTGGCACTTCGATGGGTGTGGGCAGCCTTGCGTGTTCATGCGAGACTTGGGCAGGGTAGCATCAAGGCACAAGACCTTGTTCAGCCATTTCTCAACAGAATCACCGGGGGCATAACGAATCGGCTCTGCGAGTGTGATCTCTCTGAGTGACCGGCCACCAAGGCTCTGGTCTGTGCTCTTGGAGACCTTTCCGGTGCTGCGATCAGCAACATCAGTATCGTTGGCCTTGAGTCCACCCCGGGATTGTTCACGAAGCTGTTGAATCAGCTTCAGAGAAAGGGATCGACCAGTTCCTTCGTAACCGTTGATAGTGGACGCCATGAACACGAGGTAAGGGCCCATCAACTTCCGCACCAAGGGCAAGGGAATAGCAGCGGCCTCATCAATAACTAGAAGTTCCGCTTGACCCAAAACATGCGCATCTTGGGGCTGGATGTACTGAATGGTCTGACGGTGGTTGCGGTGAATGTTAACTCTAACAATGGCCTTGTTGAAGTCGGGATTGGTAGACTGCAGGATGGTGTAGTCAACGTGATCGAGGTAGCCGAGGGCATCGAAGCCCTTGAAAACAAATTCGAAAAGGGTCTTCAAGTTCTCAGGGCTGGGAGAGGTGATGAAGATATTGCTGTATCCGTGGGCGATGGCAGCGGCAATTGAAACACCCAGAGCAGCGGACTTTCCTCGTCCACGTCCAGCAGTAAGTGTCACTGTGCTCTTCAGGGTCTTCTCGGCAATTGCATCGACGAACGTCAGAAGTGCCTTGGCCTGGTCTGTAGTACGAGCCAGCTGAACGAGAGGTCCCACGGGCTGGGTCTCAGCCAGGCTCTCCTTCATATCCTTCAGCTCCTTCTTGGTACCCGAGCTCGAATCGTCCGTTGACTCGGGAGGGGGAGCGGCTTGACATTCTTTCCGCCGGAGATGGGCAACACGTTCAACTCGTCGTCGACAACCAAGCAGGAATCGCAGCTTCCGAGAGAAAGGATGAAGCGCTCGTTGAATCGAGCGACCACATCATCGTGTGCCTCGGTTCGGTATCGCGAGTGGATATCCATCGACATCGTGTACAATTGTTTCAAGCTGTTCATGCTCTTCAGCAGCAGCAAAACCATACCTCCTCCCTCGACAGTCTCAACGGTACGTGCCAAAAGGTTGGGGGTCATGGCTTCGAAATCCTGCAGAATACACATGCCGTAGGTGTTACCCAGGATTTTCTCGGTTTCCTTGTAGTAGACATAGCGAATATTATTGAGGGTGATGAACAGCTCAAACGGATCCTCCTGGTTTGGTTCCCGAATACCACGCTTGACCTGACTCTTGATCTTGGCCTCGCGCTTCTTGCGATGGCTAGTGAAGCCCAGCAGGTCCTTCTTGTAGGCCCACAGAACAGACTTGTTCTGCTTCACATCGACACTCGACATGATATAATGAAGGTTGACAATTACATCCTTGGCCCGATCACCAACCACCACGAAGAAGCTACGCTTCTTCTCCTGGATGCCATTCCGAATGAGGGCGGGGATGCGCGAGTCAATCGCTTTGCGCGGCATGATGAAGGTGCGGAGCTGACCGCGAGATAGATCGGGGCTTGACACTCGCTGTCGGTTCGGTAATCGCGGGAAATAAGAGCGAGATTGACTTGAGCAGGTCGGATCCTGCAAGTCTGTGGCTTCGCGGGGAATGACCACCAAAGTCGATTTGCTGGTAATTAAACAACAAAAAATTGGACCCGTTTGGATTGCTATAATTTTTTTTTCTGGTCTGGTCCGATTGGATACTGCAGTTCAGGACCGCCTTCTTCTTGTGTCAAATCCCGTCACCGCCTTTATGAGTCACCTGATCCATGGTCACCTGACTGTGTTCAAATGCACGTGACTGAAACTGAGACTTCCCATCACATGACAGCATGTAAATCACGTGACATGACATAAACATCGCCAACAAGGCATCCTCAATGATCCATCGATCCTTTCCCAATTGGTGAATACAGACCCAAGACCCTTATTTCACCTGGAAATCCCCACTTTCTTCCGAATCGCCTTAACGTATGACGCGTGCTCTTAAGCCAACATTTTCTTTTGGCCTAGATGCGATAGTCAACAATATCTCTACGAGTATTCGAGTTGAGTTCTATGAAACGTCGCCATCCATGTCGTGCGCCTCACAACCAGTCTGTGCACACACGATGTCAAGACAGGCCCCAAGTGGAGCCGCCTGGGGCAGGGGGCGGGAGCCAAGTTTCGATTGACCTGGTTCTGGATGCCGATCCACTTCGGCATATCTTTGCTGTTTAAGCGCATTCCCAGTGAAAAACAAGGAGTTGGCTCGCACGGTGCCAATTTGATGGGCTCCACCTGTTTCATTGGCTTGTACACAGTACGAGTAAATCTGTGAAGCCCACATCGTACTCGTGGGGAGTGCTCTCGGCAGCATGAATTTGCTCCTCATTATTAACGCTAACTATATTAGTGGTGGTTTAGTGTATGGTACAACATCCTGTACTGTTAAGGCCGGCGCGCAGGGCCCGTGGTTACGTGCTTCCAAGGAAAATTAAACGCCCCAGTTGACGCAACTTGATCGCCAAGGAGCCACCATGATGCCGCTCCTGATTAGCTGCCCGGCCAATGGCCTTCGCCCATCAAAACCTGGCTGGGCCACGCAGATAATGCCAATCCCCTGGGGTTTCCACCGGCCCTGTCCCTTGAATCCTGTCCGGAATTCTCTCCCTGTGCTCTTCGCACGTTTCGCTGAATACTATCCCGCACTCATAGTCGGATGCCAACTGCGAATCGTGGCGCAATGGGCTGCGAGTCGATACTGAACCGGTAAATCCTCGGCGCAATGGTTCCATTCTCTGCGGAAACTGGACTCAAGGTCTGTGTGGGGTAAGTGAGCTTCCAGCGATGGCATTACATGTCGAACGTCAGCGAGAGTTGAACTGCTGAACTGACAATTTCCGATTATCTAGGGTGTTTATTATAAGCTCCTTCTTTCTGACTACCTCCTACAACTCCACCTTCGCTTTTGGTGAGCCCTTGCCCTTGCTCTTGGGGAAGTGACACAGGCTAACATCTCAGACCGTCCGGTGAGTACTGCCGTACTGGCGTGCTTCATAACCGGTGCAGTCTTTTTGGCCCTAGGCCGTTTCCTCCCGGCGACGCCACGGATATCTTCTACCAGTAAGCGGTTCGGCATTCCGCTCGCTGAACAGTTCGAACTCTCGTCGCGCAGCTCGCTATCTTCCCCATCGAGCCCCATCTTAGGAGGTCCAGAGGAGCCCGCGCCGTCCCCATATCGATACTGGTGCAACCTTGGCCTTTTAGTAGCCGCATGCTCTTTGAGGATTGAGACATTTCGTCAAGTCTCTTTTAATACCGAATGCGCTCCAGCAGGATATGGTGTAAGTTCAAAGAGGGCTGTCGCGACTTTGTCACAGATGTCTAATTGTCTATCAATATATAGTACACCGTTCCCTTCATAATATCTTTGTACGACTACTGGCGACATCAACGAACACAGTCGAAAAATGAATATGTTTCGTCTCGGCCCTCCAAGAGCCGACCTATCCAAGCCGTCTATTCCACTTTCAGAGGGGGGGTTCTATTACCTGACACAGAGCGGATACAGAGGAGTTCTGGCTGCAACGTTCCTTTCTTTGAGTGGCTATTCCGCTGCGTCGTTTTACGCCGGCGGTCAATCCACCTACGTTTGCCCTATCATTCTTCACGGCGCTGTGCGATTACGGGGCTTCAAACTCCTGAATGTTTTCCTGGACTCTCTTTTAATCATTGGGGTTGCTGAGCTATGCCAGAACAATCACGGGTTTGAGGGTAACAGACGAAAAAGAGCCATTCTCTCTTTAGGAGCAGGCCTTATCGTAAGTTGATGATTCGTTCAAAAGCATAGAGTTGCATAGTCTAATAGATAACCCTTAGGGCGTTTCTTTGCTTTGGGCCATTATTGGATGTTTTATTTCCAACAGCCGTCCCGAGTTTCTTGGTCAGCCTTTGCTAGACCCGAGATATGCACGGAGCGCTTTGAGCCAAGCGACGCTGGCAATGCTCTTAGTTGTGTCAGCCTGGCAATTGGTAAGTGTTCTCTGTTGGTTTAAAAATGCCTCAATACTAATTTGATAGTTACCCCAACTTGGAGTGTTAGGATTGTCAATCCTAGGAGGCTTCGTTTTCATCTACTTCTCGGCAACTTCAATACTACTGGTGGAGCAAATGCCGCTCCCCTATATCTCTACAGCCCATACTGTATTTCCATTGATTGGGTCTTCGATCGCAGCAGTGCTATTTCTTCTCTCCCGCATCATTTCAGAAGAAGAGTCCAAAGCACTATTCCGCACAAACGTTTTACTGCAAGCCTTCGTCGTTCTTCTCTGTCTTTTTGGCTTGTGTGCCGCCTCGGCCAAGCACCACCTTTCTCACACACACCCGATCGATCTTTTAATACACGAAGCAAACATTCAGTATGAAGATTATCTAGCTGGGGCCGGCGCCAGTCAGACCCTGCAAGATGCTGTCTTGGAGTATCGAAAGCGTTACCAAAGGCAGCCACCTCCGTGAGTATTCATCACATATTTTCATGATCTGACATTCCGAATAAAGACTTACATTTGTCTAGGGGGGTTTGATAAATGGTACGAATATGCGACCAACCGATCTTCATTAGTTATCGATGAGTTTGATCAAATCTACAGGAATCTACTTCCATTCCGTGCTCTCAGCCCGGCATCTATTCGAGAAGCGACACATAAGCTGGCGACGAATCCGTTCAATGACCTTGGAGCAATCAGAATTCGAAATGGGAAGCCCGAGTTACAAGAAGGCATTAAGCCAACCCATGCATGGATGGTAAAAGGAGCCGCAGAGATGATGGAAAACTTTTCAGAGCATCTACCTGATATGGATATTGTCTTCAACTTAAATGATGAGCCACGAGTGGCAATACCGTGGGAAAGGGCCTTGACCTTGAAGCGTGAAGCGAAATCACAAGAATCCATTCCCGTGGAGAGACTTGTGGATACATGGTCTTCAAATCGACAATCCGGCTGGGATCCAGTTGACCCAATCGATCAAACGAACCAGACTGTTTTCACGGATGGTGCATGGAATGGTATATTCGATCGTTATGTGAGCGCCGTTTGTCCGCCCTCCTCAAAGTCCCGTACCCAGCGTATCTGGAACCGACATGACATCTGCCTCGACTGTGTGTCGCCGCATTCCATGGGTCAATTTCCTGTTGACTTCAATCTGGCATCGGACTTTTGCCATCAACCAGACCTAGCATACCTTCATGGGCTTCTGATATCCCCCGCTTCATTCAAGGTGTCCCAGGAATTGATACCAGTTTTCAGCCAAAGTGCTCTTTCTGGATTCAACGACATCCTCTTCCCTAGCCCCTGGAACTATATGGACAAGGTGAAATATGACCCGTCGGAAGAGTATCCAGACCCGGAGTATGAAAGAAAGATCAATTCTTTATACTGGGTGGGCAGCACATCTGAAGGCTACAGTCGATTTGATCAGTGGAAAGGAATTCCAAGGCAACGCTTCGCCCATCTGATCAACAACAATACCGATAACCAAGTATCCGTTCTCCTTCCCGTCGACGGGCGGTCCTACAAATACGAAATAATGAACGGGGCTGCACCGATTGATGAGTTGCACTTCGAAACGAATGTCCACATCGCCGGCCCCATAACCCGTTGCGGAGACTGCGATACTCAGCGCGACGAACTGGGAACGGTCTCCTGGGTCGATTTCCAAAATCACTGGTCTAGCCGATACCTATTCGATCTCGACGGTGCTGGATTCAGCGGCCGTTTCTTGCCTTTCTTGCAGAGTCGCAGCCTACCATTCCGCACCGGGCTCTTCCGACAGTGGTTTGACTCGCGTGTGATTTCATGGCTACATTTTGTACCTGTCGACATCCGTCTCCATGGTCTTTGGAGTACGCTAGCGTATTTCTCCGGTGTTCCTGGGACGACGATCAATGGACAAGATCCTAACAAGGCACCTCCGATGCGGATGGACGCCCATACAAGACAGGGGAAATGGATTGCCGACCAGGGACGTAAATGGACCGATGTCGCCTTACGCAAGGAAGATATGGAGATCTACTTCTTCAGGCTTTTGCTGGAATGGGGGCGTCTCACAGATGACCAAAGGGATGTGCTGGGGTATAAGCCGCCAGCTTGAATGTGATGAATATGATTTTTTTAAGCGCTGGGCGTGTATTTTGAAATCATTAATAGTACATATGTGATGATCTCAACGATCTCTGTCTTCTTTCAGCCACGTAGAGATCTAGGGTTACGTAGAATTTCTCCGACATGACGACAGCCCTGGAGCCCTTCAATGACATGCCTCAAACGATCTCACTTACTGGATAAAATAATTGAGAGAAATTGCCATTCATCATCATGTAATCGGTTATCGAGCCACTCTCATGATGCCGTACGAGTACCCTAGGGTAGCTATTATCTACTACTGGTAGCTATTATCTACTACTGGTAGCAGATACAAGGCTGCGCCACATGACTATCATTCCACAGTTCGCACATAACCAGCCCTGGGGGTTTCGATCAGCAAAATGAGCTAGCCGCGAAACAAGTGCCAATTCCCCAACGATAAACCAGAAACCCTTGGAAATCAATGGCCATACTAAAACCGTTAGAAAAACCTCGAAGCGGGTCCATATACTTCGGCCGTTTGGTAAATCCGTTCACCGAGCCCACCAACGATGATCGACATCCATCCACAATTCTACAAATTTATCACAAACAAAATTACTATCAAGTTTTAAACACGCCTCAATGGATATAACAAGAATACAAAATCAACTCAGCCCCACACCAATGAGATTCCCAGACTGCTGCCTCGGCCTATCCAGCACCCTCATCTCAACTCTATCCGGACTCCTCCCCCAAACCCCCAAATTCACACTCTCAATCGGCAGCGGGTCGGGACTACTGGAGTCTCTTCTCACGCATAGCAATGCCAACATCACCGTGCAGGGTGTGGAGGTAAACTCGTCCGTCAACCGGTACATCGCAGAGGAAGATATGCATGTCGTTGGTGGGGGGTGGGGTCTTTGTCCTGACGCCGAACGGGCTGCGGCCTGGATGTTTGTGTATCCGCGAGATCCGAAACTTATCACAAAGTACCTTGATAGTAATCTTGGTCGTGGAAGTGTTGAGATGATTTTGTGGTTGGGGCCGAGGGTCGATTGGGTGGATTATGAAGATCGATTTCGGCAATCTTCGTTTTCGGAAATGACTTTCTTGCCAGAAGACTGTGGATTAACACCATATGAGATTGTTGTTGTTGCTAGAAAGTTATGATGTTTTAGGCGCCGGTGGTTGGGAGAGGTCTTCTTTCGACTTAATTTCTGTTCCATTCTTGGGTTTGGAAGATGGCCTTCGCCTTGTCTATTGTTGAAACTTTATACCAGAGACGCTACTCGGAGTGATTTAATGTATATATGCATTGAGATGCAAATCTCAGTTCAAATGTTTCCAAGGTTATATAAACGAAAGGTTAAGAAGGGGTATTTAAAAAGAATCAGCATCAATCGCCCAATTCATCGTCAAAAATCGTCAAGAAAAAAAAATTGCAGGTCGCCCCATGCCAGTGGAAAACAAGAGACAGACCGCAGATGCAGAACAAGTCAGGTTCTAGCAGAAGAAGAGAAAAATAGTTCAGAAAATGTCCAGCAAACAAAATGAGATCTCGGATCTCGATCAAGAAGTGAAGAAAACAGTCTATGTCCAGCAAGTCCATTGTGATGTCATATCAAAAGCGCTTCGTTATTCCTCCCAAGTAGTGGGGCGCTTACTGACCGTGGCCGTGGCCGTGCTTGTAGCGGTCGCGGCGATGCTTCCTTGTCGGACGGGGCGCGGGACGAACGTCTGACGGGTCGCGTCGGGCATTGGGGTCAGAGATGGGCTCGTTGGCGCCTCGGCGAACGTGGGCAGCTGCGTGGTGGTGAATGTCGCGCTTGGAGGAGCTGCTGCCGTCTTGGTAGACCTTGAGAGAGTTGATGCCCCAGTAGGTCTCGTCGAATGCGGAAGGGTTGTTTTGCACGTAAGATATGCAGCTGTCAGCCTTAGATGCGCAGGTGCCAGAGGACCAAGTATCGCCAGCCCAGTCACCACAGAAGGTAATGTCGAAGACCTGATAGATCTGCATTAACAAAAGGTTATCGTAGATGAGAGGATGAGAACATACAATCTGAAGGTTGTTGAAGTGGGAGTCGATGTCACAGTTGCCAGCGAACTTGGCCGAAGGGGTACCCCAGCCAGATGGGTCAGGGCTACCGCTGGAGATATCGGAGGGAACACTCGACTTAGGGAATATCCAGACACTGATCGCATCGCCGGTCCACTCAGTGGCGTAAACACCGCCGCCTTGGTTGTTGAATCCGTCTCCATAGTCGCTAGTGCTGGAGCTAGTGATGGCACAGCCAGCATTTTCAGACTGCTCGGTGGCCTTGACGTTGCAGTCGCTGGTCTGGACGGAACCACTGAAACCGGAGTTATCGATCGAGCAGCCATCGCTGGTATGCAAAGTCATCTGGTTGACCGACTGGTCATTGACACCCTCGATTATGTCAATCTCGCCGTTACTAGGCCAGTCGGAGCCGAGCATCCAACTTGAAGAACAAAAAGGTTAGTCGATTGACTCGAGGTATTCGTGCTATTGCTCATCGACTTACAAAGCGGGCCAAGTGCCACAAACGCTGCCGGGCATATGGTTCAGATCCAAAATCACCAGACCATGAGAATAGGTGTTGGTGCTTTCCAAACGCACGCTCGATCGGCCAGGGGTGCTGGCGGTGTTGACGGTATCAACACCAACATAAACGGAATTGCCGGACTTGATGAGACCGCCGCTGCTAGCAGTTGATCGGTCGACGTAGCTCACGTAGCCATTAGTTGGGTCCGAGTCCTACAAAAGGGCTCAGTCAGTATATGAATATAAATATCGACCGTATTTAGATCCCAACTACAGCCGCACATACCGTGAAGAAGTTGAATTTGTCAAAGAACGAGTCAGAGGTGCCATAGTCGTCTTTCAATGTATAGGCCGCCGCGCTGAGCTGGGCAAAAAGTCCCAGGCTAGGAACGAGGGTACTGAGGAGTTGCATGGTTCCGGGGTGATGTATGCAAAAGACAAAGAGTCAAGAGAGAATGATAGGACGCAATCTATCAAAGACGCAGTCCAATATTTGTAAATTGTCGAAGACTTGAAACTACCCACAGGGTAATAAAAGGAAGGGTACGGAATATACAGTCCAAAGAGAATGGGAAAGTATAGACCTAAAGAAAGGAATGTAAATCGAAAAAGACGGAACAAAAAACCCCGGAAGAACAAAGGAAGGACTAGACACTGTTAGAAATGAGAGAGGTTGAGGTCTCAAAAGAAAGGTGAGACAAACGGACTTCTTATACAGGGAGGGCTGACAAAATGGCCGAAAGTGAAAGAACCCACCGCGTGGCGGCCCTGGTCAGGGCCCTGACTCTGCACCCACCCGACCCGATCTTGAGACCCCAGTGGGACATGCATGACAGGGCCCATGTGAGAGATGCGAAACGCGGAGCACTCTTCCTACGGCGGCAGGAGGGTTGATCCCTGACCGAACGGCGGGTCTCGAGTCTTTGAAACGCAAGGTCCTAGAGGATGAGACCTTATCCACTTCCAGCCATTGCCCCTCCATACAAGCCAAGAGGTTGACAGCCACCACCTCCATTCCAATGGAACCTTTCAGGAGGTGGAACACGGAACCACACCGTCGATATCTGGGCCGTAAATTGGTCCAGACCGTTGCCGATTATTCGACCGGCTGGGATGGGTTGGAGGGAAGGGGAGCGGATCATCTGCGCGGACTACGCGGACAGCGGTGGTCGACGACGACACATACCGCGTTATGCATCAGATGAGGCGGAAAGCGACAAGCAATTGCTCAAAGAAGAAGGGAGGGGGTGGAGATAGTAGCGCCCTCCCCAAGGTGATAGTATGTATGCATCTCTTTCACAGCGCTAGTGCATCCTATTGGGCGGGGGTGATATGATCTGCCGCCTTCTTTTCCAGCGATAGGGTCCACTTTGGAGGAGTTGGAGGGGGTGGGCATGTGGATTCATCAAGCGCCTTAAGGTTTGCACTTGTTCGGCTGGGTGTTTCGGAACCAAAGGACGATCCCCGCGTCGCGGCTGATGACTCGCCCAGCGCTGCAGGACGGAAAAGAAAGCCCTGCTGCCGAGTCGGCTGCGCGGTGTCACTGGTTGTACTCAGCCGGAGGTGGCAAGGATGATCGACGAATAGGCATACGCCGTCGCGATATCGGGAATAAGCTTTTGATTTTTTTCTTTCATCCTTCCAATCGTCACCGGTACCAAGGGAATGATGACTGACGGTATTTGTTCGGCAGATGGAGAGATCAGAGAGAAGAAATGCATAAAGGAGGCAGATGGAACTGGAAGGTGGAAGTGGAAGGGGGGTTTTCTTTTGAGTGGCGAAGGGAGTATGCAGTCAGGGTACTCTGCAGTATACACTGCTTGCCATAGTGCAGAGAAGTACATCCACGCACTTCCGCGTCAGCCCTGGTCCTCTTAATCCACGGTCGCAATCTCGATCCATCTGAGCACGGCATCTGTACTCTACACGATCCTCGACATACTACGTTAGGACAATGCCACGGAAGATCGCCCTGATATCTTCAATGCGACCCACATGGATTCACAGATGTCACAGATACATCACCTCGGGCTTCATTTACTCTGACAGGGCGTTCCTGGGGAAAGCCAAGCCCTTGTAATATGCAAGCCACTGGAACTATGGAACTACGGAGCATACGGAGTATATACGGAGTATATGGAACTGAAATGTCCGAGTACGAAGTACAGGCCAGCGACATGGATCGCGGAAGCCACGGGTAGATCTAACTCGGAAAGTCTCTAGTATGAACTACCTCACACGGAGCAAATGCCAAATACGCTCAATGATATTGCAGGGGCATTAAAAAAGAAATGAAAAAAGAGACTATATGACAGATCCCGCTCATGCTCTTCAGGGGGGCCATCTGTAAGGTCCTCCAACCAGATCACATAGGATGGAAAAGGTGGACAATCGTGATAAGGGGAGAGGGGGAAAAGCGGGACGTAGAAAGTGTCGCTACCAGTAGAAATCTATTTACAAGCCGGGCAAAATAGCTCAGTGAAAGGCCAGTCGGCATTCTCGCGCTGAAATGCTGCAGGCTGCTCAGTGGGTCGTCCCGGAGTTCGAATTGCGTCTAGAACACACTGCCGATGATAAAGATGACGGCAGGAGAAAACTACCACCGGTTCAAGGGGGATCTTCTCGAGGGGTCCAGACACGCTGCCCCCTGGCCCATCTTCTTCATCGAGAGCATCGTGCTCGTGCTCAGCAGAACTAACTCCCGTGGGTTTGGAGGTCAGCAGATGTGACGGCGGAATTGCACCGACGGCAGCAGCCTTGCCCTTCCCCCTTTCAAGCGCCGGATCGTAACCCTCTTCAAGACGCTTGGCGATGCGACGCTCTCGGTCATCGTTCTGCTTCTTCTCCCATGCGGCCCAGTGCGGGGAGCCAATACTTGGTCCCCAGATTCGTCGGTGGCATACTTCACAGACCTGTCCACGGGGGCGCCAGCCATGCTGCCGCAGTCGACTGACTTCGTCCACATGAACAAAGAGATCGCGATCAAGCATACCGTTGGCAAGGGTCAGAAGTGACCTCTCGTAGGAGTAGGCAGAGAAGACGGAAGCGAGGACGGCCCGCAGCTCAAGTAACGAGGGTGACCAACTGGCAGCCCGGGTCAGGAACGACCGCAGGATACGCAGGAACGACAAGTCGGTGCGTTCACTCATTGATAGCCCGCCACCTTTAACGGTGCTATTCAACAAAGCAGTGAAGACTTGTTGAACCAGGGATCGGAAAGATGTCGTTAATCGCCCAGTCTCGCCACTCAGAAGTTCGCCAGTCTGGGCTTGCGCGGCATTATTAATCTGGTGGCCCCGCATAAGTGCGAAGACACTGCTTGCGGTGCGAACCACGGCCTCGATGAGGTCCAGCCAAAGGCTCTCATCAAATGCCAGAGGCTGTTCAATCGGAGATGTACCACGATGCCCATTCGTATTAGGCCGGGTTTGCTTGGCTGTCTTGGTCTGGCCCTGGCAAAGCCAAGTTCCGACTCCAGAATATTTGTCCAAAGATTCCAAGAGATCGTCAATTGCCTCGGTCGTGCTAGCCGTGTCTGGGGCTTCTCGAACACTTTGAATGATGCCTACCAAGGCTGATTCTAGCGTACCCAAGTGCGCAATAAGACGGTCCAGGGCAGGCCGCACTTGACCTTGTCGCGCAAGCAGAATGACCGCTGCATCAATCGCTCCACTTTCTTCGATAGAGGGAAGCAGCTTCTCTAGATGAATATCGCCAACCCGTAGGCCATCGACAAATTGAGCCACATGAGGTGGATTGAATCTGCAAAGCAGCTGTACATAGCGTTCAATCATCCAATTTTCCACCGAGGGACAGGGCCGACTGTCTCCACTTTGACTCTGAGGTTCCACGAGGACCAGGAGATACTGGTATTGTTTGTAGACATCCTCGTCTAGCACCTGGAGAAACGTTGTGTGGGTTTCAGGTGCTAATTCTTGCATTGTCTGAGCAGCCTGGTTCACATCGATGGCGGCGATTTGCTGGGCATGCTCTTTCACCACATCTACCACATCCCTTCTCTGTTTCTTTCCCAGGCTTGATCCCGAGCGAAGACAGTCATGTAAAGCAGTGAAGATAGATTCCTTGCCATTCGGATCATCCAGATACGTCAGGATCCATTGCGGGTATTGTTTCTCAGAGCGATATGTCGATTTGAGAATTCTGAAAAACTGAGCTTCCTTGAACAAAGGTACCATACTTTGGATATCCGGTGGGTGATAGAAAGACAGCAAGTATTCCACGCTTAGCTCACAATCATCTGCCATGTCTTCTTCCGGATACCGGCATAGCCGGACAAGAACTTGGTGGAGAGTTGTTCCTGAAAGAAGGATATACTGAGGGTATTTGGGGAGATTGCGTGCAACAAACATATCCAGGTAAATGGTTTCAGTAGGTGAAAATGAGGACCCCTCCATCACTTGAAGCAAAATGCTAATCAGATACTGTCGATTTATCGATGCACCTGGGGTTGGACCGTCTTCTGAATCAGGCTCGTTCAGAAAGCTATCCTCAAAGGCCTCGTTCAGCATACTCATGAAGCTAGACGCATCGAATTTGAGAACTGCTCGGAGAGGCGAGAATGAATCGGTGTCGTCGGAAGTCATGCCAGATCCTGGGCCAGACAGATGGCCCGAAAAGAGGTATTGATACAAAGCGAGTTTGGCCCGCGACGCCTCGACCTCGTCTAGACGATCGCCAGTGGGATAAATGCGCCCGGTGAGAACGAACGATAGATAGGGAAATATTTTCATCGCGTTTGTGTGCTTTAACATTTCCGTCGTAAAGTCTCCATTGGCCAAAGGTTCGGTCTGGGTAGGAATAAGTTGTATAAGGTCCTCCAGGGGGCCCACATAGTCCGCTAGGCAGCGGTTCCAAACGTAAACATATGCATCATACAGATTATGTTGCTTACATAGCGTCGTCACTTGATCAATGTCCATGGTTGTAGTATCCAGAAGACAGATGATCTCTTCTAGTCGGCCAGCAGGATGAGTCTGAATAAAATGGTTGATGAGGGCTTTGACTGCCGTAGGAGGAAGCGAGCGAATGGTCCCATTGACGATACGGGGCTCAAGAACGTCCAAGAAAATCCCCGCAGATTCATTTTCTTCATACCAAAGAAACACTTCCTCCCACATGAATTCTTCATTCGCCATGCAAATACAGGCAGCAATCGACACTTCGGCGAGTTCCTCGAGTTGTGGACTCCCAACCCGCCCGTTGTCCGCCTCGGTATTGCGACCGAAAGCGTACTTGAGAGATGCAGAGATCATTTCCAACAGTTTCTCCTGAACAATCGGTTGTCTCAGATTATCCTCTTCGGGAAGACCAACCGTAAGCTTTTCTGCGGTGCCTGTGTAATAAGAAGTCGCCAATCGGATGGCACCGATGAAGTCACCACCCTCCATCAGAGCCAGGAGTCTATCTGCCCAGTTTGATAGATTGCCAACGAGAGCTTCATTGTATCCAAGCAAAAACAAGCGCCCCTTGTAGGCACGGAAGCTCATGTAGAATGCATCAGCCACCACACCGTGCATTGACGTATCTTCTTCATCGAGTTGTTCCACCAGATTATGAAGCTGTGACGAGAAGAGATCCACATGATAAATATGTCGATATGCAAGATCGATAGAATCTGTCACGTGCATTGAATAGTCCTCGAGAATCAGGAGGCGTTGAGTTATTGTAAGAACGGCTAGCACGGAACGGCTCAACCATTGAACAGCGACAATGGCCTCGTCCGCTTTCCACCTACTACGTGCTTGGAAAACCAGGCTAGGCGGCCTGTCTTTGTCAACGGGTTCATCAGACTCTGCTTCTGAGACTTCGAGCACCGTCAAGACATTCGACCAGCAGTAGACCAGTTTGGTATTTGATGTCTGGCTATCTTTCCCTTTCAACCGAATAGCCGGGAACCAAGCCAATGCCCCAGTCATAGCACTGTGAGCCGGGACCTCTTTTGGTCGAGGTGCTTTGTGTTGTGTCTGAGCAACCGGAGTGGTAGAAACGATGACCAGGAGATAAGGCGTCAACATGGCGACGAGTCCTAATGGGTCTGAAGGCTGCTCAACATTGCCGAGGGGAAGGGGAGAGAACGCCAGGACTGAGCTGGGCTTTCGGCGACGCTCTTCCGGTGCCATCTGTGGATACCGACCAAGGATCCTCGTTGATTTCATGGAGCGCCCAACTGCGCCCATGCCTCGCGTTGCCAGATGCGAAAAGGCCATTCCTCTTGTATCGGCTGAGACAATGGCAGTACGCCTAGTGCCAAGGAACCCGATATGAATGACAGACGCGCCCGCAATGTGGCCATCAGAGACCCGGGCTTCTATTTGGCTCGCTGGAATTGGTGGTATATGGAGAAAAGGTTTTGCGGACCGCGATATTTCCCAGGTGAATATATCCCCCGACTCATGACCTCCAGCCACAGTAGAATGATCCGCAGACAATGCCAATGCTGTTATTTGGCCGCATTCCAGAGCTGGTATATGGTTAACAGCCTGAAAGAAGAACGATGAGGGAAAGCGCTCGACAAACCTTTGGTTCCGGTTCCAATGATGTGCTTCAAGCTTTGTTGGTAGTCAAAGACTAGAATAATTCCCTTGGAAGTACCGACCACGATGCTGGTTGAAACCGCCAAACAGGTTGGCCGGCCGAAGTTGCGTTTTCCGATCTCCGAAAAGGCCTGACCGGTGATCTTGCGCAGCTTTGTCCACCGGACCACATCCCAGGGACTCTGAGGTGTGTCATTGTCGGATTCAGGGGTGGGTGAGACCTGGCTAGTGATAGAGGACTGTCTGGAATGGAGGTGTACGAGGAAAGGCGAGCCGGTTCTTGATGCGGCGAGCGGTGATGAGGAGAGACGGGATTGAAAGCGGAGATCGAACGGACGATGCGCTGGACTCGGACTAGGACTCAATCGTGAAGAACCTCTTAGAGCCAGAGCGCTGCTACTTTGAGAGGAGATAATGGAGCCCTGTCGCCAATTAGTAGGCTATTATCATTTACGCATGGGCCAATCGCGGCACTTACATGTAGGGACGGCGAGTCATCCGGAGTAGAGGATGTTCCATCCATGCTTCCTGAAGCCCCCGGAAACTCTGTGTATCGATTGGGTGGGGTTTGTGGAAGCCCAGCATCTCCGGGCTGTGCCGTCCTCTCCGATGCTTGGTCTTGCGCATTGTCTATCGTGTCCAATTCGCCCAGCTCCGCCAATTCCTCCAAGTCGTGCTCGACCGACTCCTGCGGGGAAGGCCCAGGGAGATCGGTAGCGCCATAATCGAGTAGTTGAGAGTCGTCAGCGTCCGGGCCTAGGTCAAGCTCATCCTCATCCTCTCGTACCCAGCCTTCACTGCCCTCAGCCATCGAGCTCATGAAGAAGGTCGTCGAATGATCATTGCTGGCGCCGCGTCAGGGGAAAAGCGTGGACAAGCCAGCGAGGTAATGTGGGATGTGAAATAGCGCGGTCGCAAAGGATAGAATCTGGGGGGGGTTGATCGGAGGTTCCAGTGTGGGATGAGAACGGGGTCGTGCGGCTCGGAGGTGGTAAACATGTGGAGTCGGAGTACTGAGCACCTTCTGCCTGGAATTGGCGGCGCTTGGCGCTGCCCAGGAAGGAGCTCCCCAGTTGGCCTGGAATGGATCGGCCCGAGCTCAGCCACTGTGGCTGTTGGCATATTGATACTCTCTCCTCCCTCCACCTGATTCATTTTTACAATGATAGTGAGTCAACCCCTGCATTTTAACTTACTGACTTATTCTAACTACTTAGAATACTTACATTTCTGACGTGATTCTCTTCAAATTGCCGCTTGCACCACGTCCATATCTCCACTGGCAGTATATAGATCACTTGTTCCATACTCAATTCTCTGAACGCCAGCAACATGGGTTATTTCAAGTTCCACCCCAAAGGCAAAAAAGGCAAGAAAATATACAGTCAAAAAGGGGCAGATCTCTTCTATACTACACCCGCCTGTCGCCAATCACCAATGAATCCTCCTGGATGCCTCCAAACCCTTCCATCATTGGCCGGCTGTCCTGACCCCTATGCGACCACGAAGCCGCCGTCATGCACCTGCATGGCTGGCTCCGATCGGCCTTTGAAATAGGATTTGTGGCGTCTCAAGGCACTCCCCGAAGCAGGACCTATGCCGCTTTCTGCGCGTATTGTTTACCTTTCTTATCCTTGTCCTCTAATGTGCGGGGCTTGCCGTTACATCGAGTCACAAGGGGATGCGGGATGCTGGATCCTATTTGTGCCTTCTAACTCCACCAAGCGATACTCGGCGCTAGATATCACTCTGGCCGGCACGATCATGAGGTCTTGTTCTAAATTAGTTGTCTATTTTCCCTTTGGGCTAGGGATCGCCGGCATGTGGAATGCTGGGGAGCTGGTCACCTCCCAGTTCGCAACCCGTGGTTACTACGCATATGAATCAGTCACAACCCCATTCTGCTGCACCAGGACAGTAGTCACGGCAGAGGAGAAGATCTGGTGATTCGGAATATTTCTTCGAAGCCCAAATATCTACTCCGGTTCCGCTTCGGTTTCCGACCTGGGGCCATCCCTTGTCAACAGCACAAAGCATAGTCAATACCCAGTCAAAATGAGCCCAGCCCCTATGGCGCTGGTCAGAATCTTATTCGGGACTCTTTTACTCGCTCCAACCAGCTGGGGAGCCCCGGAGGTGGGCAACTTACGCGCCAGAGATTCTGCCGACGCAACGGCTTCGACCTGCAACGGCCGCGCAGAGTATTGCGACCGTTCTTACTCAAATGTCACATTCGTGGGCTCGCACGACTCTGCCTTTGTTGGAAAACTTCCCCAGCAGAATCAGAATATCGATGTCAAAGCGCAGCTCGACATGGGTGTGCGGTTCCTGCAGGCACAGACGCACCATTCCATCCTGGATGACAAAGTCCTAGAGTTATGCCATACTTCGTGTTTCCTCGAAGATGCAGGAACACTAGAGTCATTTCTGGGTACTGTCAAGGACTGGCTCGATTCAAACGCAAACGAAGTCGTCACCCTCCTCCTCACGAACGGGGACTCGGTAGATATCTCCGAGTTTGGAGATACGTTTTCCAGCAGTGGAATTACCGACTACGCATTTGTTCCGTCTTCAAATCCAGATACATTGGGTATTGATAAATGGCCTACAATTGGAGAGCTGATATCAAGTGGAAAGAGATTAGTTGTTTTTCTAGGTAAGCCCCCGAATAAAACCACCAAGCAGCCAAGCAATGTCTTCACTCACCTACTTGAATGTATTCTGATGACACAATCCCATAGATTACGGTGCCGATGTGAAGAAGGTGGATTACATCCTTGACGAGTTCGCCTATTACTTCGAAACAGCCTACGACGTTACCGACTCGTCCTTCTCAAGCTGTGCCATCGACCGACCCTCCGGTGCCTCTGCATCAGGCCGCATGTATATCGTGAATCACTTTTTAGACGTGGACATCTTCGGCGTGAAGATTCCGGATCGCCAGCATGCGGGAGAAACCAACGCGGCCACGGGCGATGGTAGTATCGGAGCGCAGGCTAGTTTATGCGAAGGGCTGTATGATCGCGCGCCAAACGCAATCTTACTAGACTTTGTGGATAAGGGGGATGCGATCAATGCGCAGAATGATTTAAACGGCTTTTGAGTATACAGTGATTGGCTTGTCATTGCTATGTGTTATTGCAAATATTATACTAGTATCATTGTTTATCAACTTCCACAGTTGATTAACTCGAATTCAATCATTTATACCTAGGTATCCATGGATGTAATGACATTTCTGAGGACAATGGAGTGATATCCATGAGAGTATCAAAAACGCCTTATGCATATGCAAACTTTGAATGAAATCCTATCATGCACCCAACCAAATACCAAGTTCTCCTTAGTCCATAGCTCATTCCTCTAATTCAACTTGCATTTCCCGATCTAGAGAGAGAGAGGAAGATTAGCAAGCCATTATCTTCACGACGATGATTTGAAATACCCCATAATTTATTCGCAGAAGCAACAATAGTCTCTGCCTTGGTCAGCAATTTCGCAGCATACCGCTCTGCTTCAGTTGGATAGAGCTGGTTTTTCTGCGTCTTCCGGGGATTGACCTAATCGCATAAGGATTAACATCTCCCTTCACTGATCGCTAGGAGGGGCAACATGCCATCATGAGGATTGGGACGAGATCTTTAGCATTCGCCTCGGCCAAAGACCGCAGGCCTTTGAACCCATTCTCCCGAAGCAGTCTCGCAGTCCAACTCTTGACGAATGTGACCTGCGCCATCTCGAGTAGATCGGCACGTGCGCCAGCTTCGAGGCGATCGCGCATGTGGTCCAATACAGCAGCCAACATGCCCCAATTCATGCGCTGGCAGAATTTGACAATCCCGGCGGCAAATCCGTGACATTGTTGTGCGAGAGTTTGAATAGATCCACGGGGAGTTTTGTATCGTTGAGCAATGGTTGCTAGAGGGACTTCGTTGCTCAGATCGCGAAGTTGGAATGCAGTATAAGCGCGACGGTATACACGGGCTTGTTTGAGCTGGTCTGGGATTGCTTCCTTCAATGATGCCCCAGATTGCACCCTGCCGAATACAAGAGCCATGTGAGCCGAGGGAAATATTTGTGCGACTGGGAGGTGTGGCCACTCACATTGTGTTTACAAAGCCCGGTTGGACGCCAACATATTGAAGGGCACGGAGGCCACTCTCATCCAAACGATCCAGCTGGTCTCGAAAAATCTGCCAGTCGATTGGATTGTTCATAGCCACTTGAAGAGGAGTGAATATGTAGAATACATGCATATCACCATCCATAACAAATGCCTCGAGTGCCCGCTTAAGTTCCTCGTGCACGTAAAGTCCATCCTCAGGAGAAAAGGCCGAGGCCACAACTGCCTGGCCTAACAGGGTCGCACCATATGACTCGTCGTCTTTCAAAAGTAAAAGGCCTTCATTAATGAGTTCTTGCAGGGCGGAATCCATGATACTATACACTAACTTCTTGTCGAGTGAGAGGTAGAGCAGAGTACAGCGCACGTACTCTTTGATTGCTTCGAATCCCGAGACCAATCCTGTTGCTACAGCCTCCAGGAGCGCCCTACAAATGTCAGCCTTCCGGATCCAAAGATATCACAAATAAAAGGAGTGTACCTTTTCAGGCCTCTTTTTTCAGGGACCAAGCAACTTGCGATGGCTGGCATATCAGCATCCAATAGATCGCATACCGCCTCAAGGTCGGCCTTGACACAGATCAAATATGTTTCACCAGAGCTGTCCTTGCCTTTGCGCCCAGCTCGTCCACACATTTGACGTCTGCCATCGTCAGCTTAAATTTATCGCGAATATAACATAGAGATGGTCGCACAGCATTGCGGGACCCACCAGGTCACGCCCCATTCGAGCGCCGTTGATGATGACTCTTCGCGCAGGAAGATTCACGCCAGCGGCAAGACTGCAAGTCGCCACAAGCACTCTTAGTACGCCTTGGTCGTAAGCCTGGGCAATCAACTCCCGTTCCTCCGTTGTCATGCCGGCATCTTTACAGGTGTCAGTCTTGCAAGATCACGAAATTTATCGGGCATTTACTGACGATGGAATCCAGCTCCTTTGATGATTGTTTTTTGGAGAATCGGGTCCAAGCCACAGGAGAGACTTCTTAACTCAGCCAAGAGGTCTAGTCGCTTGTTCATTTCATCATTACCCTCAGCCAGTGCAGGCATCGCCTCACTTATGGTGGCAGAGTGGACTTGACATGCCCCCCCGACTACTACAGAAGACTAATGCTCCAAACCCTGCAATAGCGGTCTCAACTGCCAATGCCACCATAGAATTTGTTGCAGAATTGGAGAGCTCCTTGTAAGCAGACGCTTCAATGGTCCGATGCGGTGGAATCGAGTCTTGCAATGTGTTCGATGCTGCTGCTGTCAACTTGGAAGCTGTTTGGAAAAGCTGCCTTGATGTCGCGGCCGGGTAAATGACATTCTCGTAAACCAGGTACTCATCAATAGGAACCGGTTTATAGGTGGAAATGTAGAACTTGGCATTCATCCACTGCGCCAACATCTCGGTATTCTGTTCCTGTATTAGAAATCTCCAATGCGAAGAGAAAAGGCTCGCCAACGTACCGAAAGAGTAGCACTCATGCCCACAATTTGAATATCCTGCTGGAGCAACAGCAACTTTGTTACCATCAGCTCTAACAAATATCCACGATGTTCATCGTCAAGCATGTGCAGCTCATCGAGCACCACAACACCCAAGTCACCAATGCTACAGTCTTCAATTGCTGAGTTTATCAACGAATTTGCCTAGAAGTCTCATGTCAATAAAGGGAAATGGTGTACAATGACCCTCTTGAGGCAACGCACCTTCTCTATGGTACAAACAGCGATGTCGGTATCCGCCCATGTTGTAGTTGTCCGGTTTCCGCCGAAGAACCCAGTCACTCGTATGGACTTTTGTAATCGCTTCCATCGTTTGCGGGCAAAATGCAATTTGTCACCATCGTCCTCATCCTCATCCTCTGGGATGATTTTCTCCACGCCCTGAACAATCTGACGCAGCCATTTAAGCTTTTCTTGAACCAATGCCACGTAGGGCAAAACCAAGATGGCCTTCCGGGTGGGATTCTCGATGATCCGTTTCAGCAGCAACACATCCGCCACTAGGGACTTGCCTCCACCAGTGGGGGCTGTGTAGACCAAATGTCGCTCGCCAGATAATAAACCCCGCGCCAAGAGACAGGACGCTTGCCAAGCGTAAATAGAGGTGACCCCCAATGCAGCGAAGTTGGCCTTGAGAGCCGAAGGAAGTCCGTATTTGGGATGCGAAAGAGACAATAAGGGATTCTGACTGGATCCCGGTGCGGGTTCTCCGAGCTTATGCTCCTCATCCAAGCCGCTGGCGCCCGGGCCCAGATGGATAGCGCTGGCGGTAAATCGGTTCACAGGAGGGGCCAACGAGGCTCGAGCAAAGTCCAATGGGGCCGACTCGAGAATCGGCGGGTTGGATATTTCACTTGGACCCCGCAGGGCGATGCGATGTACGCCTGCATCCGGCTTGGGGGCCTCCTGGGGCGATGGATCTGTCAAAGGCCTCTTATTTCCAGCCACCGGGGCTACATGATAGCTATTTGACGCCTGATGACGGGCGATATCCATCGAGGTGGTAACCCCACGGGATTGGACCGATTGTCCCGTCGACATGGTTGGAACACCATTCATTGATGCATGGGAAGAGATGGAGAAAGCTTCTCAGTAGGTGGCATATGATAAAAGATTCATTGGGACCTCTTTTTTCCCTCACCTCTCCAATGTTATTCTTCTTGTTCTTAATCTCGACGCGCCGGGTATGACCGTTGAGGCCTCAGGCACTATTTATGTCATAGTCATTAGTAATCGAATCGGTTCCTGGTCGCGCCTTCCCTTTCAGTACGGCGTTGGAGCCGCAGAGGAAGAAGGCAACGAATTGGGTTCTAACATGAATATCACTCATCACTGTAGTCGCACGCCTACACACCATGGCCCCCTTGCGCAAGACCGGCATTGGTTCTACGCCCTCATGCATCTTGCGCATGCGGATTGAGAGATTTCAAACGATCTGGGGTCGGCTGACGAATACCTACTCTCCCAGTGGTAGTTTAGTTCTACTTGTGAAATCAACCGAAAATACTGAAATAGAGCCCCTCTTCTGTCCCATTTTGTTTTCAATAATAGCCCTCGTCATCATGATGATTGGCATGAATTGCTGCCTACGAGTACGGTGTACATACAACTTGAATTCCCCTAGAACTCCTTTTCCCAAGGCTTACTCGACACTACCCAAATTTAGAGCTGGCGCATCCCACTGCCCTCTCCGGTCGCGTTGGTGGATCGTAGGCGACCAGCCGACCCAATGGAGTTGTAGCAAGTCACCCGCTAAGGTCACGATTGTAACGGATTTTTCGACAGTTGAAACCGACTATCGCCCCGGTGTCGAAATTCAAGACAAATTATAATGATCGACGGGGAAGAATTCGATTAAAACCGCCATGCATCGGAGGAATGTGATGCACCTCTGCAGCTCCATGGTTTATCTGGGGCGATCGGCTTGCATACTACTACCTATTGGTAGTTAGTACACCTGAGTACCTACTATATCACAGGTATATATTTCCAGGGTTGCTGCCAGTACTACTAGTACCCAGGTGGCGGCAGTGGACTGGCACTGCCATCATCCATAATACTAGTAGCCTGAGGTCTCCCTTGTTCACTTTGCCTCCCTATATGTCATACAGTAGTAGTACTACTACTATAGTGTATAAATGTACCGATCTGGTGCTTATGTAGGTATTTCTCAGCAAAACGTGGGCCAACCGGATGATACCCGCGTGTGTGCGCAGTCTGAAAGGAGAAGCGAGATGCCCGGGAAGTGGTGAATGCAAAGAGTCCCTGAGGGGCCCGATCGCACCATCACAGGATGGCTCGATCGTAACGGGATACTCCATATATGCTGGATAGGGGCCCATCTTCCTCCGTCCCTTTCCCTCTCTACGAGTACCTCCAGGGCTGACTCGACCACAAGGCAACCTACAGAGGTAGTGTACAAAGAATACAAGACCTCCCATGGAGCATATTGCCCAGTCCGGTAACCCCATTGACCGGCACGTTTGAATGCAAGGTGGCGACACGCAACAGCCGCCGGGAGCAAATCATCCTCGGCCAACAGCGGATTCTTCTCGGCAGCTTGGATCGTCATTGGACCGAATGGGCGGTAGAAGTTTAAATTACCCAGGAGATGCCCCCGCCGTATAGACTGTACCGTGTGTACGGAGCACATGAGTCCAATTTTCCGAGTCGATGATACTCACCATCGTATGTACATGGCAAGTATCGGATCGAACCATCTGCTTTGCTGGCCGCCTTTGTGTTTCCTGTTGCCTCTGGTGGTTCAGGCGCATGGTTTCGATGGTGACCGGCACGGTCCATGCCCTTGCTTCGCCTTGTCTTTTCTTTTTCCCTTTTAATTTTCCCTTTTCTTGTTTCGGGTTCGTCCTGTTTCGATGGCCGTTCACTAGTCTTCTGTGCCTGCGATCGGGCAATAGCATCGACTAGTGTCCACACTTTAAGAGTCTTGACCTCCAAATTGGACTCCCACCTACCAACCACCCCTGGAGGATAAGGTGGCCACTTTGATCTGTGTAATACATAGATATTGATCCGACTAGGATCGACATTAGATGAAGAGCCACTTCACCCTTGTACCTAAAGGTAGAGCCAGATGATACTTGGTCGTCATCACATGGGCAAATTCATTTACATTGGATGTCAAGCTCGCTTGTAGTGAAGTGGTACAGGGCCCAGATCAAGAGGTAATGTATATACATACATGGATACACACCCAAGGTACCGGACCGTACGTATTTTTTTTACCCAAGCAGGGATCGTGTGGATGGAGGGTGTGGGGTCTCTCAGTGCTAGTGCCCTTGCCATACCTTTACCACAACCTGCGATATCAGTCGTCATGAACGGTTCTCGGGTGTGAGGGAAAATACTAGCAGCCACTGGAAGGCCCCATTCCTGCGGCTGGGCCGTTCTCGGATTACCTTTCTCTTTGTGGTCTCGCGAACAGAGGCTTGATTCTATATCAATATTTCCTGTCCCCTTCATCATGAAGGAGGGAGGTCAAACCAAACCTCACACACAGCCAAACTTTAGCCAGATCGGAGGGGAGTGAAGAACCGCGCATCATTTGGACCGAGTTCCTCGTCTCTTTTCCGGGGCCAACGCGTATCTCTCCTAGTGGCTCTTACGTGACAACATTCTTCATCGTCATTATTCATTACGGAGGAAGCCATTGCTTGGCGAGAGAACCGTTCAAATTAATTATGCTATGGATGCACTGCACTCTCTCAGCCCATATTTTTGAAACTCTTTTTTTATTTTTATTTTCGTAAAGCAGCCCGTAGTGCTCTATTCCGTAAACTGTTTCCTACTCCCATCGAGCACTCTCGTACTAGGCTCCCCGCGTTGACTCGTGCGATCAGAGAATCCCACGTAGATCGAGCAAGGGGAGGAAGTTTGAGAGTGGTCAGTTGTCAGTGGTCACGGCCCAATACTTGGGGCAATCCGATCCAGACGAGTTTTCTGCTTTTTCCCTTGGTTCGACAACGAGGATCCGTCATATTAACATATCGGGACTAGGGGCAGGCTCGGGATCCTCGACGCTTTTTTCCTTTCCTTGTCTTCTTCCTCTCCATCTTCCCGGGGTATTCTTTTATACCTGTGTTCAAGAAGAGAAAAAAAGAGAGCGGGAAAGCTAGAGAGAGCACCCCCCAAAAAGAGGTCTTGTCATCGGCATCCCCCCCTCTAATCCTAAACTATCATCATTTTCATTTTCGGGTGGCTGCGCGCCTGTTGTTGTTCCGCACTCTTCTGTCCTCATCTGCGCGTCTCTTCTCTTCTTGAACTCTCTTCCTTTCATCTACTCTACCCTCCACTCTATTCCATTCCAATCCACTTCCTCTTTTCTTCTTTCCTGTCGCATTCCCCACGAATATCTATCAACCACCGGTTAGTTCACCTCCCCCCTCCTTTATGTGCATCCATCTCCACCATCTCCGTATCCCCATGTTCCCATGTTCCCATGTTCCCATTGCCATGTTCTTATGTTCCTATATCCATGTCCCTGTCCATGCATGCCCATTCCACTTCCATTCCCCGATCTGGAGATTTCCATGTTTGCCTATCGGTACCATTGATGATCTTCATCATCTCCCTCTCTCCCTTTCTTTCACACCCATCCAAACCCGTTGGAACACTCTGGACCACACCTTGATATCGGCCCCGTCCTGCGGCGCCCTTCACCCCTGCAGTCAATAAGATCTGACACGGGAATCTGGTCCACTCTTTTCCTTCTTCCTAATTTTCCTGAAATTCCCACTTTCCACGATTGTCGTGTTTCTTGTTCTCCCACACTTTTTCCCCTGGGGAGATCCCTTCTTCGCTTTCCCCCCCTCCCCATCCCATCATCTTCCCCCCGTCCCCGTCATTTTCTACCTTTTCCATCTACCCGCTTTTTTCAGATTTTCGCCCCCCCTCGGGCCCTTTTTAGTGTTCCCACATACCCGCATCCACACATGCATCGCGCCACGTCCAGGCGTGTTTGTTCTTGACTTCGTGACTGACATCCACCAGCTCTTTTGTTCTTTCTTTCTATCCACTCCCAAGGGGTTCTCGCGGGGCTTCATCCCCACATCTGTTCAACCACTCTCCTACTTATCTACTTCTTCCCTTTCTCTGTCCCCTACTATATGACCTACCGTGGATGAAGATCAGTTGCTCTCAATGACCACCATCAGCTCCCCGGAGGCTGTGGCCGATCCGGCCGGCTCGTCCGCCGCGGCCCCTTATGGCACGCGATCTAGAGGTCGCAACGCTCCTCGGCCCAATTATGCTGAGGACCGTGATATGGACGCGGAATTTGATGCTGCTCCCGCAAAGGGTGCCAAGCGGAATAGCGGCGTGGCCCTCACCAACATCGTTAACGGCTCTAAGTCTGACAGCGAGAAGTCTTCACCCACGCTACCACGAAAGAGTCTGACCAATGGCACCGCGTCCAATGTACTGCCGAAGGAATCCATTCCTGGCACCTCATCATTTTCGGCTCGCCCAGACGATGCCAATGGGGCGGGCTCCCTCCGGAAACGCAAGGCTACCGTCAGCACCCCAGCCAGCACCAACGCTGCAAAGAAGATCTTCACTGCCGCACCGGGAGATTCCGACGGCGGCTATTTTTCCAACATGCTTAGCTTCGAGGCCTCAGAACCAATCCTCAAGGATGGCCATATCACTGCTGATGATGGCACCACTTTGGGAATAAATGGTATGTTTCACTTTTTGATGTTCCATTCCTCCCCATTTCTCCGCCCATTCCAAATGGGACGTTTCTCCATCCAAGGCTGAAGCAGGACTAACAAAATGTAGATCATGTCTATCTAATTTGTGAACCTCCAGGCGAGCCATATTACCTGGCCCGAATTATGGAATTTCTGCCGTCAAAAACCAAAGATTCCGGAGTGATTGAGTCATTACGAGTTAATTGGTATTATCGTCCTCGCGATATCCAGCGCCATAGTACCGACTCCCGACTTGTTTTTGCATCTATGCACTCGGATACGTGTCCGCTCTCTTCACTACGGGGGAAATGTTCTATTCGCCATGTTTCGGAAATTCAGAATATCAACGACTACAAGAAGGATCGGAATAATTTCTGGTACGATAAAATGTTCGATCGATACATCCATCGTCTGTATGATGTCATTCCAACCAAAGATGTGATTAATGTTCCTGGAAATGTGAAAAGAGTCCTCCACGATCGTTGGAGGTTTATCCTGGTCGAAGTGGGCAAAGGCAAAGAATTGACTGGTGCTGTAAAGACCTGCAAGCGATGTCATCTATTCGCCTCCGGCTCTGAATCTGTTGATTGTGCCGTTTGCCGTTCAACCTATCACATGTCTTGCGTTCGCCCGGCTCTGACAAAGAAACCAGCTCGAGGATTTGCTTGGGCTTGTGCCCCCTGCAGTCGGGCTCAGGAGCGCAAGCTGGAAGCGCGCAACACTCCTCACGTGAGCGAGAACCGCGGCGATGGCGAAGATGAAGTCATGGAAGAGGAAGAGGAAGAGCGTCACACGAATGGAGCTGTCAACGGAACCTCTGTCAGTACGCCCGCTGCAGCCGAGGAGGAACCGCAGCCTGAAACAGCGGAACAAATGGCCCAGGCGAGGATGTGGCCTTATCGCTACCTGGGTATGCATTGTCGCGTAGAGGACGCCCTCGACTACGATGATCGAATCTACCCACGTGCAAGCTCTCGACTCGGACCCAAGCACCAGGCTATCGTCAATGCATGGCCCGGTCGCCCGGTGGAATATGTGAAACCATTTGAGCCGAGAAGGAAAACGAAAGCTACAGGTGTAAAGGCCGCGGGCCCTCTTTCCAAGGATGCCAAGGCTGCGCTGGAAGCTGCCAAGCAGGAAAAGGCGAATCGACCGAAATGGATCCAGGATGAGCCAACGGGCTACATTGCGCGCGGAATGGACGAGCCAGTCACAATCAACAATGGAAAGCAAGCCCGCACAGCCGAACCCATGTTCAAGATGCCAACTTCAGACCAGATCCCGGCTCGCGGCGAGGAGGATGCGCCAGGATCGCATCTGAGTGATGCCGACCGGGAAGCATTCATCGACGACTATATGCGCCAAGCGAAGGAATTGGCACCACACATCAAGGTTGAAAAGTACAGCACAAACTTTCTGGACAAGGCCCTGCAAATACTATACTCCGAAAGCTTTAATGTGCAAGCAGCCCTGACCAAGCTAAAGAAGGTCAACCAGTACAAGGATCTCAAAGAACCACATTTCCGCCCGGAGGAACTGAAGCTCTTCGAGCAGGGAGTCGCGAAGTACGGTTCAGAATGGCTTAGCATCTATCGTCATGTAAAAACAGTTCCCCACTGGGCCATTGTGCGGTTCTATTACATGTGGAAAAAGACACCCCGTGGAAAGCAAATATGGGGCAGCTACGAAGGCAGGCGCGGAAAGAAGGAGGTTCGGCGTCAGAGCGTCGCGGCGTCTAAATTGCTCGACGATGTGGCCGACGATCATGACGATTCTGCCTTCGATAGCGGAAAAGCAAACGTGCTGAAGCGTGGGTTCCAATGCAAGTTCTGTTCAACAAATAATTCCCGGCAATGGCGGCGGGCCCCTCTTGTCCCGCCCGGAACTGTCGTCCCTGCCGATCCTTCAGCAAAGAAGGACAAAGGCGCAATGCTTACTGTCGCTTTGTGTATTCGCTGTGCTTTGCTATGGCGCAAATATGCTCTGCACTACGAAGATGTGGATGAACTTGGCAAACGAATTGCAGCCAGTGGCAACAAATCCTGGCGCCGCCGTATCGACGAGGAACTGTTTGCGCAATTGCTCATGGGCGCCGAGACCCCAATGGTCGTCAACAGCACTACAGCGACCACTGCCGCCTCTATGGGAATATCACTGGAAAGCAATCCTCAACTACAGCTTGAGAGCAAGATAGACGCATCGAAGAAGAAAGCACGTACCGATAACCCGAGTACTGCAACCTCGACCTCGACGTCTGTCGAGCCAATGCCAAAAAAGAAGATGGGACCTGAGAAGGGCGTTGATACACCTCCTCTCGTCCCAGACCCACCCAAAGCAAAGACCCTTTCATGTGCCGTTTGCAATTCAGTTGAACCAACCGGTGATGACCATATCTCTTGTCGGGATTGTCGCTTGACAGTCCACCGCAATTGCTATGGAGTACAGAACTCCCGGCCTGGTAACAAATGGCTCTGCGATATGTGCTCGAACGACCGCAGCCCTTCCATTTCTACGACCTATGAATGTGTTCTCTGCCCTGTGACTTACACCGAGCATGATTTGATGGAGACTACAAAGAATAACAGCCGAAAGAAGTCGGATCGAGACAAGGAGAAGGAGCGCCTTGAGAAGGAAATGGTTAGTGAGGCGATCAAGCTCTACCGCCAGCGACAAGAGGCCGTCGGCAAGCCTGTTGGTCCTCGAGAACCATTGAAGCGTACCGCAGGCAACAATTGGGCTCATGTCATGTGCTCCCTATGGACCCCCGAGATTAAATTCGGCGATGCCAAGGAACTTGAGCCAGCGGAAGGGTTTGGGTCAATTCCCAAGGACCGTTGGCGAGAGGTTTGCAAGATTTGCAAGAAATCAAAGGGTGCCTGTGTTCCTTGCAACTCCACGGGATGCAACGCGCACTTCCACATCGGTTGTGCTTTCCAGGCACAATACCGTTTTGGTCTTGATGTTACGCCCGTGAAAAACTCGCGACGCGACAGCGTGCAAACCATACGTCTGGGCGACGAAGTCGGAGCAGCTACACCCGTAATCTACTGCCCTAACCATGGTGTTCCCTCAGTTGTTCACGACATTGGCGAGCTGACTGGCCAGGATGGATTGAATGCTCTGCAACTCTTTGCCCAAACATATAAGCAAGCCGATCTCACCTTGACCGGCACTTCTCGAAAGGCAGCCTATGTGCAGCAATCAGTCATTGCACCACCACACCATGCTGCCGGCATAGGAAATCGTCGTGTCTCAACAACAACAAGCAGTGGCTTGGTAGCTCCCAAAGAGCCCCCCCAAACCTCAACCAACCCCGAGCGAGGACGCAACAGACGAGATGGACATTGACACGGAGGAGCATCCCGCGCCTCGTCCAATTCCTTTCCATACGACAACGCTGAATCAAAAGTGTGTTCGATGCTCTGCCGATTTCAGCCCCCGATGGTGGCCTTGCGGGCGACGCAACGATTCTCGGGCACCTTTGGCGAATGGAGTCGGTCGAGGCTCCCTGCACCTATCACAGAGTCCGTTTGCGCAACCCAATGGTGATGCGGGAGAGCAGCTCTACGAATGCCACAAATGCCACCTGAAGAACCCCCATCCCATCGAGGCGCCAGCTCCAGTTGTAGCTCCAGCTCCAGCTCCAGCTCCAGCCCCCGTTCCAGCTCCGAATGTGCCTTCCGTCCCAGTGCCCGCGTCGGCGCCCTCATCGGCGCCCGATCCAAGGCCATCACCCTATGCAGGCCAACGCCCGATGCTACCAACCATGCGTGGCCCTACGTTCGTCCCGCATACTCATCCTGCTCCTGCTCCTGGCCCCCCTCCGGGCGCCAGTTTCCTTGGACGCCCCATTCCTCCTCCCCATTCGCATAGCTCACCAATGCCATTTGCTGGTAGCTTCGAACAGCGACCCGCGGGCGAAGGTGCTCTGCGTAACGGCATGTCGCCACCTACCTATCATGCAGGTCCTCCGCCACCTCCCCGCCATTTGGGGGCTTATCAACCAGGTCATCCTCCTGTCCCTCCCCCCTGCACACTATGGCAACACAGGGCCACCTCCGCCACCGCCTTCCCAGTCGTATGGGTCGCATACTAGTCCGTATGGTCACATGTCCGCCCGATCCCCGCATCTTTCGCAGCCTCCTCGCCCCTACACCTCTGCGTCTCCTCCCATTCACTCGGTGACAGTGAACCGGTCACCCCAGACCTCTCTGAGCGCATTGAATGGTGGACCACCGCCGCGCATGTACTCGGTCGATCGAATGGGCGCATCCTCTCACTCCCCGCCCGTTGTCCCAGCTCATATCAATCATCGTGGGCCTACCCCGCCCACTCGTCCAGAGGACACACCACCTTCTGTCATGGCGAGTGTGAACCGCCCCTCGGGTGTGAATGGCACAAGCGCTGGATCTGGAGCAAGTGCGAGCCCGTCGTTGAAAAACCTTATATCCTAATCTTCCGTCCCATTTCTAAGCAGTCCTCGAATTGAGGGTGCTCTTCACACACTGTATGATAACCATGTCTTTATTTCTTCCGTTTGTTCGCATTTTTTTTTCGTTCTTTCTCTTTTCTTTATTTCCTTTTTTGCATATGCGCGGTGTCTTGACAAAAGCGTCAGTGAAGAAAGGAGATATTTGATCCGAGGTGATCCCATATCTTTCCGGATGTGCGTTTATCTATCTTCCTCTTCACTTGATTATCTCCTTTGTCCACATCTGTTCGGCGTCTCAATTATGGCTGGAAAAGCAACGGGGTATCTGATTATCTGATCTGGGTAGTGAGAAAAACCTATGGGATTGAACTGCATGGAGTAGGGTCGGCGAATTTTGATGATTACCATATCCCCCGGTTAGAAGAATTGATTTTGATTTGCATTTGCTACTAGTAGTACATATGAATATGCCCAGGCGTACTAAGCTCCTTCCATTCCATTCCCCCCCCCCCCACTTAAATCCGTAATTCAGAACCCAATTCAAGCATTTGGATTCCATCTAGTTTTCGGTCCGAAGGCCAGGACACACTACCTCTGTTTCTCTCTCATACTATTCTGTGCCGATTATCCGAGACCTTGTGTGAGCAGGAAATTTGGATAACCCACACTCACACCCACTGGAGACTGCAGCGTTGGTGGGATGGGAAGTGCTGACAAATTCCGGTCAGCTACGATAGGTATCCACCGTGACTTCTGCATTTCTGCACGATTCCCCAAGAATCGCCCACGAATGCAAGGTATAAAAGAACTTGAAACTATACCGGTGACGCAAAGTTACTGAAAAAAACTTATCTTACCGTCTATTCCGAACAAAGACAGTCTTCCACACAATGAGTACCATGCGCGCGATCTGTAAGTTCAAGTTGGATTCCTTTGCTTTCCTGCACGACCCCGCAGACCCCTCCATACCTACCTTACATACATCAGCTCCAATCCGGAGACAGGATGTGAGATTCGGATGGAGATCCAGCGGTCTACAATGTTCTACAGACCGTTGAAATATACGTTGAAAGAGACTTGTCTTCAGAAATAATTTGTTTCTTACTCGGGCCTAGCTGATATCAAGTACAGCTATCAAGGGCGGCAAAGGCCCCGCCACGTCCTTGTTCATGGACTCAATCGCCAAGCCGGTACCGGTTAATGGCCAGGCTATCGTTAAGATCAAGGCTTTTGGATTGAACCGGATGGATCTGCTGCAGCGTGAGGGACAGTACCCGCTTCCGCCGCAGGCACCCGAGACTATGGGGGTTGAGTTCTCTGGCATTATTGAGGAATTTGGCGGAAAAGCGCATGAGGATTTCAAGGTTGGGGACGAGGTTTTTGGCCTGGCTTATGGTGGTATGTATATGTATCCCGATGATATTTTGAAGGGGGGGGGGGGTTTACTGGAGTCAGGCATAATGGGAGGCTGATTTCTGATCGAATAGGTGCGTACGCGGAGTACATTGCCGTCTCGACCAAGATGTTGGTTCACAAACCGAAGCAGCTGTCGTGGGAGGAAGCTGCAGGTGTGCCGGAGGTGAGTGGACTGGAAATCTACAACTGATATCCGATGCATCGGAATATGGCTAATGTCTAGTTCAGACCTGGATCACCGCGTCGCAAGCGCTTTTCCTCATCGGTGACTTCCAAGAAGGTCAGTCGGTGCTGTGGCACGCGGGTGCTTCTTCCGTCTCCATCTCGGGCATCCAGCTCGCCAAAGCGGCCGGTGCCAAGGCCATCTATGCAACGGTCGGCTCGCAGGAGAAGATCGACTTCCTAGAGAAAGAGCTTGGCGTCACCAAGGCCTTTAACTATAAGACGCAGGACTGGGCGGCCGAGCTCCAGAAGGAAGCTGGCGCGGCCGGGGTCAACCTCACCGTCGATTTTATCGGCGCGCCGTATTTCCAGGGAGACCTGGACGTGGCGGCCAAGGATGGGCGCGTGGTTTTACCAGGACTGATGGGTGGAGGGAAATTGCCAGATGGCGTGAATATTGCGCCGCTTTTGTTCAAGCGGGTCCGGGTCGAGGGCAGTACCCTGCGCAGCCGGGATGAGGACTATCAGGCCCGGCTGCGCGACACACTGGTTGACCACGCGCTGCCCAAATTCTGTGATGGTACATTCCGCGTGTTTGTGGAAAAGGTTTTCCCATTTGATCAGATCATGGCGGCGCACCAATTGCTGGAGACCAACACGACCAAGGGGAAGATCATCTGTGTGATTGAGTAAGCGCTCGTCAGCGTCAGCAAGGGGCCAGAAGTTTAACGAGGAACCCCTCCCTCTGGCACCGAATGATATGAACTAGCAGCGCAAATAAGCCCTTTGCCCTTGTCCTGAAGATCGCGTACGAGTAGGGTAAGGTAGGTAGGGTAGTAGTAGCGTCGGAGAAGTAGGTTAAGCTGAAACTCGCACGGTTGTGGGGACGGTGATTGGGCGGTCACCCACCTCCGCAAGGCGAGGGATCGTCGAAATGAACCAAGGGCGTGTGAGGGATGATGATGGCAGCCAGGAACGAGTGGCGATAACTCTAAAGGAAGAGATACATACCGTAAGGGTAGTCGATGAGATCATCGATAGGATGGGCGGAAACGACTTGTACATGTACAATACTGCCGGTATGTACTGTAGGGCGGGAATGAATTTCCAACCAGTGTGAAGGGCGGGATTGAACCAAGTTGAAGGCAGTTGAACCATGTCCAACCACGCCATCCATCCTGCCCACTTTTTTTCCTCGATGGGCCCTCGCAAATGCGCCCCGGAGCCTCGACGGGATTGCTGCAGCCAATACTTGCACGCTTACCTAAGATGTGGGCCCTTCTAGAAAAAAAAAATTGTGCGAGGAGGCGTCATGGTGGGGGGGTCCACTGATGGGAGGTTATGAAGATGGGTAAAACGTAGAATGAAGATAGGGTAGAGGTAGAGGACGGTAGAAAGAAAGTCCCCTGGTTTGATTGTAGAGGCGTAGGAAGGTTAAGTATGTAGCAGGAAAGAGGAAAAGCGGGGGGCGAAAGTGGAAAGTCAGTCCAAAGTACCAAGTACTACCTAACTGGCAGGTACTTACTGCCTGCCACAATACCAGTGTCCAAAGTACTGCCTCCTACGGCCTACCAAGTACTCCCACTGCCTGCACTCTAAATTCGTGCAGCGAGGATCATCCCGTCCCGCCCCAAAAAGGCCTTCTGGAAGCATTGGAAGCCCCCTTCCCCGTGTGGCCCCCCCTCCACTTTCTCTTCTCCCCCCCTCCCCCTCTCCTCTTCTTCTTCCTCTCTGTCTCATCTATTCCCTTTTTGTCACTTTCTCTTTTCTCTTTTCCCTTCTCCTCCCACATCATCGGATCGTCCCCCTTCCCCACCCATCTGATCGGATTTCTTTTCCTTTCCTTTTCTTTTCTTCCTTTTCTTCTCCTCTAGACACCTCGACCATGTCGCGCTGACGACTTGAACCCTGAAACACCGCCGCATCCTCCATTAAAAAAGTCCTTGGTCCTTCCGTCCCCTCACGTGCCGTCATCTGTGGCGCTATCTTCCCCAATATCCTCCTGCGCTCGCCTTCTCTCTGCGTTTGTCTCGGATCTTCTCCCCCCCCCCCCCAGTCTGCAACGCGACACTTCCCGGGATCGACCTGCAGGGGAAAACAACTCCATTGTTTATTGAACCCGTAGGGGTGGGTGGCCGACTTCATTCCTTCACGTCGACTGCCTCGCTTTTTTGGACGCCGATTCCTCGGGCTCGCTCCGGCTCGCTCCAGCTTCGCCTTCATCTTCACCTTCCCGAAGTCGCCGCTCGTTTCTTCCCTCCTCTCCTGAACACCTGGACATACCACAACTTTCCTCTCAACTCAACTCTCCCCCTCCCCCCTCGAACGTACTGTCCGATCCTGCCGATTCCGTGACCTCCCCTACCAAAGACACCTACACCCTTATTCGTCAATCTCCCCCCCCCCCCCCCTTCTCTCTTCCTCTCCTCCGATAAATTCTCAAATTGCGACTTAAGTGATCTTGGTGACGCGACCGGAGATCGCTAGATTGCCTACTGCATTACATGATGGTGGAGTGCGTGGATTGCTCGGGCGTCTACATAGACGAACGGGTTCAGTCGGAAAGATGGGTACGCAGAACCTCTATAGATGCGGCAACGGTTTCCTCAGTGGGCTCGCTCACGCGACCCGAGGAACCCGAGGCTCTTCAGGCCGACTTGGGCCAGCTGCTAGAAGTGTGTAAAAAGAGTAAGTTGTGACCGACCGGTAGAGAAGTTTACCTTGGCAACGCTAACTTGGGATCGTTTAGTCTATCTATGCAGTAGCCGAGCCTCCTTTGCAAGTAAACTCTCCGAGCTGAGCGACCGTTCGGGGAGCGAGTGCGCTCCAATATTCGCCTTCTTTGGCATCGATTTTAGCAACGACGAAACGAGTCTGGCTCGCCGAAAAGCCAGCCGAGCCTCTTGGGGCGACAGTGTACCGCCATCTCCCGGAGCTATTCAACGCACATTTACCTTTTCCTCACAATCAGACGAAGCACCCGGTCTGTCACTTCTGACAGGTGTATCGTCCGATATCCAAGTTCAGGATGGTCCGAACCTGGTCGTTCCAATCGCCATTCTTCGCGAAACCGGCTCCAGCGCGACCGACCCCACGAACGAACCACCAAATAACCTCACCCTGGAACACAAGCAGATCGCACGGTGCCTCGATGCCGGCGCTTTCGATGTCTTGATAACTCCGCTGAATCGCGACCGACTACAGGGGCTTTTGGTCCACGCATACCGTGCTCATCGATCTGCGCAGAAAGAAATGTCTCGATTTCTCGCTCGCAAAAAGTTGCGCAAACTTTCGTGGGTGGGCACGAATGACGAGCAGCCCTATGCATACCTGAGAGAAGCAATGGTGTCGAAACTCATGAAAGGCATCTGCAACCCAGAGGAGGAGATTGTTGACGAATTTCAAGAACACGAATTGAATATCAACCCGGATCGCCATTCTTTTATAAGGGAGCAGGTGGGAAGCTGGGAATTTTCGGCTCATGAGTTTTCAGAAGACGAGCTGGTATTTGGTGCTTGCCAAATGCTCCAGCATGCTTTCACTATGCCAGGGCTGGAGCACTGGCAACTAACACCGGGTGAACTGCAAACCTTCCTACTTGCCTGTCGCGCCGCTTATAATTCCTTCGTCTTGTATCACAACTTTCGTCACGCGATTGATGTGTTGCAATCTGTATTTTGCTTCCTCCTTCATATCGGTGCCCTGCCTCCTTTCGGGCCTATTGGTCAAGCTCCGGTCTCCAAATCCCCTGTCGCCTCTCTTCTTTCGCCTTTTGATGCGATGACTCTACTGATTTCCGCGATTGGCCACGACGTTGGTCATCCTGGTGTCAACAACTTCTTCCTTGTCAAGCTCAATGCTCCCCTGGCACAATTGTACAATGACAACTCTGTCTTGGAAGCTTTTCACTGTGCCGCTTTCTCGCAGATTCTCCGCCGTCACTGGCCTGTTGCATTCAAAGACAAGCAGCTGCGAAAATTACTCATCAGTTCCATCCTGGCCACTGACATGGGTGTTCACCAGAAGTTCATGGAGCGGATGGGACAATTGCAAGAAAAATTCCACGAGAATCACAAGTCGGTCGATGGGTGGAAACCACAGGATATCGAATTATATAAGACCCTTATTTGCGGTCTGCTGATCAAATGTGCCGATATCAGCAATGTGGCTAGACCCTGGATGATTGCAGAGAAATGGACTCAGATCCTACAGGAAGAGTTCGCCAACCAAGGCGAGATGGAAAAGGAGGTTGGCATGGAAACCGCGCTCTTCGGTGGTCCTCCAGAGCTTGGAAATATCTATAAATTGGCCACTAGCCAGATTGGGTTTATGTCTATCTTCGCTCTTCCTCTCTTTGAGGGTATCTCCGATCTCTTGCCTCAGCTACAATTCACGGCCGAGCACATTCATCGCAATCAAGCACAGTGGAAGCAGCATGCCAATGATGAACTCCAGAAGCAAGGTCTGCCGATTGAACACCGGTCAGAAATTACGATATCGCCACGCTCACAGAGTCCTGCTCCGCCGGTTGATTCTGATGATACCGAGAAGGCGCCCGATGGTGATAGGGAGGGCTCGTTGAATGACCCATTGTCGCCAAATTCCAACATCAGTACCGATTCCGAAAACGGGGCTTACAATGAAAATAACATCGAGCCAGTTGTGTCACCGGATACCCCCGGTCCTCAGATCGAGATTACAGGAACCCCACTGCTGCCCGAAGTGCAATCATCCCGGAAATCTTCCAGCGCTGTGCCGGACCTCTCGTACTTCTCCATCCCCGGAGCCCCTGAATCGGCTCGGGGTTCCGTCGCAACTCAATTCCAAACTCCACTCACCGATTCCAACCGGCCCCCCGGGGACCCTGCCGTGTTGGCCGCCGTGCTTTATGCAACCTCGGCTACTAACGGGGGTACCTTCCCGGCGACTACTGAAGAACCCGTTCTAGAATCTGAGGATGCATCCGAAAGGCCGAGCAGCTCTCGCCATGCACCTTCGCAGGGGTCTCAGCGACACCATGCACACCACAGTTCATCCGTCCGAACTTCGGCTCCCTCAACCTCCAACCGCAACAGCTGCACCCGGACGCAAAGTGTCAGTACATACAGCAACAATATGACACCGATTTCACCTGCGACCAACGCTTCCAGCTTCTTAGCCGTTGATAGCGGTGATGAAAAGCGCATCACGGATGACAGCGCGCCGCAAAGCGAGATCGGTGCTCCGGATGACGCTAGCACCCGGCCAAGCACATCATATGCCTCAGTTGGTGGTGATCAAGAGAGTAATTATAGTCGGGGTCCGGGCTCTATTTTGGACGTCAGCCACTCAAAGTCGGAGGATGGCAATGGCAATGGCAATGCCAAAGAGTATAAACCCGCTGCCAACGGTACTCGAAGCCCCACCCAGTCGACGACTACTGGAGAGAGTGTTAAGAACGAAAACCTGCAAGGCGATGATTCTCGCAACGGAAGTTTACGACGCATTCCGAAGAAGCGGAGCCGACTGCGCCTTGCATTTTGGAAACGCCGCAATCACAACCAACAGGAGGTTCACGGCGAGAGTTGATTTTCCCTTCTTTTCCTTCGTTCTAGTCGGTATTATATCGCTTTTGCGATTTTGCCGGCTGTGTATTATGCGATCATGGCCTCATGAATGGTGCACTTTGTAATGAGCGTTGAAAATTTTCGATGGAGTTGCATTGGGTTTTTTTGCCGCAGAGTTGGATGGACTACTCTGCCTTTTGGCTTTATATTATACCAGCTAGGCTTTTCCCTTCCTTTCTGATTTCTCCTTTGACCTGAACGATGTCGATGAATCCGGTTGGAATGACCATAAAATCCGGGTCTTATCCGAACCACGAAGAAAAAACCCCCCCTCCCGATGCCTTTTCTGCCGTGACAGATTGGCCAGGTTCACGGGTTGTTTATACTATACAATCTCTTTCTTCCTAAATGGGGTTTGCTCGTACTCGTGCTCGTGCTTCCCCTTATTGCATAGGATGCTTTCTGCCAGCTTTTGTGATGATCATGGTTCTGTCCGACGACATTGTTTTTCTTTTCCCGTGTGTTTTTTTCTCTCCTTTTCTACCTCGCCTTGCAGGCTGCATTTGGGTTGGCTATTTTAGATTTTGGATTGGAGGGGCTGGTGGCGTTGATTCTGATTGTTTTCTACCTTTGCCTTCTGGTCTTATCTTCATGGAAGTGAAGTGATTCGGCGATGTCGACGCGCTTTTCCTTCCCAATATACATATTATGTTTCTTGTCAACTTCAGTTACTACAAAACACTTGCCAATAGTTCCAAGGTTGGGAGGCGTACGATATCTCAACATCTAAAATCCATGGCCCTGTGGCTACTAGTACGTTTCTGCCAGGCCAAGGCATTTGGGTACACATTACTCTAATCAACCAAGCAATGAAGATGGCCTCGAGGAACTTGGAACAGCCCGGTAGTACCGGATATGATAAAATATCCCGTAAATCTCCAAAAAATGCTATCGTAGGTGACAACTGCGTGTAAAAATTCAGTAAGGCGTGGCTGGCTGTATGCTAAATAATCAAAAAGATGAGTCTAAACACCCTGACGATTTCATAAAAGCACTCTTTGGCAACCCATAATACCTCTCAAGCAGGAGAACGGATACATCTCACTCTGGCAGCATTCACTGTTCCTTCGCAGACTCCGTAGCATTCACAACCCTTTGAACCATCATTCCAAAGTCCGACAAAGATATAGCCTCTTGAGCTCTATCACATCCAAGCTCATACGGAAGCCTCTCATTTTCTACATGAGTTCAAATGTCAGTCTCGTATCAAGCAACAAGCGAGAGAAGAGGAGAGGAGAGAAGATATCTAAACCTGAGCATAAAACTGCACATACCGAAAAGATACTCGACCCAGGATTTCCTAGCAACACCAGTTGTCTTGTTTCCAAGCATGATATACGCAGCCGATCCTTCGAAACTGTTGCCTTTGCCCGTATCGTCTGGTTTGAATTCGGGGTTTGTTCGATTAGACGTGTTGACGCGGGCCTGGCGGGCTCTGGCTGCGGATTGGGGGTCGATATGGGCAGTTGGCCAGTAAGAGCGTGTTTCGTCGAAGGTGGTTTGATTGAAGTTGGGATCGTCTCCGAAGTAGAAATCTCCGCGACTAATGGTAGGTGAAAGAGTATTGTCAGCCCCAGTTCAAAAACGATCAAGGTCCATGCCAGTGGTTATTACAACTTGAAGGTTGGTATATTTTGGGCCCAGCCTACTTCAAGCTACCATTTTGTTCGAAGATGTTATGGCGATTGAGATTTGCCAATGAGAAGGTCGTAGCATTCGGGTTCGTAGTCAAGGCGTTCTTGAAAAGAGTCTGAGAAAAGATCTTTTCGAAGTTCAGGGCTGTCCCGAACGCGTGGACAATAGTCTCTTCACCGATGTCTTTGCCGTCGTGTGGAAGGTAGCCATGGCTCGCCAGGGCATTCAGCATGGGGCAGGGAGCTCGTTCTATGTAGTTGAAATTAGAATTGATCTGGACAAACATTCTCAATACACGTACCGTCATCGGGACCAGCAGGTCTCCACTCTGTCAGTGGATAGTTGGGAGAAAAGGCAACTGGCCGCAGCTAGAGTAGCCACGGCGAAAGCAAGTAAGACTCGGAGGTTCATGCTAATTGAACTTTATCTCGGGGAAATGAAAACTGTGAAGAACTTTGATACGAACAAGATCAAATCAACATGTAGTAGGTAGCATGAGGAGGATGGTGAAAACATTCATTTCGTTACAAACGAAGCAAACTGTCTATATACATACTACTATACCCGGGGTAGTTACGCGGGTACGAGGAACCATTAGGAACCAGGCAAATTGTCATCAAAGAAAAAAAAAGCTTCAAAGAAAATAGGGTTCTCAAGCCACCTCAACTGCAGCTTATAGTGCAGCGCGCAGGCAAAATAAACCCGGGCCAAGAACGTGGCTTCAATGGTTCAAATTTTAGAAAAGCATAAATGTTCATAAATTTCTCAAGTTTGCGTCTAAAGAAAAGGCGTGTGCGAGGATAACCTACTACTACTAGTATGTACAGTATGAAGCGCAAAAGGGTGGATGGATGGACTTTAAGTTGGGCAAATCAAATGCAGTCCTCGCATTCCTTCTTTTCCGTCAGGGGTTCGTCGTCCTGTTTGGGTTCTTGCTGTTTCTTCTCTTCTGCTTGCTTCTTCAGGGCTCTGTCTGTGTGTCCCAGATCACGATTTGGGGCGATGACATTGCGAACGAGAGATTTGAGAGCTTTCACCTCTGAGATATTTGTGAGCTTCTTTTCAGGTGCACGAATTGATCTCTATTGCAAGGTTCCGTAGAGAAGAAAAAAAGCAATTGGATGGATTATATCAGACATACCAGGGAATCCTCCATCTCGCTTGCGGTCCCAGAGAATGCTCTCTTCGGTTGATGCCTCTCCCAAGGCTGTTTGTTGCCCGGCACTCCAGATGGTTACTGTGAAGACTCCGCCTGTCATAGGAACGAGAGCGACTTCACCGAGATCTGTGCCGAAAGTTGAAAGGAGTTCTTGCGCAAACTACAAATATTCAAGAAGTTGAGATTAGTGATTTGTTGATGATAGAAAATATAGTTCCAAGGTAGGTATATAGTATGGTGAGTACTACTAGTAATACTACTAGTAGTAACACACATATACTATCGATAGAATTTCTCGACCCCAAGGTTCGAGATGATTTGGCCAAAAATTGACTTTCAAAGGAAATGAGTAGATGACAAAATACGGAATGGACCTACATATGCAGCCCGTAACATCCACTTGCACTGCGTGCAGAACTTGATTGAAATGCGTGGCAGCTGCACCCGCTCCAGAGCCGTCGAGTTGGCCTCAGAACCAGGACCCGGTGTTTCGGATTGTGGCGCCGAGCCGGGCGTGAGACTGGCTTCAATTGGTGGAGTTGATTCGGTCATGACGACTCAATGTCGAGACGGGGGATAGGAGGGGGGAAGGTATACTGCGATTCCGCGTGGTTCTCGAGGAGTTTTTTTTGCAGGGACCCGAGAATGCGCTGTTCGAAAGGGTAAGATGGCACCTCGTGGCTGCAGAGTGATTTGGAATTATGGGACACGGTCAGGTTGGATAGGGGGGTTTTGGGGAGGGAATTTGATGTCGGTGGTGGGATGGGATGATGTGATGTCAGCGGTCTGATTCGGTCGGTTCGTCCAACTCGCTGCAGGTTCCCGCAAGTGGGACTGAACGGCAGTTCCGCAAGGGAGAACCGGAGAGGCTGCGAGTGCGAGTTGTTTACGAGGATTACATGGGAGAATATATCTAAATGGACAAATGGAGGAGGTTATGAGAATCGATAATTCTTATTTGGTCATGGATGCAAATCGAATCTATGATACACGAATGGCAACCCGATCTCCCTAGCAGTGTGCATGGGAGGCTTTTGGAGAACCCAGGAGAACAAAGGAAATGGCTTCAAAACACAGTGACGACAAAAGGGGGAATGGTGCTTAGAGAAGTGGAATAAGAGAAGAAGAGGAAGAAGGGTGAGAAAGAGAAGAAAGAGAAAAAAAGTGTTGTAAAAGAGACAGGGCACGGGGGACAGGCGCATCGTCAAGTGCTTTAAAAAAGCCTGGCGCCCCCGAGCCATCCGAGACCAAGGGGATATTAGAAACCCGCATGATTCTGAGGCATTGAAGAAGTTCGTGCGGTTCCACGTCTCGCTGTCCGCGCCCGGCAGGTTGAGCGATCGTGGTTCTTGTTCGGGTCGATTGGGGGACGGAGAAAGACGATCAATCAGGATCCGGAATTAAGGTTGGAAGAGAACGAGGCGGAAAGATAAATGAAGAAGGAAATGTCGTGTCGTGGCGATCGAGCTTCTCCCGTCATAGGGCCATTACATGACGGTGCAGCAACCTCCCTGCTGCTGGGGAGCGTAGGGGTCCTCTCGCTTGTCGACCTGAATATTTCGAGTTAGCTCAGTGCGATTGCGCGCGTGCGCCCCATTTTCGAACGGTCGCATACCTGTCCCCATACGGATGGAACCATGAAGTCGCGAGTGTTATTGCAGTAGTTGATGAGCCTAGACCAGGAAAGGCCAGTTAGCGACATATTTGGTTTGGGGGGCCTGGGGAGTCATCATGATAATCATCAAAGGGGATGGTGATGTGGTGACGACGGGGGTAGGGGAAGATGCGGATAGACGCACGAGAGAGCCGCTTCGGAAACCTTGACACGCGGACGGTCGAGATCCTCCTTCAGACGGGCATTGAGCTCAGTCAAGCGACGGTATTTGAGGTCAGCCACACTCTGCTTCTTGTTCTTGACATCACCACCCGATCGGAGTTCGTAAGCAGGCATCGTGACGGAGAGGGGGTCGTTGGGTCGGGGTTATAGGTCGCGCGGTCGAGAAAGGGGGTCGTGGTCAAGAGGGGAAATATTGTTATTAGATTGGAGGAGGGTTAGAGCCAGGTCGTCGTCAATCGAGCCAACAATCGACGCGCAGTTGGATGGGACCGAACAAAGAAAAGGAGAGAATGAGGGTCAAAGGAATGAGGAGGGAGGACGCAGACGTTGGAGGGATTTTCCGAGAGGATGGTGGTTGGTGGTACGGGGGGGGTCCGTGGGTGCAGTGGATTACATACACATACGGGGGGGGACTCAGGAGGGGAACGAGTAGCCTCAATAGTGCGACAATAGTGGCTTCTCTGTACCAGATACTGGGGTTGACGAGTTTCACGTGTGAAAATATTAACTATATATAAGGAGAGGAGAGTTTGTTGCTTATATATTCACAATAGAATTAAAAGAAAAGAACAGAGTAGAAAGGAATACAAAGAGAGGAGTCAGAGTATAGAGTACACACTCTCCTCAGGTACTATTTACTGATGTATCAACTGTAGAACTGTAGATGCAGTGACCAGTCTGCTGGAAATTACGGTAACCTATGTAACTCGCATACACCCTGTATCACCCCGTGTTGATATTCCGCCTGAATAACCTGGCAGAAACGCACGTGACTGCCCCATCGCTTAGCCCGAAGTGGGAACTCGGGCAATTTTCGCTGGCTCACGCACAACAGGCTCATCTTCCCCTCCAGGCCTAGGGACTTCGCGTGGCAGCCATATCAACTTCGGTCTACGACCACTGCCAGTGCACGAAACGCCTGCACTTTATCCTTGCGAAATCGCCTTTTTACCCCCGAAAAAAAAATCATCCAGCTCCCGAAGGGGTGGATTATCCATCATGCCGCCTCCACCGCATATCAAGCCTGAGAATGTCCTCAAGGTTCGTCCCGACTGTCTCCGTCGCATCTCGACTCGTCTTTTCGATCATCGATCCTCAATACTAACCTCATGTCTCATAATAGAGGGCCCAGGAACTCATCGCCGTCGGTCAGGCCCCCGCCGCCCTGACCGTCCTCCACGAACATGTCACCTCGAAGCGGACCCGCAGCAGCCCGATTGCTTCCCTCGAGCCGGTTATGCTCCTCTTCGTTGAGCTGTGTGTCGACCTGCGCAAAGGCAAGGCTGCCAAGGATGGCCTGTATCAATACAAGAACATCGCCCAGAACACCAACGTCGGCACCATCGAGGTCGTCCTGAAGAAGTTTATCGAACTCGCCGAGCAGAAGGTCACCGAGGCCCAGACCAAGGCCGATGAGATTCAGTCCTCCCTCGAATCCGCCGCCCCTTCCTCCAACGTCGATGATCTGGAGGCCATCGAGACCCCCGAGACTATTCTCCTCGCTACCGTCTCAGGCGAGCAGTCTCGTGACCGTACCGACCGCGCCGTCGTCACCCCTTGGCTCAAGTTCCTGTGGGAGACCTACCGTACCGTCCTCGAGATCCTGAAGAACAATGCTCGTCTCGAGATTATGTACCAGTCGACCGCTCTGCAGGCCTTCCAATTCTGCCTCAAGTACACCCGCAAGACCGAGTTCCGCCGTCTCTGCGAGCTGCTCCGTAACCACGTCCAGAATGCCGCCAAGTACTCCGCCCAGATGCACGCTATCAACCTCAGCGATGCCGATACCCTGCAGCGCCACTTGGATACCCGTTTCCAGCAGTTGAATGTCGCCGTCGAGCTGGAGCTGTGGCAGGAGGCCTTCCGCAGTATTGAGGACATCCACACCCTGCTGAACCTGAGCAAGCGCCCTGCCAAGAACGTCATGATGGCCAACTACTACGAGAAGCTCGCCCGTATCTTCCTCGTCAGCGAGAACTACCTTTTCCACGCTGCGGCCTGGAATCGCTACTACAACCTCCTCCGTCTTTCCACTGTGGCCCTGGCTACTGGCCAGAGCACCAAGAAGGAGAACCCCTCCGTCAACGAGGCCGATATGACAAAGGCCGCTTCTTTCGTCCTCCTTTCCGCTCTTTCCATCCCCGTCATCAGCACTACTCGCTCGCGTGGCGCTCTTGTTGACGTTGATGAGGCTCGCAAGAACAAGAACACCCGCCTCACCAACCTGCTGGGTATGGCTCAGCCCCCCTCCCGCTCCGTGCTCTTCCGTGATGCCCTGAACAAGGGTCTCCTGAAGCGTGTCCGCCCCGAGATCCGGGATCTGTACAACATCCTTGAGGTCGACTTCCACCCTCTGTCCATCTGCAAGAAGATCACCCCTATCCTTAAGCAGATTGGCGCCGACCCCGAGATGGAGAAGTACGTCATTCCTCTGCAGCAGGTCATTCTTACTCGCCTGTTCCAGCAGCTCTCCCAGGTCTACGAGTCCGTTGAGCTTAAGTTCGTTTACGAGCTTGCCCAGTTCCCCGATCCTTTCCAGATTACTCCCGCCATGATTGAGAAGTTCATCATGAACGGTTGCAAGAAGGGTGACCTCGCTATCCGTGTGGACCACATTTCCGGTGTCCTCACCTTCGATTCGGACGTCTTCTCTTCGTCTAAGGCTATGCACGCCGGCAGCTCCGCTGGCTCTGCCGAGAGCGAGTTTGGCTCCGTCCAGCGTCTCCAGCACACCCCGGCCGAGATCGCTCGCTTCCAGCTCTCCCGCCTGGCTAAGACCCTTCACGTCACCTGCATGTACGTTGATCCCTCTTACAACGAGGCTCGTGCCGAGGCCAAGCAGATTGCCCAGGCCCGCGCCCTGGCTGGTGCCGCCCAGGAACATGAAGAGACTCTTGCTCGTCGTGTTGTCATCGACAAGAAGAAGGAGGCTGCCACCGACGCCCTGCAGAAGAAGCAGCGCGAGGAGGAGAACCGCAAGCGTATCCGCACCCAGCAATTGCAGGAGGCTGAGAAGCAGCGCTTGGCCAACGAGCAGAAGGACCGCGAGGCCAAGCGCATCAAGGACGAACAGGAGCGTATCCGCCAAGAGGAGCTCAAGAAGCAGCTTGAGGAGCTCAAGACTGGTGTCAAGGGTATCGATATTAGCGAGTTCGATATGGACGATCTCGATGCCAACCGCCTGCGTGCCATCAAGCTGGCTCAGCTCGAGAAGGAGAAGAACGAGCTCAACGACCGCGTTCGTACCACTGCCAAGCGTATTGATCACCTGGAGCGTGCCTTCCGTCGTGAGGAGCTCAAGCACATCCCCGCCGACTACGAAAACCAAAAGAAGCACGATCTGGCCCTCCACGAACAGCAGACCCAGGAGACTCTCAAGGAGTCCAAGCAGAAGCACGCCGAGGCCGTTGCTCTCAAGCACCGTCTGGGACGTCTCGTTCCCCAATTCAGCAGCTTCCGCAAGGATCTATCTGAGAAGCGTCACGAGGAGTTCGAGAAGCGCCGCAAGGTCGCTGAGCGCGAGTTCGAGGCCAAGAAGAAGCAGCGCGTCAAGGAGGTCCAGGACCGCCGCCGTCGTGAGAAGCAGGAGCGCGAGGAGGAGGAGCAGCGTCGTGCGGAGGAGGAGGAGCGTGCCCAGCGTGAGGAAGAGGAGCGTACTGCCCGAGAGGAGGAGCGCCGTCGTGTTTTGATCGAGGAGAAGGCCAAGCGCGACGAGGAGAGATCGTTAGTCTTCCACTACCCTGTTCATTCCCTTATTGTATCTGTATACTGACTTTATCTTCCCACAGCAAAATGGACGAGATGGCCACCCGCCAGGCCCAGCGCGAACAAGAAGCCGAGGAACGCCGTGCCGCCCGCAGGACCGGTGCCCCCGAGCCCGAACGCAGCACCGGTGCTCCCCGACTCAATCTGGCCCGCCCTGGTGGCGGTGCTGGCGGTGGCTGGAGAGACCGTCTTGCCAATCGGGACACCTCTGAGGATGCTCCAGCCCCCGCTGCCGATCCCGCCCGGGAAGAGGCTCCTCGTCGTGGTGGATATCTGCCTCCTCACCTGCGCAATGCTGGTGGTGGCTCTGGCTCCGCCCCGCCTCCCCGTGACAGCGGAGCTTCTGGCGACCGCTGGGCTCGCCGTGAGCCCGCTCCTCGTGAGCCCACTCGTGAGCCCGCTCCCCGCGCGCCGGCGCCCTCTGCCCCGGCTGAGGAGAAGCCCAGCAGCGGAGGTGGTGGCAAGTGGGTGCCGCGCTGGAAGCAGCAGCAAAGCTAAATGTGTGCATGAGCGGATTCGTATATTCTCTTCTTTTTATCTCTAGGGAGCGAACCAAAAAGTGACTCGGATACTTTCCTTTTCTTCCTATCTGGCGCATGTTATCATGACCTCTCTGCAATGACCCTGTATCATCGGCTTCCTAACGGGTGCCCCTGTGGTCCGTCGTTTTCTCTTTGCGTGCTCATGTCTTTTTCTAATTTCCTTGTTTCCTCTTCGGTTGGGTTATTTTGCCAGCCGTGATGCCAATATCATGCACTACTCATTGCTTTGGATTCCGGGTTTTGCCGGGGTCCAGTGAATAGGATCATCTTTCTAGACTCATTTCAAGTTGGACCGAACTTCATTCTTATAGTGCTCTCGTAGTACCTTCGCCCAAGGCGATATGGTACCTCAATTGCGATCAACCGCATGTAAAAGAATTGTGCTCAATGATACACATTGTGACCACCGCTGGTACTAGTTTGTAACTCTACTCTGAGAACCTCAAAATACACCAATCATTCTGACTGCTGATAACATTGAAGGGGTTTAAAAAGCAGTCAAGATGACAACTTATTCGGGTACTATTATGATGTCCTAGAAAGATGAATAGCTACAGACTTATTCCACCACCCACTACCAGTGTACATGTGCTTGTATTTAATTGAAGTTCTTCATCCGACGATATTACACTATTCCTTCCAAGGTTTTTTTGATATCTACATTTCACTCTCCACATAATTCCCAGCTGCTGCTAGAGTCGCATAATACAACGAGTTCTCTGCGCAGATCACCATTCTTCCCTCCCCGGCGAAATTGAAGTTTGCCGAAGTAGTTCCAACGAAGATCTTGCCAATCAGCTTGCCAGATGGGTTCCAAACCTGGATTCCATCGCCACACCCAGCGTAGACATTACCCCAAGAATCGCAATGAACACCTATGAAATCAGAAAAATTTGTGGTTAGAAAAGAAGGAACTATCAAGAATACGGGGGCTGGCAATGCTTACCATCCGGAAGACCAGGGCTGGCGAAGGCGAAAGTCTTGCGGTTCTCGAGCGTGCCATCATCAGTGACATCAAATCGATAACTGCAGGTTCTCTCGATTAGACACTGACGTCTCAAAAATAATATATGGAAAAGGGACATACATTGAAGATGGCTCTGTTAGATTGTTGCCGTAGAAAGAATAACCAACTCCTGTATCTGTGACATATGCGTGTTTTCCGTCCGGAGAGAATGTAAACCCTTTTGAGATGTTAGAATATTGTAAAAAAAAGGCGTCAGGGCTTGAATTGGCATAATTCCTACCATTTGGATGCGTAAAGCCATCGGCAGCGATTCTGACGGCGCCTGTGTCTGGGTTGAATCGGTAAACCTGGTTTTGGAGACCAGGGGAAGGGCGGAAGTCTTGATAATAGCCGTACGGAACATCGGTGAAGTAGATCTCCTTGTTATTTGGGTGAATGGCCACATCATTTAGCGAGTTGAACTGTCGACCGAAGAAGTTGTTCAGAAGGACTGCAGTTTGTGTCAGCGAGTTCACCTCCGACAGAAGTCTCAATGCAATGAGCATGTATGAAGACTAGCTTCAATTTCTAGGATCTGGGCGCTAGGATTAAGGCTCATGGGATACATACTTTCAGTGTCATATGGTTCCTTCGGGTTCATGACATACAAAGCAGGAGCCGTGTCGTTGCCCTGGCCCTCGCCTGCGAAGATCAACTTCCCACGATAGTTATTACCGCCTGGATTTGGTTTCATACGTTAGCCAATCTTCTTCATGACCGCCAAACCTGCGAGTTTATCAAAAGAATATGGACTCACCATTTGGATTGATAACCTTGGGCGACTCAGGGGAGGTGACATTATGAACAGTCACCAGGCCCACGGCATCCGTTTTGTTGGCCACAGCAGCAGCTTCAGCTAGTGATATCTTTTCAACAATGGAAGACTTTTTGAGACCTGTGCCAGCCTCGGGAGGACCCGCATTTTGTGCGAAAAAGACCTCATCTGTCCCCTTCGACCTTTTACGTCATATTCCATTAACAAGAGCGTTCGTTAACTCTAGCATGGGTTCAATGTCACATACCACACGACTGCTTCGTGGAACAGAGGGTCCACTTCAGAATAAGCAATACGGGTCAAAGTCGGATTGTTACCGATGATCTTCAAGAATTCTTCATCGTAAACATGAAAAGGTTGACCTGTAAGGCTCTTCTCGGTCATGCCCGGAGGTACAAATATCTTTTACCCCAGGAATAAAGTTAGCAATGGTTACAATGGGACATTCGAAGTCCTGCTAGAATAAAACTCACATTCGTATCATTGAACTCAGCAGGTGGACGGGTATTATTCAAGACATTGAATTTACGCTGGTCAATGAGTTGGGCTTGGGCAGGAATGTTGCCTGATGCCGACAGGGCTGGGCCAGCAAAGAGACACCCTCCCAGCAACAACCAACTAGATATTGAAGGCATGGCGGATAAAAAGAGTCCCAGGTTCAAAGATGAATGCCGATCGAAAAGCAGGGCTAAATCCTACATTTATATACCTGGATCGTACAGTATGGCTCGACCCGTAATTGGTCGAGGGGCTTTCCCCATCCCAGCGTCATTTGCATTTTGCGGGAGACTGCCGTGCGGGGATTTTGACGAACTCCACCATAGTCATAGTAGGCCAATCCTCCGAGCTTGGTGAGCGCTAATCCCTGGATTCCCGGGGTTCTGATACCTGTTATTCCGGCATTGACCTCGGATATTGACTTCGCCCGTCAATTATCTCGGAATACCGCCGAGTGGGATGTCCTCATGCAGTCCACCCCCATGTTGCTTCCCGCCTCCCCCGCACTTGTTGGGCTACAGAAACAGGAACGGGCGTGGGGGGGGGGGTTCATGGTAGACAAAAACCTTCATGGAGAACAAATTATTCTGGAATACAAGGTTGCAGTATTGAAGTATCAATTGAGTGGTATCATGTTTGAGGCTATATGCACATATCTAAGTTCCAGCATTGGAAATATTAACAAAACCACCAGGATGAGATCGATCAGTTTGGGGGCAAAATCACATAAGAGAAGAGAAGAGAAGAGACAACAGGTGGATATCTGACAACGGGGCAGGGCTGGGGGAGGGGGGGGTTATGGACAAAACCCATGGATGAAAAGAAAAGCTCATAACAATCTAGTTAAATAAAAAGGGGGCAAATTGGGGAAAAAAGGGAGCGTCATTAGATCTTTAAGCTGCTGCCACTTCGGCACCAGCTCCAAAAAGCTTCTCACGCCATTCGCCACATACGGCCTCAAAGCCGCTGACGACATCTCTGCACTCTTGACTGGCCTCACGGTCCCTCAACCGGCGATCCCACTCGCCAACTTCGATCCACCGCGAACCTTCTTCACGGCTTTCTTCCTCGCGTCGCAGCTCGGCTACGAGCTCTCGAGCAGACCGCAGTCGCCGGGACGCGGTGGCAGTTAATTGACGAGATTCATATAGTGTGTCACTCAAACCACGGAGAGAGTGGGTGATATCAGAAGTTTGGGAGATCAGAGCTTGCAAGGAGACAAGTGGGTTGACGGAGGAAGTTGTTAGAGGAGTCGATGGCCGAGAGTCTCGACGGGACTGTGATTGTTCGGGGAGTGGGTATGGGAGGTTCGGCAACAGGCCTTCATCGATGAGGGGCATGAGAGAGTCGATAGCGTCCTCGGATAGGAGCGGGAAAGGGGAAAAGAGGAGCGGATGGATGAGGGATTGTAATGTGCGGGTTTGATGTGTGAGATGCGAAGTTATAGATGTGTGAGCGGTGATGAGACTATATCAAGAGATGGGTTAGAATCGTGGGTGGGAGAATGTAACTAGTGACAACGTACCGCATGGCGCTGTTTTCAATCCCGCTCTGTCCACCCAGGTCTCGCAGCTCCTGAATTGTCCGCTGAATAACATGATCACTCTCACTGCCATTATTCTCGATACCCCTCCGAGCGAGGCTTTCGATATCTGCCATTTGGCTTTCTAATGCGGGGGAAATATCGGCCGCTTCTTCAAGGTCCGAGTCGTTCCCATAGTCGGAACCATCGTAATGAGATTCCGCCCGACGGTGTCGAACTTGATTGGGCCGGAGCCTGTTCCTGGACGCAGGCGAATCGGCCGATGGTGACTGAGTGCGCATATCGCGTACAGATTGCATGTATGCATCCTCGCCGTCACTGTGATCCATTGGTTGGGACTCTGCGGCACCTGTCTCCTGCCCTGATGCATAGCCATAGCCCTCGTCCTCTTGTTCCCAGGCATCTGCCAATTCATCGGCAAGATTCCCTAGGCCGCCACCCCCTGCATCAGCGGAGAAGTCGACCGATTCACGTTGAGACCCAGCCATAGTATGAAGGTTTTGGCGCGGAGTGACCGGAGATGGTGGTGCAGAAAGCCGCGGCGTTTGAGGTTCAAGAGGACTCTGGGGAGAAAATCCATTGACTCCTGTTCCTGGTGAAATTGGCGATTCGTCTATCATTGAGGGGTTGCGGTGAGCGAGTTTCAGGGGAGACGGAGGGAGGGGCATTGCGACGAGAGGCGTGGGATTCGGTGAGCCCTCTGAATACAAAGAAGGATATCGGGAGTAGAACTCGAAAGATAGCGAACGAGGAAGAGAAAAAAAAAAATCAAACAAAGAAAGGAGAGCAAGAAACCATCAACACTTAGTGCTGGGGTGTAGGAGATAGACAATTGTGGACTGCGTTAAGGCGTGTTGGTTTCGATGAAGTCTCAACGTCTACCGTTGCATTGCACACGCGGCAGACAAGTATGGCAGGCTGAAGAATTCGAAGGACCAGTGAGCTCCAAGAATTCATAGGAGACACACCCGCAGAAAGTGTCACTGAAAGCAAGTTGTACATTCAAGCATAACGATGTTTCAACACCGCCACCGCCCTGCGGGCACTCGGCAGAAAAAGACATCAACGGCCGGTCAACCCCACATTCTTCAAGCCCTCAAGCCTCAAAGCAGCCCACGATGAGTTCTATAACGCGCATGTCCCCGCTGGACTTGCTGTCTATGAACCGGACAAATCTAGATCCATTAACAGAGAACTATGATTTGGGGTTCTACCTGAACTACCTCACCCGATGGCCATCGCTCTTCAGCGTGATTAAGGATCGCGAAGCTGGCGTGGTGGGATACAGTATGCTTCCCTTACTGTCCAAAATGCGCTGGTATTGGAATCTAATCACTTGACAGTTATGGGAAAGCTTGAGGAACAACACCCCTCAATGCGCGCCTCCGAGCACTACACCCCATGGCACGGACACATCACAGTCTTGACCGTCGCACCTGACTGGCGCCGATTGGGTTTCGCCAGCCGTTTGACAGAGCAGCTGGAGCATGGTTCCGATATCAACGACTCCTGGTTTGTTGATCTGTATGTTCGGGCGGGTAACAAAGTTGCGATAGATATGTACAAAGGAATGGGGTGAGTTGCTCTCCAGAACAAAAGCATCAAGTTACAGACTTGGCCTCGAGGGCTTTTGATCGGTTGATGTCAAGGCTAATGCGGACTTCTAGATATTCCGTATTCCGGCGAGTGGTCAATTATTACAGCGATGATCCAACGGGGATGTCCGAATCGGGAGAAGACGCATTCGACATGCGGAAACCTTGCAGTCGAGATAAGAAGTTGGAGCATGTGCGGGACAAGGGTGAAGACTTTTTAGTGAGCCCTGAGGATGTCTCGTAGGGTTGAGTATATTTCAGATCTAAACGAAAGACAAGGTTGAATCTTGAGGTATACATTTAGAGGACCTTTATTATATTGCATAGGACTGTATCTAGCAGCCTGAGGTGTTTCGGGATTACATAGTACTAGTACAGGATACAGTTACATACCCAAAGATAAAGACATGACAGATATGATTATTTATTAGATGCTAGTGCCTTAGCTACGCCGGGAAAAGACGGTTCGATCCAGCTGCGCTACTTGGTAGATAAGCTAAATGCCCAGAAGGCCCCACCGAGCTGAAGCACCGGACAGGTTCAGTCTCGCAAGTATCTCAGGCACTGATGCATCTATGGGGACTATTCGGATTCTCAGTTTCAAATAGACCGTCTCTTGAATGAGACTATGCAACGCTGTGATTGCTGGCGTACCCGCTAAAAGGATCCGATGTCATGTCTTCCCGAACATGACCATCGCGTTGAATAAATTCCAACTTTTTTTTTGTGAATCAAGATCATAAGCCATCTAAGTCTCAGGCTTTTACCTTGAGGTGGGGACCCGAGCGCACGAATCTCAAGGCGGCCATGAGTACCGCTGAGGCGACGAGGCAGCAAGCGGTAAATAGTTGCACTCCCAAATATTTATTAGTATCGCTCAGGATAGCACCACCGATAGGAGTCCCGATCAATAGTCCGAAAGAGACGATGGCAAACATCATTCCAAGGCGTGTTCCCAGGTCGCGCACATCGGGGGTCATGCTGGCCATGACCACGGGCGGGAGAGAAACGAATCCCCCCTGAGAAGAAGCCATAAAAGACGGCCAAGATGATAATTCCCGGGACGGTATGGACACCAATCCATACAAATGCCAGAATTGATGTGATTGTCACAGCAGGTGTGAGCATGTTGAGCGGACCAACGTGGTCAGCCAGGAAGTTGGGGCCGATACGGCCGAAGGTGGAGGCAGCATTCAGCATCGAGATGAGGTAGAAGCCCAGGTTACTATCGACGATACCGGTCTCAATGGCGTAGGATTGCACGTAGAAGAGGAAGTTATAGAACCCCAAGAATCCGAGGAACATGGCCACAGTAAAAAGACAGAAGCCAAGCTCCTTGAAAGCCGAGAATTGGTAGAGCTTGCGCTTGTCCTTGGGCTTGAAACGTACACGCATAATCGAAAGGGAGAGGATGATGGTACCGAAGCAGATGAAGCCGATAGCCCTAGTAGCCCAGGCAAAGCCGACTTCCTGCTGGAGCTTGTGGAACATAATGGGGTAAATCACGCCGCCGATACTGCTCCCACTGGCAGCAAGACCATTGGCAAGGCCTCTCTTGCGCTGGAAGTATTGCGGTAAAATGGCGACCGATGGTACAAAAAGACAGCCAGCCGCAAGGCCAACGCAGACACCTTGCGCGAGAATAAGATGCCAGTACGCGGTGGAAATACTGGTCATCATCAAACCAAAGGGCAACATAAAAGCTGCAAACCCAATGAGACCACGGAAATATCCCGCATCAAATAGAGGGCCGGTTACGACACCGATCATCATCAGGAGGAAAGACTGGAGAGATCCAATCCATGCTATGGTCGATGAGGAAGTGCCACTCAACAGATCCTGTTCATAGTATGTCTGATATGCACCCCATGTATTGATAACACCCCTATCAAGAACAAGTCAGCTCATTTGCATTTTTGTCATCTAATCTGGATTTCTTTTTTGATGGAGTTATGTACCATGAATTGAAGAAGAGGAAGAAAGAACCTAAAACTTGAAGCCATGATTGGAAGCCTGTGTCGAAGGTCACCTCGGGGTCTTTGTCTGGGGGCAGATTCGTGGTGTTTGCAATAACACTTTCCTCATCTTTGGTGACAGTATGGGTGTTGGCCGTCTGCTCTACTTCCGAATTAGTCGGACCCATCCTTTGTGACTTGGACGCTCGTTTCGAACAAATAGATACTGGAGGGGAGCTCGAAAGCAAAGTCCCCGTGCAGATAGTAAAGCGAAAAAGGCGACAATCGGGTGCTGGGATAGTGAAATCTCCTAGGTTTGAGTCACCAAAATAAATGCTAAATGAAAGAAACGAAAAAGAGAGAGTGCGAGAAGGGGAAAAAGTCTCGCGGATGATTAGAAACCAACACCAACGGCAAGCGGGGCAGTTAAGCAAGCGCGAGGGCGGACGAAGCCGAAAGGCAGCGCCAGTGGAACGCCTCTTGAGTTCCACAGGCATCCACTTGCCTGGACCATGGGGACCATGGGGTAGAAATCTACCTAGTTCTGTCGGTAAAGATACGCTAGGACGCCTTGATCGGAGACTGGGGGGGATATCCAGCAAATAGACCAATGAAGATCGCCTAGAGCCGTGCCGGTTACCCAGGTGTGAGGGGCCAAAAGGTCCAGTGTGACCAGTTGCAGTTGTCGGTGGTTTTCACTTAAGTACCTGCAGGTTATGCTCTACACACATGGAAATTAGAGGGCGAATCGGAAATAAAAGTGGGACTTCGGGCTCTGAAGGTTTCTCCCCGAAGGAATCACCTGGGCACCTTTGGTAGTACCCTTCGAATCGATTTGAATTCTGATACAAGGTAAGGGTACTAGTATCATTCTAATCAATCTAATCTAAGATTCGTCATATAGCAATCTTAATAAACCATACCTAGGTAGCGAGCTTGAAACTTTGCTGTATAGCACTAAAAAGGCAATCTAGGAAAATTCATGGGTGAGAAAGTGCACAGCTCAGGCTGGTATACCTCTACGATATCGGATGGAAACATACTATTACTTGACCCTCTTACTAGATGAGTTCAGGGTCGTTGAATGATAGTATCTGATAATTTATGCCGCCGGAGTATGGAAGTATATCAAGTTGAGAAAATTCAAATTTGATCTTCCAGCAAAGCAAGAGGACTGTCAGTGCAAGCAGGTACTACGTATAAGTGTTCAAACAGACTGTTCTTGCAGCTTGGAAATTGATTCTACGACAACAACGCGGCGATGTATAGACCAGGCGAAACTTGGGAGAGAACTACCATTAGCAGGTGCCAAGTGACTAAACGCCCTTGAAGATAAAACAGATTGAGAGGCACTAGTATAAACTAAAGACTAATCACAGTAGCTGATAGGAAGCAGCGACTGCGAAATTACTACTTAGTAGTACTTACGTGACTTGAATGTAGTACTGAGAGTACCGCTGGAGCCGGAAGAACTTGAATACATGCATATGCAGGTATGCGCCTGCAAGCTGCATTTACTTTTTTTGTTTCGAGTGACAGGCAATGCTCAATTCCGACGTCTTAATTATATTTTGTTACAAAATATCTTCAACTACAGTGGAAATAGCTACTGTAGAAACCGTTATTAGTATTTTTTTGGTCTTTCTAAATTCATGTACAGTTCGTTGCCATGGTTCAAGGTCATTGCCCTTATTTTTCTTTCCTGAGCCACGGTTTCTAGACTCCCAAACTCCGAACGCTATGCTGAATCCACCCAGAGAAAGATACCCCAGTTCAAAGCAAAGGAGGGCCGATGTGCCAATTAAAGAAGCTCCTCGCAAGTCCAGTCCTCATACCTATACGATGCGACGGTTAGATCAATTGTACATAGTTGCAAGCAAACCATAATCTTACTTTCCATCCGGTAGATACCGTCGAATGATGAGAGGAATCTTCTTCTGGTTCAATTCCTTCATCGCGATCTGAAGAGGGTCGGTTTCACCCTCGAGGTCAACGAGGACGGGAGCGTTCATACTGAAGGCGAGAAAAAATGTCAGTCGTTTTTGCTCCGAAAGATGGCATATTTCCCTATTTCCCTATGTCCCAGTTTCCCCATTCCAGAATTCGCATCGCATCAGGATCGAGAGTGAACGCACCTGATCTGCAGAGCTCGGGTGCCGAGAACACGCGCACGCTCGTACTTGGTCAAGTACGGGGTGGTAGTGCGCTGGTCATTGGGGATCTTCATCTCGCGCGTCTGTTCCATGACCTTGCCTGAGTAACCGGAATTGGGGTCGCCTGATACAACGACATTCTCGCCGTTGATGCCGTGCTCCTCAGGGAGTTCTCCGTCGTGTCCTTCGTAGTCATCTTGATCGACCAAGTCACCGGGCTCATTTTCTTCGAAAACCTCCTCAACAGGCTCGTAGTCGAAGCTGGGGGGAAAAGTCACAAGTTAGCAGGGCGATTCGTCTTTTTTTGGTGCAGAGCTCTAGAGCTAGGTTCGGTTCCTCCAGCAGATCTTTGCGCCAGGGTCGCATGTCATCACAAGGGGATATTCTTACTTTTCCTCGTGGTCGTCACCGCCGTAGTCAGACATGATGAATATCAAAAAATGTTGTCCGAGGGATCAGGGAGAGAGAAACCCAAAGCGCGGAACTGAAGTGACGAAGAATCGCGAAACACAAAAAGCCTGGCCGCAGCGGAAAATCTTCCTCCCACCCAAAATTGACGCTAGTCCGCCTTCGGCCCCACCGCCTTTTGCGCCCCGGCAAAATAGATTTATTTCATCAGTGGTTGTAACTTTTTTTTCTCTCTCGAACGCCCACTGCTACATTTTCTGTGGTCCCCATGGGACATTGAATCATGGCCTTGAAGCGAAAGGCCTCCTTAGAAGGAGATTCGCTGCCATACAAACGACAGCAGCAAGCAGCTCTGGACATTGAGGGTAAGCCACCGATCCGGAGGTAATCGATAGCTCGAGCGCAAGTTCGAGATTGGAGACCTCTAAGAGATGGGACACTGCTGATAATTTAAACAGACTCGATCTACGAAGAAGTCCATTCAGATGCCGAATACTCAGCACCAGGGACCCCAAGTCTGATCAGTGATGATTTGAACGAAACCCCGGCGACACCATTTTCTACCACCTCCAGTCGTTATCCTTCCGAATTAAAAACCCACTACTGTCCATTCGAGGGATGTACCAAGGCATTCAATCGCCCGGCACGACTCCAGGAGCATATCCGTTCACACAATAACGAGCGTCTATTTCAATGTACCGCTGATGGCTGCGACAAGACCTTCTTACGTGCCTCGCATCTCAGTCATCATGTCAAGAGTGCTCATTCTGGAGTTCGAGACTATATTTGCGACCGCCCTGGATGTGGAAAGAGTTTTGTTACGGGCTCGCGGCTTCGCCGCCACATTGCTGCGCATGACGGACGAGACAAATATCGCTGCACCGAATATCCACCATGCGAAGAGACCTTCCGAAAACACTCGACTTTGCAGAAACACATCACGTGCGTTCATTTGAACCAGAAGCCGTTTCCCTGCGCTCATGTAGATCCGAAGACTGGGCATAAATGCCAAATGGCCTTTGATACGGCTGGTCACCTGCGAGCCCACGAGAGTAGGGTTCACACCGAGAAGCGGTTCAGCTGCGCTGAATGCTCTCAGAACCAAGAGGAGATGATAGCCAACGGCGATCTCGAGAATTCCGTTGAGCAGGCCGTTACTTTTCCTACATACGCTACTTTGCAAGAGCATATCCGAACAGTTCACCCGCCAAAATGCCCCAAATGTCCGATTGTTTGTTCGACGTCGCGAGAACTGCGGCGCCACTTGGAAGTAGCACACGGTGATGTCAGTCTAGATGAGAGAAAGGTCTTCTTTTGCACAGAGAAAGACTGTGACCGCAGCTTCACCAAGAAGGGAAACCTGACTGTGCACATTCGCACTGTTCATCAAGGAGAAAAGCGATTCGGCTGTGGTGAGGTTGATCTTTCTACTTCCAAAAAGGTTGCGGGCTGGGATGGCGTTGGTTGCGGAAAGCGATATGGCAGCAAGCTTGCTCTGGAAGAACATGTCCGCACTGCCCATCTTGGATATCCAAATGCCAAGGCCGAGCGACGCCAACGCCTTGGGTTGAGCAATCAGAAGCCACAGCCCCATGGGATTTCCACATTGGCCGCTCTCACAGGCCATGGATATGCGCAAGAAACGGGGCGACATATCACCTGCTTTTACGATTCGTGCGAGAATCGATTCCACCGTGATTATGATCTATGGGTACACATGTCTGCCAAGCATAGTTGCTCCGAGGACGAGATCCAAGGGCTCTTCATGCAGCGTGCTCTCCTCGCGGACCAGTATGGCCCCGGCGGCAACGCGCTTGGCATTTACGGCCTTGAGTTTGATTCCGACGTCACGCCCCTCTCCCACGATGCGAATACTACCCACGATACGTCGATGAATAACCAAGTCGCCAATCCAGGGCACCCAGCCCCCGAATCTGATTTTTTTATGCAAGACAATTTCCCCGCGGATGCGGGTCGAGATGTTGATTCTATGATACCCAGCCATGACGACATGGCGTTGGTTGATCCCGTTCTAGCTTACCATTTGATGGACCAGTGAGATTTTCATTCCTATGTCTTTTCACGCAGTTTTCGTGATTTGTCAAGTGCTATTGTGTATTTGAGCTATTTTGTGTTGTATCTTAGCCGGAGTCAAGGTTTTAATAACGAAGTCATGAATATTCTTTTACCATTTTGCTCCAAGTTCTTCGTGTCTTATCTCTCGTATTCACCACAAAGCACGCCAACGTGGGGTTGGGCAAGTATACTTGTATGTGCTCCGTAGATCTTGGCAGACTCTTGGGATTTGTGATGGCCAAGAGCCTTGGAAGATGGCGGGGTTACTGCCCAGGTGTTCGCCGTGGGAGGGGCTACTGCAGAAAGGAACAGGGGTGGTGACCGATCATTGTGAGCGATTTTATTTTCAAACTATGCTTGCTGTAAATTTGAATATTTCAGAATGGAAATTTCTACAGTCTTTGTATTCCAGGAGAAGGGGTTCAGACACGGCTCCATCTATATGATTGCGACCTTGACCCACTAGGCCTCCTACTCTAGGCTTGTTTCGGCAGTTCATATGCAGAGAAGAGGAGACCCTTGAAGTCTCATGTAGATCCTCAGATCTACGAAACATGCACCTACTGTGCATACTTCTCCAGATTTATTATGTACTAGAAGTCATATGTACTATGTGGTCGTTGAGGGAGCACGGGATCTAGAACGCCGTACGCCGTAAAGGGCTTGCAAAGTATAGCCCTATTTATTATTAGTGTTCAACGTGAGACACGCGGGAAAAGGGACCACCCCATGGACAAGGGTCCGGGCCCTGGCGCGGATCAAAAGTATGTACTCCGTAAGTAAGAAGGCGACCCACGGTGCGACCGTGTCTCACTTGATTGATACCTGAAGACCTTCAGGGTAAAGGCGAGCATCTAGCCATGAATTGCGAACCAATTTGGACGCCTCACTCAAAAAAAAAGTCTGCAGCAGAGATTGTACAGTACTCTGCGTATTGCGTACCTGGCGCATGGACATTGCGAGCGTGACTGTGGCCAAGTTACTAGCTCAGCCACAACTTTTTTCTCGGCGGAAAGGGTGCACGAGGGGACAAAAAAGGGAAAAGAGAAAACGGGAAGGCGGAGGGGATATCTCTGTAAGCGATCTCCAATGCCAGAAATGAATGAAATGCAGGCCAATCACACTGAGATCAAAAGAGGCCAGATTGCCTAGTCAATGAACTATGAACTTGACTGCCAAGGCCCCGGACCAGAGTGTAATTAAGTGCAATAAAGTGCAATATGGGCGAGATGCCGCCAATGTGGCGCTGGGCCCTGCGATATTCCCCTGTGCGGAGCGGAGGAGTAGAGGAGAGCAATACATACACAAGCTCGCCTCCTGGGCATGAATACATAGTAAGCTACTGTAGAGTGATCTGTCGGTTCATCGCATGCGTCTGAAAGTGGACCAACCAGGATGGCGGGTTAGATGGCGGTGTACTCGGGTGTGCTCAGGTGGGAACAAGTTGGCGATGCCACGCCAGGGAGTTGCGCGTCACCGGCAGAAGCAAAAGAGGAAATGGCCTTAGGGCGAAGCTTACGCGACTAAAGCGGCCAGGTCAGGTTTGGGTCGAAGTCAGTCGGGTAAGGCATCGGAAGGATTTGGGTTCGTCCTTAGCGTTGCCGTTGGTGGCGAGGCAGGCATAGCAGCCATATGATTAAACGACTGCCGAGTGGTGGCGAAAGGTTGAATACGGTAGTAGTAGTAGTAATAGTGCTCAGTATGGTGTATGGAATGGGGAAAGAGGAAGAAGAGAATTAAAGAAAAGAGAGAAGTAAACTGAAAACAAAGAATGAAGTTGTGTGGAGGCGATCTAGTTAAAACTGGCTAAGACATGCACTCCAGAGCTGCTAAATTTGGATTTTCTACGGAGAAGCAGGAGGCAACTCCACCGCCGATCCGCATGACGCACGGAGAGGGAGTACAATTTTGGCAATTTGAGAGAGAAAGAATGATAAATACAGGGTAGAGAGTACATACAGAGTACAATGAAGTATTTCAATATGTCTCAGTAGAAAGAAAAGAAAGAAAAAGAAAGAAAAAAAGAGCGTACTACTAGTACTAATTGTCCAACATTCCGAGTAAGCATAGCCCTCCGCGTAACCAACCTTGTCCCACTTGCCCACTGTGGATGGTGTCATGCCCAGCTTCTGCTCACTATTCTTTCTCCAGGCTGAAGGGTTCCCTCTTTCTCCTTCTCCTTCTCTCTCTCTCTCTCTCTCCCTGGGGGGGAAAAAAATAAGAAAATTCACCTACCCTTTTTCACCACCTCCTTTCCCTTGGAACCTCGTGGCTGTGTCGCAATTGTACTAGTCCCGACTATTCGCTACCTTTTGGGCCACGCAACGTCATCCACACCCTATTTGGCCTGCCCGCCTCCGAACTCCAACTCCAAATTCCAAACTCCGAACTCGATACTCGAAACCACTGGACCTTTCCGATTCTCCAAAATCCTGTCGCTCGCTTCATGGATTAACCTATCCCACCTAACCATCCCCATTTCAGTCAAACTCCGATTTCTCCCTCTTAACACCAACTGAAGACCGTGCGCTATCGTGGCTTTTTTGTGACCCTGTCCTTTGCCCACCCCCGGTCTTCTCTTAGCTTCTTCCGTCTTTCTTTCCTTTCCTCCCGGGGACCCTCTTCGTCCCTTTTGCAGCTTCTCAGTTGAAGTCGAGATTCCGACTGGACCGGTGATCTATCACCTACTGTCGACATGGGCCGCTCGCGTGGTATGTTGATCGCTCCTCTCGGGTGCTTCGGAGTCGGTTGGAGATCAACCTTATTAACTCTCCCTTGCGTCGTTCCTAGTTCTTTCGTTTATATCAACGTTCGGTGCCCCTAAAAACAATGACTCCGCAAAGGAAAATCGCAAAGAGAATCGTAAGTCGTCTAGCAATGTGACGCCGACTCAGACTCCGCCACGGTGGCAGACTCCCTCGCCAGACACACCCTCCCCTCCCTCCGAACTGTCGCCGGTCAATGGTTCAACTCCGAGAGGGGAGGCAATCGGATCGCGACCAGCATCTATGATCTTCTCCCGCAACCCGCCACTCGCGACCCAAACAGAGGATACCCCACCGGAGTTATCGCCGATCTTCACCTATCTCAATATCCACACCAACAAGGTCTATCAAGAAGGCTACTTCCTTAAGTTGAATGACCAGGATAACCGTACGTGATCCGTGTCACGATTCCAGTTGCGAATATAGAAAAGACTAACCCAAAGAAATGCATAGATGGACGACCATCCCTTGATCGCCAGTGGATGGAGTGTTATGCGCAGCTCGTCGGTACTGTTCTTTCCCTCTGGGAAGCTTCTGCGCTGGACGCGGCAGACGGTGCCGATGTCCCTGCGACCTTCATTAATTTAGCCGATGCGTCGATCAAAATGGTACGGTCTCTCATTCACCCTTTATGACAACCATTGATTCCACTTTCGTCGGCGTCCTGAATACCTCTAGCGGTGTACTGATTATGGATTATAGATCGAAACATTGCCCATCCGAAACGGAGCGGTTCAGCCGTTGAAAAACGTTCTCAGTCTCTCCTCTGCAGGAAAAAACCGCTACTTGCTACATTTCAACTCTTTCCATTCCATGACCCAATGGACCGCCGCTATTCGTCTTGCTATGTACGAGCACACCTCGCTTTATGAAGCTTACACAGGATCTCTCATTGCTGCCAAAGGCAAAACGCTGCCTGGAATCCAGAGTATTCTGGCTCCATCCAAGTTTCGCCATGAAGATTGGACTCGCGTCAGATTCGGTGCAGGAACACCTTGGAGGCGATGCTGGTTTGTTATCAACCCACCCGACGAAAAGGAGATCCAAAAGGCTCGCAAGGCGATGAAGAAATCCGCCTACGATCGACTTTCAATTCCCATAACCGGCAGCATCAGCTTCTACGAGACGAAGAAGACCAAAAAGGTCACACCGATAGCGACAGTCACTCACGTATACTCGGCGTATGCAATTTACCCCCAATCCAAGGCTCTGATCGAACAATCCACTTTGGTGAAGATGGAAGGCTTGGTGACTCTACATGCAGAGCGCCAAACTGCGGAGGGAATGGTCTTTGTCATGCCCGAGCTGCATGCCGCGGTGTCTGGGCTCGAAATGATGCTCCGGTTCCTCTTCCCGACATTTGACACATTTAATCTCTATGGACGTCCAACTCGCCTCGTGGCCGACACGAACCATATCAAGAGCATCATGTTCGCATTCCCCAAAGAACGTCGGTACGGTTATTTGGATGTTCTGGATATCGTGAATCTCCTGCAAATTCCAGGAAGCTTGAGTTGGAATGAAGCCCAGTGGAGGAGACAGCTGAAGGAAGCAACTCAAAGTCGAATGTCTACGGGCAGAAGCAGAACCAACAGCGTCAATAGCACCCGCCCTCGTTACCGTGCCAGCATTTCCGCTCGGACTAGTGATACGCCAACCGACTCATCTCGCCGCCCCTTTCAATCTCCTGAATCCAAGCCCGAATTCAACCATTCAACAGATGCCGTCATTCAAAACCCTTCCAAGATCGGTGAGCCCACGGGATACCATTCGCGTGGAATGTCGGATATTACTGGGTTCCAAACCGAGCGGAGGCCCGGTCATGATTCCATGGTGGATAGTTCCCCCGACTCGTCTGCCCAAGACCTAGTGCAGCGCGACAGAGCCCAGGCTCTTGCAGGGCCTATTACGGAGCATACTGGTTTCGAAGGCGAAAGGCATCCTGAGGAGGCAAGGCACGCGAATCGGTTCGCGGAGCGTGCGCCACGCACGCCACCATCTCCTGTCACCACCCCACCGGACTTTTCTCATGGCCCAAGATCCATGCCTACGAACCGCCCGGAGGCAACATACGCGCAGACCCGAGAGAACAACAGAATGTCTTACGCTACTCTTTCTCAGTTGACCTCCGTTGGGGCGATGTCAACTGTGGGAGGAGTTGCCGCGGCGCTTCGTAACCAAGACTCGGATTCCAGTATTGGCACCAGACGGCAAGCCCAGGCCACCAGTCATCCGCTCCCTGAACCGCCTTTCCAATCTGAAAGCACTCGTCTTGCACACTACTCTAGTGATGAAGGCCTTGGTCTCGCGCTTCCAGTTCGTCAGGCCCAGGTTGCAGAACAGCCCCGGCATATGGAGCAACGACCGGCGACAGCTAGCTCTGACAGTACATCATCACCTCAGCATAATCCGCAGATTGATGCAGCTAAGTCAGTAAGGCGCAAGCCCCTCCCGCAGCGGCAAGTATTTGGTGCGCCACGCTCTTCTCAGGATCCAGGAGAGCCAAGCTTTGATGACCTTCGTCATACATTAGACGAAGATGCATTGAATCGAATTGCACCTCACCTTCCCTCGCCAGTCTCTCCGACCTTTACCCAGGAGGAAAGTGTGTACGATGACGCATCCGCCATTTCACCTGATTACGCAAGTACCCATGATTCTGTTTATAGTAAGAAGTCAGTGAAGTCGACCAAGCCCCGAATGGGTGTCATGAAGACCGTGGGGCAGCCCACTAAGCAAGATCTTGTCATCGGAGATGCTCACTACACGCCCGACAAGCCTTCAGAGCCCAACTTTGATATCCCAACAGTGGATTTCGGGCCAACAATGACTTATATGCCTACGACCGGACGACCCAACACTGGCGACACTCTGAGAAAAGCTTCCAACCAGACAGATGCCGAGCGATACCGAATTAATGTTCCCACTAATCCAATGGGGCATGAGCGGTCTCCCAGCCAGGAAGATCACCGCCGACGAAGTGTCCTATGGCAGCCCGGAATGGCATCTGGCCGGCCTACAACTCCCGGTGGGGGCCTTACACCCGAGCAGTTTGTCAACCAGCGAGCTGCAGGAGCACCTAGCCCCCCCGCTGCATGCCCACCATCGTTCTGGGTCTAGCAGTAACACACCGCCGCTACAGCGGCCCGTCTCTGGAGATTGGACCCAACAAGCTCGGCCCAACTCGCGTATGACATCTTACCAGGACCCCAACTACCGTCCCTCCTCGCGCGGTGCGAGCACAATGATGGGCTATGGTGATGTCGCAAACCACCTTTCGGCTCGCGAGCAGGAGCACGTTGCACGCATGACAGGCTCTTCGTTCTTTGACATGTCAAGCAATAACCAAAAGGCTCAACCATCTGCCGGTGGGGGTCTCAGTTTCGTCGATTGATGCTCGTGAGCGCGAGAAGCGTGCCATGAAGGAGGGCTTGTCAAATCACATGGTTCAGCATGCGATCGCCCACCGCAACCAGCACATGATGCAGCAGCCACCTCAGCAGCAGCAGCAGCAGCAGCAGCAGCAATTTACGCCTCAGCAATATGCGTCCCAGTACGCGGGGTCTCTCTATCACCCTCAGGCCCAAGCCCCTGTCCGCCAGGGGGGGTATGTACAATATGCCTGCGGCTAGTCAGACCTGGGATGCCCTTCAACAAGTGAACCAGTCTAGCGAACCCCGCCGCCAGTCTTGGTACGGACAGCTCAGCCACGCGCCGCCGACACCACCTAGCTATCAACAGAGCCAGAACTACGTTCAGCAGGGAGGCAACTACTACAGCGGGGTCAACACCATGCATCATTAAAGCATGAGAATCTTCTTTGCTCGATCACTGCTTCTTATTTTATATTTCCTTGGCTTGCGCCGCCACTTCCTTTTTATCCGTCTCCTTTCTCGCCTTGCATTGCTACCGGCCTAGACTTAGATTTTCACGTCTCCGACTGACCACGGTCCTTTTCTTCGAGCTCCGTTATTTTCTTTTCATCTGCACCCATATCATCATTGCATCACTTCCTCGGCTCTGTTTACTTTTCTTCTTTTTTTTTATTGCTCATCCATCCTTCATTACTTTTTATTGCACTGCGCATCAGAACGGAGTTGCAAATCGGTCTGGCATCTTGCGATGGCGTCCTATACATTTTGTTCATGATCGCTACTTCTTGGGAACTGCTTTTATTCCTTATTCTCTTTTCCTGTCTATGTCGATGCTCACTTCTTTCTTTCTTGACTTTTTTTATGTAGATTCTTCCTTTTGCTTTGAATATGCTATGTACAGAAATTGCGCGACTACAGATACCGTCCACAGACAAACTTGTGCCATGTTTTCTTTCAAAACTGGGGTTTAATTTTCGTAGAAGTAGCTCTGGTAAGCAACTAGTTCCCCCCTTGGCGAATGACTACGCAAGGGGCGTGATTGGGGTTTTTACCCCGCGCTCGACTTTCTCGATTTGGCACCATCAACTCTCAACAATGGCGTCACAGGTTAAGACAGGTGTCTTTCAAACACTCGAGACAGTCTCCGAGGCGAACATCATCATCCGAGACAAGATATACGGCGAGCATAGCATCACCGAACCTGTGCTTATACATCTACTCCGAAGCCCCGAGCTATTACGCCTCAAAGGTATCTGTCAACACGGAGTCACTACATTCCTCGGCTTCGGCCCCAAAGTCACCCGCTTCGAGCACTCAGTCGGTGCATTTCTACTAGTGCGCGCAGTTGGAGCCAGTGTCGAGGAGCAGATTGCCGCCCTGCTCCACGATATCAGTCACACCAGTCTCAGCCATGTCGTTGATGACGCGCTATCCCAACCCGGAGAAGGAAGCTACCACGAAGTCCACAAATCCCGATTCTTAAAAACCACCCAATTACCTCAGATCCTCACACAGTACGGCTTTGGAAATCTCAAACCCCTCGACGAAGAATTATTCCGCCTCGTTGAAATGCCATCACCACACCTCTGCGCTGATCGGCTGGACTACGCGCTCCGAGACGCACTAGCCTTCGAAAAACTTTGCCTCGACCAAGTACAAGAAATATATCAATCTCTCAATGCATTCCCATCCGCTTCCTCTCCTACCCGCCTCCTTGTTCTCGAGAACCAAAAACACGCACTAGTCCTCGCTCGCGCATACCAAGCCACAGACCGAGATGTATGGTCCAATCGAGCACAGGCAAATCTGTATAAAAGAACGGGGTCGATAATTAGGGAACTGGTTTACTCGGGCCGTGTGGAAGAAGAGGCACTCTGGAATTTATCCGATGAAGATTTCTGGGCATTGTTGCGCCGGCAGGCGACGCCTGAGATTCTAGTTGAAATGGACAAGATGGAAACACAAGGTCTTCCGAATGAGGAGGAGTTGCGTTTACCCCGGGGTGCTAAGATTCGAACTATCGATCCGGATGTTTGTCAGGGTTCGCAGAAGAATCCCTTGCCTTTGTCGGTTGTTCTTCCGGAATGGGGTGTAGAGCGACGGGAATACATTCTTAGTAGGGAGTCCACGCGAGAATAGAACTTTGGAGGTTTGTGCGAAGATATTACTAGAAATGGGATAGAAATGAGCAGGATTAATAAATCAAATACGTACTGTTCAAATTTTCTATCAAGCCAAATACATTGTAGTTCAAATAAATTAACCATTGGACATCACTAGAGATCCTGGGAGCTACCAATAATGGTACCTAGTTTCTGCAAAGTTTCTACTATCAATACTGACTGGCTCTAAAACGCGAAAAAAAATGTATGTATTCTAGAGTATGCCTCGATAATAGATTGTATTTATTGGCTAGTCGAACACAAGTGCGGCTTTAATCACCAACTTATTCTTTATTGCGTCAAGGAAGCCCTGCCATTCATCCAGTTTGAATGTCTTGTTCACTTTTCCACTACTATTAACCCGCTTTCCATCTGCTCAATTTATTATTTGTTAATAGACCAGTCTTGAAGTGACAGGAAAATACTGACCAAGGTAGTTAATAGCAGCTGGAAACTTATAGGTCTGACTGAATGACCCTATCACATTTATCTCCTCTTTGAAAATCTTGTTCGGTGGTAGAGAAACACGATCGTCTTCACCATAAACTCCGTATACCACCAACTTACCGCCTTTTGTCACAAAGTTAATGGCATTTCCCAGAATTTTCGCATTACCTGTAGCTTCAACGACGATGTCGAAACCATACGGGTTCTTGGTTCGAAGTTCCTCCATCTTAGTAGCCGCTGCTTGTGCATCGCGGGGAAGCTCGATAAATTCATCGGCCGCGTTGAGAGACCTGGCCAGCTCCATCTTCAACCCAGCTGGCGCAGCAATGACAGTATGACACCCGCCATTTTGACGAAGAAGCTGAGCCAGAATAAGTCCCGTCGGGCCCGCGCCAAACAAAAGCACGCTGGAACCCATTTGAGGAGCAATCTTATCCAGTCCGTGGGCCGCACAGGTTGCGGGCTCTAACAATGTCGCATCCACATCCGAGAGGTTTTAGAATTTGAACACACGGTTTGCTGGGAACGAGGCATACTCCGCAAATCCTCCATCAACCATAACGCCATGAGCGATAAAATTCTCGCAGAAAAGCTCCTTGCCTCGACGGCAGTAATGACAATGTCCGCATAACTCAGAGTTATCTGCCACTACACGATCTCCGATATTGAAATTTAGAACCTTTCTGCCAAATGCTGCTACCACACCGACAGTCTCATGGCCAGGGACAAGAAGAAACTGGGCTCTATTGTCAGCAGCCTCTCCATGAAAACTTCAAGTTTATATTGACTTACCTGGGCTCCAAATTCACATCGTGAATAGGAAGGTCCGTACCACAGATTCCAGAGGCCTTTACTTTGATCTATCTAGCTGTTAGATGCTAGAATGCTGAACGTTTTGCTTGCGGCGTACTAAAACATCATGCTCGCGAATTGTCGGAAGACTCTTCTCAACGATGCTGAACTTTCGAGCTTCACTGTACTCTATAAAGACATGCGTTTCTATTAGCTCAATGTTTCCCAGAGAATTTTGAGGTCAACTATTTACAAACCCAAGGCTCGCATGGAAGGTGGAAGATCAAAGCGATTCGGTCTGTTCATAGTCCATTCAAACAACTCCGAATTACTTGAGTAGAGGAGTTGTCAAGATAAAAAGGTATGACATAAGAAGTAGTAAAGCCATTCGATAAAATACTTGTTTTAAACTTGGACCACTCATGTGCATGCGACATCTCAAATGTATGGAGTGGTCGGAATAAATCCAAACGGGAAATGATGGACGAAGTCCCCGAGACGGTGACACCGAGACGGGGATCACATAGTTGGGAATTGTGGAGACAGAACCCCGCATTATGTCCCGGGTTTGGTTAGTAAACAAAGAACTATGCAGATGTGCACATATCACTCCCCCCCGAGGTGGTGGCCTCATTTCCTTGCAGTACAGCCAGGGCAGGACAGAGCATGCGAGAGCACAGAAAACCGGTATCACCTGTCTAAAACAATTTATAGTTGTGTCTCACTGGTGACCTCGCGCAGTCAAGAGGGGCAAGAAGAGTGTAGTCTGGTCATAACGGGTCACCTCAGGTCGCTACGGTCATAACTCTCTCCGCCAACAGCCTAATATATCGCTTCATCATTACGCTTCGCCCTTCACTTAACTATGTCCTCCACCGACCGGCCTGTCGTGCGCCGCGATTTCACAGGAAAAAATCATGCTACGAGCTATCCCTTTATTTCGCCACTGGCACGGGACCTATCTGGACGGCATGTGCTCATCACTGGCGCCGCATGGGAGGACGACGTGGGTTATGCAACTGCCACTGCATTTGCTCGCGCTGGAGTATCCTCAATCGCTGTCATAGACTGACAGGGCGTCTCTGATGAACTTGTCTCCCGACTAAAGGCTGCGGCTGTAGAGGCAGGGTGGTCTGAATGTCAGGTAGTAAGCGGTTGTGTTGACATTTCTCGGTGGGAAAGCGTTGCAGCTCTCAAGTAGGCGATCGCGGAAGCCTTCGGACATCGGTTAGATGTGCTCGTTAACAACGCAGCACACCAAGAGCCTTACAGTCCCATCCTAGACACAGACCCAGATGTATACTGGAAGACTTGGGAGGTCAACGTCCATGGCCTATTCAATATGACGCGGGCGTTCCTCATGCTAATTGACACGCGCGCAAAATACGACGGCGTAGGCACCTCTGAGTTCCATTCATACCACCTTGTATTCGTTGATGAATCCGGATGTAATAAACGGGTGGGCCATACGTGGACTGGTTGGTCACCACTAGGCGTGACACCAGTGCAAGTGTCTAAATTTCATCGGGGTCAACGATATCAGATACTGCCAGCATACTCACAAGACATGGTCCTTTTTTCTCGTATTTTCAAAAGTTCAACCAATGTAGTGTTCTTCAAATCGTTTATCGAGCAGCTCTCCCGGCACTGTGGATGGCCGTAGCTAAAATCCGTTCTTATTATGGACAACACATCCTTCCATCATTCGAACTGAGCTAAGCAGTGGTGGTCTAACGTGAGACTCAGATTGCTATACCATAAATATAATAGTATATAATAGAGAAGAGTAAAATTTGCTACTTAGGGTTTAGGCTCTTGTTTCCAAAAGACATTATAAAATAGATTATTCAAAAGCAATGCCGGAGGTCGCTATCGTCTCCACGTGGCACAATAAAACTCCCTCAGTTGATACAGTCGAGAGCGTCGACGAGCTGGCGAATCAAAAGGGACTAATCCTTTCTAGATTTCACTAGCCAAACACGAGCAAAGGGATGCTTCAACAGATGTTTTGAAGTAACGAAGGTGCACCATCCTGAAAACCAGTGGACTCGCCTGTCGTGCATCAGAGTGAGCTCCTCAGGGCGATGCGGGAATATGTCTCGTCCATGGCGATTGTGATACTGGTATATGTCCCACAATTAGAAAGAGGCATTGGCGATATTTGCCGAGGAACGCCCCCCCCCCCAAACAGATAGTGTCCACAGCAGGAATCTAAATGCACCATGCATTTGAAAATAGGCAATGGCAACGCATAGGACAACTTACAAGAAACGAGCGGCTCGTGATAAAACGGTGGAATCCCAAAAATTAGTTTGAAATGCCCACCTGCCCAGGTGGGCATATCCCAGGTCATTATGCAAATCGGTAAAGCATGTCGTGTTCTCGAGCATGATGACAGTAGACTATCAAAAATGTAAAATTAAAAGTAAGTAGAAACAGCATCACTGTTTTTTTGATACATGAATCGAGTCGGCTTCCAATATAGGTTTTGAGCTATCGGCTTCGAAAAGTCTTTCTTTCCTATCCATATTCCAATCCGACTCTGCCATGAGCTCAGAACAACCCGCCTGGGTGCTCCGATCTTTCAGGCAAGGCGTCGAATCTGCTTCTGCAGGACTCTCCATTGTCAGTTGCTCAACAAATCGAGAAGGCTTTTTGCTTCTCTCTATCTCCGCAAGCACTAGTCCCGTGCGGTCTATCCGGACAGAACCGAGTTCAGGGTCCTCCCTTTGGTGTTCTTGGGCTGGGAATCGCCAATAGCATAGCAGAAGCCCGAGAGAAAAGCCTTGGAAGAAAACGAATACCACTATTTGTCGGGCAGTTTTCCCAGGTCCAGTCACGCTCTCACTGAAATCGACGGTTGATGATTGAAGGAAGGCGAGGATATCCCAAACAAACCAAAGAAAATTGAGGCCAAGGAAACAGCCGCTCGCGGCAACGAAAAGGAATGCCGACATCTGATAGCCTAATGTTAGGAATAAATGCTGTTGATGCAATACCAGAAACTTCCAGAAGCTTTAAAAGCTTCAGCACATACCTTGAACTTTATATAGGATGAATCACGTGATGTCATGAGGCCCAGGAAGATAGCCCAACCTGCAATCTCCCATGCGCTTACGCAGAAGACGACCCAACGTACACTATCGATCTTTTCCCAAACATCCATCCGATGGGCAAAGCTCGACTTCTCTTTCACCTCGGAGTCAATAGCGCCGACGTAGTAGGCCCAGTCAACAATGCATAGTACCACGAAGAGACTCACGGCCCCCCAATGCACATATTTGAAGGCCGACAAGGTTTTGGTGCTGACCTTTGTGACACGCTCAGCAAAAATATGGATAATTGCATACAATACGTGGAAAAGCAAACAATATGAAATAAAGGAGCAGAATTCGCCAATTAGCTGCGCAACGTTGTAGGTCTGTTTGGCATAGTGGGCTCGAAATGAGACGGAATTATACGCGAATGTACTGGCTTGGGATCTAGAGTAATTAGTCAGTATATTCTATGAATCCTCTGGGGTCCCGAGTATATTTACCCTGCCATGAAAAACATAGCTGCCAGTGTGGTTGTCACAGGCATAGGCTTCAGTGCATCTCTTCTTGATTTCTTCAAGAAGTAAATCCCAGCAGACACAATGAGCAATCCCACCAGTAGCAGGAGCATAAAGAACGACTGCACAATGAGCAATGTTCTTTCCGCGGATGGGGTATTAACCCAAACATGGGAATTCCAGGACGCTTTGCCAGATCCTTGAGCCGACATTCTCGGCGTTATTCCAGGCTAGCTGGAGAGAATGTCCCGTTAACAGAAAATAAACAACCAGAAGAAGAAGAAGAAGAAGAAGAAGAAGAAGAAGAAGAAGAAGAGAAAGAAAGAAACATCGAAAAACAATCAAAGTCTTCACGACATACGACATGTGATAGAAGCAATGCAGCCTCGTACTTATCTCCGACCGACGGCGGGTAAGGCGCCCCGGACGCGCGAAGCTTAACGAGCCCGCCTCGCATCGGAGATGATCCTTCGAAGATCTTTTCTTAGAAAAGTGTCCAGTCCACAAAAAATGGCACAAGTTAACCACTCTGAAAACCTTGATGGCCTGCTAGCCCGTCTCCGCTCTTCTGCTGGACTGTCGGAACAGCTTTTGACCTAATCATATGCACGAATCACGGATACCTGGCTGTCTCTATTGGTTATTTATTTATTTATTCCTCAGCGTTTTCACAACCTTAGGTCATATGTAGGCCCCTAGCTAGTGTGTACTGTTCCATAGGATATGTACATTTGATAGCTACCGAAGCTCGGACCCGCGGCTTCAATCAGCGCGCGACGTTGTTCATTTAGGTTACGACTCCTAATATCTGGAGAGCCCTCGTCTCTACAGGCTGGTCCAAAAACAAAAATTAGCTCGGTAACGAATTCGTAATTTCTTCTCCCTGTCAGAGCTTGGCTTCAAATTCATTCACGATCTCCTGAAGTGCAGCGGCTACCTCATTCGGCCGTGAAAGGAAGGGACTATGACCAGATCCTTCGAGAGTGCGAACTACCCATTTTCCCTGGCCACCTGCGCCCGCCACCATGCTGTCCTGCTGGTCGATTGGATTGACGACATCAGCCGTACACCTGATATATCCTAGTCTCCCAGTATAAGAGTCGTCTTCCCAGGCTTGAGGCGGCACAATGCCGATGTTGGCGGCCATGCTCTGAGGGCGAAGCTGCGGTACTGCCCAGTCGATTCGGTCTGCAGGCGCATCTGGAGGGAAAAACAAGCTGCGCGGATCTTTGGCGAGGAAGAGGCCTTCACTTGGCACGTTCCACATCACGTAGGGCAGGCCGCCCATGTCGCGAATGACCGCGCCTTGGTCCATGCCTCCAGGAAAGATATAGGCACACAGAGCGACCATCCCGAGAACGCCTTTGCCAGCCAGCCCCTTGATGGCAGCACTCGCAATCGGTCCTCCGTATGAATGCGCTAGGACAACGACGCGCTTACCCATAGATATCTGCGCTTCCACAACGGATCGTACGTGGGCCGCGTCGTCGAACTGCGTTATACCTGCTACCCCACTAACGCACGGTAGGTCCACGGCCTCCACAACGTAGCCGAGAGCCTCGAAAGCGGGGATTTGGAATCTCCAGCACCACGAGCCATGCCATGCGCCATGCACGAGAATAATAGTCGGTTTGGTAGTTGACGACATGGGAAGGAGTATAGCTAAGCAGACAGAATGATTTATTGGAAGAAATTGCGTGCCAAGTTAAAGAGTAGCGGAATATGTACTGTAGCAGTCAGCCGCTAATAACCCTAGATCCCGGATCAACACTATTCCTCTGGTTTTTCTAGTCCGTGTATGGATTCAGCTAAGGCGAGGTCCGTGAGGAGCGAAAGACTGCGCCCACATGTTAGCTACCTTGACGAAGGAACCAATTAGCTTAATTTACAACGAAATTAAGGCTTAGCTGAGGCTTGGCTAAATATAGATCATATGCACTCTTATGGGTGCTTAGGCTTATTATCTTATTTTATGAACCGAATTCATCGGTCATTACTTGCAGTGATAATAGTCAAAATGCGATTTTCGCTTAATACGAACGTTCCTGCTCATAAATATACGTACTGGCCCAGTGGACAGACGACATACTGCAGGCAGCTAGAGGTTCTGCACAAACTCGGCAACCTTTGCGGCGACGTCCCAAGCGCTCTCCTCAAACCCCATTTACCCTGGTCCCACGGGTGATATTCGGGGTAGTTCCGGGTTAGGTAAGCCCCTCTGCTTTATCTCTCATCCCCGCGTGACGATGTGACGACGTCCCCGAGACGAGGAAGCGTGGCAGTTGCTGCAGCAAAGATGAGCTTGCCTTTTGACCAGAGCGATGTCGATTATGCAGGGTTTGATGACACCGAAACGATGCATTCGCGATCACCTTATCGGCGGCCACGCATCCGAAAGTCTCGGGGTCGCGGCTTGCGAACGAGGAACGGATGGTGAGTCGTTTACTTTCCGAAATTGTCGTGCTTACTTAATTGACCTGGTCGATTAGCGTGCAATGCAGGAAACGGCATTTGAAATGTGATGAGGTTAAGCCAATATGCGGCGCTTGTGCCAGAAAGGACAATACCTGCGAGTTCGCCAGCTCGGGCCGCCACAGCACCAACGTTTCGGTCTCTAACAGGGCCTTCTCGAAGGCTACCCCCAAACTACCCGCAGAGCATATATCATCTCCGGTGGAGAATAGCGAGCATGCATCGAGTACAGCTCAGACGGACCAGGTGCTATTTGAACCCCCTGAAGCTACTATCCCAGCCGGGCCTAGTTCCGCAGTCGATACCAACCCCTCTCCGCTTGTCGAGTTTGATCAATCTACGGGAGACCAAATTAATTCGACTGAAAATCCATTCGCTATTCCAGATAACTATTTGTCACCTTCCAACGCATCGTCTGCGGCTGTACGATGGTTCGGGCTACTGGCGAATGATGCGGCTCGAGACAGCTCAACAGTGTGGACGATCCAAAATTCCTGGGCGAACCAAAGTCTCTCGTTGGACCACTGCGGTTCTGATGATCAAGCTCAACTTAGCTCGCTACAACGCGCCACTCAAGTACTGGACGGCCCTTCCATATACGGGAGTCACGACCTGACGCATGTTGGTGCGCCGGGAGCAAGCCCGCTTGAAGAAGAGCAGATTTGGCAGTCACGGGAGCCAATTGATCTTTTGCCAGCTGAGGCAACCTTGTTTGGACATTTTGTAGATCGAGTCAGCCCCTGGGTATGTTTGGTTTGCCCTGTTCATGACTTGGAAAGCTTAACTAACATTCAACCTCCACAGATAGATTTGTTTGACCCCATGGCCCGATTTTCTACGCTCGTTGCACACCTGGCTGTAGGCTGATCCTTAGTTTGCGAAGAAAATACCATACTGGAACTCTGACATAGAAACTGCAGATACACAATGCCGGCCTGATGAATGCTATACTCGCTCTCGCATATCGACATCTAGCTTTGAATCCACGTCTGAATAACCATAACGCTCCAAATAAAGAGGACTCGGCTCTTCAATATTATTATCAGACCCTCCACTATGTCCAAAAAGCTATGCGATACTCTGGGTACAAAAGAAGTCTAGAGCTGCTCGCGACCACATTGATCATCTCCGCCTACGAGATGCTTGATAACTCCACGAAAGATTGGGAGAGGCATCTAGAAGGCGTCTTCCTAATACAAAGATCACAGACCATTCATGGGGAGTCTGGGGGCCTACATTCGGCCGTTTGGTGGGCGTGGCTTTGTCAGGACATCTGGGCGGCTTTTCGTGAGAAACGCAAAACTCTTACATTTTGGGTTCCGCAGAAGCCGCTTTCTGTATTGTCACCATATGAGCTTGCAACACGCTCAATATACAACACGGCGAAGGTTATCAGCTACGCCGCTGAGGCTGCGACTGAGGCAGTCATCGGACGCCGAGCTGAAGAGGCGACCCGCCTCCGCCGGATGTTGGGTGATTGGCAAGAGCATCTGACCATTGAATTTTCTCCGCTGCCACTTGGCTCACGCCAGCAATCGTCGTACTTTCGACCAATTTGGATCCATCCACCTGTATTTGGTATGAACAAAAACACTGACCCGACCCTTGAAAAGTAGCTAACGCAAAAGATAGCTGTGGCGCTTCAATTCTTCAGTGTATCAAATATCCTATTGCTTGCTCATGAGCCTAGTTTGGGAGGCATGGAGCAGTACCTCGAACGGCAAAGAGTTATCAAGCGCTGCGTAGAGAATGTCTGTGGTATTGCTGTTACACTGAAAGACGACCCCTCTAGTCTCATGTCATCGCAAGCTGTATATATTGGTAAGTCCTTGCTGCCCTCTACTACCAAATAAATACGGCTAACTTCTTGAAATAGCGGGGAAGCTTACTCAAGACCAATATGCCCGAGAAGCTATATTAGAGCTACTAGAGTCCAGTCGTGAGCGGAGTGGTTGGCCAATTCGATCCTTGGGAGAGGAACTGCAGCATTTCTGGGAAGAACACGAGCCGACAAAACCGCAGCTGTCTCGAACTTAGACATGAGCTCAATTTTATAACTAATTGAATATTAAAATCTTTGATTCTATTGAAATGTCTACAATATGAGCAATGCCCCTTTCACAGTCGCTCCTAGCTGGACTCTCCAAAGTCGATGCTCATTAAGAGCAAAGATCTCCCCGTTTCTCCCAAAACAAAAATTTGCAACACCACCTTCAATAAGGACCCTGCCTAAAAGAACGCCACCCGGGTACCATACGTTGATACCATCCCCGCAACCACTGTACACATTTCCTTCAAGGTCACACTTGATGCCGTCTGGGATTCCTTGGTCCGCCATAGCAAAAAGACGTCGATTTGTGAGAAATTTCTCTCTGCCATACTCAGACATATCAAAGGCATAGCTAAGGTAAAATTAATATCAGTCGCGCTGTGTCCTCGTTGAATGAATATTCGGAGGGAGGGAATATGTCCTTACATTGAAGAAACTCGCTGATCATCGACTGTCCCGTCACCGTGAACCCGATCAGTATCGGTAATATAAGCGACCTTTTCATCTGGCGAGAAGCATATACCATTCGGCCTCCCAAATCCATCGGCCATGGCTCGAATATTCCCACTATCCGGGCACCATCGGTAAACTTGATTAGGCAAACGTGGAGGTGGGCGATAGCCTTGCTCAAAGCCGTAAATGGGATCCGTGAACCAGATTGAGCCATCCGTGTGTACAACCACGTCATTAACAGAATTAAACTGCCGACCGAAGAAGTCGCTCTTCAAAATCTCTGACTGATATGAACGTGTGGACATACGGTATAAGCCACTTGGCTGGTCCATGGAGCCTTGCGAGCAGAAAATAATGTCGCTCTGGCCGTAATTTATGCCTCCGTTGGCCATGGGGATATCAGTGGAAATCTCCTCATATGCCACTGGCCTTTTATTTAAATCCACTCGAGTGATATAGACCTTTTGCTCATTATTGGGGCCGACACATCGGTTACTAGTGATGTAAAGATTGTTGGTATCAGGAAAGAAGACTCCAGCCTCGTGAGCGAAAGGGTATGCTTGATGCTCTGCCAGGAGCTCTAGTGCCGGTGTGGGTCCAATAATTGCTGAAAAGCGCTTATCATGACTCTGAAAGCAAGTCGCAGAATCCGTAGGCATGATGAAGTTCAAGGAGCACGCGCACTGCTCGAATGTGAGCTCTTGGAGAGGCTGTCACTTGTCGCTGAAGAAGACAAGTGCAACAAAGAACTTAGGGCGACGAGGAGAACAGAAAAAACTCAAGGATCTTTCAATGCCATCAAGACTTCAGCAAAGGAGCTTTCGAAGAGAGGCCAGATTTGAAACCTCGCTGGGGAGATGGTGGGGTAGATCGTGCCCCGTCTCGAGGTCATCTCGTCGAATTTGGAGTGCCACATTTGTCGCCGGTCAGCGTTTTCTTAAATGGGTTCATTTGACACAATCAATGTATATTTTGACCTAAAATCAATACCTTACAGCTCTCTACAATCCCAAAATGTCCTGGAAAAACGCCAACTGCCATACGCGCATTCTCCGCGATGCCGAAAATGGCCACTATGGGGTCATTGCCGCCATCGCATACAACATCGAACAAATTTTGGGCCTAGTCAAAGCAGCAGAAACTGCACGCTCACCACTCATTATTCAATTTTTTCCTTGGGCCATTGAATCTACAGATGGCTTGCTGATACGTGCCGCTACCGACGCCGCCAAGCGTTCAAGTGTGCCTATCAGTATTCACCTCGACCATGCTCAATCTCCAGCAATCATCAAGCGTGCAGCAGAGCTTCCCTTCGATAGCATTATGGTTGATATGTCACATTACGAAAAGGAAGAGAACTTGCAGAAGACCCGAGAACTGGTTCAATATTGCAATGAACGCGAAAAGGCCACGGAAGCCGAGCCGGGTCGTATTGAAGGAGGAGAGGACGGAGTCATGGATACAGCGGGACTGCAAGCTTGTATGACAACCGCTGAGGAGGCAGACGAATTTATCGACACGGGTGTGGATGTCCTCGCCCCTTCGTTTGGCAATGTCCATGGTGAGTACGGCCCGCGCGGTCCGCAGCTGGATTTCGACAGGTGAGTCTGAGTGATTATCGTTTGTGATATAGAATTTGCTAACCGCTGAATCGTTAGATTTGAAAAAGTCAAAGCTCAAGCAAATGGTAGAATTAATTTGGCTCTACATGGCACCAACGGATTTGCCCCGGAGCTGATGAAGCGCTGTGTGGCCGCCGGTGTTACCAAAATCAACGTGAACCGGCTGGTCTTAGATGACTATTATGACCACCTTCATGCAAATGTTGGGAAAATGCCGCACACGCAGCTTATTGAAGAGGGAATTCAGAAGGTGACAGATCTCACCATTAAATGGATGGAAATCTGTGGGTCGGCGGGTAAGGCATGAATGGCGTGTCGAGTTTGCACACAATCAGGAAAGAAACCAAAAGAATAGCTTCTCAGTGTCAAGAATATCATTATAGAATATTTAGATATTATTGTGTATTCTTCTTACAGTCCTCATATATTGACCATGGTACTTGTAGTTTTCGCTTCTTGGGAATTACTCAAGGGCTCAGAATAGCGACGTTCGAGCAACTCCGCTTCCAAAGGCTACAGACTCGGTTACCTCTAGGTAAACGGTAGACTTAATGGACTTGAACTACTACAATTATTCTAGTAGTAGTAGAAGATAAAAATATACCAGTATATTTCCCGTCGTCTTGATTACTCATGTGTATTTCAATAGGTTACATCACGGAGAGAGCTGATATTCTGCAATCACTGCAGGTTACTGAACATCCCACCGTCAGCCAATAGTCCAGTAGCATCCACATAACGGCTCATCTCTTCACAGGCCAGGAAAACTGCAGGGCCTGCCATGTCCTCGGGGTTGCCGATACGACCGAGTGGAATGCGCGCCTCAAGTGCGGCTTTTTTAGTGGGATTCTTCATATCATGATCGGCCAGCTGGGTGGCAATGGTACCAGGCATCAATGCATTGCATCGGATCTGATAATTTCCTAGAGATATCGCCATAGATTGCATCATTGATAGAATGGCAGCTTTTGTAGGTGTATAATGTGTTTGCAAGCCACCACCAACTAGGGCGCTGACAGAGGAAATGCCGATAATCGAACCGCCATGCCCTTGCTTCACCATCTGGCGAGCGGCAGCTTGGCAAGAATAGAAGCAACCTTTTACATTTACATCAACACTGTGATCAAGAAGGGCTGGCTCGATCCTAGGAAAATATGTTAGCGCAATCCGATCTATGCCGTCAGAAATCCACCGAGACCATTGGAAGGTTTCGATCTCGGTATTTTCAATTTGACTTACTTGAGAAACTCTGCTTGTTTGAAGACACCCGCATTGGCAACAAAAATGTCCAACTTGCCCCATTTAGAGACAGCTTCTTTGACCAAGCTGGAGCCAGTCTTATGGTTTGTCACGTCGCCAGATAGTTCAAATATTTCGCCGGTATTGATGCCCTTGTTCTTGATCGCTTTGACCTCCTCAAGAAGACTGTGCCGATGCCTTTCATCTTGGGGCATTCCTAAGTGGTTGACTGCGACATTACATCCTTGGGTGATATATGCCAGAACAATTGCGCGACCGATTCCAGTAGTACCGCCAGTGATTGCCGCAGTTTTTCCCTTGAGAAGGTTCCAAGCAGGAAGCGCAGCCATTGTAAACCGAGCTTATATGAGTGAATGGGTGAATGAGTAAATATGACAGCGCAACAGGTTGATAAGATGAGAACCGAAGATAATTAACGATTCTACTGAAACGAAAAATAAAATGTGGTGAAGGCTTGGGATATCCCCCACATTCGGTCCTCAATTCAGCCGAGACTGGCTTCTTCCATCCACCCCTCTTTGCCTCTGGACTGGGGATGACCCTCTTGTCTCGTCTCGCCCAATGATGACGCAGATAGTAGATTTGTCGTCTCGGGACACAAGGTTGACCCATCTTGTGTCGTCTCGGGAATATACCCACGTTCTCCAACATTTCCCGTCTCGGGCGACCCTCGACTCGGGAGGTGCGGAGTATAGTGAGAGCAAATGATGGGTTTTGGATGGGGGTTTTTGACGAGAAGCTGAATACAACTGTTCTTTGTGATTTATAAAAGGCATTTGACTTTTGTCTAATTCTTCTCAACCTTGTCTTCGTGAAATCTTCAATTACCAACCTCTACGCTCGTCTCATTTCACTATGGCTCCCTCTGTGACCTCCGACCAAGTGGCTGTTCCCCTGGCGGGAAATGCTCCCCAGACCCAGGTCACTCTCGGTGGAAAGGTGATCGCTAGTAGGTGTATTTGCACGATCTGGTATACGGAATATTGTCAACTAACGACGATTGATATTAGTTACTGGTGCCAACCGCGGTATCGGCCTTGGTATTGCCGAGTGCTGTCTTTCCAACGGTGCAGCCAAAGTCTATTCTATTGACATTGGAGAGACTGGTGACGATTTCAATGCTGTCTCCAAGCGCAACCCCGGCCAACTCTTCGCTGTCACCGCTAACGTGACCGACGAATCGACTATCACGACTGCGATCGATAAAATCATCGAAGAAGCTGGTGCTCTCCATGGAATGGTGGTCAACGCTGGACGTACACACCACAAGGCCGCTCTCGACTTCACCAAGGAGGATATTGAAACTCTGTTTAACGTCAACCTCTTCGGTGCCTTCTACACCGCACGCGCTGCTGCTCGTGCATTTATCAAGCTCGGAATCAAGGGATCTATTGTCTTCACAGCATCAATGGCCTCCTATCGTCCCAATAAGGTTAGTCTCAATCAGAGCGCGTTCTTTAGAGTATTTTTAACATTCCTTCTCAGCGCGTTCCTTCTACCCCGTACGGTGCCTCGAAGGCAGGCGTAAGGAACATGACCCATACCCTGGCCATGGAGTGGGCGCAATACGGCATTCGTGTCAACAGTGTATCTCCCGGTCTAGTGAAGACAGCCATGACATACTGGGTGCCTCAGCAACCAGATTGGGAACAGCAGCTCAAGTATTATGGTGGATTTCCTCGACTGGCCGAGGTACAGGAGCTCGGTGGCGCCTACGTATATCTTTTAAGCGAGGCCGCTAGCTACACCACCTCCATTGATATTCCAGTCAATGGTGTTATAGGAAGTGAGTATTCTCCAGTCTCTCTTGAATTAGAATCGCCATGCTAATAATCCCAGTTTGTTAAATATTCCCCTCGTCAACGAAATTATGACTGGAAGTGAGTCTGATCCGTAGATTTGGAAACATTTGCTGCTTCCTGGTTTGATAGAAATATAGTCGACATTATAATGAGGGTTTATATATGTATATTTGAGATCTTAACGCACACCCTTGTAGCCCGTATGAATTGAATAAAGACATCTGACATGCATCAATGAAAGGCAGTGTTTCTTGAAGAAAATTTCGAGACCGCCAGCTCTTGTACAAGATATTCTACAGTCAGCGCTATAATACTCGATGAAACATTTATGGAAATTGGCAGATACAAATAAAAATAGAAGGCATAGGACCTCCAGGGCTATCACAGGCATTAGCATATTACAATAATACAATAACCAAAGAGAACGGCCTAGATAATCGGGCACCTAAACAAGCCTGAATGCCCTTGCCATTATTGGGATATAGATGCGAGAAATTTTTACCTTGAGATTTTATGAGTACTCAGTTATCTGCGAATTTCCAGCGGCGTGAAACAAGAACTGATGGGGACGTCCCCCCCCCCCCGTGTCGGCGTGGTGGACGCGAGACGAAGAGACGAAGAGATGGGGAAATGCCAAGAATACCCCGTAACGGAATGGCCGTGGGGTACACTCCACATCCCATATCAACCGCCATCACGAGATGTGGATTTTATCAAAGAACTTGGATCGAGAGGGCTATCCTTGCTCTCCGGCGGTCTTCATCGCAACAGCCAGGCACGTTATATGCTCCAGAACTATGAGGTACTTTACCATATGCTGTTTATGTGAATTGACGATACTTTTCGTAAGTATTTACTATCTAATTGGTTACATAGATGTAGCCTCTGCATCTATGTAACTCCCGCGGACGTTTGAATACCTGAGATATGTACGTAGCCTTGTTTGAGGTTATACGAAGACGGAAAATATTCTCAGAACTGGTATTCTTCCTCGATAAAGGTCGCATTGGTGCTTATAGACTCCCTAGCTTTTGCCCCCTTGTACGCATTAAACACTCGCTGAAAACCCGGTAACGTAGTGGCCGGATGCCCCTCTAGATATCCGGTTACTACCGTTCCTATTTTGAAGAAACCCAAGCTCTTGGAAAACACGATAGATCTTTGCGCAAGCTCGTAAAAATGTATAGAACACCTCGGAGAGTCCGAATGATTGTGCGATGTCAAGTTATTGTCGCTGCTGTGGTGTGATTCCAAACTGGACCAATCGGAAGGAGTCATACCACACCCGGGAGTATATAAAAAAGATTGCCACAAGGAGATAGATAATTTCTGCAATCTTCAGCTTAGATCGGACTCCAATCAATTCTTTCTGTTTTTGACGCCAATTCAGACATTCCAATATGTATCCGTCGCCCTCTATTGTAATCATCGGTGCCGGTCCGAGTGGTCTTCTTTTCGCACGTCTCCTTGAAGTTAATGGATTCAAGAACTATGTCATTTACGAACGTGACGAATCATCATTCCCAGGCCCATGGCAGCAAGGCGGTTCATTAGATATTCACGGCCCGTCGGGTCAGCAGGCACTCAAGGAAGCCGGATTGTTTGATGAATTCAATGCAGTCTATGCTCGCTGGAATGCCTCGAAGGTCCGCATTCTCAGACCATCCGGGGAAACATCAATATGCTTTGGCGAGGATCGTAACGCACCAGAGATTGATCGCTCGCAACTACGCCAGCTTCTACTCAACTCTATACCCGCGCACAAGATTAAGTGGGATCACAGTGTCTGTCGTATTGAGAGGAGTAGCAATGACTCCAGCGATGGTGCCAATGGCTACATCATTCATTTTACCAATGGTAACTCGGCCACTGGGTTTAAGCTTATAGTTGGAGCTGATGGAGGCTGGAGCAAAGTCCGCCCTCTGGTAAGCCAACCAATCTAGAATCCAATCAACAGAAACCGGTATTCCAACTCATATTTTCAATCCGCAGGTATCAGCAGCTCAGCCAGTTTATTGCGGGAAAATGTACATCGAGAGCAAAATCTCACACAATAACAGAAGTTACAGAGCAGCCTACGAGTTGGCTGGCCACGGCTTGATGATGGCGGTGGGTCCAAATCGAAGCTTAGCCATCCAGCAATCGGCGGACGGTACGTACAAAATGTACTTTGGCATCACTGCTGCTAAAGACTTCTATGAACACCGTAATGGCGGTGCCACGAAAAAGTCTGAAGCTGTGCGACGATTGATGTTGTCTTCGGACGAGTTCTACGCGAATTGGGCACCGCAGCTTAAAGCTATTGTAGCTGATGGAGAAGGACCATTTCGTGCCTGGAGTTTGCACTATCTGAGACCGGAAGAAGTAGATTGGGACCGCGGTGCTGCTCCAGGCGTGACCCTACTTGGGGATGCGGCGCACCTTTCAACTCCTTTTGTGGGAGAGGGAGTGAACTGTGCCATGTATGATGCTGTACTCTTGGTTAAACGCCTCGTTGAACTTTGTGGCAAAAGTCCCGATATTACGACCGTGCCAGTTTCGGAATTGGAAGAGGCCCTTGCTTCATACGAAAAAGAAATGTTTGAACGTGGGCGGGACTTGATACGGCGCAGTATGAAAAGTGAAGCAATGCTTTTCGACGAGAATGGGGAGGATAATTTCCTTGCCTCGATGCGTGGAGAACGCGAGAAGCTGATTTATGACGGGAGAACTTCCACCCGTACCTAATAGTAGTCGTTCAGCATTTGATCATCTGGCACTGATTTGCCCGGTCTTCTACAGGAAACACATAGTAGCTTAGAATTCAGAATCTGTTTTGCGGTGCCATTTTCCGATACAGATACATATATGAACCCAAACAAACAAAATCAGTGTATATAGGTATTCGAAAAACGCCATAGTGCCCACTTACTACCATCCCCGATGCATTCTCTTGTGGGTATGCAGCTCCATTGACATATCTTTCTAGCTTCAAGGCTACTTTGGTTCAGCTTGAATGCAACTTCTTGATGCGCATGCTACCCTCGTATAGACCACGGTCCAACGCAGCAGCAACAGTGAGAGTACCTCCGATAATGGCACAAACACCGGTCAGGAAGCCGGTGAAAGTTTTCGGTCTGGTTTCACGATTGATGACCTTCATGGGAGAAATATCATAGTTGAAGAAGACGCCGGGAATACCACCAGCAGCATGCATGCGTTCTTTATGGCCATCGGCGGCATCGTCACCACCTAGGAGGGAACGCTTGTGTGAAGTGACTGAGTACTGGTGAGCCTCGATGCTTCCCTGGGCACCATAGGCGAGGCCATGGGAGCCAAGAGGTGCCTTATCGTATGCGCTATGGATCGCAGATGAGAAGAGAGGGTCCCATCCCAGTGGCAAGTATGAGGTCGAAACAACCTTGACAAAGTACATGAAATTGAATTTAGGCTCATTAGTCGCCTGCTTGGTGTCGTCAAGCGGGTTAGTGTGGTGGTGATCCGACCACTGCCATCGGTCAGCGAGTTCTGCGGGAAGAGAGGGCCCAAATCGAAGCTCGTGGATCTCGTGGCTCATGGTATGCTGCTCGTCGGGAGGGGTGCCGGGCACATCGTAGTTTTGCAGGTCGTGGGCATGCATGTTTTGGTTTGTAAAACTACGGCCAGGCGCAATGTGGAAGTTGCCCACCACCTTGTTGACACGAAGCACGCCTTCCACTCGGCAACCCTCACGGTGCATCGCCTTGAGCTTATCCTTGTAGCCCTCACGCTCGCATTGCTCGACGTTGTCACCAACGCCGAAAGCCCATGTCTTTGACGCGTATGCTTCTCGGACTTCATCACAAGTACTGCAGCAGCCGGCCTTGATAGCGTTGTCTGGCGCTGTGGCTCCGTAACAATCACCACAGTAGTCTGGGGCAAGATGCGCCGCCGCATCTGCAGGGGAGTGTCTGGACATCAAGAAGGATAGAGTAAGTCAATGATCCAGTCACAGGGCCGGTTCTGCTTTGCGATCACGAAGAAGGAACTTACAAATCAAGGGACTGAACATCGATGACACGGCCGCCTTCTGAAGGCGGGGACAGTCGGACCTTGTTCACACCATGCGCAACGCCTGATTGTAGTTCGCCCGAGACATCCATGACGTCCAAGGTCAAGAGTTCGCAAGGTAAACGCGGGAAAGTCATATTCAAATGGATCTCCATTCGTTCGCCTATTCAAGATGTATCGAATGTCAGCCTTTTCTCTCGGACACGCCTTGAATATCTGCCAATCATGTTGGGCAATTGCTTACCTCTCGACTTGTCAACGACGAGTTCAGGCTGCACCACAATCCGCCGATAATCCGACCATTCTCCCCATACCAGCCAAAAGACTACCAGAAGCGATGCGATGGTAATAACACCTCCAGAGTTCGTACGAATGCGCGCATCTTCGACGGTCTTGGCGAAGGCGTCAAGTCTCGTAAATCGCGATTTTGCAGGCATTTTGCCGGTCAATTGAAGACCATAGGGCGAGCCAATATGTAGGCGAAAAGTCTCAGAGAGCGTCAGCAGCGCGATTGTCTGGCGTCAAGGCGGGGAAGTTAGCAAAGATCAGATGGTACGCGCAAGCTATGAAGTGAAACCAGGAGACACGATCATTCGGGCAGACATCAAAGAAGAAGAGAACGTCGAATGGAGAGACATACCTGGACTTGATCGAAACAAATCAATTGGCGCGTGTAATCTGAGGTCCAGCAGCCGAGGAGGAGGGCTGGTGTGTAAGTTGACTGCAAGTTGGCCTTATCGAAGTAGTATATCAGCGCCGATTGGCTTTGGCCCCATTCGACAATAAAGACGGAGGAGTGGCAGGTTTTGATTGGCCAATGGGCTGACTCATCTCCCCATACGCACGTGACAACTGCGTTCTTCATGACGCATTGGTCACGTGAGGCGGTCAACATTCACTGAAGAAAAAAAGGCCCCAGCGTCCGCCTGATGCGGCGCGCAAAACTCCGTGGCGGGAACGCTGCCTAAATCTTTCTTTGGAAAAGTGATTTTAACAGCTTCTTTGTCTTATGTTTTACTTTCCTCCGCTTTGATCACCGATTCTCTACAACTTCAGTGAATGCGAACGACTTCGCCCCGCTCGATCTAGGTGGCTGCGCAACGCGCAAAGTGGTCCGAGAAGACCTGCCTCTCCTCCTCTCTTCTACTCTTCGCTCCTTCCCAATCATCAGCTTTCCTTTTATCCCTTCTTCCATCACCTTCTCAGGCTGATTCATCCCAAAATATGAAGACCATGAAGTCTCGTCGACCCGGAGGCGCATCTGGCGGGGGCATCCGCAAGCGGGGCCCAACCCGAACCGATCGAGATGGTGATATGGAGATGGATAATAGTGCGCGCGGGGGAAGGCGAGGTCGCGGCGATTCTGGTCGTCCCTCTCGAGCAGGTGGAGGACGGTCTTCTGGTGGAGGTCGACCTCAAACACGCGACAGGACTTTGAACGCCATTCAACAAGCTATCTCCGAAAACAACAACAAAGGTTCTGCCCAGGCCAATGTCCGACATGGCAAGGGTGGTAAGGGAAACAGCACGCAAATCAGCATCACTGGTTGGAAGAATAGCAACGCCTCTACCAAACGCGATGGTGGTGTTGAGAACCTCATCTCCTTCTGCGAACGAAAATTGAATTCGGCACCTAAAGGATCCCGCTTCAAAGTCACAAAGGTAAGTCCCTGCGGCAGCGCGGTTGCCACACACGAATTTCGACTCTATATACCCTCGCTACATCCGACTGTTTCCTGGTTATTCCCCAGAAAAAGACCCGAATAGCCTCCCACTTCGCAAAACGGTCGACAACCATGGATTACACCAGTCTCCCAGATCTCTCTCTCTCTTCTTGATTTTAGCTTCGCTTATTGCAATCCCAAGTTATTTTACGCTTTTCTGACCTTCAATTAGTCGCGGGTTGAAGGCGATATCCTCGTGGTTTCCGTCCACCCCGAGTGGACCGAGCGCCTGCTTCAACTCAATGGCAAACTTTTTGCAGGCGTCAACATTACCGTCGAGCTTTACGATTCTTCAACCGCGGTACTTGGTCAGCAACTTGCCACCTCCGGCGGCGCATCAGCTTCGACAGCAGATACCAAGCTCAAAATCACTTCGATTTTAGGCAAACGCTTCAACCCTGCGGCGAAGCTCCTGGACTTGTCGAAACTTGTCGACGATACCGATCTCCAGGCCATGGGTATCTTCAACAGCACCACAACCCAGTCAAAGTTCTTTCCTGCCATGATGAAAGTATGGGAAATGCAATTCACCAGCTCCTCCGAGCGGCGAGAGGCAGTAGAGAGTGTCAGCTTGGCCCAGAACCAGCTCGCAAATGTCTCCGTTGTGACAACCATGGCTCAGACATTTGCCGACATCAAAAATTTGGACCTTTCAAACAACAACTTCAAGGATTCTCAATCCATGATCGCCTGGCGGTGGAAGTTCCGTAACCTTGAGTTTCTGGATCTGACTGGCAATGACTTCAGCTCCAAGCCAGACTTCAAGGCCACAATGCTCAAGTGGTACCCAAAATTGCAGACTTTGAACAACGTCCAGGTTCGTACTGCAGAGGAAATTGCCGCTCAGAAGAAGACCCCCATCCCTATCCAGGCACCCCACTTCCAAGATGATTCTCAAATCGCCGAGAATTTCATCCGAACCTTCTTCGCTAGTTACGACAATAACCGCAACGATCTCATCAACCAATTCTACGACGAAAACTCCAAGTTTTCTTTGAACGTCAACGTCCAGGCCCCCAAAGTTCAGCAAACCGAAACAGCGGGCTGGGACGCATACATCAAAAGGAGCAGGAATCTTTCCAAGATCACCCACTTGAGTGCTCGTATGAATCGCATCTACACCGGTCCCCTAAAAATCGGCGAGATGTGGAATAGTCTTCCTCAAACACGTCACCCCGACATGGCCACCCAACCCGAACAGTTCCTGGTCGAGTGCCACCTAGTGCCTGGTCTGCCCGATCCAACAGGACAGAGCCCTACCGGAGTCGGTGGCCTCATTATCACCGTACATGGAAAGTTTGACGAAAGCGTTGATGGCAAGGTTGAGACGCGCAGTTTCGACAGGAGCTTCATTATTGGTCCAGGACATGGCCCCGGTGGTATTCGCGTCTTGAATGATATCTTGTGCGCTCGTGCCTACGGTGGCCACGAGGCATGGAGTCCTGAGAGCCAGCCCATTCCCCAAGCCATGGCTCCGATACCTGCTATTCCCGCCAACCCTGCTGCTTCCATTGCACCAGCTGCGGCGACGGCGCTACCCGGATTCCCCGAAGGATACGGTGCTCCGGCGCCTGGCAAAACCGAGACTCAAGTTCAGCAAGAACAGCTCGTCATCCAGATCAGCACGAAGTCCGGCATGACTCTTCAATACTCGGAGATGGCTCTCTCCGGTAATGGCTGGAATCTCGATGCGGCTTGGAAAAACTTTGAAGAACTCAAGGTAAGCAAAATAGACTGAATTCATTATAACCAATGGCATTTCGATACTAACAAATTCTCACAGGCGCAGGGAGCTTTACCCCCTACTGCTTTTCTCAATGGAGGTTAGCCTTCATCCTCCGATTTGATAATGCCCAACCACCAATCCCACTACGAAACAAATCAAAAAATCCATCATTTTTCGCTAGCTTCCTGCGGAATATCTTTCTCGAAACACCATAGCCTGAAGCTCTCGAGACCGCAATGGAGAATCGGATGATGCTATGGAGCATGACGCATCCGAAAGGCTTTGAATAATTTTGCATGGCTCAGGCGAAAGACAGTGAATGATTCGGGACATGTCCCTCTGTATTTTAGAAATTTGCCCTACTACTGGCTCCGAACAAATAACACACTCAAGAATATTTTCTCCCAGTGATCTGTAAATCTGTACATAGCACATGATATGTACATACTACTAGTACTACTGTAGTAACCTACTAGCGCGGGATGTTGCGTAAGGTGCCAAGCGGCAAGCGGCCCAGGTGGCTCCCGACTTGCGCCCGCGCGCTTGATCAACGTGACCCCATTCCCCCATTCACTCCCCCATTTCGCCCTCACGGAACTCTGCATTGGCCTGGCGCAACTTTGTTTTGTTGCTGGGAGCAGAATGATCTTGGTGATCTAATGGAATGGTTGCAATCACTTCTCCAAACACCGGCCATATGCCTCCAAACGAGGAGCCCACCCTCGACGCCTTGGATGCAGGTATCGGCCCTCCCCAATGCCATGATACACACTCAGGAAAGCTGACCAGACCTCTTTCAGTGAACTATGATCCGGTCGACCATCTGAACGCTATCTTCTCGCACCCCTCCACCCTCTCCTCCGTCTCCCAGATCTCCGACGCTCTCCATACCTACGAAGATGAATTGGACTCCGACATTGGTACTCTTGTGGAGGAACAGGTCACCTCTAATGCTGAGAGCGTTGAACGCATACAGACAGCCAAGGCTGATCTGTCGGAGCTGTTTAAAAAGATCGATGATGTCCGCGAACGCGCCATCAAGACCGAACAAGCCATCACAGACATGACCGCCGATATCAAGCAGTTAGACAATGCGAAAAAGAACCTTACTCTGTCTATGACTGCGCTCAAACGCCTTCAGATGCTGACCACTGCTTATGATCAGCTTCAGGCGCTTAGCCGGACGCGACAGTATCGGGATTGCGCACAGCTCCTCGAAGCGGTGATCCAGCTGATGGCTCATTTCAAATCATATCGATCGATCGACCAAATCGCAATTCTGAGTCGGAATGTTGCGGATATCCAGCGAGACCTCCTAGAGCAGGTTTGCGAGGATTTTGAGATGGCATTTGCCAAGGGAGAAGTGATGCAGCGCAAGGTCATACTTTCAGAGGCATGCTTAGTCGTGGATGCACTAGGCGAGCATGCTCGTTCTCGACTTGTGACATGGTACTGCAACACTCAGCTGCGCGAATATCGCCAAGTCTTCCGCAATAATGAAGAGGCTGGCTCCCTGGATAATATTTCTCGTCGATACTCATGGTTCCGACGTATCTTGAAGATCTACGACGAGGAGAACGTTGCGATCTTTCCAGCCCCGTGGCGTGTCAATGAAATATTGGCCAATGTTTTCTGCGAGGGAACACGAGATGATTACAAGGGCATTCTCTCGCGGTCTGTACGAAGTGGCCAGACAATCGATGTCAATTTGTTACTTTCGTGTTTGCAAGAAACACTCGATTTTGAGCAATCACTTGAGCGTCGCTTTGCGCCCCCGCGGCCATCTGCAGATACCTTCGCCTCCGCCGAGACCCCAGCATTCAGCCAGTCGATTTCTGAGGCATTTGAGCCGTATTTGAGTGTTTGGGTTGACGCGCAAGACAAGCAGCTGGCTGGACTACTGCCTAAATATCGTCAACAGCCCCTGAAGGCTCCAGATGAGGAGTTCAATTCCCATACCGTGGTTTCATCATCTACTGAATTATTCACGTTCTATCGACACTCTCTACAGCAATGCGCAAAGCTTTCAACGGGTGGTAGTCTGGCAGAGCTTGCAAAGGTTTTTGCTAAATACCTCGACCAGTATGCTCAGCAGGTTCTTCTCAGCTATATCAGTGAACGCCCATCTGGTCATACGCCATCTAAAGTTCCATCAATAGAAGAACTGGTGACCGTTCTGAATACTGCCGATTACTGCTATTCTACGTGCACCCAGCTGGAAGAAAAGATCAAGGGCCGACTAGACGAAACTCTCAAGGAAACGGTCGACCTACAGAGCCAAGCCGATTCTTTCATGGGAATTGCATCTGCGGCTGTCAGAGGGCTTGTCAAACAAGTAGAGGTCGATCTGGAACCGTCCTGGCGTGAAATGCGCAACACGCCTTGGAGCAGAATTGAGGCCGTCAGTGACCAAAGTTCTTACGTGGGAGAGATGCTCTCACGGACAAAGGAAAAGGCATCACATATTCTCGAAATGCTGCACAAGCAGCAATATGCTCGAGCTTTCTCCGATCATCTTGTGGAATTGATGTCCAGTCTATTCATTAGCAATGTCTTCCAATGTAGACCTGTTTCCGAAACGGGGGCTGAGCAGGTAAGTCTTTTCTCTACGAGACTGACGCTAATACGTTTTGAATTGTCAAGCTTACATACATCTAGATGCTCCTTGACTCCTACACTCTCAAGAGCGGTCTCTCGTCTCTCCTTCCCGCGCCTGCTCCTGCAGGTTTTGTCAAGCGTGTGAACAGCAGCTTTTTCAAGATCGAAACTCTCCTCAAAACCCTGCAAGTCCGGCCTTCTCCACCGGAGGCCCTTGTCCAGGCATACCTCATTCACATTGCCGACCGCAACAACAACAACTTTCGCAAGATCCTCGACCTCAAAGGTATCCGTAGTCGCCAAGAACAAAATCACCTGGTGGAGCTGTTTCAGCTCCATCGTGCATCGGACCGCTTTGCCTCTAGCCTCCAGCAGAACAATCCCATCCTCGCAGGTTTGCAAGCTCCAGCGGCCACCACCAGCGGGTCAGTTTCGACAGGTCTTGGCCTAAGCGGCACCCCATCTATGTCCATGCCCTCCCGCTTTGACGCCACCATGCTCGGTTCCGCCCTTATATCCGCAGCGAAAGATGGCGTCGATCGATTTGGAAATCCCAGCCTGAGTACTCTAGGCACCACAGGCGTTGTCGGTGGCACCTCTTCGAATTCCGGCATGGGTGGTACGTCCGGGGCTTCGTCTCCTGCTCCGCCTCCCTCGAATCTGCAGGGTGGTCATGCTCATACCCCATCTGAGTCCACGGCTGCTGGAAATCTCAACGAAAACCTCAAGAACATTGGTAAATTCTTCCGCCGTGATCTGGGAGGCTTTGGGGGCCGCTTCGGGCGTGGTGCCGATGATGTATAGCTTTGATGTGGAATTTACTCGCTTCAAAAGCCCTTCGTTTTTATTTTCGTTTGGGTGGCATTGTATTTAATTATATTCTACTTTCCACACGGATACCATGATCAGCTTCTTTGCAATCATGCACGCAATAGACCTCGACTCAAGCTGTATAACATCTTCACGCACCTACCGTAGAGGGCTATTTGGCTGGGTCCCTTTGGAATTGGCCCTGTTTGCATTCGGTTTGAACAACACTTACCAGGCAACTTGGGGCTATCTAGCGCAGAAAACCTACCGCATCTTCTTTTAGATTCCCCACTCACATCTTGGCATCCATTCAGACCTAAATCCAAAAAGTGGAGTAAGTGAGGTTGAAAGAAATATGGATCTCGCTGAGTCTAGACTTCCACGTTGCGGAGAAAACCCGCTGTCACAAGCAACATCTGACAGAGGGGGATTCTTTGTACTCAGGATAAGGCTCGGCTTCGGCTGTCCGCCGTGCAAACTAAATCATTATTTTCTTTACCTCAAATATAGAATCACAAAGACGGTTCCTTGTTCCTTGTTCCTTGTTCCTTGCGAACCGGCCTGCTCCCAAATCATGGATCCTGTCTCGCGTGGGAATCTGGCCCGACCTGGTCTTGAAGAAGATGCAGGCACCCGCCTAACTCATAGCTTACTAATATCCCTCGATAGTTTGCCTCTCGTAGAGTGTTACATGGTACGTTCCTCGCGCATCGTCCGAGTGGCACTAGACAGGAACACTGTTCCTCGTGCCAGGACCTGGAGAACCATCCAGTGCCTTGCCTCCAACCAAGGATTCCACCCCTCCTTTTGCTTTGTGCCTTTTGAGGCAATTAAGTTCTAAAGAAACTCAGACATTTTCTATTGTATGAGAAGATTTCAGGACCTTCTTACAGCTAGGTTTAGTCTAGTTATTGAGATTTTTTTGACCATATAAGAGGGATAAAAGGATACCGGTAGTTCGGATACAAGGAAACAGTTACAAAGTCTAGACCTTTCATTAACGACCTTACAACAAAAGGGACAATGAAGTGACGCAATGTTCTTCCCAGGGTTAGAATTTGAGTCCTTGGCCCTTGGGCAGGCATCTTGCTGAGTTGGTGGGCTGGTACCACCCACACCTTCGAACAAATTCTTAGAGTGGCCACCCGCCAAGAGACCCTGGAATCAGAATCGTATGAGATTTTTGAGAACCTCTTGGCAGCCAAATACAGAACGGTGGCGAGTGTAAAAGCCGCGTGGCTGGGTGGTTGGGAGGAGGCGACATCGGGACTTGGACTCGGAACCGAGGCTGAATAGCATGATGGAAAGTTCGGCCAACTTTCCAAATGTGGCACCCCCAAATGGAATAGAACTTACCAGAAATGCCGATGAGTCTGCCTTCCGAAGAGTACCTGACATTCGGATGTTCGGATCGAGCCTTGTAACCATTTCCTGGGAGATGGCTTGGAGTAGTGTTTGGAGATTGAAGCGCTTTCATTCGCGTCGAGCACAAGGAACAAAACTTTGAAGCCGATATGATGTCAAGGTCCACAATTATCCCATTAGTTCTGGGGGATCGACGAACGGGGGCTCGTGCCAGACAAGTGACAGTTAAGGATAGAAGAATGTGAAACTTTATATTAGGACTTCCATTTCCGGCGATGGCAACGTTGTTCCAGAACATTTCGGACGAGAACACTCCACTTCGACAGACTCATTGGCCAACCCCATAATTTCTCGAATGTGTGAGGTCAGTCTGGAAGATCAAAGTTTGAGGCTTGCCACATCTCCAACGGGTCCAAAATGAATATATAAGACGACTTCGTTCTCGACAACAGACCTTCTTTTTTTCTTCAAACCATTACAATCTTTGAGACCTCAGTCGTTCTCTCACTCTCTCTTTTTGCTTCTTTTGTTTTTACAATCTGATTCAATCTCTTATCAGATTCTACACTCTCTTCACTGTCTTTTGATCAGAAACCTTCTTTTCAACACAGTCTTTTTTACCACCACTTTCGTCAACACGACAAGTATATTCAAAATGTTTTTTCTCCAACGTTGTCATCTCCAGCATCCTGGCTGCCGCCGCCACTGCTCTTCCCCACAGTGCCCGCGACTCTTCCAACAGCGGCAGTGTTCAGATCGTGAACAACTTCGATACCGACATCTACGTCTGGTCAACCTCCGCTGAGTCCGGTGCTATGCAGACTATCAACTCTGGAGGCGGCACCTACAGCGAGAACTGGCAGACCAACCCCAACGGCGGTGGTATCTCCATCAAGATGTCCACCTCTGAGTCCCAAGACAGCGTTCTCCAGTTCGAGTACACTCTGGACTCTGACAAGCTGTTCTGGGATCTTTCCTCCATCAATATGGACTCTTCTTCCGAGTTCGTCAAGAATGGCTTCGCCGCTATTCCCAGTGACTCTAGCTGCTCTACTGCTACATGTGAGGCCGGCGACTCCAACTGCGCCCAGTCTTACCAGCACCCGGATGATGTCAACACCCTTTCGTGCTCGACTGGTGCTCAGTACACTCTGACTCTGGGATAAATGTCTTATTTCCGAGTTATTTGATGAAAAAAATCCACTCTTTTGCTCTTCCATTTTTATTCCCATGAGCTGGTGTTCATCCCATGGCTGGTTGTGCCTTCGGATATTTGATGACCCCAACATTTGATACGCTTTTACTGCATATAGATATAGACTTAGACTTAGACTTAAGATCACGCAGAAACATAAATTGATGCCTGCGAAATATTATTGTTGGACTTTTCTACAAACATTATATTCTCATAAGGGTACATAAGTAGAGTTTATGGAATGATCGTGTTGCCTCATTGACTTCTAAAATTCCCAAATGCGGCTGCCTTTTCCGAGGTCACCACCCGATTTGGGTGTTTTGCCTTCAGAATTTGCATCTAGTATTAGAGTTTTGAATAAAATAGCAATACTCTGTATCTTAACCTCCATATCTAGGGTAACAAAACAAAATCATGGTCATGGGCACCTTGAAGGTAGTCATAACCCTCCGGCATCCACTCCACGCACGGCACAGCGTCTCGCCAGTTCAACTTATCTCTAACGCTAGCCGGTAATCTCATTTTCAAATTGCTCCGATACCAGCGAGGAAACTGCACCGAAACAAGCATGACTCGCGGCTCATCTGTCAGGTTCGGTCTACCAGCATGCCACAGCCTAAAATCCCGAACGATCAGAGATCCCTTAGGCAAGCTGGGCTGAATAGGCGGAGAAATCTTGCGTCGCTGTTCTTGGAGCTCGGGTTTAACTTTCATGCTATCTTCCGAAATGTGGAGAATATCCTTGTCCGTGTCAAGGTGTGAGCCCAACCAAACTTCCGTGGCTCCGTTTTCTGGAGTCGTATCGACGAGGTTGATATTCACGCAGTATCCGAACGGAACTTTGGGGAAATCGAAAGTGACATCTATATGCGGGGGCTGCCGATCTGTCGCTTTGAAAGCAGTGTTGGCGCTGTAAAATCGCACAGTTGACTGCGGACCGAGCATACACTGAATAGCCTCTGTTGCCCACGGATTTGCGATGACGTCGTCGAAGATGTAGTCATCTTCCAGGATGGGCTCCTGCTGGATGTTTCCCGTGTTTTTGCCAAAGTTGCGGTGCGTTTCCGGCCGTGCATAAAGGTCTTTGGCCTCGGGGATCATTCTAGCATTGAGCTTATCCAAGTGTGCGATGTTCACGGCATTTTTAATCGCAACAATCCCATCTCGATGAAGGGCTTCGACCGCAGCTTGGAGATTGTGCGAACCTAGCTTCTTGGAAGCGAGTTCACTGGGACTTAACTCAATGAGTGTGACCCGGGGCTCTCTGTGCTGTTCTGCCATGTTTGAAATCGATCTCGTTGGATCTGTTGAAGTTGGATAGACAGTGCAGTAGTCCTGGAGGTTGCTCAGGTAGTTGTGAATAGGCTGTCAAGCTGATGCTTGTCCCAGTGTCGTAAATCTAGCTAAGTACTCCGTATTTAGAGATGCTTTCTGTGAAATTTATGGCTTACTAGGTAGCATTGGACAGCATAATAGCATGCGGAGAAATCGCCGGAATTGCCGGTCATTGGCCACCGACATCGCCGGGTGGGGATAGCCCTCATGCCAGAAGGGTGCACATACTCGATTGAGCAGCGAGCCAACATACGTTCGCTAGCAAGCGATGCTACATTATCTACGACTCCAAAAGTGAACAATCAAAATATGTAGGTCCGAAACTGGTTGATTCAAACTAATTTTAGACTCTGAGAACCTCAATCAACATCATAAACATCCCTCGCCACCGCAATGCAATAAGCTCTACGATAGACACGGTTGCTACAGGGTGCCTGAAGAAGAAATCTGTAATCTGAGAAAATATTAGCAATTGTTTCAACAATCAAGTATTGTGAGAGTAATGAAAGCAAATTGAGGCATGGCGTCAGCAAAAAATTAGAGTGTTGTTGTTGCAATTTTTAATCGTCAGTGCGGCCCTTACGCAAGGGCCGATTGCTCGGGGTTAAAAATGTTTCGTCATCCGCCAGGGTGAAAGGAATATTTGAAAACAAGGTGGTGGGCAAGAGAGTGGGAAGGAGATTAAAAGAGAGTCTAAGTCGAAACTCACCAATTAAAGACGGACAGATAATGGATCGTGTTTCTACGTTCCATTAAACATGCCAGGGAAAGGTCATAATTGAAGCCGTTGCCAAGTCGTCGTAATTTCATTCCCCAGCCGTATTTCAGGTCTGGGTTAAATCAAAGTATCTAAAACATGGCGTTCGTGTCCACTTGAGGACTATGCGCTTAGTCGAAAAGACCGAAGCCCATGTCAGCATCGGAATCCTCCTCCTCCTCAGCGGGGGCAGCCTCAGCGGGAGCATCGGCAGCACCACCGGCGGCGGCGGCGGCGGGAGCAGCAGAGGCGTAGGCATCGGGGTTGGCGATGCGGTCCTTGAGCTCCTCAATCTCGGGCCAGCTGATCTCGGTCTCGAGAGCGACAGCAAGAACCTTCTTGTAGGCGTTGACGATCGAGTGCACGGTGGCGGGGATGGTGGGGATGTTGGTAGCCAGAGACAGAGCAGCAATGGTCTGGATAGCAGTGCTGAAGGTCTTCAGGAGCTGCTCCTCACCAATGTCGAGAACATCGGCACCGAAGATCTGACCCTGGTCGTAGACCTGGGTGATGGTCATACCGTAGGTGAAGGGAGAGATGTTCAGCAGGTTGAGCAGAGAAGCCTCGGAGGCACCGACCTTGCTACCGGCCTCAATGAGCTTGAGGTCGGAGACAATCTCGATGGTACCACGAGCGATCTTGGTGGGGACACCGAGAGCCTGGAAGAAAGAGGTCTTACCGGGCTCCATACCAGTGTTACCGGCGGGGACCCAGACATCGCCGGGAGCGAAGGCACCAGCACGGGCGGGGGCGGCGACACGGTTGGCCAGGATCTTGTCCTTGATCTCAGAGAGATCGCTGTTGGTGAAGATGAAACCAACGTTGCCCTTGACATGGGGCAGGAGACGCTCCCAGTCCGGGTTCTCGGTAACGAAACCCTTCAGGGCACGACGAACCATGGTGTTCTTACCCATGAGAACGACGGCCTCACCACGGAGGGAAGCACGGATCTCGTGCATCTGCTGGGAGGAGACATTGTCAACACCACAGATGAAGATCGAGCTAGAGTTAGAACAGTCAGTACAAGCTATTGCAGAATCATTGGATCGATCGAGCGTACCGGTAGCCCTCGAGCTAAATTAGACATCAATTAGCATTGTGAACCACAGCGAGGAAAGAAATCTCTGAGAGAGAGAGATGACAGTGTAGACATACCAAGCTCTTGAGCTTGTCGAAGTAAGCGGACTTGGCTGCAGATTTGCCCCCCATTTCTTCTTATTTCGTTGAAGATAGGTTGTTTAAGGGTACGTGAATTGGTTGTGGAAGAGAAATTACGGCTTTGGGGAATGCTTTTTTTCGGTGCGGTTCGCTAGTGGGTCACATGACCGTGGTTGTGGTCACCGGAAATACATTGCTGCGGATCTCCGATGGCGGGCGCTGCAGGAGCAAGTAGAGAGAGAGCGAGGGAAAGAGATATCTGAGTACTGGTTTTCAAGCAATTGTCAAGACCTTTGTGGAAACCTTTTTTTCTTCCTTCGCAAGTCTGATTCGAATTGGACTTTCTGTGGTTTTGTAAACCTCGATCTCATTGACTACTTTTTCACGGTTCCCGATTGGGTAACCTCGAAATTTTTGCCAGCAAACGCAACACCCCAACGGCATCATGGCAAGCTTCCAGCACCCTTTCCAATGCGTGAAGTACACCAAGCAACAGTCTTCAGGCTCTGTGGGACTCTTGGTGGCTTCAGCGGGGCGGCGTCTTTACTCGTATTCCGCAGTCAATGGCCAATGCCTGGACGCATGGCCCAAGACTGTAGAGTCGAGCTCCGAGTTTGCTTCCAATGACCAAGTACCTGCGGAGAAGAGGAGAAAGATTTCGCCAGCTCCCGACGCTCAAAAAGAAGAATCGAAAGAGAAGCCTTCGACCAAAAAATCCTCGGGCAATCAATTGCCAGAGTGGACCAACATTCCTATTCTTCTAACCTCCTCCGATGGCAAGCATGTTGTGGCCCTAACTGCCGATGACAAATGCATTCGAGTATTCAGTTTGAGTGGAGATGGAAAACTAGATGAGATCAGTTCTCGGTAAGTAGTAGCCTTACAATTCTTCTCGTGGATCAAACAGTGAGTACTGACAGTGCGAAAAGGACGATGCCCAAGCGCCCAAGTGCGTTGGCCTTGACACCTGATGAACAGACCATCTTATGTGCTGACAAGTTTGGGGATGCTTACTCCTTGCCTCTGATTCCTGGGGAGTATACTCCTCGCGTGGAGGAGGCAAAGGCTTTTAAGCCTGCTGCTACAAATCTCACTGTGCACTCGCAGCGCAATTTAGAAACTCTAAAGAACCAAATCACGCAGTTCGAAAAAGAGGCTCAAAAGTCTGCTTCGAAAAATGGCAACACGGATGAAACAGTTGCGTCTGGTTTCGAGCACCAGCTAATTCTGGGCCATGTTTCCTTGCTCACCGACCTGATTGCTGTGTCTTTGCCCACGGATGCATCTGTGAACCGAAGCTATATCTTGACCGCTGATCGTGATGAGCACATCCGTGTGTCACGCGGTCTTCCTCAGTCGCATGTCATTGAGAAGTTCTGCCTGGGTCACACTTCTTTTATCAACAAGCTTTGCGTCCCTTCCTGGGCCCCGCAGTATCTCATTTCCGGTGGCGGTGACGACTTCCTGCTCCTATGGATGTGGAACGAGGGAAAGGCGCTTCAAAAGGTCCCTCTAGAGGGTGTGTCCCAAGAACCTGAAATTAGTGTTCGGGGCATCTGGGCTGTTTCGGCCGAGCAGTCCGCAGGGCCCCCCCGTGCAGGCTATTCTTGTTGGCCTTGAAGGGTATGTGCACATGATCTCCAATTGCAAATATTCAACTAAGCTAACATCCGTAACAGCTCTTCAACTCTCCTCTGCTATACTATCGAGGAAGACACTCTCAAGTACCAGGATAGCATCCAGCTCTCGGGAAACATTCTGGATCTAGCTGGTCTTGACTCGCGGGGTTCAATTGTTATCTCGGTAGACAATATCCGAGAATCCGGCTCGACAGAGGCATGGAAGAGCGGCCCCGAAGTACCCCAAACTCTGCTTGAATGTTTCCAAGTCACTACGGATCAGGGATCGCTGAAGTGGAACTCAGCAGAAGACCCATTGGTGGCCAACATCAATGCCGCTGGCACCTCGGCTATTGCCACCGATGTCGATGACAAACAAAAGAAGGCACTCGACGGCGTGCTGTACAGTGGGGGGAGTTCTTCGGAAGAAGCAGTTTGGTGAATACTAGTAAATCCATGGCGGTGATGAGTGATTGAAGAAACGATAATCTAGTGCGTGTGTAGATCACAAGATCAGTCCTCAGTACCACTAGTAGGTACTACTATCAATAAATTATTCAGAATATATGAATTTATCAGTATCCACATATATGAGTATGACGACAGATGTTTTTAGTAAATTTAATCCGAGATGTTGGTTCTAGGTTCTAGTAGCTGTTGTGAAATATAATGTTGCTAGCATTCCTAGTCCCTCAAGGTTCCCCCAGCGGCAGATCAAATCGTTGGCCCGCGGTTCCCCGAGAATCCTCTCCCACTTCCCCTCCTCCAACTGCATTCAACCACCCACCATGCAAGAACAATTCGAGCCCCTTAAGAACGATCTGCTGCTGAGAGCTGCACGAGGTAAAACCGATCCATGACATTTTGTCAATTTTCGACCTACAGACAAATCACTGACAATCACAGGCGAGAAGGTCGAGCGCCCGCCGATATGGGTGATGCGACAGGGTGAGCTTGATCCCGTGCCCATTCTTCTGGCAAATTGACCCTGCAGAACGATTAGCTGACATATTCTTCTTCCTCGCTAGCTGGTCGCTACCTTCCCGAGTATCACGAGGCCAAGGCCGGCCGGGACTTCTTCGAATGCTGCCGCTCGCCGGAGGTCGCCTCGACTTTGACCCTCCAGCCCATTGACCGCTACGAAGGCCTCATCGATGCAGCAATTATTTTCTCTGATATTTTGGTCATCCCGCAGGCCATGGGCATGACGGTGGAAATGGTGGATAAGAAGGGCCCGCACTTCCCTGAGCCGCTCCAGTCGCCGACTGATGGACAGTACGAGAAGGTGATGGCGAAGGAGGTGGACGTCAAGTCTGAATTGGATTACGTCTACAAGGCCATCTCCCTGACACGCTTCAAGCTGAAGGGCCGCGTTCCTCTCATCGGTTTCTGCGGTGCGCCATGGACTCTGTTGTGCTATATGGTTGAGGGTGGCGGCAGCAAGCTCTTTGTGCAGTCTAAGACCTGGGTCTACAAGTACCCGAAGGAGTCGCAGGCTCTGCTCCAGAAGATTGCCGAGATCTGCGTTGATTACCTGGCTCTCCAGGTTCAGGCTGGTGCGCAGCTGGTGCAGGTGTTCGATTCGTGGGCCGGTGAGCTCTCGCCCACCTCCTTCCAGTCGTTCTCGCTTCCCTACCTCCGTCACATTTCCGCCAACTTGCCCAAGCGGCTGCAGGAGATGGGTCTCGATCCCGTCCCCATGACCGTCTTTGCTAAGGGTGCTTGGTACGGTCTGGAGGACTTGTGCCAGTCCGGCTATAATGTCGTTGGTCTGGATTGGCTGCACGATCCCGCCGATGCCATGCGTATTGCCAACGGTCGGGTCACTATTCAGGGTAACGCCGATCCCGGTATGCTCTATGGTGGTCGTCCTGCTATTACCGAGACCGTGGAGAAGATGGTTGAAGGGTTCAAGAAGGGCAAGCAAGGCTGGATTTGCAACCTTGGACACGGTACGTTAAGATTCTGATACATGTTGTTATACGATGTTAATATCCGAAAACAGGCGTCACTCCCTTCGTGGACCCGGAACACCTCAAGTTCTTCTTTGAGGAGATCCACCGTCTCACGGCGGCTTGATTTGAATCATTATTTGTTTCGGACTTAAGGTGGCTTCCTTACCACCCCAGAGAGACGGTATAGCAAAAGTTTCATGATACACAAGATATCTCTGGATTTGAAATATAATTGAGATTTGTATGGGATGATGAAGTCCCACCTCGCTTGGGACAATTATGCAATTAGATACAACCTTGATAGCGGCTCTAGACGGCAATATCCTCATTCCTATATGGAAGGTACTCTGGTCAGCAAGGCTCAAACAGAAGATAGGAGCACCGTGGCACTCATCCGCATGCAACTTACCAAAGCTCCGGCTTCTCCTTCATAAATTTCTCCATGAGATCCTTGCACTCCTGGTTGTCGACGACAATGACATCCTTACCACGGCTCTTGAGCAACTCCTCGCCACCGATGAAGTTCTTGTTCTCGCCAATGACCACACGCTTCACCTTGTAGAGCAGGCAAGCACCAGTACACATATCGCAAGGCGACAGGGTGGTATACATGGTTGCACCTTCATAGGCGGAGGCGGGCAGTCGGCCGGAGTTTTCCAGAGCAGACATCTCAGCCTACGTGGATGGTTAGTTGCAATGTTGATTAGATATACAGAACGACCGGGCTACTACTGACGTGCAGAACCGGGCTGCCCTTTTGCACGCGCATGTTATGGCCTCGGCCCAGGATCTGACCATCCTTGGAGACCAGCGCAGCACCAATGGGAACGCCACCCTCGGCGTATCCCAGCTTGGCCTCCTCAACGGCGGCAATGAAACCAGGCTCTTGATCCATCTTTGGTGATGGTTGATGATAAGAATGTCTTTTTTTTTTTATGCAAAAGGTATTGCGTCTGCTGTCTGCGGAGGAGTAACTGGTATTTTATGGTCACACCCTACGCCCAGGCCGCTAGGGTCTTTATCTAGCAAGTCCAATCCATCGGAGAGGCCCGCTCGCATTGATTCCAATGGCTGTGAGGACTGGAGCAAGTGGATCAATTGAAGAACTTTTTCCCCTCGGCTTATCGATAACCATTGTGGCTGACCATATTTGATGTGGCGGGGAGAGGGGGGGCGTTCACTAAGTACGGAGTACCGTAACAGAGTGAGTTACAATTGGCCTAACTATGAAGAGTTACTCTTTGTACATAAGCCGCAAATCTTTTCAGCCTTACAGTAAACCTCAGAATGGTTCTTCGCCACCCTTTGGGGATCCGATGATTATTTACCATGGATATACCACAGCATAACCACATAACAGAGACTTCGAACCTGAATAAGCACCTGAGTCAGCATGTAATTACAGGAATCAAACGACGGAATCGCGGAGAAGAACAGCGAACGCCATCGAAGGCCGCAGAATTCCGTCGAATCGACGCTCGGGCCCGATTCAAAGGCAAAGAATGAAAGAAAGAGGATCAATTCATAAAAAAGCAGCCACTTGACAGAGCGAGAATTGAAACTTGTAAAACCTCTAGAAACCTCATTTTCTTATCTTGAATATTGAATTTCAAAGGGTCCGCGCCCTGGTAATAAATCCGGTATATTTTACAGGATCCGCACTGTACGAGGTGCCTGGGCAGAAAAAAAAAAGTTACTCAGCCTAGTCTCCTGTTCCTAATCCTATTCCGATTCCACTCCATTCCTATTCTTATCCGAAAAGGTCATCAACCCTTCCTCCTCCACTTCTCGGGCACATCTCGCCTTTTTCCTCGTCACTGCCCCACTAGGAGCAACCTTCATTTCACTCTTTGTTTTCGCTTTCTCCTCCTCACCACTCTCCCCTCTCCTTTCGTTCTTCCACATTCCCGCCATCATGGTTAAGGAAACCACTTTCTACGACTGCCTGGGGGTATGCTTGAATCCCGCTCTTATCACCGTGTCGACACAGTGACGCTAACCGGTCCTTTTTTTGTTTCATCAATAGGTTCCCGCCACGGCTACAGAGGCTCAGCTGAAGACCGCTTATAAGAAGGGTGCTCTCAAGTACCACCCTGGTACGTTCCCATATTGAATCCCCCTCCATCTCGAAAGATGAAAAGCAAAAGAAAAAGAACAACCCAGCTGCCATCAATGATGAATTAATTCTTCCGATGCTAACCTCTCGTCCGTCAACACAGACAAGAACGCTGACAACCCCGAGGCTGCGGAGAAGTTTAAGGAGCTGTCGCACGCCTACGAGACTCTCTCCGACCCCCAGAAGCGTCAAATCTACGACCAATATGGTGAGGAGGGCCTGGAGGGTGGCGCTGGTGGCCCCGGTATGAACGCTGAGGATATATTCTCCCAGTTCTTCGGTGGCGGCGGCGGCGGTTTCGGTGGAATGTTCGGCGGTGGCATGCGCGATACCGGCCCCAAGAAGGCCCGCACTATCCACCATGTGCACAAGGTCAACCTGGAGGACATTTACCGCGGCAAGGTCTCAAAGCTGGCCCTGCAGAAGTCAGTCATCTGTTCTGGCTGTGATGGCCGTGGTGGCAAGGAGGGTGCTGTTAAGGAGTGCTCCGGCTGCAACGGTAGCGGTATGAAGACCATGATGCGCCAGATGGGCCCTATGATCCAACGCTTCCAGACCGTCTGCCCCGACTGCAACGGCGAGGGCGAGATCATCCGTGACAAGGACCGCTGCAAGAAGTGTAACGGTAAGAAGACCATTGTTGAGCGCAAGGTCCTCCACGTCCACGTCGATAAGGGTGTTCGCGATGGCCACAAGATTGAGTTCCGTGGTGAGGGTGACCAGATGCCTGGCGTCCTGCCCGGTGATGTTGTCTTCGAGATTGAGCAGAAGCCCCACCCTCGCTTCCAGCGCAAGGGCGACGACCTGTTCTTCCAGGCCAAGATCGACCTCTTGACCGCGCTTGGTGGCGGCGCTGTCCACGTCGAGCACCTCGACGACCGGTGGTTAACCGTCAACATTGCCCCCGGCGAGGTTATCACCCCTGGTACGTTTCCCTTTTTTTTCTCTGTGTTCGCCCATGTGACTTTGGAACTTTGCTAACACCCTTCGTTGTAGATGCCATCAAGGTTATCCCCGGCCAGGGTATGCCCTCTTTCCGCCACCACGACCACGGCAACCTCTACATCAAGTTCGAGGTTGAGTTCCCCAAGAAGGACCAGCTGCAGAACCTCGAGCTGCTCGAGAAGGTCCTGCCCCCACGCATGGAGCAGACCCAGCCCCCGGCCGACGCCATGGTTGAGGACTTCGAGCTGCACGACATTGACGGCAGCGAGCCCTCGCAGGCCCGCGCCCACGGTGCTGCAGGCGGCATGGATGAGGATGATGACGATGTTCCTCCCGGTGCCGAGCGCGTGCAGTGCGCCTCGCAGTAAACAAACAATGGGTAATAGAAATGTCCCATTGATGTGATGCTCAGGGGAGATGATTTGTCGGGCCAGTCATGAAACCTTTCGCTTATGATACCAATGGATATGAAGGGGGAAGATGGGAAGCCAGTATTGCTCATGGATACCGGCTTCGTTTTTCATTATTTCTTTTCGGGTAATATGAAACTTTGCTGCTCGGCGAAGGCGTTTGCTGAAGGGCCGCTTTCGGAGAGAGAACCTCTCCGCGATGTTCACGGGGCTATGCCTCAATAGTTTCTTATTCCCCATTTTCTTCTTCCTGGGGAAATTGACCCGATCTACCATGGACCGGGATATCTCCGTCTCACGTCTTGCCTCATTTTCCTTTTGTGTTCTTTCATCCGTATCTGATTTTGCCATTGGGAATTCCTGGTGCGTGGTGGCCGGAGTTACGACGGACGAAGAGAAAGAGCTGTGATGTGATGTGATGTACATGAGTCCACGATGCGAGTCCTTGTATATCCTTGCGTGGGATAAAGGCTTTCGAAAAAAAATACCTGCTCCCTCTTCTGGTTCCCATGATCGACTCGGAGAAGCATATTGTGTGCGTGATCACGATGGGGGTTTATTGTTTTCTATTTTTCTTTTCTTTTCCATTTTTTCTTTTCTTAGCATGCACTGTGATGACTGAATAGACATTTCTTGGCTTACTATTGTTAAATGCATTTTTTTATTGGCATTAATCCTGGAAGTTGTGTTGTACCGAATGTGGGGGGAGCAGCTAGTTCACTTGCGTCTTCAAGTTGCTTTGATTGTAATTCACTTAGAATATCTTCTCAAAGTTGCAATATTATGCCAAACGTTCCTTTGAAACTGTACAATTCGAATTAAAATAGCTCCTAGTCGATCCATTGCCCATGTGGTTCATGCCCAGCCCTGGAGTGATGGTGAGGCTCTCAGGGTCGAGGTTAAAAGGTCAGAAGAACCACTCTTTGGGATGATAGTGTTTTTGAGTGAAATGAATCCCAGCAAGGTCCTTCTTCGAAATTCAAAGAAGATGATCCACAACGGTAATAGTGTATACCTTAGTAGCGAGCTTTCCCAGAAGGTACCTATCCCTGGATGATACCTAATACTTCAACCCTGGAACTTTGAACGCAACATCTGGGCAAAGTTGATAGTAGGAGTAACTAAACACTCTGGACTGATGCTACCTAGGCTCGAACTTAATACAGTGAAATGAGAAACTTAAATTATTTTATTCGATGAGTACTACTAGTACTACTAGGTACCCAGGTAGTGTCGAGTTCAAGTTGCCGACAAAAGTCTATTATATATGTTCCAAAAAAAGGTTGGTACCGCTGAAAGCTTGGGCATCGATATATCATGGCTTCGGGAGGAACCTTACAAGCTCAGACTTGTGCTTTGAAAGAAAAGTACTGGAAAGTTTCAGGCTGCAAACTTGACTGGAAATCTCAGCAATATTTATTTACCCCAGACCTGGAATCCACGAGGAAGAACGGTAGAAAATAGTATGTTGGCTCATAGTACCCAATTTTCGTGCCTGAGGCTCAAGCTGACTTCAACATGAATGATGATGGGTATTCCTCGGGCTTACAGGAAAGTGACCCTTGATATTGCCGAAAGAATATCACTCTCAACAACGACGAGGGTCATACTAGCTCTCAGCTACAACGCCAATTCCAGACGGATTCCTAGGTCTCCCCATCACGACTCATAATTATACACATCAGCAGTTCGGCTTATGCTCACGGTATACGAGCGCCAAGCGAGCTTGGATCCGACCATCTGGAGCGGTATAGAGGTCACTCCCCGTCATTGTGTCACCCCGCCTCGGATCGTACCCGATCACATCATCACGAGACCCCGAAACGGATACTGTGAATGGAGCCTCCACAGCACGGAAACTAGTGGACAAACTAGAAGGAAGAAAGGCTCCCTCGACAGTTCATCACTGTTATCACCGAGGTTGTGTAACCTAGAGTCAGTCGATCCTTTTAGGGGATATAATGACGACACAGGATGCACGAGGGTTTGTCCACAAAGTCAAACGGATCAGTCGCACACGCCCTGCAGCAACCGTGAGAGCCCCTCCCACATGGTTTCCCATGGGAGAAATATGTAGCTTAGCATCAGCCAAGCGATCGGGGAGAGGTACGGGCGCAACGAACGCACCGGATGCGTTGTTCTTTCTCCCTTTCAAGTATGAAGACTCGGAGTTAAGCGTTGGATGAGTTTGTTGTTTGTTGTGTTTTGAATGCGGCATTTATTTCCCCTTTCTCCGGTACGAAATACTCTGTACTCGTAAATGTTGATTTGTTTGTTCCATTTCCCCCTGACTGAGCCTAAATGTTTTTAGTTCGAAGTTAATTTGGGTAGGCGGTATTTGATGTCGAGGGGGGGGGGAGCTGAACGGCCGAAGCGATGCGCCACTCAGACGCGGGAGACGGTGGGAAGCTTGTCTGCAACGTGCCATTTTAGTCCAACACGCAAGTTGACTCGGAGTTAAGCTGCATTATGTAGGTGCATTGGCAGCGCCCCATGATCTCTCGTATTGAACTGAGCCATCGGGGCAAAAAAGCAAAGAAAATAGAGAGTAGGGGGGAAGAAAGGCAGCGATGTTGGAAATGGGATTGGGTCGCATTCTGAGCTGGTCGTGAGCATGGGGGGACCCTTGGAGGTCGGCGTGATCTCCAATACATACATGCGACATGTATGTATCACACCTGGGCACCGAGACAAACGTGCTGCCATGGATAGGGCCACCTGCCGTAGATAGCAGGAGTGTATTATCGGAATCGATCTGAATGAAGGAGTACTCCGTTCTCCGTTAGAGGGGCTACGTACTTCTCCGGAGAGCAGATTGATAGCCACGACACGCCCTCGTGGCCGGATTTAAAGTTATGGGCCGCAGCTGCGCTTAAGCTATGATGTGATATCGATCTGGATTACGCCTTGGGTTAATGCAAGTGCTTAATCAAGATGACATGGAGTATCCATTGGACTACAATGTATATCTTTGTATCTCGAACGTTGCGACGACCGTTGTGCATTCCGCTGCCCTCATACGTCACACGGTCCCAGAAAGGATCCAGGAGCGTACGAGTAGCGAGACGGTTTGACCTCTGGGTTCGCACTGTGCATGCACGCCGATCTGGAATGCCAGATCCGAGGAAAACGAGGGAAATAGAGCGAGCGGAGAGAGGGACTGCCCTTTGTTACTCTGGTCTTTAGGGGCTCCGAGTGGGCGTGAACCCGGGACCTTACGAATATAGTAGGGAGCGTCGCGGCAGTTCCACCGCCAAGAGGGAGAAGTGGATTGGGTTGCCACAGAGGAGCGGGAAAATCGAGAGTTCTAGAGTGTTCAGACAGAACGGTGAAGAATGGAGCAGACAGTGGCAGTGTCGGAGCCCCGAGTGCAAAACGTAAAGCTTCCCTTTGACGGCAATTGGATACGAAAGGCAGCCGATCCACCGAAGGCAAACGAAATGGGAAATTTTTGCTGTCACCATCGAAGTGGACGATTTCACCATCAGCACAGGCGGTGATTGGATCTGCAGCCCCACGGTTGATCAACTCTTGCCCGCGTGGGAGGCGTCCTGATTCGTCATCTGATGCTTGGCATGGATGAGGTAATCTCCGACGATCGAGGGTGTACCTGGAGTACTTGAACTCGTAGATTCTGTAGATATAGCCATGAAATACAAGGAGTAGTGTTATGTAGTACATCTGTATCTCTCTGAAAGCTAGTCAAGTATATACGTCCATGGGTAGACCCCTACCTCGAGAATACCAGGAATCATTTCTTCTACGGGATACTCGTACCTGCACCAACTTAAACTCGGAGGAACTCGTCATCATCCACCTTCCAGACTCTCAGTGCGATCATCGGTGGGACTCCGGACTCCACCTCCATGGTCATGGCCATGCCGCGCTGTCCACGAGTCTTGTTTCGCCCTGTTTCATTCTTATGGTCTGCATCTGCTCAGCCCTTGACCGTGTGATCTCTCTGCGAGTCCTGTGCGTTTGAAAACCCTAAGCATTCGCCAATTCAAAATCTGGGGAGCTTAGCATATTACGCCATCTGCACCCGAATCACGCACATCTCCACATCTATCGTTAGCCCTTGTCTTTTTGGGAACAATTCCTTTGACTTTTAATTATCATTTTCTTTTTTGGAACTTGACCTGACCTCACTGCGCCTGTCACAATGTCCACTGTGTGATCAGCGGCTCTGTCAGTTTATAACCTACTCCCTGACCACATTTTTCTTTTGGAGAAATCTTGTCATCGATCTATCATCTTTCCCCCCACCCTTCCCTCCCTCCCCGGGCCTCCGAGTCCTCTCCGATCTCGCCTTCCCTTTCCGATCCCAGCAACTTGATATACTCGCCTTCTGCGGGACGTCATGGCTGGTGAGAGTTTCAAGAAGGCCGGCAATGCCTTGGCCAAAGGCATGGGCATTAAGGTCGCCTACCGTGACCCTATGGGTGCCAATGACCCCGTCACTCGCGGCGAGTCCGCTTTCTCTGTCGGTACTGTCGACACATATTCCTACAACGAGCCCGAGCCCACCAGTGTCGAATGGATCCGCGAAATTACTCCCTCTTTCCGCGAATTCGTCAACTATCTCATTTCATTATTCCCTTTCCTCAATTGGATTGGCCGCTACAATATGCAATGGTTCCTGGGTGACCTAGTAGCTGGTATCACTGTTGGTGCCGTCGTTATTCCCCAGGGTATGGCATATGCCAAACTGGCGGAGGTGCCAGTGCAGTTTGGTCTGTATTCGTCCTTTATGGGCGTTTTGGTCTATTGGTTTTTTGCCACGTCCAAGGATATTACTATCGGAGTGAGTTGGAATCTTCCCTAGACAGCACAATGTGGGACGTATTCAACTAACCTATAATTCTCTAGCCCGTGGCTGTTATGTCCACATTAACCGGCGAGATTGTGCTTCAGGTCCAAGCCCAATATCCTGACGTTGAGACGCACGAGGTCGCTTCCTGTCTAGCTGTAATTCTTGGTGGTATTGTCTGCTTCCTGGGCCTTATCCGCCTGGGATTTATTGTCGATTTTATTCCTCTTCCCGCCATCTCTGCATTCATGACCGGTTCCGCTCTGAACATTTGTTCTGGTCAGGTATCGACTATGCTGGGTGAGACCGCTGGGTTTTCCACTCGCGGTGCAACCTACCTGACCATTATCAACACCCTCAAATATCTACCCACTTCGACAATCGATGCCGCTATGGGTGTGACAGCTTGTGCGATGTTGTACATTATCCGCGCTGGCTGCACCTACGCTGCGAAGAAGTACCCAGCGAAGGCGAAGATTTGGTTTTTCGTCTCTACCCTGCGGACCGTCTTCGTCATTCTGTTTTACACCATGATCAGTGCCGCTGTGAACCTGCACCGTCGTGACGACCCTCTGTTTAAACTCCTGGGGGGAAGTTCCTCGCGGTTTCCAGAATGCTGCTGTGCCTGTTATGGACCCCAAGATCATCCGTGCGTTCTCTGGTCAGCTTCCAGCTGCCGTTATTGTCCTCTTGATCGAGCATATCGCCATTTCCAAATCCTTCGGCCGTGTGAACAATTATACCATTGATCCATCCCAGGAATTCGTTGGTATTGGTGTCACCAATCTCCTTGGTCCTTTCCTTGGTGGCTACCCCGCGACCGGCTCTTTCTCACGTACTGCCATCAAGTCCAAGGCTGGTGTGCGTACCCCACTGGGTGGTTGTATCACCGCTATTGTGGTGCTTCTCGCTATCTACGCCCTCCCTGCCCTCTTCTTCTATATCCCTAATGCATCCCTTGCCGGTGTTATCATCCACGCTGTCGGTGATCTGATTACCCCTCCCAATGTGGTGTACCAATTCTGGCGTGTGGCTCCTCTTGATGCATTCATCTTCCTCATCGGAGTTATCGTGACTGTCTTCTCGTCCATCGAGGATGGTATCTACTGCACAATCTGTGTATCTATTGCGGTTCTGCTCTTCCGCGTGGCTAAGGCTCGTGGTCACTTTCTCGGCCGTGTCACCATCCACTCAGTTGTGGGTGACCACCTGCTGGATGGCGATGGCAAATACGGGTCCTTCGGAGCGGCCAGAGATCCTTCGGATGACGAGGAGGATCACACACGCTCCATTTTTCTGCCCATCAACCGCACCGATGGTTCAAACCCCGAGGTCGATATCGAGCAGCCTCACCCCGGTATCTTCATCTACCGATTCTCCGAGGGATTCAACTATCCCAACGCCAACCACTACACCGACAACTTGGTCAAGACCATTTTCAACAGCACCCGACGTACCAACCCTCACGCATTTGCCAGACCGGGAGACCGTCCTTGGAACGACGCGGGCCCGAAACGTGGCAAGGAGCCAGAAGACGCTCGGGATCCCCGACCCCTCTTGCAAGCTATCATTCTCGACTTCTCTTCCGTCAACAATGTTGATACTACCTCGGTTCAAAATCTGATCGACGTGCGCAACCAGCTGGACCTGTTCGCCTCACCTCGCTCTGTACAGTGGCACTTCGCCCATCTCAACAACCGCTGGACCAAGCGTGCACTCGCCGCTGCCGGCTTTGGATACCCGACTCCCGCCTCAAACGAAGGCTTCCACCGCTGGAAGCCCATTTTCAGCGTGGCTGAGATCGAGGGTAGCTCCTCCGCGGCTGCCCACGCCGAGATGATGACCAACGAACGGACACACGGGGCACACGAGGATCTGGAGGCTGGTATCAAGGCCGACAACAAGTCTACCGAGCTCGAGACTGACCCTATCGACGCTTCCTCTGAGGACAGCACTGTGATCCGCGAAGACAAGCTTCAACGCGACTTGACTGACAGCAAGGCGTATCGTTCCCGCCGCAAGGTCGCTCTGGTCCAGGGCATGAACAGACCCTTCTTCCACATCGATCTGACCAGTGCTCTCCAAAGTGCCGTGGCCAACTCGTCCGAGGAAGTCCCATTGTAAGGGATGACCGAAAAAGAAACATTTTATCATTTGTTTCTTGGAATGTTCCGCATTGCAATATTTACATCTTATCATGGATATTCCCTGGTTTGGAGTCCAGTTGATATCGATATGTCCCGGGTATGATTTGTTAATATCTCTTCATTTTTTGTTTCCTCTTTCCATCATCTCCCTTGCTTGATGTTTTGGAGATTTCTGGCGCAGGGGAACTTTTCATTTCACATATTAGGCCATACCGGCCTTGGCGCATATATTTCCTGATCCTTTGGGCTGGGTTTTGGGCCCAAGGATGTACATCACTTCCCCAAGGGAACTTTCCATTGGACATTTTATACTGGGCTTGGTCCCATTGATGCATTACTAGGGATACCCTCAATATAGACTGCGTGATTTTCCTCATCAAAAGTTGTTCTAGTAACGATTTATATTCGATTGACGTAACTCCGTAAATCAGTAATTTGGTTCTTACATGGGGTGAGACTCCGATGCCATGCATCTGTACATTTTCCCGACTTGACAGAATGGCTAGATACTGAACAAGAAGACTTTATTAAAATGCTCCAATCTACAATAGCAAGAATGGATAGTCTGCACTCAGATACCATAGCTCTGAGCCTCAACGCTTCCAAGGTTTCTTACGGCCATCCTATATCGGGCACTTGGGCACTCTGTCTGGAATATCTCTCCCCTGTCCTCAAGGTTTGATACTAGTACTAATTCCCGCTCTTCCTAGAGACATTTACTAAGAATATACAGATGGTAGAACGTTCGCTTGTACTTCAGATATTTAACAAAGCCTGGAGGCAACTCTATATTCAAATTCAACCATTTCATCGAAAGTAGTAAACCTTGGACGGAAACCTTTCTGCGAAAAGATCCGAGTCCCACGTAACGTAACATTATCCCAAGAAAGGACAAAAGAGAGATCAGATCAGATCACCTCAAAACACCCCCAACACCAGTCCACCCAAGGACAAATCCACTCAGCGCCTCACTAAGAACACCACCACCAAGCCAAACATCCCTCCAAGCACCCTTCCTCAGAACAAAGCCACCGCGCTTCTTACTGCTCTCAACCAGATCCATGCGCACAACACCATCCTTGCCCATGGCCACCGACCCCTCAATCTCACCCCCGTTACTACCGGGGAAAAACGCGCCCGCGCCCGCACCGGATGAGCGCTGGATGAGGGCTAGGTGGAAGAGTCCGCTGACGAGAACAGTGCCGAGGAAGTAAAAGGCGAAGCCGGTAGCGGATTGGAGGGCTAGGATTCCGGCGGAGAGACCGAGGAGAAAGGCTGTTAGGCTGTGGAGGGAGGAGAGGACCTGGAGATGGATAGATAGGTTAGTTTGGTTTGGATCGGGCGGTGGTGGTGAGTCTCTTCTACTATGTAGAGGGGTTGGAACGTACCCGGTTATTATGCTGAACAGCCTCCGGGACGAGAGGGTTGATTAGCAGGGAGAGTTCCTGCTTTGTTGGGGCCATTTTGGGCTCGTTGCTGCTTGAGTGTGCTTGGGGGTCTCAGGGTGTTGCGACCGATGTCGTTTTTGAAATTTGCTTGAGATGAAGCAGATGAGGACGGCGGTGGATCCTAGCCGTTGTTCTCGGCAATTGGGTTGCAGCAAAGAGGAGTATTTCTCTGTCTTCGGTTGGTTGTGCAATGGAAGAGGGAGGTGAGGCGGAGGTACGTGGTTTCCTATGCGTGCACGGACCACACTACGTTTGGGTAGGCAAAGAAGGTGCCAGTGGTCTACTCTACTAAACTACACAGCTACATCGGAACCATTTCAATGTATATAGGCACAGTGCGAAATCATGACATATCTACGATTAACCTCGCCATTTTCAATGTTCAGTAGCCCGAAGTTTTCCCTCATGAATCCGTTGCTTGACATCACTGCGTTTGATACATGTCGAATTCCACATCCATCGTATTAGGGTGAACCACCAAAGATCATAGAACGAATGAGAAGAAGATAAAATGAAAAGAAAATGAAAAGAGAAGAAAAAAAAAGAATAGAGAAATAAAGGGCAAAAAAGCACACATGATAGATATGCGAATGCCGGGTTCCATGCAAATCGCTGGGACAGCAGGTTAGTTTTGCATGAGTCAGAACATCATGCTTGCTCATTGCATACAGGGCTCAAAATCAAAGATCTTCAAGCTTGCCGTCCGCGCGGGCATCTCGAACTTGGTCAAAGACCTATTATTGAATCATTAGCTTCGAGTCCAAGCAAAGTGAAGAGAGGAAAACACTTACCTTCAACATCTTGTTGCGCGCACCCAGCGCGTTGACACCACGGTCTTCCAGAGCCTTGTCGTCAAGTTCGACCAACTCCGTCCACTTGAGGTCCTTGAGATGGTCGGTATACTTGTGTAGCCGAAGGGATCGCAGCCAGCTGGGGATATCCTTCAGGAGAGCAGGGTCGGTGGGGTCTTCGGGGGGGCTTGGAGCTTCCACGTCGACCACGCGGCGATCGGCCACGGGTGACTTCGGAGTGGTCAGACAAGTAACCCTCGCCACCCAGACCGAACTGCCCGATACCTAGCGATGCTAGTCCGTTGCCCATGAGAGGGTTGTTCGGGTCGTAGGCGGCTAGGAATCCGTTGTTCTGTGGCGAGGTGAAACTCATAGGGTTCAGACCACCGCCTTGCATGGCAATACCAGGAGAGGTTGGGCGAGAGCGACGACCTGCCATGGCAGCTTGTTGCTGAGCTTGCAAAGCGGCAAGCTGTTGGGCGTTGAGGAGCTGTTGGCCCATCGATCCGTGCAGACTTGGACTGGCCAGGCCTTGGGGAATTGTTGGGTTGGCAGCTGAGTTCCTGCCCTGACCATCGTTGGAGCGGGCCCGGCGGTACTTGCGAGCGTCATCCAGGGCAATTCGGTTGTTCACTGTAGACAAAGCCGCCAGCTTCATCGCAGTCGCGTTGGCCACCATGTCCGCCTGGGAATTCTGGTTTTGTTGATTCTGCTGGCCGAATGTCGCAGTCATGGGGGTGTTTGTCATCGAAGCCCAGCTGTGGTTCCCGACATTGTACGGTGAGAGGAGGGGTGGCTCGATATCAGGGGCAGGGATGGTAGCGGTCTGCGGGAGAGGCGAACGCATGCCAGAAGGCTGGCTGAATTGGCCCATAGGTTGATGGCCCGATGACGACTTAGGCCGGGCAATCGGAGGCTGTGTATCCGATAGTCCACCACGCTGAGCCCATGGCGACGCCGGGGGCTGGCCCAGGCCGTCGGAGTTGTTGTCGGGAGCAGAGATTGTCGGGGCAACGAACGAGCCACGGTCTCCAAAGACAGCACTGTTGCGGTTGGAGGGAGGGGCGTTACCGGTTTGTTGCGTGAATTCCGCCTTCTTCTTAGCGATCGCGGCGGCGGCATCGGGGAACATGGCATTAATCGTAGAGGAATCGAGTCCCGAGTTGCGCTTCGCGCCTGGGGATGGCGGGGGCCGGCCCAAGGAACTCCGTGATGTGTCCATATTGAGTTTCGACATGGCATCGCTCAAGCGGCTCGACATGGCATCTAATCATTGAAATAACGTTAGAAAGCTGGCTTTTCACACGTGAATAAGGACCTGCGACCGATTCTCCATACCTTTTTCACCAAAGTTGGCGGGGAAAGCAGTCCAGACATGGGGTGGCCCTGGGACATCTGCTGCAGAACCTGGATGAAGAAGCGAATCTGCACCTGGGTAGTCTGCTGCAGCAGAGCATACAGAGCGGCGGTCCGCTCGGCCTCGCTCAGGACACGGAACCATTGCTCGATGGCACTGAGTTCATCCTTGAAGTCCTGGTCGAGGGTGGCAGCTGCCATCTCCTCCAACGTTGTCTCGTACTGATCGATATCCGCCAGCCACTGCTGGGCAGCCCGATCCAGCGCATCCTCCGTCGAGTTCTGGCCTTGGGACTGTTGGTTGAAGAAAACCTCCGAGGATGGACGCAAGCTGCGGGAGGACAGCGGCGAGGGGAATCCGGACATGTCGGCCGAGGCTCGCAGCTGGTGCGTACCTAAGTTGCGAGCCGACGATGGGGGACGCAAGGTGGAATTCGGGGCAGCCTCCGGGGTGCTGTTGCGGTTACCGATGATATGGCTAGCCATGGCTCACAGGTTGATAAAGGTGAATAGTAAATACAGTCGGGGAAAAGATTACTGCAAAACACCTGCAGCACCTGCTGAGTTTGCGTAACAAAATAGAATCAAAAAAAAGAACCTGACCGAACAGGCCGGGACTTCAACAGTTGGCAGAGATGGATTTCAAAGCCCGAATTTCGACTTCTAGGCGACAATGATTGGGGCACAGACCAGGCCAGTGGCTGCACCTCGAATTTTTTGGGAGGGGAGGGAAAGCAAACACACAGCTGAGAGGTCGTGAATATTAGGGAGATCCGAACGAAGGAAAGTCAGGGACCAGGAGGCAATAGTGTGTCAAACACAGCAAGCCTAAGCCTAGAACCCAAAGAAAAGAAAAAAGGGGAGAGGAGGGGAGGGAGGGAGAAGATCGAAGATGATGGGGGGAAGAGAGGAGAATGGGAAGAAGTGCGGCGGAGAGGCTTTTCGGGTTGCAGTCACGGGGTTCCGCACGGAATGAAGAAACTCACACTGAGTCAGAACTCGTTCCTCGTTCCTTTTGACATCAACTTAACACTTGACAACTCTCTTTGCGCGCGTCCGCTACGATCCGCCTTATTATCGGTGCTGTGATCAATCGATTGGCCAGGTGGAGTCGTTACTATGAATAATCGGGGCTGCTGCATCTGAAACGCACTGAAGAGACTCAGTGCGCGCGTCTATACGGTCTGGGCCATGGTCCCAGCAGTCCGGTTCACAACGCACGTTTCCTTTCTTTGATTATAGGGTCACGACCTTTGCGATCCGAATCATCATTGAATATTATTCAACTTGTTCGCCCCCCCGGCCATTCTTTGTCCTTGAAAGCTGAGAGAGCTGAGCCGGCGTTGCCGCCGATCTGTTGTGATGGCTAGCTCGGATTATCCGATGGGCTCGATGTCCCCCACGGAGGAATCGATGTATCCAGACATCGATGAATCCATCCACTATCCATGGCAAGAAGAGCAACAAATTATAGCGGAGGAATTCTCCGCGTCCGTGATCGACCCTCGTTTATACCAGGGATTGGCTTCACAGAACGATGAGCTTGCCGTTGACCAGGTTCAGCCAGATGATGAGGATCAAACGGCCCATCTGGAATCAAATGGCTTCCTCACAGATGAAGATTCAGAGCTCGAATATAACGAAGAGGATGCAAGGTAATGTGGTTTGACCGAACAGAACGTCTTTTTCCTTGCCCTGACGAATAATTCAGCGACTCGAATGACTCCGATGAATACCCAACAGAGGATGACTCTGAAGACTCGGGCGCCGCACGGCGACGTCGTCGTCGTGGCGGAGGGCGCTTCTCAGGCCGGTATGGTGCTCGTGGTGGCAAAGGCATTAAGAGAGGCCCGCGAAAGCCAATGGAACCAAGCCCGGAATTCAAGATTCTTCATTCAGATGCCACTTCTGCTTTCATTGATGGTGATTATGGACGCGCCATCGAACTTGTGATGCGCGCCATTCAAATCAACCCCGAAATGTTCCCAGCTCACTCGCTTCTTTCTGAAATTTTCCTGGCCCAAGGCGAGAAGGACAAAGCTTTAGCTGCTCTATGGAATGGTGCTCACACTCGACCTAAGGACACTAAAGTATGGCTACAGGTAGCCAGACTTATTCTCGGTCGCGCCGGTGTCGATCGAGAAAATGCACTCCCGGATGTTGTTTACTGCTACAGCCGTATCATTGAAATTGATCACAAGAACTTCAATATTCGATTCCAAAGAGCAGCTGTATACCGAGAACTCGGATACACGGGTAGGGCAGCCGGAGAGTACGAGAGAATCTTGAAAGAAAAGCCCTACAGCGTTAGAGCGCTTCGACACTTGGCTGAAATACATATCGATCTCAATGACGTTGAGCGGGCGCTTGAAATTTGGTCCGAGAGTATAGTTTACTATCGGGACCACCCTGACAAGGTCCGAGGCTTCTCATGGTCTGATGTCAATATCTATGCCGAGCTCTTCGGCTATGTTAATAGACACGCGGAAGGTCTTGCAGAGATGAAGACCCTCTCGAGATGGTTTTTGGGTCGCAAAAATGATGACCCTATGTGGGAGAAGTTTGAAGACGATGACCGGGAATGGGACTCTGAACATTCTCCCCGTCGAATCAAGACTAGTGGCTTTAACCCCGACCTGTGGCCTTTAGATTCCTATGGGCTCGGTCTCCCTCTTGAGTTGCGAATCAAAATGGGCCTTTTTCGCTTAAAGATGGGCGAAAAGCACCATGAAGAAGCACTGGTATGTCCCGGTTGAGCCCCGGCTACCCAAACCTAAAGGCCATGTCACTAACATATTCTCTAGCATCATTTCGAATGGTTAAATCCAGATGATACTTCAGAAAATGCTCGCATTTTTGACTACGGCGATCTTTTCAGAGAGGTCGCGGATGCTTTGCAAAAGGTTGGCTTGTTCCAGGAAGCTTTCCGGTTTTACTCACCGATTCAACAAACCACCGAATATGCGGATCTCGGCTATTTCATGGCAATGGCGAACTGTTGCGTGGCGTTGGGTAAGGTGGAAGATGCAGAAGCGTACTATCTTACGGTGGCTGAAAACGACCCAAGGCACATGGAATGCCGTGTGAGACTGGCGACTCTCTACGAGGGGGACTTTGGAATGAACGACGAGGCCCTGAAGTATATCAACGAAGCCTTGTTAATCGGTAGACAGGAAGGCAGGACTCGGCGAAGGAAGCGAGATGACAATAGGCTTGAACAGCTCGCTATTGAGTTCCAAAGGGGTCCTCGCCCTATGGGCTCACCGCTGACCGGAACCGAACCGACTGGCAATGGAGATCGTTCCAAGAATGCACAGAACAGAACAGACGACATCCGGTTCCTGTTCGATAAATTAAAGGAGCTTCATCCCTTCATCAAAGAAGGCGACTCGGATGTGGTCGAAGATTGGCTTGACATCGCCGATGCTCTCCTGCGAGATTTTAGGACTAATCGAATTTTCTATCCTATGGCTCGGACGATGGAATTTCAGGGATATACTGGCGACTCTCAACGAAAAGGCAAAAAAGGTCGTACGCTGCTCGACGAAGCGCAAGAGATAGCCGTGCGTCTGCAAAAGGCAATGGGTAAGACTCACTATACAATGCCCCTGTCAGTAGTTCAGAGCTAATCTCAATCAAAAGGTGACGGCACTGCCGAGGAGGATTGGTCGGATACCATTCCAACCGATTACCATGGCATTCCCTTCGACGAATGGCTCGACATTTTCCTCGAGTATTCTCTTCTTACGACCAAGCAGGGCGATCCAGAAGAAGCATACGATGCACTAGACGGAGCAGCAACTGCAAGCATTTGGTTTCATTCCAAACCCAAGTCTCGATTGATTCATACCTGTTGGTTTAGTACGCGATTACCCCACTTTATCTATGGGCAGAGCTAACGAATCATAGCCTGTGCACTTCATGCCCAAGATGAAGAAGCTCTCGCTGGCGAGGCTCGGTGGTTCATGAAGGAATACCAGTTTGTGACAGATACCTATCGTTTATTCGCCATGCTGAGCAACCTGGCCGGCGATCCCCACAAATCCTTATTTCACTCTTCCCCAAACATGAAATTCATGCTTCGTCAGATCAAAGCTATGGACTTCACCTTGCCAGGAGATGCCTCAAAGCCCCAGCCTCGACAGTCTGTTTGGAAAGAACGCGCTGCCCTGTCTACGAAAAACGATGCTGGCGAACCCATCCCAGCCGAGGAACTGGATGTCGCCCTCCTTGTGCTTTACGGCCATATTCTTTATTCCGGAAACAGCTTCTACCCGGCCCTGAACTACTTTTTCCGTGCATATGCTCTGGACGATCAAAACCCAGCCGTCCTTCTCTCCATTGGACTGTGCTTCATCCACCACTCTATGAAACGACAGGCTGAAAATCGGCACTATCTCATCATGCAAGGCTTATCTTTCATGGACGAATATCGTCGCGTTCGTGAGAAAGCCGGAACTCCTCTGCAGGAGAAGCAAGAAATGGAGTTTAACTTTGCACGTGTGTGGCACAGTCTCGGGTTGCTTCATTTGGCAGTAAATGGATACCAAAAGGTCCTCAGCCTCAGCAAGAAAATCCAGGAAGAAAAGCAGCAGTTGGTCGAGAACCATGCAGATGACGGTGGGGACAACGATACGGTCATGGGCGAGGCAGATACCGTTCCCCGAGATTCCACGCAGAAGTCCCGGCGTTTTGTTGAGGATTTCTCTCCTGAAGCCGCCTATGCCCTGCAATGTATTCATGTTCTCAGCGGAGATTCGAAGACTGCCAAGGGTGTTACCGACCAATGGCTTGTTGTTTGACGGCTACTTCTCCTTGGGAGCATTGCTGCCATATTAAAGAACTAGCTAATTTGCTTAATGAACAAGACCTCAAATTCCAAGATACCTGACGTTCTGTATGTATACTTCAGGCCCTCGGATACGGACTCTTAAATCTCCATTGGCGGCGGGTCATGTCCGCAGAATTTACCACGTGCCTGAGGTTCGCGCAGACACAATAATTCGAATCCTGAGCTTTTCTTTAATTCTCTATCTTGCCTCATTGCCAAACTTTTCTTCCCTCGTACCAAGTCTCCTTAATCGAAGCCTTCAAAAGAGAATATGCATCCCACTCCATGTCCACAATAATAAAATCGGCCATCTTTCCAGCGGCCAGCGTACCCACCCGTCTCTCTGAGAACACACTTCTAGCGGCACCTCCGGTCGCAGCTACCACCGCTTCACACATGCCCAGCTGGAAATGTTTGTTCACTATATCGGGATATTGGGGGTCTCTCGATGAGCGACGTGTGGTGGCAACATAGAGGTTCTGCATCGGTTCCCATGGTGAGGTAGGGCTATCACTTCCAATTGCCATCAAAGCCCCGGCATCAGAAAATTCCCGATACGCAAATGCTCGCTGGCATCGGTCATTTCCTAGGAGACGAGGCCATTCTCTAAGAATAGAGGGATCGGCATGCACCGGCTGGATGGATGCCGTCAGGCCTAGAGCACCGAGTCTCTTTGCATCTTCTGAAGATGCCAGCTCGAGGTGCTCAATGCGATGTCGCCTCCCTGGGCTAGCGTGGTTCTCGATCGTATCAATTGCCATTTTGATCGCCCCATCACCAATGGCATGAAGGGCGATTTGAAGGCCATGGCTATCTGCCTCCTTAACAACTAGATCCAGATCTTTCGGCACCCAAATAGGAGGAGGGGAGTCCACTGGGGCATATGGTTCAGATAAATAGGCCGTGCACGCATCGATGATACCGTCACAGATGACTTTGATGCCAACGATTCGGAGGTCTGGGCTTGTTGTGCTGTTATACTGCTGTGAAAGCTCAAGAGCACGTTGAACTTGCTTCGAGTTTTCCTTGGGTTTATCACTTGGCTTGATCAACCAGTATGCAGCGATACGCATAGGAAGATTGGGTTCCCTTTCCCGCAGAGTGACTAGCGCATCCCATGCATCTTCGTCCATGGCCATCTCCACCAATCCGGTATATCCTGCAGCATTATATTCTGCAATACCAGCCCGCATGGCCTCAATTCGCTCTTCCTTCGGGCTCGACATTGCCTGGTATGGCCAGATAATAGACATCATGGCACCTTCATCAAGTACCCCAGAAGGCTTTCCATTCTCATCACGGTGGATCTTGCCTCCGGCAGGATCTGGCATATCGGCAGCACCAAGTTTCTCCAGTGCTGCATTATTGCACCAGCAGGAGTGTTGGGAGCTTGCGTCGATGAAGATAGGTCGTGGATCAATATCGTCTATCATTGCAGCTGTGGCCCCATTTGGCGTCATATAATGGAACCAGTTCTTGCAAAGAATAGTCGGGACATCTGGGTTTGCAACAGCATACTCATGAATAGTCGATCGTATATCATCCAGAGACATGCAATGCTTTAGGTCAAGTTTGCGAAGAGACTGGCCGAGGAGGAGAAGGTGCATATGACCATCAATGAAGCCTGGCAGAATAGTCTTTTGCTGCAGGTCGCGGGTTTCGAAGTTCACACCAGTGCTTGCGGCGCTTACTTCGGCCTGTGATCCAATCGCTGCAATCTGGCCATCTTTGACTAGCATGCTGTCGGCGAAGGTCGGTTCATCATGATGACCTGCGCACTCGTTGGTCAGGATTCGACCGTTCAGAAATAAGATATCGGTTGGCATTTTGAATGATGTACTAGGAAAAGCAAAGGAGAATCATAATTCACAAATCAATATGTGACTTTAACAGTCCGCTATTCCCGGCGTGGGGTGACACTAGAGTGACTTGGCATTCATTCCGAGCTTCATTTGAAGCTCGGAGTGGATCCCGCTTCGAGTTTCCCTCCGAGTATCACACCTGCCCGTCAACCTCTGATACATATCCATCTACATCAAGATAATCAAAGTCAAGATCAGACAGTTTTCTTGGATTCGGATCTCCTTCGAAGTGAATTCTCCCCCTGATGCTAAGTTTATCGTATTCTGTCATTCTATCTTAGACCAATTACGACCGATTTGACGCTTTGTTCGGTCGATGATTCGGTTAAGATCCAAGACTCCACTTCACGCCTCCAACAGATCACCAGTTGAAATGTCAAAAATGCGGAGAGAAATCCCCGGAATTCCTCCAGTGGCCCCCGCGGAGCCGGCCCGGCAATAACCACTGGTGTCAAAACAGCTCCTCTTCGCCAATCTTCTCAGCGAAAATGCTCATTCTTTTGGTCTCCGTTCTCGAAAGTCCAATCTTTTCTATCCCATACCACCCATTGAACGATGACACACGATATCAGAGGTAGCTCTGATACTAGCGCCTATGTCAAAAAGGAGATGCCTCATGTGATTGAACCCGACCAATCTGAGGGCGAGATCATTGGGAAAGTCCTTCTTCAAGAAGACCATGAGCGAGCTAACCAAGGAGACCAGCATTTCCATCGTCTTGGATGGAAGCGCCTCACAGTCGTGCTCATTGTTCAATCAATTGCATTGGGCAGCTTGAGTCTCCCTGCGGCATTCGCAACACTGGGAATGGTTGCAGGAATCATTCTGACCATTGGGCTGGGAGTCATTGCAATTTATGCCAGTTATATCGTCGGTCTTGTGAAGCTGAAATATCCCCACTTGCCTCATTATGTTGACTTTGGCCGTCTCTTAATGGGTGGTGCTGGCGACAAGATCTTTACTGTCGGCTTTGTGGCTCTTATGACCTTGACAGTGGGATCGCATTGTTTGACCGGCAAACTTGCACTTGCTACCATTACCGGGAGTAATGTTTGCGCCCTCGTTTTCAGTGTTGTCTCAGGAATCATACTCTTCGCCTTTGCCGTTCCTCCTTCCTTCGCCGAAATCTCAATCTTGGGGTACATTGACTTTGCATCCATTATAGTGGCAATTGGGATCAGCATCATCGCAACTGGTGTTCAAAGCCACGAGTCAACAAATGCTTCATCATCATGGTCGGCATGGCCCAAGGAGAACCTGACGTTTAGCGAGGCTTTTGTGGCTATCTCAAATATCGCTTTCGCCTATGCCTTTTCCTCTGCCCAACCATCTTTCATGGACGAGATGCACACCCCGAAAGACTTTACGAAATCCATAACGACATTGGCAACCACACAGATGACTATATATGCTCTTACAGGGTCACTCATATATGCCTTTGTTGGACAAGATGTTCAGTCACCGGCACTTCTATCTGCCGGTCCCCCTCTTGTGAAGGTCGCCTTTGGAGTGGCACTGCCTGTCATTTTCATATCTGGCTCCATCAATGCAACCGTTGCCTGTCGTTTCATCCATGGGCGTATATATCAGGACTCGATTGTCCGCTATGTCAACACTACCAAAGGATGGGTGACTTGGTTGACGGTCGTGGCCTTGATCAATATTCTCGCCTGGGTCATTGCTGAAGCAATTCCCTTCTTCTCCGAACTACTCTCAATCTGCGGCGCCTTACTCGTATCCGGTTTCTCGTTTTATCTACCACCTGTCTTATGGTTCTTTCTCCTGAGAGAAGGTTCTTGGTCTGAAAAACAAAACATTCGCCATGGTATCTTGAACCTGATTGTGTTTATCGTCGGAATCACCATTCTCGGGTGCGGAATGTACGCAAGTGTAACAGAGGTGGTGAGTTCTCTCCTTGAGCGGGCCCCGTATTCCAAAGCTAACTTTAACAGATGTCGAAATTTCGTACGGGGTCTCTGAATCGTCCATTCTCATGCAACGCTGGATAAAGATTAAACTGAGGTCTCTAACTATGAGTTGTTGTCAGCCCATATAAACGACTCGGAAGGATTAGGTAGTATGGAAGAGGTGTATGAGCATATTTAAGATCATAATTTTCATATTGTAGCCTATTTCATATCCTGAGCGTATGTCTAGGTATAAATATTCAATTGCTTTTTACACAAGCATCTAACTATATGTATCGTAAACATGGGCAGATTGCCAAGAGAACCGCGAACCTTGAAATGATTACCTCATCAGGCGCTTCGAGTTTCCTTAATTCAACTCCCACCTTGACTATTAACAAGCTCCGACCCCTCTCTTAAGACCTCACCTTACACAAAATCAACGATATGAGCTTTTAACTATGCCTCTAGTATCACCGGGATGCTGGACCTGTCGTGTAAGGCATCGGAGATGCGATTTGGAGACGCCTATGTGCAAAGAATGCACTGATCGACATGTTCATTGCCACGGCTATGGCCCTAAGCCGGCGTGGATGGATGGTGGACCGGAGGAGCAAAAAGAAAAGACTCGAATTAAGGCAGCTATCAAGGAAAATTTTCGCCGGGTCAAGAAGATGCAGGGTCGGGCCCGAAAAAGGGCTAATGACCTATCTCGATCACTATCCGAAACACCAGCACCAACGCAGGGAGACGAAGGGTTGCATGCTGTGATCACGCCTCGCAGCCCACCTTACTCGTCGCTACCAGATCATGAGCAAACTATATCGGAGTCTTCCCTCGAATCAGAGGACAATATCAACAGCTGCGCTCAAGACGAGACCGTTGAAGTTGATGCAGAATCTAGCCCGAGGTCCCTCGAGGGAAACACTAATATTGATTCTCAAGAGGCATGGTTGCTGATGCATTACCTCGATCAAGTATTCCCATGGCAATTTCCATATCATGATCCGCGCTCTCGCTTGGGCAATCGAGGCTGGTTATTCTCTCTTCTAATAAAGCGGGGGCCTCTATATCATGCTGTATTGAGCCTTGCGTCCCTTCTTCAAAGCGCAATGATTGGGACCGAAGAAGAGTTCCAACGAAAGCAAAGAGCCTGGGACCACCATTCAAGAGCTTTAAGGGAGCTTTGCGATCTCATGAGCGAAAAAGGAGACAAATTACGTGAAAACCATACAGAGCTGGCGGAGTTTTTGACATGTAGTTTCATGTTGATAAGTTTCGAAGTAAGTGAAGAATAATCACTCTCTCTTGTATGAATGGTCTAACAACGCTATTAAGGTATTTAGTGGCGCAGAACATGATTGGCTTGTACATCTTGATGCTGCTACGTCCGTGATGAATCTATTGTCAGCCGAAACAATTTTCAATCCCACACTCCACTATCGCAATAATCACCCAAGCCCCTTGATCGAAAATCTTCAACTCATAAAGGGTAGCGTGAAGGATGGTCTTGAGTTTCTTTTGGTGACTGTAATATGGTTCGACCTTTTTGCCTGTCTTCCAACTGGACGTGCGCCCCAACTTCCTTACCGTCGCTGGCTCCAAATACCGGGTTTAAACACAGCAGATCTCATGGGATGTCAGAATTGGGTGATGGAAATGATTGGAGACATTGCGCAATTCTCCATTTGGAAGGAAACACAAGAAAAAGATGGTGTACTGAGTATCCGTGAACTTGCCAACAATGGCCAGGGCATAGAAACGCGGCTGGAAAATGGAATCCAGAGCCTCGATCTGGCCCGAAGTGTAAGATCATGACATTCATCGTCTTCTTTTCTGGCTCGGACTCTTACTGATGGAGTCATCTATAGGAACACCCAAATGTTGAGCCGTTATCAAATTGGGTTACTCGTCTCTTCGCGCTGGCTGCTTTAGTGCTGTTACATAGTACCGTATCTGGCCCCTTGCCTGCGTTGCCTGAAATTCAGAGTGCGGTTGCGAGGAGTGTGATTGCACTCCAGAATAGACCATGGACATATTCTCTCACGGGTTCGGTATGGGCACTATGTGTAATTGGTTGTATGGCGCAATCGCACACTCGCTCAATTTTCGAAAAGTTAATGTCCGACATAGTTCGCGAATCAGGGAGAATGGGAAATAGTGCGACGGTTTTGAAAATAATCAAGAAATGCTGGCAGCTGCAGGAGACTGGTCGAGCCGATAGTAGAAGCACTATGCGTGAAATGGGGATATCGGCTATATTAATATAAGAGTCATAGATAACGAATAACAAGTAACTTGAAATTGCCAGACGATGATTCTGCAGCTCTACTTCAAAACTTCAAGCGTTTATACTTACTTAGCAACGGGATATAGATTTTAAGCCTTCTCATTCTGGATATGAACTTTTTGTTGACGAAGGATCAAGCCTCATCTATTACTTGAGGGTGTTCGTGAGTTGATGTCTCACAATTATACACGTAGAAAGTGAACATGAATCTGACCATCAACAACTTGGGAGCGAAGCCCAAGTGAATCAACGGTCTCCACCATACTTTACATTGCGAGGATCACTAGCATCCTTCCTAGCCATTTGAAACTAAAGGAAGATGAAGAACCAAAAGTAGGAGACAAATGGCAATGCGAGCCGGGTCACTCTCAAGGGAAAGTCGAGCCGAGAGATGGATTCTCACCAATCAGAACAGAGTTCTGTACTCTTGAAGTATAGAGGTCCGAACATCAACATGTAGCATTCATTGATTTTATTTAAGTGAAAGAAACCAAAAGTAATGCAACTTGGATATAAAGATCAACTGCAATAAAGATACTATCCAGAATTCATAATATTTTACCTTCTCTCTCTACCTACCCTTTCGGCGTTGTCGCAGCTGCAAGATACAATTTACTATGAGAATGCCGGCACTTGATGTTGAAGAAGCATCAAATAAAATCAACCTTGTCGAGGCCAGCGTGAAGGAGCTGCTTCATGCTTTGAATATCCGTGCCATATCCAGCGTGCGGCTTGTCTCCCTCTACTTGCACCGAATTGGATACTACGATTGTCGAGGTCCTTCACTGAACTCAGTCTGTGTTCTGAATCCGAATGTATTTCAGGAAGCCCAAGAATCAGATGACTATCGAGCCAGCGGTCTGCCACCAAGGCCCTTGGAAGGCATTCCATTCACAGTGAAGGACAGTTTCAAGGTCAAAGGCATGACCGTAGCCGCGGGGTCGCCTGCATTCAGCGAGCTGATTGCCTCGGACGACGCAGCAATCGTTTCACTCCTTCGTGAAGCTGGGGCCATAATAATAGGCAAGACCAATATGCCAGCAATGGCGGATGGTGGGGGACAACGAGGACTTTATGGCAGGGCAGAAAGTCCGTACAATCCCACCTATTCCACCACAGCCTATGCATCTGGCTCCTCCAACGGGTCGGGCACATCAACAGCTGCAAGCTTCGCCGCTTTTGGACTTGCTGGAGAAACTGTTTCTTCGGGAAGGGCACCGGCATCGAATAATGCGCTCATTGGATACTCACCGTCTCGGGGGTTGATACCGAATAGAGGTCAATGGCCTCTTTACCCAACGTGCGATGTTATTGTTCCTCACACCCGAACAATGGAAGATCTGTTTATTCTCCTAGACGTCATAGTGGCAGATGACAAGATATCAGCAGAAGGATTTGACTTCTGGAGGAATCAAAAGTTCGTTCCGATCCCCCATGCTTCGGACGTTCGACCTGTCAGCTTCAACTCTTTAGCGGATCCTTATTCACTTATTGGAAAACGTGTTGCTGTTCCCAGGTGTTTTATCGGTATTCAATCTGCAAAGCCGCCCCATGTCTGCACGGAATCTGTGCAAAGGCTTTGGGAGAATACGCGTACGACGCTGGAGGATCTTGGAGCTACAATCATCGAGTCCGATTTCCCTTTCCTCGAACAGTATACCAAAAAGGACTTCCCGGGACAAAGCTGCAATGTACCCGGAATGCCCGGAAACTGGAATAGCATTGAACGCTGTCAAATGATAGCCACTGCCTGGGATGATTTTCTCCGACAGAACAACGACCCGAATTGCTCAAGCCTTGCTGAGTCTGACCCAGACAAGATCCATCCACACATCGCACCGATGGACGATCCGATAAAATTTACCGAGACATACAATCAAGTTCGTTACTCTGACATGATTGATTTTGTCAAGAATCGGACACGTTCAGTTGACACACTTCCTGGTACAAAAGAAGCTATTCAGTCATTGGAAAATATGCGGAAGAGAGAATTCGAGGATTGGATGGATTCTAATGATTTCGACCTTCTCGCCTTTCCCACCAACGGAGATGTTGCGTACGCTAATTGTGATGAGGAGATAGAACCGTTGACCCATGCTCTACAGGATGGGGTCAAGTATTCTAACGGTGGACGATCTCTTAAGCATTGTGGTATCCCTTGCATCACCGTCCCAATGGGCACAATGAAGAGTAAACGCATGCCCGTGGGAGTCACATTCGCATCAAAAGCTTACTCGGACAACGATCTCCTTTGCTATGCATATGCATACGAAGCAGCAACTCATGCTCGAACTGTTCCTTTGTTGACTCCTCCATTGCCAACAGACCATATTTCACTATCTACAATTCCCCAAACGGGTTCAATGAAAGCCAGGCCTATTCTCGAAGCTACGACAGCAAGAAGTGAGCCGATAGAGGGAGCGAAGCAGAAAATCTGCCGTCGTGTCTCGATGGAAGGCACCGTGTTATCGAGCAATCCGGAAGTTGGAGTTTCTTCTGTCCAGATATTCGTCAACGGTGAAGAATCTTCCGTGGGCCATTGCAATCACGGGAAGTGGAGATGGGAAACGACGATTTCTCGACCCGAACGACTTGAACGATTTCCAGAAATCGGTCAAGTGCCAAAGAATCAATTTCTGATTGTTGTCATTGCTTCTTTAACCAATGGACGATGTGCAGCTTCGATGTTCTTGTTAGATTGAATAATACACATATATTTGAAAATGAGGCTCAAACTTGTATACTACATAGCCAATCATGTGTTGGAGCACACAGAACTTCAGACATGCACTAGGTCTACAGCGAGTTTTAAACTAGGCACCAAAATGAAGGGTCTGGCCTAATGGTGTAAAAAGCCTGATGGGTGAGCCATCACCACACCCTTACCCATGAATAGAATTATAGGTAGTATCAGTTATCAAGATAGATTTGTAGTAGCCCTTCCGCGACAGAAAACCAAAAAGACAACGTATAATTTGCGTCGCTGTTGAGATCTCAAAAAACAGACAGCAATCTGAATCGTTGTACCGATACAACCGGACAAAACGTCATGTCCTAAATTGAACATGCCCGACGATATTACCATGCACACAATATTGACTGGGCCATATATTAAATGACACCATCGTACATTGCATTAGCGTCGAAAATTAGATCTGATACCTTAGTAGCCGTGATAGCCATGGCTGATGTCATTGTGCCTCTGGGTCCCGCACTGGAATTTCTGCTATCTTGACAATCAACGACCTCATATTATACTTTGGAGCTAGTACTAGACTACCTATGTTGCAGTGAAGATCAGGCTTGCTCAAAAATGTATTACATTCGTTCTGATGGGGAAGATTGATGGGGTGAGATATAGTACAAAAAACGATACCGACTATAAACGGTAACCATTTTTATCCAACAAAAGGCAACCAGCAAGATCGTAAGAATCGTGAGAAATTTGCAAATGGGCAAACGCAAAACCCAAAAACAACGTGATATAATATGTATCCAGGCTAAAAATCAAAACTCCTTGGCATGCGAATGTAAGACCCTTCGAAAAGCGGGGGCGCGGGTACCCTAGGATGAGACAGATAGTTGAGGGAAGTCAGACCCGAAAGTATCCGCCCTCAAACAAAAAGATCAGCAGGAGCCGCCTGTCATATCGAATATCTGATTTGGGCGGGGGTGCTTCATGACGGAAGACAGGGCTGCAGCTTGCTAAAAGGGGGAACACTCGGTTCAACGTCATGGGTTGGCCACCTCCCATAAAATAGGCGCTTAAGCCGCCACGAAAAGAAACTCAGGTGACTACAGCATATTCGTCACCATCCAAGTCGGTATCATCAAAGAAGACAGCCGACTGGCGCCGCATCTCCTCCATAAGGCTACCCCTCCTAGAAGTCGGGGTCTGAGGGCGCGAGGAGGCAGTTGAGTGCGACATGCCATCAGAGAAATCCAGATAATGCGACTCGGACTTGTATCCAGAGTCGTTATTTCTTTTCGGGGAGGTTCTCATCCAGTCGCTTAAGCAAAGCGTCAGATGGCTCAGACTCAGGATTATGGCGCCGACGTGATAGAATGGGGGACAACGAACGGCCCCCGGTGACGGAACATTCTTGAAGTCCTCTCATGATCGCCGTTTCGATATTAAGTCGATTTTTGATGAATTGAATTTTAGGGAAAGCACTTTGCTGACCGGTTTGAATCATGCGAGCGAGCCGCTCGGGCGTTGGATCAGAGAGAATGTGGTAGAAGTCGGAAGCGATGCTTTTAGGCCAGATCGTAATAGTGCCCCTAAACTTTTGTAGCCAAATCTCACTCCAGTCTTGCCCCAGTGGCCGAGGTAGTAGCTCTAAATGGCGTAGGACTCGGAGCCATTTGTTAAGATCGAGTTTGATGTACTGCTCAATAGCGGTGCCGAGAAACCCACCACGCCAGCCACGTCCCTTGCGGTGGGTGACCGGTCGCCCCACGGTTCCTCTGGAGCTAAAAAAGAAGAGGTTCACATGGGGGTTGACCTAAAGTAGTGTCAGTGGCTGACGTTTTCATCAAGGATAGAATCTTACCTGAGATACGATCGTGAAGTTTACATTGAAATGTAAGTTCAGCGCTTTGATGGGAATATCGGTCCGCAGGCTTCCGTCTTTCCACTTGTGCCCGAACGAGTAAGGGGCAAGTGTACCGTCCCGCTTTTTGGTCATCAGAACGACCGGATTAAGGATGCCGGGCACGGCAGCTGAGGCGAGCACGGCACTCCAGATGACACAGTCGGGGCATGTCAGGTAGTTTGCCAAAATAGTAGGAGAATGGGGGTCCGAGGGCACGCAGGACACATTCAATATGCGGCCAGTTCTTTCATAGGCTTCTCGAAAAGTAGTCGAACCCCTGCAGAACCAGCTGCATTGTTTAGCCCAGTCTAGTGTATCGAACCGAGCACCTGTCTTCCACCAACGACGAACCCACGTTGTGATACCTTCGTGACAGGCGCGAATTCGGTGAGCAAGTGCCGGTACTAGCAGTTGCTTCAGCTCCTCGTCGGTCCGGGTTGCCACCAGGCCAGCAACTAGTGCTCCGCCTGATGTACCAGTAATGAGCTCTGGCAGCACACCATTATCCAGCAGCGCCTTGACTACCCCGAAGTGATAGTATGCAAAGGTAGCTCCGCCCGAGAGGCATAGCGCGGTCCTCCCGAAGTTGGTATCAAGATGCTTGAAATGCTGATATTTGGCTTCCCGATCGACCTGCTTGCTGCTCAGTACCAGCTGAATACACGAATGTACCTCATCGATATATTCTTGAACTAGCTCCTTGGTTCCCGAATAGGCCTCGCTGTAGATTCGAGGGTTCTCCACTCCTGCAAAGTTGTTCTTCACACAAGCCTCCAACAGAGACCGAAGCTCTTCCACGGCCGGAGTGTCGTTGACACTCACCCGACCATGCTCAGCCTCCCACTCCGTATCCGCCCTTGCTTTCTTCAGCTGGGCCACCACTTTATCAATCGTGATATGATCGTAGTAAGCGTACTCATCGGTCTGCTTCCAGCTTTCATTGCCGAGATGGGCATCCAGCGCTTGGGCTGATTTCAACCAATCTGCATAGTTCTTTTGTACTGACAAGTCCTTTCTCAGCCGCTGCCTCTTCCCCCTCCATGTGACCCATTGCTCATATAGGAAGATGTAGACTCTGACCAAAATGTAGCCAAGGCTCAGCATGGCGATCCATGCGAAGACCGTGAAGAGGAAGGGCCATTTGAGAACTGTGTATAGGACGCCTTCTCTAGTTTCATCCTTGCTTCGCTTCGGGTTCTTGCGGCGACCGCGGGTCTTGCGTACACGTTGGTTGATAGGGCGCCAGTCGTTAAGGGCTACCAATGGGGAAGCTTCTGGGGCATTGAGTGCTTGTTCGAATCGACGTAGGTCGTCCGGATCGATGAAATCTTCGTCGTAATCTGGCAGTCCGACCGGGTCGAAGGGGTCGGATTGCTGCTTTTTCTCCTCGGAAGTCATGTTGACCATGTATGCATGGCGTTGAAAGCAGGAACAGGAACATCATGAAACAAAGCCGGTTGGGGAAGCTCCTCAGCATACGACGTCAGCGTCACGTGCCAGGACCCACCAGCCACTCCGCAGTGGGGTTAGATGTGGCTGGCGAGGAGTGTGGCTAGTGACCGTTGCCCCGCAGATAAGAAAATAACCTTAGGAAAGAAACAGCGCTATTGTTCTGGTTCAACCATGGTTCGATTCTTTGCATTGGCGGGAACTACAACCTTTTGACTTTCAACTACCAGACCGCCTCGAAGGCGTGTGAAGATATTCCAGACAACCCCTCCAACCCCTCCATCTACGAAGCATTGTCAAGAGACCGGCCGTGGCCGTCACGGCAGTTGTTTTAGAGGTCTCGTCCGATTTCCGAGATTGTACCATCCCATCCTACCACGGGGTGTTACGCAAGAGCAATTGAGATTGGCCAATGGCCTAATCTTGTGCAACAATATTCGTAGCTCCAATTCTTCGTCGAAACGTCGTGGAATGCTACCCCAGTTCTGATGATGGCATAGCCCGGACAGCCCCTACGGACAACCCGCATAGTCTTCCGAACTACACCTACACCCTCCTACCTTTCTCACTTCTCCCACGGTAATATCCATTGGACAATGACCCTCTCCCCAGATCTTCTACGTAATGCGTATCAGTCCACGTCGTGCAGGCTGCATCTACCCCTCCAAAAACCTCCGGCGCATGTACAGATGTATGGCATAGCGGCATCACACCGCTAGATGGTAGCCCGTTCAGATCTCAACGGAGATGGCCATTGAACCCTGCTGATTGGCGGACCCAGGAAAGTTTTGAGACAAGATACCGAAATGGAGGGCCAGGAAAGCGTCCTATGGGCTGACGAGAAGTTAACTCTGTCGATTTAGCCGCATGCGACCCGGGCGCGATATCGGATGTGCAGCGGAACCCGAGGTCTCTCGCGCTAGCGGGCTGCACAGTGGCACTACACCTACTCGTACTAGGGACTGTCGATTGGTGTGAATTGGGGGCCAACTTCAACCAACTGGCGGGCACCGTCCGCTCAAATACTTGCCTTTGGATCACCTGACCCTGTTCGTGATGATGATAGCCTGCATATTAGTGGGCCATTGCTTAGGATTTCTCGCTAATTAGGCTCTTTTTGGCGTGTCCCGGACTCTTTTCCCAGTCATATGCGACCCTTGATGCTGATCATGGCGATCGACCTGAATTTCTGTGAATCCTTGAGTCAGGAAAAAAAAAGCAAACATTTCATGGCGTTGTGTTTCGCTCCTCCCGAGACCTCAGCCCCTCAGCTGTGTAGACCAGCGGCAAATAGATGAACGCGACTGATCTCAGGCAGACGATGGAGGTACAAAAATACAGAACTGGATGTAAACCGAGTTTGTTGCGCGGTAGCCGCCTCTAATTCTACATTCGGTCTACCGTAGGGCCAGGGGTTCAACACCCTGCCCGCCCCCCGGGTTTCTCTGGTGGCGGGCAACACTTGAGGGCTTTCAAAGATCCTATCCCGATGGAATTTCCATATTCGTCTCTATGCATATCCCGAATTGTTTGCCAATAGAGTGCAGGACCACTCGGTATCAAGGCCTGCGAAGGCTCAGCGAGCCACATTGGTCTTGGCGCATGCTGCAAATGACCAGGGCATGTCCAATAAGCGCAGCCCCCGCGATATCACCTTCGTATGCTCGTGCTGGATAGATCGCCCAGGTGTGGAGAGCCGGCCAACGCCCGAGGGCTGCTTATTCGTCTCCTCTGGGAACGGCATACGTAGTAGGTATACCCAGGAAGGGGGCGGGGCGATCAAGTGGATGATCACATACTATCATATGTTACCCCCCTTTCGGCCATACAGTCGCAATTTCCATGTGCTCAACATTCCTCAATTGGGCGGGGTAAAAGTGTTGTGTTTTGTCTCTCTCAATGGCACCTAATGGTAAAGGGGAAAAGCATAACACTGGTACACTGTGCTCTATGTATACGGATATGCAAGGATGCTGCATGCGAACTCCTTGCAAATGCAGGCTTTCTGCAGTGGGCTGGGATCTGAGGTTGAACCGAGCGTCCAGCGGCGCCATGGTCCCAGGAATGTGAATGGTCATGGAATTGTTTGACTACCCCGCGCCTTGAGAGATTGGCTTCAGGGGGGGATTTTGACTCTACCTGTCCGATGCCATGCCCCTATGAGTACTATTTCAAAGCAGTCGAAGTACGAAGTAGAGGAGCATGCACAATATACTCCGTACTATTCATTTAATAGTCCTTTAAACCTTCTTCATGTCCATGGATGCAGGCTGGTCCTGAAACAGCTTGGAACGCCGTTATAAGCGACCTCTGGTGCGACCTGTCAACAGTATCCCGGCCGTATTCACATAGATGAAACCAAGGGGATCGCGTAGTACCATGGCTCGGTCAACGCCCAGGTTTACCCCTTCGGGCCGGAATGCGGAAGCGGTGTAAACGAAGTCAAGTCCATTGTGAGTTGAAAAGTCAGAGATGAGCAAAAGAACGACATCTTATCCCGATGCCAATGTCTATATTGGAGACATTTGATGTCATTGACAAGAGGATTTACTCCGAGTGCTCCACCACGATATTTGACGCCGCTCTCCAAAAAAAAAAAAAAATACTAGGACTCCGTACTACTAGTATGTACATCGTAGGCTCCACCCGAGAATGTCAGATGTCAGTGCGAGCTGACCCGTATGGCGCCAGATAGCGTAATGCCCATATTGATGCGGGTGTGTGATTCGTCAGTCGATAGTTCATGGAGTCCCTCCAAAGCGCCAAACGGTCTTCGGGTTTTTTTTTCCCTCTATATTTTCCATTCTCGCAGATGACCCATGGTTGCGAAGATTCTTGCGACGCATATGTTCTCCTGGGGGATATACATCTCCACCAATGGCATATCGCGATAGCACTCGACGTGCTGCACGCCTTTGAAAGAGCGTGCACTGCGGATGACCGCCAGGGCAAAACCACGACCAAGACTGGACACAGCACTCGGGAACACGGAGTTTCCACAGTGGGTCTTTTGGCACTAAAAAAGAAAAAGCGGGCCAGGAAGAGCACGGGGCAACTGGGCTAAACATCTCTCGGCATTCCCACCCGGTCTGCACCATCGAGGGCCGCTGGGTTGCCTTTTGGTGTGGCTGCGTCGCTGCAGTGGGTGAGATCCAGGACGATCAGCACCCGCCACTGTGGGATTTGCAGTGCATCTCAGGTGGGAGTGGTGGTGGTGGAGTGGAGTGTGGATAGGGTCAAGAGAGTATCGTATCAACTTATCGCATTTCCTCTTTTTTTTTCCCTCGTCTCTTCCCATGTCGATCGAGGGGAGGGGAGACTTTGGCGGACCCACCGCGGGCGTGATAGACAAGAGTTATCCTTGCTCGAGGGGATCGACTCAGAATGCTGCGACAATCCACACGGTACAAGCCATGCAGCAGGATCAAATCAAACCACCACGGACATTCCTAGTCGCATGTCCCTTTTAGGAGGGGCCGGTCGATCCAACCGAAGATTTCTGATAGACGCGGCCGAGCAGCGAACTAAATCCTAGGCCCCTTCATATAGCCTCTCCATAGGCTTGCCACCCACTGGGGTCTCCTGCAGCTTCTTTTTTTGACCGGCGATGAAAAATAGAGAAAGCTAGGGTAATATACTCCGTACAATTGAAAGAAAGAGATTCCCCCTCAAAAAGGGACAAAACGGGACCCCCGAAATGAAAAATACCAATCGAGTGACAAAAGTGTCGAGATGAGACAAGTTGTGATTTGACGTGAGGGGAGTAGGCAGTCAACATAAAGGAAATGAGGCCATGCGATCAGACCATTGCGATACGTACGGAGTTGAAGTTAACTTGAGTACATGAGTTCTCAATAAATTTAGATTTAAATTTAAATGATCAAATCAAATAACGAATGGAGTCAGACCCCGCGCAATAATACCAAGGGTAACGTACAAATCTGATAGAGTTGAAGGGTACCTCAGGTATCTAAGGTACCCTAGTAATTTTAGTGTATTGTTATCTTTTGCCTGCACTCCCATTCTTATTGAGCGGTTACCCCGTGCCACCACCGACTTCCCTTCTTCCCTTCTCCTCCTCCTCCTCCTCCAACCTTTCTCATCTTCCTAATTTTAACACTCCCCTTCCCAGGTTCATAATCCGACCTGTCAAGTTGGTACATTCCTTTCCCACGAGGTACTTACTCCCCCTCCCCCCTGAACCCTGCTGCTCAATCGCATGCGCTAACTCCTCACATTGCCTAGGCGACACGCTCCTTTTTCTTCTCCTGCTCGCACCAGCAAAATGTCAGGTCTCTCTGGTTGTATCTACTGAGCCATCCTCTTCAGAGTTCTCCGAGCTAGGATCCTGTCTCGCTGGACTCCTCTCCAACCATGGAGAAGTTGAACACTGAAGATGGACAACTCTTCATCAAGGTGTGTCTGCCCCCACTTCCTAGCTGCGATGATCGCCCATCTCTACCTTTTTTTTTTCACCTGCTTTTTGTTTGCATTTGGTCCTCGGGTTATTTTGGCTGATTTTTTTTTCTCTATCGTCCTATAGAACCTCGCCAGCTTCGTTCGTACCCACGAAAAAGCGCTCGCGAACGCTTTGCAGCTCCGACGCCAATCCAAAAATGTGGTGACAGCGCAATCGCCCGCCAGCGCCTCGAACTCGAACGGCTCGGCATTCTCCCCCACGACTCTCGCCTCCGCCTTGTCTTTTGGGGCTCTGAAATTTACCTCGCAGAGCATCAAACCCGCAAAACTCACCCTCACTCCACACCACCTCTTCTACCTGCTCTCACAGTTCGAGGATCTTTCGATTGCGGTGGGCCCTATGAACGTCCGGTTGGAGAACATCCATACCGAGGTCTCTCAGTCCTACGTGTCCTTCCTGAATAAGCCACAGCGGTCTAAGGGCGATGGAGCCTCTATCCACTCCGTCTCCAGTGTTCGTAGTGTCATGTCGGGTATGAGTGGTCTCTGGTCCTCCTTTGGTCTAGGATCCAAGGAGTCATCATCCAAATCGGAAAGGGCCAAGGTTGCTCTAGAGGCAGACCTAAAGTATCTTTACTCTGCATTCACCAAAATCCCGTGTTTGCGCCTTGCCCCGGACCACCGCGCCTGTTTGATTCGAGGATATGAAGAGTTTCCCTTCGATACGGCTGTGCCGCTTCACTCCTTCAAAAACCTGAGTGCTCTAGAGATCATTGACATAGATTATCGTTCTTTTTATGGCTGGGACCGACTGTCTGAACAGCTGCGAACTCTCTCCATTAAGCGGGCTCATCTGGATGACCCTGCGGACCTATTGACAGGGATCGTGCTGGATGACATGGACAAGCGACGACGACGTTCGACAAAGTCTCAACAGTCTCCGCCGCTTGGATGGACGAATGGCAACTCCTCACAACCTGTCCGTGCACCGGATCATACATCGCTGTCTGCTCCTGGCTCGCCCGTTGTTGAGAACGCACTGGCTAGTAGCACCAGCCCTAGGTCCGCACCCATGATTCGAGGCAGTTCTGAAGGCGGGAAAATTCGGTCGAGAGCGGACAGCATCTCGCCAAGTCGCCCGACCACGAAGCAGAGCCATCAGCGTCACGCCCGTGGTCAATCAGCGCGGATTCGACGAACGGGCTCCGGTAGCTCCAATTCGAGTGATACGTCGGCTGGCTATCGGACCGGCAGCTCCTCCACCCTCCTTCCAGGGGTTCTACCTCCATCGAAATGGCGATTCCTGCGCCATTTGGGTTTACCTGACAATGCGCTGACATCGATCTCTGCTGCCAGCCTCGCTCCTGTGGCCAACTCTTTGAACTCGCTTGACCTCTCTTCAAATCTCCTGACAGAGATACCCGATAGCCTTGCCTCTCTCATGGCGCTCCGAGCCTTGAACCTTTCCCACTGCATGATCGAGTCGCTGCACTCCCTTTCGCGCAATCCCCTTCCGGCTATTACCGCACTTAACCTTCGAGGAAACCGACTTCGCTCGCTGGCGGGTATCGAACGCCTGCTGTCTCTTGAGAGATTGGACCTACGTGACAATAACCTCATGGATCCGACCGAACTGGCTCGTCTTACCAGCCTCCCTGAAATACGGGAGATCTGGGTGTCCGGCAACCCCTTTACCAAAACTCACTCTGGTTACAGAGTTGTGATCATGAACTTGTTCCGTCGCACCCGGGATACTCGGAAGATATCATCATCGATGGCCGGGGTCCCGGCTACACCGAGAGAAAACAACTAGCCGATCGAGTTGCCGAGCCTGAGAGTGCTCCGGTGGTTCGCTCCAACGTACCTGACCAGTCCACCGTGGTGCATAAACCCACAAACACGGTCATTGCTCAAGGTATTCCTCTTCCCAACCCAAAAGATGACGAAGTGGAAGTGTATGCCAAGACGACACAGCGGAAAGATCATGAAACAGGGACTGGCCGCCGGAAGAAGACCAACCGTCGAAGAATCGCCGATATATCGACGGATAACCCATTCACATCGGACGGTTTGGGTAGTTCAGGGCCGTCAATGCCGCCAGTTCTGCCCACGCAACAAATCCATTCTCCGATTAGCCCCTCATCCATCCTCCCATACGACCACCAATGGAAATTGGATAGTGCGACTCAGTCAGGATCCTCCAGTATCCAGAGCTCTGTCAAGCCTGGACAGTTGGCAAGCTCATCCCACGTCCAGCCCGCTGTTGTGCAACCCGCGGCGGGAAAGGATTGGGCCTTGGATGAGGTGCTCTGCCGTCAGCAGTTAGAAGCTCTGCGACAGGAAGTCGGACAGAATTGGATCACGGTCCTTGGAGATCATCCTTGGGATAACTCTCAAAATAACATGCCGGGTCATCTCACACCGAACGGATTGGACCACTCACCAATACCACCAGCATCCATCGTGCGGTCGACTAGCTATGCTATACTGAGCGGCGGCCACGTATTGGGCGGCTAATAGCTGCTATGACATTTTTTTGTGAGGAAATCTGTCTTTCCTCCTCATCACCCATATTACATATTTCAACTCCTCTCCCCACTCACTGTGACCGGGCCTCGGAAAGCAACCGGCACAAATCATTTTTTTTCGGGATAATTTTTCACCCTGGCAAGTACATCTATTGAACTACTTGACCACTTTGCATTGTTAATGGCGTTTCGATGACTTACGAGTTATGGTGGGTTGGATGTATGAACATTTACGGCCGTTTTTGCTGCGCTTTGTTTCTTTGTACCCTTTTTTTTTGGCGCTTTCTCAATTGCGTCCGTTCGTTGTGGACCTCAAAATGTCCTTCTTTGCGGTATTTTCTCACCCATTTCCGGAAGGCACCGTTGAAGACTTCTGTCTAGAGCGCGTGTATTGTACCTTTTTCGTCGTTGTTCTTATCTCAGGCGTTGGTGGATCGATTTCTCTATTCCCCTTTTGTTATTTCCAGCTCTCGGCGGGTGTGTTCTGCAGATTTTTCATGGGCCATGACAGCGATATGTGCCTCAGAAGATAATATAAGTCTTTTGTCAAATCCGGATCTTCCGTAGAGAGTAGGCGGTGGTTCTCTTTCATCGTGGGTCAATCTGTCAGTGTTGGGAAGTCAAAAGTCAACATATCGCGATGTGACGCGCGGTCTGGGTTGGCATGATCAACGGGTACCCAAACAACTTTAGCATTCGCAGCAGGGTACTAGTAGTCAGAGAGATGCAGCGCCTTGGGTCTCTCCGAGTATATAAGTGTAAACGCACTGCAGCCCGGTGCTCTGGTCGCTGTGTTGGGGCCTCCTGGGTTGCAGTCGAGGGGGGTCTCGACCGGCTCCAAAGTCAGCCCCTCCAGCACCTGGCATGATGAAGAGAGGGGAAGAGGGTATGATGGTGTGCAGACTCAGTGTAAACATAAGTGCAACTGAATTCCACTAGAATTGATCAGACAGACTTAACCATACCCAGGTAGGAACTTGAAAAAGGGACTATTTATAACTCAGGCCGATCTATAACCGCGGAGGACAAACCAAACACGGCAAACACAAACTCTGGGAACTTCCCGCTTCTCTCCCTGCGCAAGATTCTCCTCTCTTCACCCTTCGAGGCCAAACTCACTCCATCGCGTCCACCTGGTTTGACATCTTCTCCGTATCGCTCACACCGTTCGGCTCAAAAAAGTTTTTCTCCCTTGATTGACTTGCTCCCTTTTCTCACCCTCTCAACCCCCCCACACGGAAAACTTCGATCGCTCGGAACCACCGACCCCCCCTCCCTTCATCCCACCCAAATCGACTCGACAACTTGATTTGACCCGGCCCTCGATCACTGTCGGTCAAAGTCACTAAACGCACGCATCGTATTCGTTTCTCGATCGAGCTGCCCACCAGTTTACAGTCGGAGAGGTACCCCGTCCACCCCCGTCTGGCATCCCTGCCAGACCCTCTCTTAACGGCCGCAAAGGCCCTTATCTGTGAAGAACCTCTGATCTCATTGAGCTTGGTTGTTGGTGCGTCGTTCTGCTATTTTCCAAGTCCGCAAAAATTCTACCAAGGGGGGAAAAGAAGCCCGGGCAGAAATTCGGGTGGCCAAAAAAAAATTCCTATCAGGAACGCGTCTGTCTCCCTGGGCACCCACCTAGAGTTTGCGAATCGGACTGACATCCTTGTTAACAACTGAACGCATCACTAACTTGTATCGCTGTTGCAGAACATAGTCCCCGCGTCATCAGCTATACGCCCGCTTCGGAAGTCATCCCTTCCCCCGGCGCGTCCTTTTCGTTCCGTTTTCTTTTCTTCGTTTCCTTCTCTTCTTTGTCTTTCGTTACAGACCGACCATAATGGCTGACCAAGACGTGGATCTGGACTCCATTATTGACCGGCTCCTGGAGGTGAGGGGCAGCCGGCCCGGTAAGCAAGTGCAGCTTCTGGAATCGGAAATCCGTTTCCTTTGCACCAAGGCCCGTGAAATCTTCATCTCGCAGCCCATCCTGCTGGAGTTGGAAGCCCCCATCAAGGTATGTCATATCTGACCTTAAGGGTGGCTCCTTGCGGGGACCCGCGTTTCTAACTTTTTTTCTTTTTTCTTCTGTCAGATCTGTGGTGATATTCACGGCCAATACTACGACCTGTTGCGTCTGTTCGAATACGGTGGATTCCCCCCGGAGGCCAACTACCTCTTCCTCGGTGATTACGTCGACCGTGGCAAGCAGTCCCTGGAGACCATCTGCTTGCTCCTTGCCTACAAGATCAAGTACCCCGAGAACTTCTTCATCCTGCGTGGTAACCACGAGTGCGCCTCTATCAACCGTATCTATGGTTTCTACGATGAGTGCAAGCGCCGATACAACATCAAGCTGTGGAAGACCTTCACCGACTGCTTCAACTGCCTGCCTATCGCGGCCATAATTGACGAGAAGATTTTCACCATGCACGGTGGCCTGAGCCCCGACCTGAACTCGATGGAGCAGATCCGCCGAGTCATGCGTCCCACTGATGTACGTTCCCCCTCTTTGTTGCGATGTTTCCCCCCGGCACGTGCTGTTTTTTGTTTGACTCAGGATTTGTCAAAAATTGTTTGGCGGAGTTCCTGCGGCTTAAGGGCCAAATTCGCTGACTGAAATAGATTCCTGACTGCGGTCTCCTCTGCGATCTGCTGTGGTCCGATCCAGACAAGGATATCACTGGTTGGAGCGAGAACGACCGTGGTGTATCTTTCACATTTGGCCCCGATGTGGTGTCACGCTTCCTGCAGAAACACGATATGGATTTGATATGCCGAGCTCACCAGGTTGTGGAGGATGGCTACGAGTTCTTCTCCAAGCGCCAACTCGTCACACTATTCAGTGCGCCCAACTACTGTGGTGAATTCGACAATGCAGGTGCCATGATGAGCGTCGACGAGAGCCTGCTCTGCTCCTTCCAGGTACGTCAACCCGATACTTGAACACATTTCTTTTTTTTTCCCCCGAGAACCTGACGAATCAACTTTTTCTTCTCAATAGATCCTGAAACCAGCAGAAAAGAAACAAAAGTACGTCTACGGGAGCATGAGCTCTAGCGGATCCGTCACTCCTCCGCGCAAACAAAAGAAGAAATAAAGGATCAATACGAGCTTTTCCATGTGCAGCAGGTTCGGGCGGAGATAAGCCTTTTTTCAGATCGCATCGATAAACCCCTCCCTACATCCCGCCACGACATCCAACCTTTCCACCACCTCCGCCGCGAGTTCCCCTCAACCAAAGACCTACGAAGCGATGAACGACCGAGGAACCCTCACGCAACCGGGTGTAGCCCACACGCCATCACCTTCATACCACTCGATTCCGCGATAATCCCTTATTGAACAGCCTTCTATACACGACATCATTCGGGCTACCCCCGTTCGACAAGCGAGGAAGACCCGTCTCCATCATTTCCGGCCGACAACCCGCGACCTCTGGACTACGGAGCGACAATTTCTTATCATCGACATTCTTCTATTTCTTCCTTCGTTGGACTGGTTTTTTTTTTCTCTTTCCCTTTTCTTTTCCCTTTTCTTTTCCCCCTTTCTTTCCTCTTTTCTCTTCCGTTTTTCCTTTTCCTTTTCCATAGTCGATCCTACCTTTGTTTCTTACCATCTGGACGGAATGTTTCCTCTCGGCATCCTGGAAAGGCGGCGGGGGCACACCTGGTTTATCTCTTATCTTTTCCAACTGTTTCTGTCTTATCGGTCTTGTGTTTGAATTGAAACGCATGTGTTGTCCTGCCTCTTTTAATTTTTCCGTCTGAGTCTTGACTGGCCTAAACCCCCTCCCACTATTTTACTCTAGGCCAGTGAGTGGTAGGTAACCTGGTACAGGTACAGGTGTAGGTTCCTAGGTGTCTTTGATTTCTTTCCTTGTTTCCTTTTCCTCTCCTGTTGATTCTAGAGGATTGGAATCGAGATGGGGATAGAAGGATCGATATTCGTCTAGACTTTTTGACTTGAGAAGTTTCAAGTTCTGTATGCGCATCATTTTAGTCATTAAATGCATTTAATCCCGTTTGCAACTTTCGTCTCAATTGGGCTGTTGTCCATATCATCTCTACCTCGGCTATGGCAGCAACTGCAAGAATAGTAATAGGCTAGGCTTTCGAGATATTCTTCGGTCTTGGTCTGGAGGTGACTTGATTTGATTTCCAAGGTTGCACGTAATTCGTCAGCTTCAAGTTCGCTTAGGCTTATATACAAGGCCTGTATGGTATGTCATGTCGTATCCTATTTCCTATTCTATAATGCACCAACCTCAATTCAGCATACACATCTACTCACGAAGATATTTGGGAATATTTTAGTTAGAACTATATGGAGCAATCGAAGCAAAGTCACCGGCTAACAGGCAGCAGTGGAAACAATCGAGGCATAATCAAAGGAAAGAAAATCAAAGACATGCATTTGGGGGGAGGTTACAAGTTGTAGAGTGACACATCAAGCCGTAGTAAGAGGGGAAGGGGAAAGGAAGTTTGGGGGTGGTTGGTGCAAGGTATGAGTGAGGGTGTGTGATTTGAGGAGAGAAATGCAATCCCCAGCGAGGCGTATAATTCCAAATTCCACTCAAATGAGAAGGGTATGAAGGAAGGGGAGGGGGGGGGGGGGATTCGAATAAACCAAATTGCCCTCGGAGATCGGATCGTCATCGCCTTTTCCTTCTCTATTCAACAAGAGAGAGGGAGGGGAAGCTTAGACGTATTGCGACAACCAGCGGATACCCTCGCCATAACCCTGTCTCATGACAACACTGCACATGAACAGCTCGATGGGACGGATTCCCTCGAGAGGGACCTTGCCCTTGCCAGTGGTCTGGTAGAGACCAAGCTGGTGGCGGAGCTCATCCTCACTGACAGCGTCGGGATGGTCGATCTTGTTACCGAGAACGAGGAAGGGGACCTTGGCCAGGTCTTCCATGGCGAGGAGGGCGTCGAGCTCGGCCTTGGACTCGGGGAAGCGCTCGTAGTCCTTGGCGTCGACGAGGAAAACAATACCGCTAACTTCGGGGAAGTAGTCCTTCCAGAGACGGCGGGCTATTCACATGATATATTTTAACAAGCTGATCTCGATGGGATGGGGATGGAGGTGGAGGGAAGGGAAGATATGTGTGCACAAAGGATCGATCACTCACCCTGCTGGTGACCACCCAGGTCAAAGGTCGTGAAGCGGTTGTTACCGATAGCCAGTTCCTCCGAAGTAGGATGGGCGGTTGGGGAGAGCACGGCAACACGGTCGTTCTGTAAGAGTCGGCATCGTCAGTCATCATGCCATCCATATCTCACTCGTCTCACATCAGAAGCAAGCAAATGCCGTATGGCACCACCCAGTCCCAAATCGGCCATCAGCAATCCAGAATATCCACCCGGTCTGCCTGCTCGAGAGCAAACCCGAGTGTCGCATTCCAGATATCTCGCTGGATCCCAATAACCCGATTCAAGTGCCGAATCATATCACATCGCCCACTATCATCCGCGGAGTAAGCCGCAACTCTCTCGACCTCGACTCAACTCACCTTCAACATGTGCAGCAGGGTAGTCTTGCCGGCGTTATCCAGACCGAGGAAAAGGAGCTTGGCATGCTTGTTCAAAAGGCCAAGCGAAGCCAGGACATCGTAAACTAAAGCAAGAAAACCGCATCAGTAAACTGTAGCCACGCTGAACCCAGAATCGAAAGCCCAGCCCACCCCCCGGAATCACAGGCGCAGAAGCCGCGGCAATAAGTGTGAGGGCCGGGGGGACGAGACAAAGGGTCGACGGTCGGGCTCTATTGTCCGCGCATTCAGACACGAGGATATCGTAGCACTCGTTAGATGGGCGAGCATCTAATCTTCCAGCGGGTGCTCCTCGGTCTCATGGGCGCGGACAAAGTGGTAGGGTGATGGTCGGGTCTGGTCGGGCACTTACACCAGTTGACGATCCACATGGTGGTGAAAAGCTAGGAGGCCAGAAGGGAGGGATCGAAGGTAATGGTGTCTGAGGTCGGGACTCAAGATTGGACGTGAGCGGGGCGACGGTGATGGATGGAGAGGAAGAGAGGCAAGAAGCCAGGTTGAATGTTGTTTTCGGAATTGAGAGGGATTGCTGCCTGAGGCAGGAAAGATCAGCGGTGGCGGACTAGACGAGTCTTCGGCTCTCTGTTTGTAACCAACTAAGCGGCCCTTTGGGTACCAATTACTATTATTCAGATGATTGGAATTGCATACTCCTAGTAGTAATTCGAGGATTTAAGGGGAAATTATTTATCATCAAAATATATATGTATTCTAGTAACAAGACTAGTACCGACCCAATTCCTCCCACTTTATCCACAATGCAGCAAATTCAGATAAGGGGTATATGCAACCGCAACCATGCAATTCAAAAAAGAAAGTGGCCTCCTCAGAGCAAAAACATATGCTGGGTAGAAAAAAAAAAAGAATAGGTAGAGCTCCTCCCAAGGAGATTAAAAGCAGAATAAGCGAGAGAGAGTAAGGTGTAGGGGAACATGCCATCAACTCGATGGTAAGACACAAACATAAGTATGTAAGAGCGAAGGATTCTCGGAACCAGACCGAGGGGGGAAAAAAGGGTGAAAAGGGTAATAAGGTAAGATATGTACAGACCAAAAGGGGTATTCGTTAGAAAAGGTGGGAAGGAGGTAGAAGGAGGGGGTGGGTGGTAAGGTGGGTTGACCTCAAAAAGAGGTCGGGAGCTCAAACAGAGTAGGACGAGCTGGGTGTCTTGTCCGACACCATAAGCTCTGCACCTCTCCGCAACTTCGAGGCCAAGCTCCTTCATCCGTTCGGCTCCCTTGCCTTTGATCGGTCGCCGAACCGCCTGCTCTTTGGCAGCTTTGCGGCAGTGTTGGCGCCAGAATTTCTCTTTGCGCTTTTGGCGCTTCTTTTCAAGACCCTCGACAATGTCGATCGGGCCGCGGGTGTGAAGAAGCTCACGAGTGCGCGAGTGCTCAAGCTCAGGTGACTCAGTCAGAGGAGGAATGCCCTGCCAACGGTGTGATCTGTCCATGCTGGTGAAGAATGGGTTCGGTGTCCGGGGCAAAGACTTGGTCCGGATAATAGGTGGCCGTTGAACCAGGTGGCTGATGTTGACACCGTGAGGGGAGTTGATCTCGGGCATGTCTTCTGGCAGTTCAAACTTCTCAGGCGAGGGCGACTTAGCTCGAATGCGAGGAGGGGGAGACTTGAGTCGCTTGGGCGATGTGCGTCCGGCCCGACGAGAGGGCGGCGGCGGCGACACCATGCGCTTCGGTGAGTGGTGCGGCGAAGCGTTGCCGGCCGGGCCATCGACCCGACCCCGAGTGGGCTCTAACACAACACTGTCCAACGCACTTTCCGAAATGTCCTCCAGGTCTCCATTGTCCTCGGGGTCACTGGTAGGGAAGCTAGGGTCGATATCTTGCGGGATCATAACCTGCTTTGAAAGACGGCGTTGCTCTATGCAGGACTTGTAGGCGGCCTCAAGAGGGCGATCCTCATCCAAGGTGCCACAGACAAAGTCTGTGCTGTCGGGCAGGTTCGGGGTACCTGGGCGCATCTTGATAGGTCTGGGGGCGGAACGAGGGGGCCGACGGTTAGACCGTTGTACAGGTGCCGGCAGCCACTTCTGATGATCGTCGGTCATTGAGTCAAAGGATGTGTTGGATGCACGTCGCTCCATCGTGGTGGGGAACACCTCGATAGATGGGACGTTCGAGTCGGAGGCAGTAGCAGATGGGGCCCAAAACTCGTAGTCAGAGCCATCATCGTCACTTTCATCCGAATCGGCAAAACCAGCCTCGTTATCCGACTCATTTCCATCATCATCGGAGAAGTCGTGGACCGTTGAGTCATCATCTGCCAAGTCCAGATCATCATCGTCGTCCTCGTCTTCGGCTTCCTCCTCAGCCTCCTCGCCAAGTCGACGAATGGCGATTTCCTTCTTCATGCAGTCATTCAGGGTAATCTTTTCCTTGTAGTCCGTTGCCCTGTTGACCCACTCGTCATCTTCATCCATAGAACTAGCAAATTCGTGGAAACGAGTTGCCTCGGATTCCTCAAACTTGCCCAGTCCACTCGTCGGAACTGCTTTCGAGAGAGTAATAGCGGTAGTTTGAGGGGTGGTAGTAACCTCGGCGGCCTTTGAGCTCTCGGCGGGTGGCGAAACCTTACGAGACAAGGGGGCGGGAGATCCGCGGCATCGAGATCGGAATGCGACCTTGCGCACCGGAGAACGTTCACGTTGAATATTTGGCTTCTTGTCTTGACGTCCAGGGCAGACGAATGTGAGGGTGGTTCGACGTTTCGGGGGTTCGAGGGTCTCTTCCGTTTTCGAGGGAGTTGTTGCAGGTGGCGCTGGCGCTGGTAGTGGTGCAGATGGCTTCTGTTGAGATGACTCGTCGGTCTTACGGCCGCAGGCAAAGCTGATGCAACGCTTGCGTCCAAGGTTGGCCTCGACAGTAGTCTCGCTGGCATTGACAACCTTGATCTTCGGCGTAACATCCTTCTTCGCCATCATCTGAGACGGGAGTGGCGGACTCGGGGTGTTGGACAGGGAGGGACTTGTAAGACCGCCATCGCTGGTCAGCTCAGCAGTTGAAATGCCGCTGATGTTGCTGTGAGGGTAGGAACGATAGGTGTAGGTCGAGTCGTGGAGAGGGGTTTGAGGTTCGATAGGAGACATTTCGGGACTGCTCTTCAGGGCACGGGTGAGCAGGGATTCCTGGCGTTCGGGAATTGCCGGTCGTGCAAATATCCTTCCGTCTTCAGGGTGTATAGGTTTGGCGTGTATGATATGATGTTGATCGGGGGGGTTCATCGAGGTCTTCTCCCAGGTCGCCCTCTTCGTGGGTCGGCCGGGTGGATGATCCGGGTGAAAGTAGCATCTTGAGAAGGTTGTGAAAAGAAAAACTTCGGTCGTCGCCACGGGTTTGAGCCATGTTGTCGAGAAGAGTTGTCGTAGAGGGCAAGTGGCGATGAAAGCACGCGTAGTAGTTGCACTCTTTTCAATATCGATCACCAAATGATCGATCGACCGCAAGGTCCAGAGAAAGCCCCGGAAAGGACGATTGTCAGGATATCCAGCGCATGATTAGGGGGGGCACGAGGCATCAAATAGAGAAAAGGTGACGATAGTCGCCAAGAGGAATAATCGTCTTTTTTCACGGGTGGCAGCTCAATAATGAGCGCCGGATAGGCTTTAGGCAGAGCGCCAAGAAAGAATCTTGGGGCTGTGGGCCGATAGTAGAAGAGGAAAATAACCAAAAACCAAAAAAGGACAAAAAAGAGCTGAGATTGACAATAGAAGAGATAAAGTAGAGGAGGGGAGAGGGGGGAGGAAAAGAGTAGAGTGGAGATGGAGTGGTAAGGAAAAGAGAGGCAAGTATAGAATTGAGACTGGAGGAGGGGGGGGGAACAGTGACGATACGCGGGAGGACGGCACGATCGCGTTGGGTTTAGCGCCTCGCTGATTTTGCGGGCTTTTTTGGGGGGGGATTTAATTTTTCTTTTCTGGTTTGGGGTTTTTTTGCTATTTAAATTTAAATTTTATTTTTTCCTCCCGAATTTCTTACATGAGATTTCCTAGTCGCCACAGCAAAAGTCTGCCCTTGCCCTTCCACGCTTCTTCCAGCCCCACCTGAGATGCAGCTCACAGTACGGGGGGGGGGGGTTTATGGTTCCTGCGCCTTCAAATAGTACAAGTGTAATCGTACAGTCACTACGGGGTATACATACAGTAGTATATTATGAGATGGTTATTTTTGGGTACTAATTTATTGTACGGAGTATGCTATTTTCATGCTGATCTCTTTCTTTCTCTCTTTCTTTCTTCCTACGAGTATTTACGTACTCTAGGTACGATCCGTGCGACCATACAAGTAGGGTTTCATTATTCTGAGTGGAGCGTGATGACTATTGTGTGTCGAGTTGGTGGCCGACTTATGACTATGAGGCATTTTGTGCTGGCTAACCGCTTCAGGGCCGCCCCTCCCCAACATGCGGGTAAATGACCCTAGCCCTCATCTCCGTCAACCCTTTCGCTTCCAAGGTTGACCCTTTCACCGTATTGTATCGATTCATTGTGCGATGACTACCGAGTAAACTGATCTCCTTTGTTTTCGTGCTTTTTCAACTTCCCAACATATGTAGAGTACTAATGCTCACACCTCGACTGGACTGGCATGTACGGGGAGATGCAAGCGGACTCCGTGCTGGGTACGGTCACAATACCGTAATCTCCCTGATAATACCACCAGTTGCACACCAGTTGTCGCCCAGCCATGCCTAGTGACACTTAGTAATAGTTACCATCGACGGTATCATCGTGGTATTCCAAGGTTGCCCCAAAGCGGCCGTGTGCCTGTGCCTGAACCCTCTTTCGTCCCAGTCGATGCCGAATTTGATTTCGAATTTAGCCTTGGCCCACTCTGTCTACCCTGTTTAGTTCAAGTTCACTACCGAGTCCACCCGCACGATGGCTCTCGCTCCTTTCAGTGGTTAATAGTGCTTACCACTATCCTTTCTACGGTAGTCCGTCGCCGCCATGATTTTCCTTTCCTCCGTCCCTGTGAACTCTGTGAACTCTGTGTACTAAACGCGCTCTGCGCGCTACACTTGCGGTTTCACTTCCTCTTGTCACCCTCCTGACCCAGCATGCATTGGACACTCTGCGAGACTGAGAATGCTTGGTCCTCGATGGTCGCTTTTCCCTTGCTCCTCCGCGGAGACCTGTGACGTAGTACCTATACTTGGCTCGGCTCAACTCCCTACTCTAGGTACTGGGGTACAGTATACAATTTACCAAGCTTGCCAGTGGTATTGGGGTAGCAATTCGGGTCTCTCCGGGTGGGTACAATTGTAGCTATGATTCAGTATGTTTTGGGTGCACCTGCACCGAACACATCATCTCTCACCCCCACACAATAGATTCTCCTGCCGGTCGATCGGTCTTGGTATACAGTTTTGCCCAGCTTTTACTGATTCCCAGTGCATAGCGTTGCAAGCATGCCAAGAACAGAAAGGCAGCACTGTTTACCGTGCCAAGATGCTGAGCCTTGCTGCTATTCTCAGCTTGACAGCTAGGGATTGACCTTCTTGGCTCTGTATACTTTCCATCATACATAATACATAACTATTCGAGGCACAAAAAATGTGATCATCGCGTGGGCCTTTGATAGCAAGGGAATTACAACGCCTCCGATCTGCGGTGAAACGTAAACGTGTGCTTCACCTCTACTCCGCCAGAATTTGATTTGGGCAGCAGCAATACGGTCGCGTGGGTACCGCCATCACATCGAGGTACATACAAGGTACTTGTCTCTGGAGCACTTGCTCCGTCATCTGCGGTTAGGTCGGGATTCTCGTACTGTAGATGAATCTCAATGGCCAGCTGATGGGGGCCACCCACGTTGGGGGTTGGAGCAAGAGAAGCGGTCAGCCGCGATCGCAATTCCTGATCGAAGGGTACGTGTACATTGGTCAGTACGAGTAGTCCATTATGGTGGTGCGGCATATGCTCGGCAATCAAGCGAGGACCCAAAATACCATGACTCGAGTTCCTTGGGTAGATACATAGCCCTACAACCACGATGCTATCAGTCATCGATCAGTGGCAGACTGCCTACCCCAAACCTTGAATTTGGTATTTAGATCTTGACAAGCTTCACGAATCCGAGGAGATCCCCCCACACTGCATCTGTGCGAGCAGGCATGGCCCCTGTAGTTTCCCCTCGCCTCCAGCTCGCTCAGTGGTCCGTTGGTTTGCCCACGAACCGGTCAACGTGACGAGCACAGCTGTGTTCGAAATGGGGCGAAGCTTGTTGCTAACGAAACGGCGCCGCAGCTGGGATATGCCGGTTAGAGATCTCCGTAGTATAGAGGGATTTTTGCTACCATTACATACGTACACATATGCATGCATTCATCATTTGACTTGAGCTACGAGACTTTTTCCAATTTCTCCGGCGCAACGCCTCCCCAAAAATGAGTTTCAGGAAGGTGGGAGGGGATCGATGCACAATGGCAGAGAAGTCGACGACGATCCGCGACACTAAAACTGTATCTAGTAGAGTACGGAGTATAGACGCCACCTCTCTATTGGAGACAGATGGAGGTTCAAGCCGCTGGGCCACTATGAGTAACCGCCAGGATTCGATCTCCAACAGCCCAAATTGTCAAGAATAGAACACCCCCACGAAGGGCGCTACTCCGTATATTATTATTAATATTACTCATACACGACGGGGCATACCTCATCCTTTCGAGCTCAAGCTCTAGGGTAAACCCGGCACACTTCCCGCTTCTAAGACTTACATACTTCTATGCATACGTAGAAGTAAAACTACAGGTGAGAGGATAGATTGCGGACAATTGGCGGACTTGAGCCAAGGCAACCCCCCTCACGATCGGGACCCATCTCCAAATCCTTTGAGGAGGCGCCGAGGGCTATAAACGACCCCCAAGCCAGCCATTATCGCGAATTATCGGACCGAGCAAACAGCTAGTGTAGCGTGTCTGCGCTCGTGGCACCAGACGGGAAGTGCTAGCGGAGACTCCCAACCCGCGCCAAACCCCAAGGGCGCAATAAGGTGTGAACTGTGCAGGTGGAGTCTCGCAGCAATCTACAATGCCACTATCCTTACTCGTACTCCGTACTCCGTACATGCGCAGAAACGGTTGACCGGAGCACAAACGGGGGAAGTGGGGACGTGAGAGTGCCCCCAATGTGGGAAGACGAGGAGAAGAGCGGGATGGACAGTGCAGTAGCGTGCAGCGCTGGCGTCGCCGGTCATACATGCTCACTATGAGGCATTTTCAACCATCTCCACCGGAAAATCTCCATGGACTCGAGTTGGTCAAGACGGACAGTTCATCGTGATCCCCATCGGTTAGTCCAATAGGTAAACTGCTTCCAAACTGCAGGGCAATTGACAGCGGCTGTTCCGCTTGGCTTGGAAATTTGTACGAACTCGCTAGGAATTCCCTCCAAAAAGAGGTACTTCGTATCGTAGGTATGTGCACAATATGTACATACTCGTACTTATTTACTGCAACTAAATAATTCAATTCACTTGTTCCTTTGCAAATACTTCATACTCTGTACTCTGTACTCTGTACTCGCGTCCTACTATTGGAACAATTTTCAGAATCCGATTCGAAAATGGCAATTGAAATTATTCCATCAATCTTATCGCTTTCTCGTATCCATATCTATGTGTTGACTCGATCACTAATGCTCGCCGATTGAAATTGGTCCGTGCTCCCCCACGGCACCGGCCTAACCTCTTCCCTGCAGCACTGGTGTATACATCGCGGGTGCAGTCAACGCTGACCAACCCGATACTGGTACACTTAAAAATTTTGCCGTCCACGGGATTGCAAATACGTGTCATTCCTAATTCAATTCCAGGTCTTGCGGCCTTCCGCTGACTGCCTGCAGTGTTTCACATTCTGGTGTTTGTCTAGCCAAGCTGGAGCCGCCGGGGTCCCGTTGGTGATGATATCGGAATATATTCAGTCCTTGGAATGCACCGAGGTACCGCCATCAGTTTGAGAGACCGGCGTTCAGAAGTTGCAGATGGTATTCCGGCCGAACATTAGAACCCGACCGTGTGTCATTCTACCGGTCACAACCAAGCAGGCCAGGGCACAGCTGCTGCATCACGTTCCTCGCAAGATCACTCATTGACCGGGACAAGACATACTACTCCGACTCCGCACAGTAAAGAGTCATCGGACTGCATCCCAGCCCGTCTACCGCCCGCCAAGAACTTCTAAGCAAAATACCAGTCTCTCAGACTGATCACAGTACCTAGACGCATACCAAGGACTCAATTTCATCCCCCCTATGCCCTCATGCATAAAGTCTCGCGAAGCCGGGGATTGATCATCAACCGTCGCGGCAGTGCACATCAAGGAGAGAGCTGGCTGACGCCCAAGGTCGCACGGGCTGGGCTCCATTCCGCGACGCTTGGCGGCCATGTCTGATATTCCAGACTGCCAAGGCCTGGGCATTTCGTTCTTCAGAATGCATCCAGTGCAACTTATGATTTCCCGAAGGTGAACGCCAATACAGGCAGAACAAGGGGGGGGGGGGATGTCATCGTCTCAGTACGGAGTACGGATACAGAGTACGCACTCCGTATCGAGGGGTAAACAATAGCCGTGTCCACTTTCCCCAGAACTGAGTGGAGAGCGTTCTTCCCCGTACCCCTGTTTTCGAACTCTGGATCTTGGCCAAGTCCAGTCAACAGAAGGTTTCAGGGGAGACAAATACACTGACAAATTCGTGGAGGCGCGGAAGAGGACTCTTCCCCGTGGTCTGGTCTGGGCGCCAAGACTGCTCTATCGCCGCCCATTCATAGGACCATTGATAATTGATAGGGGTCAGGGTGACGAAACTCAGGATGGACCATCCTGGCGCTATTGCAAACTGCGCCAAGGGCGATCATGGTCGATCATGGTGGCCTGAAGCAGTGCATGAATGGAGTCTTGGCGGGTGTTCAATCTATTGATCTGTTTGTGGACCGCCAAGCGTCGTACCGAGCGACTGCTGTTAGGGGGGAGCTGTACATCTGGCGTACGAAAGTGGCAGTGTTTATACACAGGGCTTGGGGGTTTGTAGATCATCGGCTTGGCTGCTTCATGATTTGTGCCAGTGATTCGACTCGGTCCGGTCCGATCAATCGCTCGGCGACGAGATACGGATTATCCTGCTTGTATTTGCAATCTCCCGTAGGCACCGACAAAACAGTGAGCGACAAACACTGACGAAGCTCGACTGCGCCTCCTCCCATGCATCCGATGTCGAGATGCATACTCCGTATATTGCATAAACTCTAGGTGGACATATTACACTCAATTTACATGTATACAGCCAGTCCGTGTATATTCAGGGTACCAACTAATTTGGAAGTCATAATAGAAAAGCATGCATCTATCCAGAAAGATGGAAGCTGGAAGCTGCCCAATGAGGCTTACGGAGAACTCAGCCACTTGCGATCGGCATCATGCACCGATCGCTCGAATGAACGCTTACTATTTTAAGACTTCAAGATCAGAGCTGCTGCCTGTGTTTTGATTTCATTCATCGTGCCGATGACGATAGTCATGCCCTATGGTCGCTAGAGACAGGACCAAACATCTCTCAACCCAGCCTAACTAACTATATCAAAGGTAATTATGGATCTGATCTCGCCAACATTAACGATGGTCAGGATCGGCAAGCGACCGGCAACATGGTTGGCCACCGCGACAGGTCATCGGGCAACACCCGTGCGAGATGAGCTTGCCAATGACAGGTCGGTCTCTTTGTATGTGGCACAAATCACAATTCATACCTCTACCACGGATTTCCTTACCCTGCCCTATGACTGCTACCTCATCTAGCTGTCCTCGAGCAACTGACTACAACGTGCATCGGAAAAGCCCGGGCCCTTTGTGCCTTTCCCTTCCGGCGTTCAAAGAAGAGGAAACTAAGTTAAGTTCGCGCACTGGTCATCCCCCCTTCACAGAACGCACATATTCATCCGACGCGACCGTACGCTGACGGCATGGCTTGCGCTTCTCAACCGCACCAACCGCTGAATGGCCGACCGAGAACTGTACAATCCCTGGACCCCATGATGAAAGAGATGTCGATAGAGGAAGGTGGATCGAGTGTGATATCATTCCAATCATCAAGTGCAGAGCCACGTAGGGGCCACGCCACGGGGCGACTGGCATGGCGGGGGCGTCACTCTATTTGATCCTCAACTGACGACAATCAATGATATAAATTGGAAACAGTTTCAAGTTCCACTGATAGTCTTTCTCTTTTACCATGTCCGTCCATGCTAGTGGCGGATTAAAGGATTCTCGAAACGGACACTCCCGGTAGATGTGGATTCGGGAAACAACTGACAAGTCATTCACTCATCCTATGTACATCGCCGGAGAACAGCTGTCCGCGAAAAATAACTCATAGCCTGTGTAGGTTTGTAAAGGGGCCCGTTTCAGTTTTCTGTTAGGCTGATGCATGATCTAATTCAGCGGTCTGGTGCTAAGACGTTCACTAATACCTTCCAATGCGATGAAGCCCACCGCTTCATCATCGGTGATGTCACCCCTAGAGAGATGGATGAATATGGGAGTGTTTTATTTTGGCGCTAGCTTCTTGTATGAGTGAAGTACCATTGAAAATGTATCCCATCATATGTCTATTTTTATCGCTTGAGGCGTCTTTGAGGAGGGGCTTTGGGGCTGAGATAGGCCTGAAATGGGGCTATATACGTCATACCCTGCTTCGACCTCTTGCTATTAGGGTATCACCGACATGGAACAATACAGACTTCACTATGATTTATGAATCAGTTTTTCAAATATTCTTTGGCTCAATCCTATTTTTTGGTGTGTGCATTGGGATTAGCGTTGCTCTTGTCCAATTTCGCCTGCTCGCATATTACTCGGGGAGGTGAGATCTTCGTCTATAGTACTAATAGTAGTACTTCAATATGATATATACTCAATAGTCAGGATAGTAAGGCTGTTGCGGTAGATGAGAAAGATGTAATCAGAAGTCCCAATTGCTCCGGATCTTTCTTTCCATGGCTGTCACCTGGTATTAGGTCCATTGACCACTACAGCCTCACAGATACACCACAAGCCAATTGTTCCTTTGGATCTCAATACCAGCTCTACGACCGACCGCAAGTCCGATCGATACTGAAGCACCTGGTCAATTGTCTATTCACATGTACTTCAAAGATAATTTGGTTATTTCAGGGGCTCGCAATCCCTTCACCAACAGCGCTATGGGCACTCCTAGTACAACTTGAAGCCACATAGATATGCCTAGTTAGGCAGATAGGTAGATGATAATTATTTCTCATTGCCTATCAATAAGTTTGACACGACAAACATAGACACGAGATGAATAGTCAAAGTCTACGCCAAATAAATGAACGGATACTTGCTCCTCGGGAAGCACCCTCAATATGAAGAGAAAAAGAAGAAAAAGAAGAAAATAGCGACGGAAGTCGGCTGAGGTCATACGGAGTGGAAGCGGAGTACAATTTTTAATGAATTGGCAAAAAGATGAGATGGTTGAGGCAGGCAAAACTCTCCGAGCACCTGGTAACTTAAGCTAAATTATATAAATCCTTTGAGCCCTGAGCCTAGTAAACAGTCAAGGCTCTTTCCGTGGTTCAATTGAAAACTTCACGACCTTAATACTATTTGGTTTTATCGAGATGCGAACTTATTACAGTATCGTGGTGTATCACACCAAAGGACACAGTGCCGTGCACCAAAAGCTTGTTCCCAGGTCCATATCCAGTATGCAATTAAACAGAACACAAGGTAGAATTAGCATCTCCGCGTCGTCGCTATCAAATATTGTGTACAAAAGTGATCCTGGTACCGAACATAGATTATCAAATAAACACATACCTGGACACTTGCTATCGAAAGTTTTACTAACTATTTTGTCTCATCTTAGCTTCACCCGAAGGCTACTAATCACCGACCCTGCGTAGAAGGGTGAGACTTGCGTCGGTGTACTACTAGTACGAGTTATGAGTTGCAGCGTGTGTTTTTTATTAACTGTTCATAATCTATACTATATTAAGAATGCATAACCGTCAATGGCCTACAAAAGAAACAAAAACAACTCGGATCCCCCCCCCCAAACCCCAAGCTTCTTACACCATGTCTTCAGGCTCTAGCGTTTCCATGATGCAAGCCTCGTCATCGTCGCACTTCTCCCAGACGCTCTCATCATTGCTGCAACCTCAGCAAGTTCGATACCAGTAAAACGTGCACGGCGAGCGCGATATCGAGCAAACAATCTCCCCCCCTGAGATACCTAGTTGGCGAAGCAGCGTTGGGTTACTCTATCAAAATACTAGTACTATTATACTATACATTTTGCGGTTGTAGTTATCAGATCTCTTAACTAACCATGGGTTTGCTAAAGTTAATCGCATGTTCTATGTAGTTCCGTATTCGACAGCGTTTACAGTGTACCGGCTGCGAATATTTCAGACCGAAACTCACCGATAGATCGGCAGGCTCAGGACGACCCTGGCAGTTATCCTCCTTTCCATGTTCGTGCAATTCAATCATAGCCATAAACGCACTCAGAATGCCCGGCGCTCCATGGCGATCCCAGGGATGCAACACATGCCGGAAAAGAAAGGTCAAGGTGAGTAAAGTGAACAACAAGGTTATCGCAGCGAGCCAACGGTTCATAGTGTGATCTTCAACGGCCCGAGTGCGCTCGATGTCTGCGGGGTGGACATCATTGCCAGGGCTATGACCGAACGGCCAAATTCATCCATACATTTGTGGAACCCAATGATTCCCAGACTCGGGAAATTCAGCAAAAGCCAAACATCTCTGGGAACAAGTTGCAGCCGCCACCGGATAATGTTCCTATAATATCCGTCGTCAATGTAAATGCTCAGATTCGGTCTCAGCTATTTTCGGTATTCATCGATTCCTATGTACCGTCTACCACCTCGGGCCAGATCTCGTTCCGATGTCAGAAATCGTCCAATTTGATCGAGTCATTTCCCTCATTGATGGATCGACCGTGGAGCCAACTACTAGACAGAGCGATTGCGGCCCTTGCATCGGTCTTCGTGGGAAAGAAGTTCAATGATAATCGCATGATCAATCACGGAATCAGAATCTACAATCAAGCGATACAGATCTTCGTCCGTTTAATACCGCGCTCGGACCTTCCTGTTCAGGAGGTTCTCTGTGCCAACCTTATATTCCAATTATACGAAGTGAATCCTTCCTGCATCTTAACTCATAACTTGAAATATCTAACTGTACTCAGCTTATTAACTGCTCATCCGGGTTCTCTGGATGGATGGCACACATGGAGGGTGCCAATGCCGTTCTCGCTCGACATCATCAGAAATTGGAAGGAGACCAGATGTCCAAGATGCTATTACGCCACCTGAAACTGGCAAATGTGGGTAAATTGCCTCTCTTATTGATTTCTAGCTAACTTGATCTGCTAGATCTTTCATGCAATTGGAAAATCCGAATCTGCTCTTGCTTCTTGTCCGATGTGGCAAATGCTAACACCTCTCGGAAAGGACAACGACCTCATCGACGAAATCATCGATATTTTAATGCATTGTACAGTTATTGTAGAGCTTGTGGGGGGGTGCACGATCTGAGCGAGAGACTCGAAGACTGAAGAAGTTGTGCTGGAGACTAAAGCACCGGCTTGATTCATGGTACGAACGATTACGATCATTATTCGGAGATCCACTTTATACAAGCATTCCAGACGAAACCGACATTTCTCGTTCCAAAAGAAGCAGAAGGATTTATCCTTATCGATATCAATTTCCAGCCGTGGAGATTGCTGAAGCACATTCCCTCTATTGGGCAGCTCAACTTATCACATATTCCCTCCTTTTTGGACTCGAGCTCCTTGGGGGATCCTTCGCCCAGCACGGAATACCCCTATCTTTCCAATCAACTTCCTCTAGCAACACTAACTCCAAGGAGTCTGCTCTATACATGGAAGAGTCCGAATTCTACGCTGATCAGATCTGCCGCGGCGTGGCGTACTTGATACAACCAAACATGCATATACTCGGCGGAGAAAACCTGCTTTTCCCGGTAGCTATGGCTGCCCAGTTCTTTCATGGCAATGGATTTCATGATAAGTACGAATGGTGCCAGGAGGTTTTCATTACGTTGGAATCACTTGGGATAGGCCTCTCTCACGTGTTGCAGGGAACGCCATGGTCAGACTATAAATCCGGCGAGGCAAGAGCATTATAATACATAGAAGAGAAATATAAAAAGAAGGCCAAGACAACAATTGTGGCAAATTCCAAACCAGCAGAATTGCGTATGAAGGGACAGGCCATGGCCATTATTTGCCTCACCAACCTGGAGGACCGCCACCAGGGGGGGCCAGGTGGTCCATCATCTCCGCAACAATCCCCACAGCAGCACTCACAACATTCAAAGCAGCAGAGACCAGCACAGCTAATCGGGGAGGAAAGATTAACATCTATTCCTGGTTTTCCTTTGCATAAGTGTTGAGATACTCACATTCCACAGCAGATACCCTCACCCGCACCTCCACCCCGCATGTGGACATCCATAGACTGGGATGCTCCCTATAATAATGATCAGCTACCACAAAATTCCCGCGGAAGCAACCATTCGGTTATGGGTCAGTGTACATACTGGCTGCTTCGTGATAGTATTGCTCATCTCGGGGGCCGATGGGCTGTTGGGTTGCTGAATAGTGACGGTATTGGCGTCCCATTTGCTCTCGGCACTGGGCCCTTCGGCTGATTGGAACCAGTTCTTGATAATTTGGAACATGATATACTGAGGATAGGCAGTGATATCTAGTAAACGTACTGAAATGTGTAGATTGAAGGATGTCTAGAGGAATTTAAATGCCTACGAAATGCCACCGACTTTCGTCCCCATACATAGATTTTCGACCGATGTGCACCCAAAGCCCCCGAGACTCCATAGCCTAACCTAAAATCGAGACTATTCAACTATGCGTAAGTGTTGCCCCTTGGACGCGTCATTCGGCGCTATTCTATACTCGAAGTGGGGCCGGCGTAGTGTTGAAGTCGCGGGTAGGGCTGTGCCGGATTTGCCGCAATGAATTTGCTTGCGTGTACTTTTTCGGGGCTCTATGAGATGTTCTCGAAGAATGTTCAGTCTATTGCGAGGTAATGTGCGTCCAGATAGAGCAAAATCTAAGGTTATCGCGGTAAAAATTAACATATAACGTGGTGCCAAACCTTAATTGCGGACCGACAATTGTAAAGAAGCCATAGTAGCCCTACGCCGACTCAATGAGTTCCTCGTCCCACATCTCCAGCAATAGTTTGATCTCTTCAGGCAACCGAGTATTCCACCGTGCCCAGCGAGCTTAGCACGACTCTTGGCATCGCGATGAACCTTGGCGTTCCGGTTTAACCATTGTCTAATCGAACACGCCACCGTGGGGGCCCATTCGAGAGCGTCACTGGCAAAGCCACTACGATCAGCCACGTAGTAGATATCCCAGTTCCAAGGATTCATATTACACAAGTAATATTTAAGGGCTGGGGTAGCAGCTTCTATTTTGAATTATATTTTCAAGTACAATCACACATTCAATATGGGTCTCTTCTCACACCATCATCACCACGATCACCACGATCAGCCTCACGGGCCTCCCCAGGGCGGACCTCCAGGCGGACCTAACCAGCATGGTCTCGGAGGCCCTGGAGGCCCAGGATTTGGTGGTCCCCACGGCGGCCCTGGTGGCCCAGGAATTGGAAGTCCCCAAGGCGGCCCCGGTGGCCATCACGGCGGTCCTCACGGCGGCCCTGGTGGCCCTGGATTTGGAGGCCCTCAGGGTGGCCCTGGGGGGTTTGGGTGGTCCCCACGGCGGCCCTGGTGGCCCAGGAATTGGAAGTCCCCAAGGCGGCCCCGGTGGCCATCACGGCGGTCCTCACGGCGGCCCTGGTGGCCCTGGATTTGGAGGCCCTCAGGGTGGCCCTGGGGGTTTCGGAGGTCCCCAAGGAGGTCCTGGTGGCCATCACGGCGGTCCCGGCGGTCCTGGTGGCCCCGGTGGACATCAGGGAGGTCCTGGCGGTCCTGGCGGCGGCCCTGGTGGTGTATGTATAATGTTGTCTTGAGTGATCGAAACCTGACTAACATCTTTTGTCATAGCGCTGGTAAGGAACTCAGCTTGAACGAACACACGCGTACATAAGATTGGAATGGGATGGGGGGGGGGGGGGTACTCCATGGCTTTTGAATTCAGACGGCGATCACTGATCAACTTGATCAATTGCACATACTTTGTTGAGCCATGTCTTTTTTTTCAAGACTGCTGTACACTACATTCGTCTCTGCCACAGCTGCAGAGATGCAGTCTTTTTTTATACTCGCTATATGCCAAATCAAAACCATATAGAAACCAAGATCATAATCTATGTCATCCATTGATAGTAGACTAGTTGTAAGCTTTGAGAATCGGAATCTTACAGATATGAGAATCAGATATCCTATCGTGACAAATCTTCGTAACACGAGGGAAACTTTCTGTGTATTGCTGTCCTAACAAGAAACACATCGAACGAATTGACTAGAGAATGACGAGGAAAACAGAAACGAAACAAAAGAGGGTATTTGTAAACAGCACCAAAGGTCAGAGACCCGTTTTGGTGCCAGGTAAAGGAAACAAAAATGCGGTAATCGGTACCTAGTAGTCAAGCAGTCAAAGAATGAATTCAACACCAACGCTTTCATAATCATCAATATCGGTGACACCAAGGGTGATACCATAGTAAAACAAAGAAAAGGTAGAGTAGAGGGGCGCTCAGAGGCGGCGTTTAGCTGTTTTACAACTCAGAGAAACAAGTTTGCGTTGTCGTTGATGACCTGTAGTATTTTTGCGTTGTTGACGAGCCTTGACGCCTCGCCACCAACGAGTGATAACCTCCGTTGCCCAGATAATCTCACTCTTCGATTTAACGACGGCCGCGCAGTGGGCAGCAAGATCCTGTGCTATAGCGCGACGCTGGGTATCTCGCCGGCCCAGGTGAGCTCGCCAGGCGCGTTGTAGGATGGTGGCAGCCCGTGAATGTTTTGAGGCGGAGAGTAATCGAGAACAGAGAAATGCAAGTGCACCAAGAGTAAAGTTACGGTCGAGAATATGGGAAGAGGATCTCTTGGGAGAAACAAGTTGTGCTGATCTTTATTAGTGCGCGCCCAAAAAAAAATGGATCAGCCTTCATGAGCTGACTTACCAAATTGAGAGCTACAGCCTAGCAGTTTCAGACGCGACTCTAATGACAGAGAACGCGGGGTGGCAGTCATGGTGCTGCGACAGGTACTTCCAGTAATGTATGGCTCGTACTCATCGACGATGCTTTCGTAAACCTTTCCGTTGGAAAAACCTGTGGTCATATTGGTAATGGACAGCCCTTTCAACGCAGCCAGAATTGAGGCCCACTGTTGAAGCATCCGAGCATGTTCATCACCATCGAGTTCGTCGCCAAGATACCAAATTTCGTTGAGACATCTATCGTATCCAAATAGAGAACCAGCTTTTCGTTTGAGTCTTGCAATTTCCTTGCTGGCATCTTCCCAGTCGACTAGGCCGGCCAAGCCCCACTTGCTAACAAGCGCCCACAAAAGAGCGATGGTTTTCTCTCGATAACCATCCACGATATCTTCAGCCCGAATGTCGTCCAAAAATGAGTCAGAACCTTCGATAGAGCTCAAAGCAGAAAGTGCCATCTGCACATTGTAAATCTTTGCGGCTTTGCTGGCGCACGGGTATTTGAGATGCTTCGACAGGGGCAAGTCAGCCTCATCGCCAAGTAGTGACAAAGCTTCTCCTGTGTGCAGCGTGACCTCGGTTTGGTCCTCAACATCAGTTCTTACATGTTCCGAAGTGAAGAAAAGTACTTCAACAATTCGTGTCAACCGAATGCCATCCCTGAGATCCACAGCAATATTGTTGATCTGATAGTTGTACTCTTGCAAGTTATGTTGCTTGTATGTCAAGTGACAGCCAAGATGACCCAAAGGCTTGGACATATCGCCACAAGAAGGTAGTAACACACGGGCTAGGGCCTGGAGCACCTCAACAGAAGATTTGAAAGGAGAATTCTGTACAAACAGCCGCCGAGGAAGACTTGTACCACGACTCTGTTTTGCGTGGTCTAGAATGACGACAAGGATGATGCTGCGAAGCACGGTTCGCCGATAAGCTCTCGCCTGAGTCTCCATTGGGATATCCCTAGAGTCAGACACCATGTGGTCCATGTCATCATTGTGAAGTAGAAACGAATCAAGAAACCCTTCCAATTTGCGAATAATGACTTTGCGACCCTTTAAAGCGTTTTCATCGGACCCATCGAGGTCACGTTCAAGAAATGTAGGATTATTGGAAATTTTTCGACCGACAACTGTCTCCGCAGCAGCCACTAAAGCGCGAAGGTCGTATGATTGGGCCCATATGTCGAGGAACTTTCGACGAAGACCGACATCCTGTTTAAGTCGACCGTATCGGGTGACAAGCTCCTTCGGAATGCTTAAATGTCCACACGACAATGATGCCTGGAGCCGCTTGTGAAGCTGGGCGAAAAATTCGGTATGGTAGATCTCAAGCATCTCCAGTCGAAGGGTATTTGGTCCGCACGGAGCTGAATCACCATTAGTACATTCTAGCAAGGAGTTGACAAGTTGCGTGATCACAGTCTCCTGGTGATGAAGCCAATTGTCCTCGTACAGAGCAGGCTTCGCGGTGTTCTCGACCAACATTGGATACTCGTGGTTGAGGTTCTTGAGCTTGGAGGAAATATTTCCCATTCGAGAAGATCGGAGTGATTTGGAGTGATCGACTCGGTTCGAGGTGGTAGAGGCGTGGACATTAAGAGCCAGTGGGCTCTTCATTGTTTCCTTCGACCTAGTAAGGCTATGTTTCTCTCGAGCAGAGGGTGGCCGGGATATCAGTGTATTGGTCTGCCTCTCCCCAAGAACGCCGTGGGGTGGTGCATTTTGCTTCGGTACTTTTGTAGAAGGCTGGATAGCTTTGGCAGTTCTTGCTCGCTGGTCGATATTATGTCGAGTGGACTTCGAGGTAGAGACAATGCTAGCCCGCTTGGGTTTTAGCGAAGAAGGCGATTGGAGAGTGTGCTTTTTCTCAATTTCAGCAAGTGCACCAGGTGGAATGTTTTCCTTTCCACCATTCTTGCCAGCAATATCGACTCGTATGACAGCTTCCTGTGCAATCTTCGCGCTCGGTTGTAGAGGAGCTCTACGTGCAGAAGTCACCATTGATTTTCGAGCTTGGCGCTTTGCGATCTGGGCCTCTAGCGTGTTGATCTGGGTGTCTTCCGTCATCTTGGATAGCGTTGTGGTCTGCTGCTTTTTAAGCGGACTGAATAGTCCCATGAAAACGCTAGCCACAGTAGTGTCATCCGGGGGGATGTACACAGTATTTCGTCGTACGTCCCTTTTCAATGCATCTTTGTGGTCAGGGTGATGTTTGTTGTCGGTATGATGGATATCGTTGGGGTGAGCGACGGCCTCATGGTTGGTCTCTGTTTCATACTGTTGCGTCTTAGGTTGAGCTTCGATCTCTTTCTTATTTGGACGGGAGGGCGGACTCGGAGCGAAGTTGACCTTCGGGCGAAAACGTTGGGCGGGCTGAGCAAGCAACGACGGCTTGCGTCCCGAGGTCGACTTTGCCAAAGTATTCGGTCTTCTGCGTTTCTCTGCTGGGCCGGCTGGCCTATTCATCACATCGTCATGTATTTGGAAAGTCGGGCCGGTACGATGGGCCCGTCGAGGACGAGGCCCGGTCAAGATTGGTGCTCTAATTTCGGTGGTATATTCGAGCTGTGCTGTAGCTTCGAAGGCCAAGTCACGGTCCATGAAACTGTCAAATGTCTCACTGCCACCACACGAAGATCTCGACCTCGATGGGCAAGGGGTGAAAGCTTCCCCGAGGAGCCCGGACATGGTGTAGAGATATTCACCGGGGCTGCAAGCTGAGAGTGTGGGGGGTATCTATGAATGCATAGATAAGATCAGGAGGAGGAACTGTGGAGGAGGTCCCCTAGTAGGTACTCGTAGATATGGGTGGGCAACCCTTGCAGGATGTTGATCTCGGGGAGAAGCGGTGAGCTGAGTGGGTGTCTTTGGAATTTCGAAATCGAAGAAACAGAGGATAACCAGCGAATTTGAAGACGATTTCAAGTTTGAGTGACACGACACGACAATCGCCACTAACGCGCAGCCCCGCGTGTCTGCGTGCCTCGCCGTGGCTACCCATTTTGATTGGATCTGTTGACAATCATCGTTGTCCAGGGCAACTGTGATTACCTCATCATCGCGGGGCACAGATCACGTGGTGGACAGTATAGCCACAGCCTCACGTGCGCTTAGTCATTTATCCATGCTCTGCACAATATGCACAATCCTACACTGCATATTATGGGCACTAACTATTACATACCATTTACGAGGTATATTCTTCCTATAAAGGGCTGTAAATGAGTCTACACTATGCACAGAGTATATGTACTTCCTCATCTAGGAAGAGTAAAATTCAACATTCATGGGCTAGGCTTGGCTATGTATATATGAGATCCACTGGGCAGTGTACGAGTATGTACATACACTAAGGGTTGGCCGCGGACTCCGACGCAGGTACCTGGTCTGGCCTAATCTCCCATACTGCAAGGAAAGTTCGCTGCAAGCCCACCAGTAGTCCAGTTGATCATAATATTAGAATGTGGTCCAAGAGCCATCTTTCAAGCAATCCGTACCAATCACAATCCAAGAATATCCACGTCGAAATGCAACAAAGCCAACCATGACATCGCGAAAAGGAGGTGAGTGGGTCCTGCCCTAAATTAAACTCTCGTGACCTCTCCTTTCCCCAGACATTCAACGTGTCCTGCTACTCGTATCTACTTTACTTGACTGTTTCACTTGTCTATGACCTCAGCTCGCCTTTCTTTGTGACTGGAGAGTGTTGCCCGTCTGACAATGTGCCAGTAGGCGCGCGCCTTACCCCGACCTCGAACCGAACTGGTTCCTACGCCACCACCCCTCCGATCATCTCCTCATCAACGCGCCCGCCCCCTCCGTTCCATTCCTCCCTTCGCCCCGGAATGAGTGCTGGCCATGGAGTCCCTCATATATGAAAATTCGCCTTTGGCCGACTACCTCCAAGGTTCGGGTCTTTTCCCCCACGCAGAAATACCACCACAACGGCAGACAGAGGCTGACTTGCTTTCAGGAGAGGGAGACCAGGAGGAGAGCTGGCCCGTGGAGGGAAACACACAGTGAGGACGAACAAGCTGCACAGTCTACAGACTTTGCCCCGCGAGGAGCGTCACGTTTTCAAGATCGAGTTCGGAATAAGCTGCCGAAGCCATTGGACCTGAAGAATACGCGTCAGGGAGTGGTTGTTGAGAAGCTTTACGGCGCTTGCTCGGTACGATCCCCCCCATTGCTATCGCCTAAACCTTCCTCTCGACGATATACTAACGGAGCTACTTGTTAGTCCGCACTCAATGCTCGCCTCGGCCGAGGTGACAATGAGAGATTCTTGGAACAGTTCGGATACGTTATTGTCGCTTCTCAGCTTTTGAACGAACACAGCGCCCCCTCCTATACATCGGCCGCCGATGTTGCCTCCGCATCGCAACCCGCAGACCTTCCTTCTCTATCGACAACATTCGGACTTCATGGTGCTGTTGTTACAGCCGCGACCTCTTTCTCAATTGTATGGCTGCTACACTGGGGACGCTCGAAGACGGGAGTCGGAATCAACCTCAGAAGAGTTGGCGTTCTATTGATTCTAGTTCCCGTGCTGGGTGTCTTCTTCTATGCCTTTGCCAAGAGACAGTGGCTCAAGTTTCTGAGGCATCAAGCGGTGGATGCTGCGGGGACCTTTGTTGGAAACGCACAAGGCTTCGACTCGGCTGCATCGGCTTCGGTGGTCTTCATTCAGGAAGTGGAGCTCGTTTCGAGAGGATACAGGATGTAGGATGATCATTACTTTCATAATTGCTGGAATGCTTATTGACAATCTTTTCAGAAGCACTCCCCTGCCGCCAATTAGTCGGCTTGAAGATCAGGTCCAGACTCGGCGCTGCCTGCGACTTCGCCGAGCCGTGTCAGAATGCTTCTGGTCGATGCTTGAACGTTATGTCCAGTCACAGAATGCTTTGCGACCACTTACTGACGACGCTAATTTGGCTAAATATTATGATATCTACGACATTGCACTGGATGATCTCGAAGCGATCGAAGCCAGTCTATCCCATCGAAATATGGATGACCAGTATTCGCTGCGCTCTTTACGAGATCTTTTTGGCAAATTATATACCATGAGAAAGAGTGTCTTATGTTGTCTACTCGCACTGAGTGCCGATGGAGGTGGTTCGGACATCACTAGATGGAGCTCCGCTGTGGAGGAAATGCGTGAACTTGCTGCAGTTACCGGGTTGAGCATGACCAAAATGTCTAATATCCTCAACGAAGAGGACAGTGAGTTTTTACTTCTCCACTCCTTCCCAGTGCTCCAGCTAATCTTTAGCAGGGGATACAATTCCCCCATCTCCTCTGCCCTCGATCTCTCCAAGCAAGGAGCAAATGCGCGCGCAATTTCGGCGACTCAACTCCTTATCACAAGGTGTCCGATCCTTGCATGCAAAGATGCACATTATCTGCGAGGAGACCAATGCCACCATGGACCACTCTGATCCTCACGACTTCGAAACCACGCTTCTTGCACAATACGAAGCAGTTGGAAGTGACCTCCGCGGGCTGCTCCAGGAGTGGGAGACGAGTAGACTTGCCATCATCCACAGTCAAGATCGTCTCAGTGCTACCGACCGTTCGCGACCTTCGAGCACGACCCTGCCAGTATCGCCCACGCCTAGTCTTGGTGGTGTTACAGCGGTTGAGGGCAGCCCTACTGACGCGCTTAAAGCCTTGAATGGTGACTTCCGCCCGGACCTCACTCACAGCTTTGATGATGAAGAAATCTTTGAGGCTGTCGTGCTTCCCACTTCGAGGAATAAGAGAGCATCGCTGACTCGGGATGAGCGCCTGGCGCGCGTCCGAGAAGATCGTATCAGGCAAGCAACTGCTCGAGAGAAAGTGGACGCCAACACGAATATGCTCAAGGAATTGGAGATGGTCATCAAGCAACGCCCCGGCAACAATTCTTCCAAACGAGTGACTAGTATTTAGGCGGTTTCTCGCCCTTCCTCCCTTCCCTTCCGACCCAATGCATGGCTTTTGAATCGCCACTGGTTGGAATTGTAACGATACCCTTAATGACCAACATAGAAGGAACCCGGCGAATACGGTGTTTTCAGGGATTCTATCATTTTGCTTTTTCTTTGCTTGCTTCTTTGCGCTCCCTGCTCAGGACCTACCTCTGGCCTGTTTTTTTTTCTCTTTTCTTTTGTACATTTACAGAGCTCCAGGCTCAAATTGTCTTCGCTGTTCTCATATTCAGGTGCTGGATATTCGAATTTAGCTACTGTGTATATTGCAAATTCTCTGCCGATCAAGCTTTCTTCCAATATTTGATCATCGTTTTCTTCGTATCGAGTCCTATAGTTAGCTATAGGAAACAATAATGTGTAACCTCGTGTAAGACAGAAGTCATCTTGGTGCCTGAGGCCCTCACACTAACCCAAAGGAGGCATATAGTAGTTTGGCGCGGTCGCGGCGCGCACGCGTCCCCACTAACCCTCGAACGCGAAGATAAGTCTTATTTCAGACCGCTGTCCTTTCTTCTGTCATTACTCTTCCACGATCATCTTCCACCGTTCATCACCGTCAAGTCGACGCCATTTGCCGCTTCTCTCCCCCGGAATCTCTCCATTGCTCATCTAATACCCCTCACAATTACCCCTCTTCACCAGTGCGTCCAGAAATACCGATTGTGTGCGAAGCCCAACTAACACATTGAAAACAGTGTTGGAAGCCCGCCTCGAGCAAGCCAGTCTGCTGAAGCGCGTAAGTGATACAATGAGATATTCCCGTTCATGCTTGGATCCATAGCTAACACTCTTACCATTAGGTCGTCGACGCCATCAAGGACCTGGTCCAGGACTGCAACTTCGACTGCAATGACTCTGGTATCGCCCTCCAGGCCATGGACAACTCCCACGTTGCCCTGGTCTCCATGCTTCTCCGCGCAGAGGGCTTCTCCCCATACCGCTGCGACCGCAACATCGCTCTCGGCATCAACCTTAGCTCCCTGACCAAGGTTCTGCGTGCCGCCCAAAATGAAGATATTCTCACCCTTAAGGCGGAGGACTCCCCCGATGCCGTTAACCTGATGTTCGAGAGCGCTGAGACCGACCGTCTGAGCGAGTATGATATCAAGCTTATGGACATTGACCAGGAGCACCTGGCCATTCCTGAGACTGACTACGCTGCTACCGTGGAGATGCCCGCCGCTGAGTTCCAGCGCATCTGCAGAGATCTGAACGCTCTGTCCGAGTCCGGTAAGTGGTCGACTCATAATGAAGATCGAGCGGCAATCGCTGTGAACAAAGTACTCATGTTTTTTTTCTCCCTAGTTGTTATTGAGGCTAGCAAGGAGGGTGTCAAGTTCTCCTGCCAGGGTGACATCGGTAACGGCTCCGTCACCATTCGCCAGCACACCAACGTCGACAAGCCCGATCAGAATGTCACTATCAACCTCTCCGAACCCGTCGCCCTGACCTTCTCCCTTAAGTACCTCGTCAACTTCTGCAAGGCGTCCAACCTCTCCTCCTCCGTAACGCTCCACCTTTCCCAGGAAGTGCCTCTGCTCGTTGAGTACAGCCTCGGTAGCGGTCACCTGCGCTTCTACCTGGCCCCTAAGGTACAGCCCCGCACTCGTCAATGTACACGAACCAAACTAATTCAGATCTACAGATCGGTGACGAGGAGTAAAGGACATGACCTAGTCAGTCCAGAAAATACCACACGACGCCCCTATGATAATGGAAAACCTCTGACGGTGGCAATGAATTCTCTTTTTCTGCGATGTGTCCCGGGAATAGAAGGGACGGCATATTTTTCCAATGATTATTTCGAAATACAATTCGAGCGGTCTAATCTTACTAGGCTTACAAGCTACACTATATTTTCCTCCTGGATAATTAAAAGTAAAAATGTCGTACTTGAAATAGCTGGTGGATTGTTGATACTTTCTTGAGGAAAAAGAGTCTTAAGTCCATACATATAACAAAGGAACTCTGCGCGCGGCAGTCCACTTCGGTTTTTTAATTAACAAAAACATCCAAAACAAAACCCCAACACCACCATGTCCGACTTGAATCCCAGAGAGACCTAGCAGGAACACGGCCCGCAACCCACAATTAGCAAGTCGCCAAAAAAAAATCCATCCAATTCAGCCCCACCCGACGCAGCGCACAGCGCACACGTCAAAGAAAACGGCAGGAGAGAACAAAGCGAAAACTGACCTGAGGAGAAAAAAAAGTGAAGCACCACCCCCACCAGAATGATCGGAATCGAATGATACCATCCTCTCCCCCCTTTATCCCAGGGCTGAAGCACAAGAACAAAAAAGAAGAGGAGATAGGTATGCTGCGTATTGCACTAAAGTGTTTTCACACACAATCTCCGCACCGACTCTCCCATGGGGAAACCACCAATCAAAGACCAGTGCCCCGATGTTTCTGATGCCGAGTGCAGGTGTAAATCACACCAGGCCCTCGCGGGCAGTACCGGCGCTCATTCTTCCGGGGAAGACTGAGCGTGGGTTGGATGTTGAAGATTCCTCCGAATTTCTCATTTGCGAGTGGTCTCGGTTGTGAGTTAGACTCACGAGCCGAGGACAGGGGACATAGTCCTACTGCCGTGTGTAGCAAAGAAACGCAGCATGATGGGGGTGGTGCTTGGAGAAGAAAGAAGAAAGAAGTTGTGACTCCAAGTTGAGAATTTGTCGTGTATGTTGGGTAGACCGCCTTCTATTTCTGGTGTTAGTTGGAGATTTACTGCCGGGAGAGAGACAGCCGCGTGGAATTGATTTGGTCATTTGTTTCTTACTGGTATTTTATGCTTTTAATTTCTTTGCTTAAAGAAAATTTGTCTCTATTGGATGTATACCCTCTTTGTTCATAAGCTTTATCATAGATGGCCATTGTGCCTGGAATAGTATGTGACCCCGAGGTCAGAGTCGGCTTGTCAGCGCAGGCGAGATTTCCTCAAATGAACGAACTATATACTGCCGGCCTTCGATCTTCACCTTACCCCCGGAATCCTCCAGGAACCCTTTCCTTCTCCATCAAATCCACCAGTTCGAGCCATGGAAGGCAGCTTCGTCCCATTGACCCCCACCACATACCGATCCTTCCATCCTGAGCTCCATTCTTCTCGTCTCACACTGACATCAGCACCACTTTTACTCACAACCCAGTTTCCATCCGAGTTCTTCGTTCGCTTATGGACCTGGGTTTGCTCCAGGGCCAGATATGTTCCCCAAATCCGACCCAAAAATGTCTTAGTAAGGGTAGTCTCTCCTTCACTCAATTCCCCATCATCCGACTCAAGAACCCATGACATGCCCCTCTTGGCGCCTTCAGGCCCTTCACGGAATGGAAGTTCTCTCCATATTTCTTCGTACTCGGTCACAGGAGCACCTGGTCGATCAGGCCGAGGCATCGACCCAGTTTCAAGGTCGTCGCCATTTGGAAGGGTGACAAAGGTGCCACAGTCGGCACTTTCAAAAGAATTCTGAGAATCAAGCTCATGAGTGAAAGAGACTTGGACTAGGGCTGTATTAGCTTTGCATCTCTAAGCAAATTTATGAGATCTGGGAACTGGGAGCGACGAACGGGGTTCTTGGCTTTCGATGAGCCGTTGACCGGCAATCGCCCAGTCTATCTTGCCTGTTGACTTTTCCATTCGCAGATCAAGATACCATTCACCCACAGACATGACGATTGTGTCTGTAGTCTCATGGGCCGATTCTGGAAGCCATCGAATTGAAATGCGCGTGGAAAAGCGACATGCTGAGACGGGAGCATCAGGGCTTGCCATGGTGAGGTGAGAAATCAGAATTGAGGGTTGCTCCCTTTGATTGATAAAGGGAATTCCGGGGATTTATGATGAAAAATGAACCGGCAAGATCGAACGGAAGTTGGTGATTCTAAATCGTCCCCAATCGATGCACTAGCTCCAGTGGTGAAGACAAATCGGGTATCTGGAGGAGATGAGGGGGGTCCCCGCTCTGCGATTGCATTGGGATTGTCCGCCCGCCTCCGCCCACTGTAAACGCCCCCTCATAGTGATTGCTTCCACTGATACTTCTAAGGAGACCGAGGTTTCTCGCCAATGACTGCTAGAATGGGAAGAAACATAGCCTGTGTATACCAAGCATATTGCCGGAGTGATACACATTAAGCGAGCTGATTCGTTAATATCGGCTTCATTGACCTACAAAGTGCTGACAAGTGGATTTGATATATATTGATGCGATATAATATGTGTGATGAGATTAATAATGTGGTAAACTTGGTATATCATTGCTCCTACAGGGCGTGAACTAGATGGGCGAGAATACGAGCTTGCATGTCTGTCCCTTGGGTCTCGCAGAGATAATTTGATCATCCAGTTTCATAGATCCGGTCATATCTGGAGCAACAGTGGTCTCAAATCGAGAGTAAACCTCCTTCAGTAGAGTCTTCATTTCCACTAATGCCAGGCTGCTCTAGATTAGAAAATTGCAAGGAAGCGGAGGATGGTATCATCTCAACTTACTTCTTCCCCGTACACCCTCTCCCTCCAACCGCAAAAGCAAAGAAATTCCTATTCCTTTCAACTGCCCCCTTCATCTCAAGCCATCGATCCGGATAAAATCGATCTGGCTCTGGAAATACCTTGTCATCGCTGCGATGGACAGTATAAGGCTGACAGCTAACGATAGCATGGACCGGAATATAGTAGCCGTCAATGACACGTCCACCCGGGGGCACATATCGTGGCAAAGACATTGGAATCGGCGGGGAACAACGTAACGCCTCTTTGATCACCGCGTCGAGGTAGACTAGGCTGTCTAAGGGTGCTTCCACGGGTGCATCCTTCAATTCCTGCTGCAGTCGTCGTTGAAATTCCATGTTCTGTGGCTGAGAAAGTTCCCACATCAAGAAGCATAGCCCATCTCCAGTCGTGTCAATACCTGCTGCCATGTGGTCTTTGCACTCTGCTGCAGCTTGCATGGGCTCGAGATTAGACTCTTTTCGCTTGAGCTTTTCCAGCAAACTGTGACCATCCAATTCAACTTGATCAGTCATGTCTAGAACATACTGGTTCGCCTTGGGAGCGCTGCGTGGATGAAGGATTTTAGGGAAATATGGCTCCAGCCCGGGAAGATAATAGGCCAATAAGCTTTCTGTATGAGAGTTAGGATGATATTATATTTCAAGGATCAATCACGGTGCAACCTACTTTGGAGACTTTGGTGGTAGGTCAACTCCTGCATGATCTCAAAATCTTTCTTTAGGTTCAAAGATTTGAGTCCACCAGGACTGAACATAAAATGAGTAACGCAATCCACTGCGTAACAGTGAAGCAATACCTACTAGAGTTAGCCACAACGTCACAACGGAGAACAATGGAAATATTCACATAGACGTCCACACTAGTTTTGCCTGCTTCAGCACACTGCGCTACAAAAGTCATCGCGCGTTCATGGATGGCTGCCAAGGGTTTCGCTTTCATGACGTTAGTCATGGCGTAGCGCTCGGCAAAAAGACGTTTTCTCTTGCTGTGCTATATGAAGTCAGTATCGGGATTTTTCATCTGTGCTAGGATTTAAATCACCTCATCTTTCGGCAATGTGGAGAACATCGTCTTGATTTTGAATTGTTTGAACAAGGTATAAAACTCTGTTTTGTCATAGCCACTACCCCCAGAAGCGTAGATCTCCTTTATAGCATCAATGCCTGTGAAGGAGACTTCGTTAGGCCCTAGCCGCACAACAGGACCGTACTGCTGATGGAGACGATGGACCGATTCTCGGCGATTTGCCGTAAACTCTTGATATTTGATCCATAGACTCGTGAACCGTGTGTACCAAGGGCCTGGTATTTTAGTCAAGGGTGCCCAGAATCCTGGACCAATATAATACCCAATTAAAAATATCAATATTGCCCAAATAGCGAGCATGATGTTCGTTTAATTCGTAAGATCGGGCTTAATAGAAGGGAATAAATGGTTGCGATGTATGAGAGACCAACGAGTTTCAAGCAGACGCGTTGCTAATTTATAGACAAAATATTCCTGAACGAGGGTATGTGCTAAATAATGCATGGCTGACAATTAAAGCATGCCGATCCGACAAGGTTAGTCGGTTGCTGGCGAAGAGGGGTGCGGGGAAAACAAATAGCACGCGCTGAATGGCCCGAGATTGGCCTGATAAAATGAACATGACAGAAAAGGTAACTAGAGGAGATGTCTAAACCAGCAGGACTCACGTCATCGATCTAGCTCAATTTATAGGCAAAAGCATTGTTCTTTTCTCCCGGGACATCACCACTTGAACTCTGTGACCCTCACAGAGAGCCCGACCTGGGCACCTTCTAACATGTGATGCACTCTGCAGGAATTTTGGTCTCCAGAACAAGACAATAGACAACATCTTAGCAATTTAATTGTCAGCTATCCTTTCTTCGAAGCTGTGACTTCTTTGAGATACACTGGAAAATGGAACTCCTTAATGATTGTTTGTAGCTAATATTTGTGTTGATGTTAGAATTGGTAGATTACTGGGGAGGTAACTACCGGGGTCGTTAAAGTATACCTTGGATAGCCCAATCCGAAGGCCAATTTGTATCAAGCTGATAACTTCTTTTTATATTGCATATCTCGAAGCTCGAAGTGAGCGCAGAAGGAAGGGCGTGGGAAGCCCACATTCCGCTTGAGAGTACCGTGACCGCGCCGAAAGCGCTCTCGTCAGCACATACTTTCTGCTCCATATTGGCCATGCTTTAAATGATCCAAGAGTGCTTATATATCTCACTAAAGCCTCGAGTATGTATCTGTGTTGTCTCGATAAGTTGGGTTTGAAAGCTATTGAGGTAAATTCTGCATTTCTCGCCATGAGGCTTTTTATTTCGATACTAAGTGGCAGCGTTTGGTCCAAGGAAGCCAAGGACCATTCAAGAGGTCGGTTTCAACTTCCCATTTCAGTGGTATGGGTGATCCAGTTAGTTTCGGAGCAACCACTATGCATTGCTTTTCGTTTGATGGTCTCTGGGGGGAAATTGGTCCCGATACGGAATGGAATAGGATCTCGTGCGTCTAACTTGACACTGGTTAGTGCGAAAACTTCATAACCATTTCAACTTTATTTTGTAGTACTCAACTATTCTACGGTAGAATTTTGGGATTCCAGGACCCAAGATATTTACCTCGAGTATGTATCCTATCTCTGCCGGCGATCCAATTCTGCCAGTTGATAGAGGAAGTCGTCGTGACGAATGTATCTTGTTCTTTCGCTTTTTCCAATGCTTGCTCATGAGTCGTGGAAGTGAACTAGTCACATTTTTCTGGCTTGATTGGGAGCAATCAGAGACTTGAGGAAATTGATAAAAAAGCAACTCAGTATTCAAGAACTAGCCAGGCTAGAACGAGGGCTTACCGGGATGGAGAATCCTAAACTATGCCTTTCTGCTCTGATATTTCGTCCTTTGCATGTATTGAATCCGGATTCAGTATTGGGAGAAAGGATCCAGAGAGTGGATTGGAGTATCTTTGACGATTCAGTGTGAGTATAATCAAATGTGACGCTTGGGGAGCCGATACCCTATGGGTTTCACTCTCTTTCCTTGATTTTAATCTTGATATCGCAATACCAGAAAGAGTCACAGAAATGTTTGATATTCTAACCGAAGACAAAGCATCGATTACTACTTTGCCTGTGACTGTATCTCGATAATTCAATGTGAAATCATTGCGATCCAGCTCAACGTGGGCCACCATAGTTAGGCGCCGCGCTGGAGATGTTCTGGACCTGGAATGCATAGAATGAACCTCATGCCTTTTTCCAAATAAAAATTGACAGAATACCCGCTCAACTTATCTTTCAGTACTGACGGTCAGAGAGTTGTAGAATTTGTTTGACGGCCTGCCATAGGTATCCTTGCTACCTACACCCCCGAGGAAGATAGCTGTACAATTTCTACCACGGGATGTTGTACCACCTTGGTCTCACCTATTCTTAGGAATAAACCGGTTCTAACTTGGTAATTTCTTTCCGTCGTAGATCAAGTCAAACAGATCCAGGCCACTTTTAAATGTGAGGCCACCGGTTTAAAATACTGTGTGTCCGTCATTTGTCGGCGGGCATAGATTGACGGAGGCCCATCGATCACTTCTTTCTATTTGCTCAAACCAGATCCACATTAACTCAAGTCGTTTCGGAATTCTCCGTAAATACACATGGTCCCATATCTAAGTCAAATGACCTGGCATGCGCGACTGTCCGAAGTCATGCCAAGAATGAGTGGATGGATCTACCCAACATCATCCTCGCCTCGAAAATATTTCAAATCATCTTCTAATTCACTGATCTCCCTTTTCTTTGATTTTTTTTTTCAGCGAGGCTTAGATCGTACTATGGATCACTACTCGAACCCGCCACCTCCACCCCAGAGCTCACGCAGCCATGTCGTCCCCGGGGAACTCCTCGAACCTCGTGAAGTAGGATCAAAAACAAGACCAAGAATCAATATTCCCACAAGCTAAATACTTTGACAGAGAAGTCCCGAAATTGATGAGCAGACTCAGTTTAGCCAGCCTCTCCTCCAACCCCCGAACTCTCATCTAAGCCCGCCTTCCCATCCGCCTCCAGACCCGTATGGCAACCCCGAACAGTCTCTCAGTGTCCCATTGCCACGATATCCATCACCCTATCGTACCAGTGAAACACTTTCAGCAAGCTCATGCTATTCGGAAGCGCAAGATGGAGAGTCCCTCGCCCCGTCCGAACATCTCAACATTGAGACAGACTCGACGACCTCCAAACGCTGGGCAGCACGACAGAGGGCCACATCGGGGATAATCAGGCGGTACCCTACACGTCGAATCAAGTTGGTTAAGGGAACGGTGTTGAGTGTCGATCACCCAGTCCCTAGTGCGATTCGGAATGCCGTGCAGCCTAAATACCGAGACCTGGAAGGGGGTTCGTCTGAGGAGTTCACACATATGCGATGTATGAATCCGACATCTACCATGAAAGCAAGGGCTAACTATAGTAGACACGGCAGCGACCTGCGATCCCGATGAATTCACATTGCAGCATGGATACAATTTACGGCCGTCCATGTACAACCGACATACTGAAATGCTCATCGCAATTACCTACTACAATGAGGATAAAGTTCTGACGGCCAGAACCCTGCATAGCGTCATGCAAAACGTGCGTTATATAGTCAATCTCAAGAAAACGGAATTTTGGGACAAGGGAGGCCCGGCATGGCAGAAGATCGTTGTCTGTCTCGTATTCGACGGCATCAAGCCATGTGACAAGAATACTCTTGACCTACTGGCTACGGTCGGTATCTACCAGGACGGCGTGATGAAGCATGATGTCGACGGAAGAGAAACAGTTGCCCATATTGTAAGTTATTTCCCTTCTTTGTGATGAGTTCCTGTCACCCGCAGCCTAATTATCGACCCCGGTCTATACATTAGTTTGAGTACACAACCCAATTATCAGTCACCCCGACACAGCAACTAATCCGACCTTTGGGGGACGATCCGACAAATCTACCACCAGTCCAAATGATGTTCTGCCTCAAACAGAAGAACAGCAAGAAAATCAACTCACACCGCTGGCTCTTTAACGCATTTGGGCGAATACTAAACCCTGAGATTTGTATCTTGATTGACGCCGGCACAAAACCTGGACACAAGTCTCTTCTAGAACTATGGGAAGCATTCTATAATGACAGACATCTCGGCGGCGCATGCGGCGAGATCCACGCCCTTCTCGGTCGTGGCTGGAGAAACGTCCTCAATCCGCTGGTGGCAGCCCAAAATTTCGAATACAAAATTTCCAATATTCTCGACAAACCACTGGAAAGCAGTTTTGGCTACGTGAGCGTTCTACCAGGGGCCTTCTCAGCATATCGATATAGGGCTATCGTCGGCCGACCGCTGGAACAGTACTTTCACGGTGATCATACGCTCTCCGAAAGACTTGGTAAGAAAGGAATCGAGGGGATGAATATCTTCAAAAAGAACATGTTTCTAGCAGAAGATCGGATTTTATGCTTTGAACTGGTCGCTAAAGCAGGATGTCAATGGAAACTCACTTACGTTAAGGCTTCAAAGGGGGAAACGGACGTCCCCGAGGGTCCGGCGGAGTTCCTCAGCCAGCGGCGACGCTGGTTAAATGGTTCTTTCGCAGCGAGTCTCTATGCGACTATGCATTTTAACCGTATATATAGAAGTGGGCACAGTTACATTCGCTTGTTAACCTTCCATGTTCAGCTGATCTACAATATCTGTCAGCTTGTGATGACGTGGTTCTCTTTAGGTATGCTCTCAGGCTTTCTTTGATGTTTATTTCGCCCAGGTCACCGTTGATCAACCACAGTGTACTTATTCTCGAATAGCATCATACTGGCTCACTAGCTCTGTCATCATGGACATCGTCGGGACACCAAGTGCAGTCAACCACAACAAAAGTTGGCCATTCGGAGCAGATATCACCCCCATCTTGAATAACATTTTCAAGATAGGGTATCTGGCATTTCTCATGCTCCAGTTTATCCTAGCACTAGGAAACAGACCGAAGGGGTAAGCCTTACTAGTACATTTTGGAGATACAGATAGATAAATTACTTTTGAGCTAAGGCTGACATCTCAAAGGACAAAAATGTACTACACTCTTTCTCTGATCTATTTTTCTATAGTCCAGGCCTATATTCTTGTCCTATCCTTCTACTTGGTTGCGCAAGCACTCACAGGCGATAATCTGAAGTTCAACTTCTCCAACGGCGTCGGCGTATTCCTGACATCGTTCATTAACTCCACCGGCGGCCTCGTCTTGGTCGCACTGGTATCCACCTATGGGATCTACCTGATAGCTTCCATTCTCTACCTCGATCCATGGCACATGCTCACTTCGTCTTGGGCATATTTTCTCGGTATGCCATCTTCGATCAATATTCTGATGGTTTATGCATTTTGCAATTGGCATGACGTATCCTGGGGCACGAAGGGGTCTGATAAGGCCGATGAACTGCCATCAGCGCAGACGAAATCCGATGCACAGACAGCATTCGTCGAAGAGATTGACAAGCCACAAGCTGATATTGACGTTCAATTTGAGCAAACGGTCAAGCGGGCGTTGGCACCGTGGCAAGAGCCAGAAGAAAAAGCCGAGGTCAACCTAGATGACTCTTACAAGTCGTTCCGGACGAATCTGGTATTGTTGTGGACATTCAGCAACGGTCTTTTGGCACTGTGCATTAACAATGAAGGGTTGAAACAGCTTTGCTTATCGGTACGTTGAATTGAAAGATTAGTTGGAAACCACCGAGCAGAAGAAAGGTAGCTAATAATAGTAGACGACTTCAACGCTGCGCACTGCGTGGTATTTCAAGGTTATTCTCTGGGGTACATCGGGTCTTTCTATATTTCGATTTTTCGGGGCACTCTGGTTTCTCGCGAAGACGAATGTGCTTTGCTGCTTTTACAGGCGTTGATGACTGCTTCCCCTTTCAAATCGCGCTATTATTGCCGTGGTAGTGGTTGGAGAGAAGGTGTAAATAATACTATATCTGGAGGACCCTTTGTGTTTGTATAATTTTTGAATTTTTGCCCAGAGATAGTGAATCCTCAGAATGGAATCTTGACTAGTACCTCATGTCGATATGGCCAACACCTCATCACTCACCTACTGGCTCTTCTGCCACGCTGCATGTTTCCGGTACACATCACGACGGAAAACCTGCTTCAGCGTAGCTCCAACCTCCATGTCCAATGGTACCTTAGCCATAGGAGCACCAACACCACACAGCCCATTCTTCCGATCAATAAACCAAGCAAGCGTCATCCCCCCCACCCCAGGACAAAGTTCGCTCGCCATACCAGCCATCCACATCTTCCAGCGTAAGTAAACCACCAAGACCGAATCCGCACTGTGTCTCAAGATCCACACCAACACGGAAGAATTGTCCGAACGGAGAAGCCAACGCCGCCTGGTGACTCTCCGTTGCTTCAGGACCAAGTCTATGCTGAAACATCTCATCAACAGTCCCAGGCTCAAGTAATGTCCCATCATTAACCAGGATAGCGTGAAGAATTTTCACAAAACTCGCAGCAGACATGAAAAGCCCATGACCGCCAAAATCTCCACGTCCACGCGCGTTCATTTCCCCGGCACCAACGACCGCACGCCCCAGGGCATCAGGGTCATCCGGATTCAAATCAACAAGGCGATCACGCAAATCGTCCCGTGATACGGGATAAAATTGCGCGTCATGGATATCTAATGGATCGAAGATCCGCTTCTGCATTCTCTCTCCAAGACTGAGACCCGTCATGCGCTCAACTATTCTCCCCGCCCAGTCCAGACCAGGTCCATACATCCAACCTTTACCGGGCTGGTAGCTAAGCGGGTAGCAGAAAGTTTCCTCGACGTTCCGCTTCTCGCCTTCCTGCAGGTTTGGTTCAACGAATTTCTCACGCCACCGTGCGATGAGCGGGTTTAGGAAATGGTAATTCAATCCGTCGCTGTGTGTGAGGAGCATTTCCAACGTGACGGGATCATTGATAGGTTCCAAGAGCGGTGTCTCGCCGTCTTCAGAAAATCCATTAAGGACCTGTTTGCTTGCCAGTTCTGGGGCAATAGCGGAGAGATCACCCGTAAGGCTGAGCAGGCCGTCATCAACGCATTGTAGGGCGGCGATGGCGGTGACTATCTTGGTGGCGGAGGCGAGGTAGATGACATCGTCTAGTTGCTGCGGGCGCTTTTCACCGGAGAACAGAGTTCGCTCGCCAAAGACTTGATTGTAGGTAAAGTTGCCATCGGTGTCGGTTGCACAGATGACGGCGCCGTTGATCTGGCCTGCGTCGATGGCGGCTTGGAAGCTGGACTCGATGTCGTCGGGCATTGTGGAGAGTCCGAGGTTCTCTCTTTGAGATTTCCTCGTTGATGGTTCTCTGGTTGTGTTATCGAAATGGTGGAGGCTTGTTGAAGCTTAAATGATCGCCAATCTCACTGAGAGACTACGTAGCACTCGTATAAATAGCAGACGCGGGGTTCGGGATTCGGGATACGGAAAGAGCTCAGAAGCCGGTAAGCGCTTGGATACGAGACAGGCGCGTCTGAAGGTGATCTGAGTGGGCATTCAGGTACAAGTAGTATTTTCAAGGTTGTGAGTCAACAAGTTAGTGAGACGAGCAGTAGATATGCAGGGTTTCGGGCTACGGAATGGATATAGAAGCCGAGAAGCGTTTGTATAGGTAGATTCAAGATCAGGCGCCCTCAGACCGAGGGGCCATTTGAGATATCCTTGAGTTCATCAGTTCAAGCCCTTGCGAAATCTTGTTGCGTCTACTACTTGAGGTGGCTGATCTTCGAAGAGAAGCAATTAGATTGGACTGTGTAGCCTTTGAATTCTACGATGCAATTCGCAATTGACTGTGGTCAGTTGGTTAATAGTGGAAGGGCGAAAATGGAAGCAGCTCGTGTAAGGATATGGGCCAAATGGAAGAAAGTAGAGCTCATGATACTAGTATCCGGAGAAACAATTAAATATAGGGAGCAGATCGAATTGTCGATCTACAGAATGGATCCAACGGGTTGCGCAAGCCTGGTGGAGCCGGCGGACGGTCCAGACTGCTCGATCCCTGCATATCTCTGCAGCTTGCTCGCAGATGAGATGAAGACCAAATGAGATGGATTCGACAGGTCAGAGATCGAGAGTTCTCAATCCTCGTACTAGTACGATATGCCAGATCCGATGCTCCTTGTGGCGAGGCCCAGTGCCAGTCTCGGAATGGAATGGAATGTTGTTGGACCGGGGGGTCCGCTATGTTTCAGAAGGCTGCCGGTCAGTACCGGCCACTCTCGCATGTCACCATAAGCAACGGGGCAAGGCTGGGAATCAACACAGTCAGGGTCATCAATCGATACTCCGTGGAGCATTGTCATGGTTGCACCAATATAACACCATCTCAGGCTCGTATTGCCCCAGTCATGACTGTGGCTGGTTTTGGGGGGCCGAGTTTATTAACCACAGCCACCACATTCCACCCACGGCCCCCAGCCTCAGCCACTGCATGTTTCGCGCTTTACACCCAACCTAGTCCAAATTCCCTCACGAGGAGGGCGATCAGAGTTATTGTGTGTGGCTTGGTAAACGAGAGTGACAGGGCGCCGCGGTTTCGTAATAATTGATCCGTCGGAGCAGTTGGGGGAGGACGGGATGACGGGGGACAAGGGAAGGCTGAGCAGGCAGCCACTCTAAGGATGGGGACAAGAGTGACGCTAGTGGGAAAGTGGGTCGACCGTGGGAGGAAGTCCCTGTGAGAGAGTACCCTCTGTCTCTGTGCTGTGTACTCTGTGTGTGAGAGTGTGTGAAGTCTAGAATGCCCATCGAAGGCGGGTGGGTGGCTGCCAAGTCTGAGACCCGTGGAATACCTCGAACCCCAGAAATGCGCCCCTGATTGTTTTCTCTCTCTTCTACTCTACTCTACTCTTCTACTCTTCTACTCTTCATCATCTCCTCTGTTCACTCGTTTTCTGCTAAGTTGGGGTTGATCTTGCTTCCAATCTAGACACGCCAATTCCCGTGAGAAAAATTACGAGGCTCCAACAGTCCCCCCTCCCCCGTTTCGCTCGTTCAACGGTAACCCACACTGGACTCAACCCGACAGCCATTCTCAACTTCGATGTGCCTGGAAAAATCCCCTCGAGTCTGATAACCCGCGAGCATTTCGCTCAGCTCAGCTCAACTCAGCTCAACTCAAACTGCACCGGTTCCCGCAGAAACACGCCAAGCCGGACACACGACCCTTTCCTCGGTGTTTCACTGCGCCCACGTATCAGGGACAAGGACAAGACAGCCCTTCGTGCCACCTGAGACCGTTTTTCTTCCTCTCTTATCCTTCAAAACCACCACTTCCCCGGTGGTCAATACCGTCATTGTGCCTTACCCCAACAACTCTGCGGAGGAATCCGCCTCAGGTCCTTTTGCCAAGATTTCTTCGCGAGAATCGCACGCCTCCCTCATGGGTCCTGCCGGCTTCGACCCCACGTATTACCCGGAATCCGAGCGATTTCGCGCTCGCGAGACCTACTCAAATGCGAATCCCGCCCCCGTTGCGCCGAAAAGATTTTATATTCCCAATACCCGATGGACCTGGGTCTTTGCGATCGTGACGCTCGTTCAAACGGTCGTGACACTCGCTCTCGAATGGTAAGTACTACGGCGAGAACCTGAGAAAACGACTTGCAGTCAGACCCCCGAGGAGGCTAACAATCTCAATTTTTTTTTTATAGTTATGTATTTGCCAACTTTCAAATCCAAGAAAAGCCCAACGACATTCCTGCCTCCAAAACAATCCCCACCTTCCTCGCCCTTTACAGTTTCGGTTTTATCTACGAGCTCGTGCTGGTCTATGATGCATTGCGCATGAAGAACACCATTCAGATCATCGGCCTTTGCATGTGTAACGTGGGACTGCTGATCTATGGAGCGGTCCAGGTCAAACAGATCAACACCGCAGTCAATGAGCTCACCTATCAAGATTATATCAAGCCCGAGGTTTGGGGGCAATCGAAGCCATTCTTGATCGTCATCCCCTGCATCGTGGGAGTCGGGAGCGTTCTGATGACCTTCGTCGCTTGGAAACTCTATGATGAGTTCGCTTGGACAATCTACAAACATATCAGTGCCGATCTTCGCATGAAGCGTCGGTACCTGACATACCAGGTCAGACCCGTCACCTCTCACCACGATTTTGATCGCTTACTAACTTGCATATGTGTTCTAGATCTATATTGCGCTGCTGAAGTTCGATTTCTTCTTCTTCCTCGGTTTTACTATTCAGTTTCTGGTCATTGTCTCGTCCAATAAGCATGATGCGGAGTTTTATCTTACCATCATTGCCGTTCCGGTGACAATTATTATCCTGGCCTTTGGCGCCTTCTTTGTCCGCCGGGAATCCACTGCAGGAATGATCGCTATCATCGTAAGTCTATCAATTTTCTTCCGGGGAAAACGCATACTCTATTGGATAGCCTGCTCACCACCGATTTTCAGCTCCTCTTCTTTGCTGCTATGGCATACTTCATCTTCAAGCTGTTCCGTATGTACGCGCAAGCAACTGCCCAGATGTACATCGCCGCACGGCCGTCGATGACCTTCTTCGCCATCATCACCCTGATCCTCATCGTGATTACCATTATCAACGCGTGCATGTGCGTCAACAACTTCCACCACGGCCTCAAGCCCCATATCCAAAACAAGAAGGTACGGGCTGAGGAGAAGTCGACCGAGCTCTCCAATGTTGAGGGCCAGGTCCCCTCCCGAATGATGATCGATTGATAGTATTCCAATCAATGGTATAGTGTATTTCATAGTGATCTCTTCTGGCGTTTGGACCTGGAGTAGTACCCCTACTTTCTGATGTTTTCTTTTCATTTGTGATTCCTGACCACCCCGTTATTTAAGCCTGATCTCTGCGTTCCTGATTTGGGTCCTCCACCATGATACCTCACCTGCGAAATCTGTGGTCTCTTTTCCTGTTTTTCCCCATCCAACGTTTCCCCGCTGGTGCCGGGTGCAAAATTCCTGTGATTTTCTTCCCTATCTGCTTTCCCCCTTTCCTTCATATATCCCTCATGAAAGCACCGGTGGCGTCTATTTCGTCTATTTCGTTTATTTTTGGCGATGATTCCCGGGGTGTTCTGTTTAAGGCCCCCATGTCACTTACGATAGTGCAATGTCAATTGGCAGTACCAATGATCACCGCTTAGTCCTAGATCTAAGAATCAATTTTGAATGACCTCAATATGACCTACTCCGTGTAAATGAATAAGCTGACTGCGGATAGATCTCGGTAGCAATGCTTCCACTACAGTAAAGTATGCACTAGTTACTCGTAGTACTCGTAGGGAGCCATCTGATTGGTGGGGTTTCCGTAATACATACGAAAAATTACCGCTATCCACGCCGGGCCAAGCTCCCTGTGACCGTATCGGTACCGCCCCTCGTATCGAATCAGGAAAGCGCGATCGTGGCCTCATTGGAACTCCGCAAATCCTCTCCTTCCAGCCCTGATCTTCCCCCCCAACTTTCCTTCATTCACTCCTTTCCCTTCCACCCTCCACCTCAATTCACAATGGTAAGCTCCTTCAATCATTCAATTGCTCATAATCACCACATCCGCTTCTCCATCAATCTTCCCAGCCCAACACCTCCTTTCCTTTCGATTCTAGCACCACCACGACCCCCATGCCCAACCGTCCCCGTATTCCTGTCAAATCCATCTACAGTTTGCTAACAAACGTTCCATAGGCCTCCCCCCGTCCTACCTCTCCTCTGACCTCGGGTGCCGAGTCTGGCCCTGACAAGTCCGCCGGCGCTGCTGTCGCCTCCGGCTCTGCCGTCGGCCGTCCTTCCTCGCCCACTCCCCCGGCGGTCCTCGCGCTGCTATGCGCCGTCGTGCCGCCGCTGACCACAAGGAGACTCTTCGCAATGTTCGCCCCAGCTCTACTCGCTCTGCTGGTGCCGGTGGTTCTTCGGGTACCATGCTGAAGCTCTACACTGATGAGAGCCCCGGTCTGCGGGTCGACCCCGTTGTTGTTCTGGTGCTGAGTCTGGGCTTCATCTTCTCGGTTGTTGGTCTGCACGGTACGTTCTTTCATTATATATCGCCATTCGAAGCCGCTTTGAGATGGATCCCAGAATGGAGTAGTGGAATTTGGATATCTGAGTTGGCGGGCGTGGTCCAATTCTGATCCTGATCCTGATACTAATGAATGATATGAACAGTCATCGCGAAGGTTTCCCGCAAGTTCTCCGCATAAGCGATTCTCTCGATTCCATCTCTGCCCGTGCTCCACACTTCGCAGTTAACAATCTGGCAATGTGTGGATGACCGGCCCGGGTTACGAGACGCCAACCCTCAATCCTCAATCCTTCTCCTATACCCCTATGAAATTTGACCCTGGTTCCGAATCTGAATTGCGGCCAGGGAAGATCCTGGCTACTCCGTTTTTTCTCAACATATGTGGTGTTTTTCCGTTTTTTTTCTCTTTAATAGTGGGTGCTGCGGAGTGCCCATGGCCTATCCGCTGTATAGGTCGGTTTAGACCTCTTCCACGTGGCCTTGGTTCTCTACTGCATCGTTTGGTCTGCGACTTTTCGTGCTGAAATAGCCGTGGCGCTGGCCTGGTGTGGTTGGTAGCCTGGAGCGTGAAGGAGTCTGACGTGTGTGTACCATATCAACCGAATGTGTTTGCATCGAGTAATGGACTTGACATTTCAAGTGACAATTTTGTTGCTGCTGTAGATTGTAGAGACTCCCCTGGGAGTCATCAAGGTTTCTAATAGTTGTTGTCCTGTCCGTGCAGTGCCTGCGGTTAATTGTAGGCGTATTAATGTAGCAATGGGAAATCAGAGCACCATTGATCGTATGGAGTCCAAGCCGACAATTGGCCACTTGGTACTCCGTGTCTGCAACTTCTTTACCCATAATTGAATAGTGCTTCATCCAGGCCCCTAAAATTCCCGTCCATTTATCTCAAAATGATACAAACTCACATAATTTCTGCTGTCACTGGAGCTTAATCTCTCACCCGCACTTGTGACAGTGGGGCAGCCCTGCCAGGGTACAGCTACCAGCACATGGAAATCGTCAATGACCACAGAAATCGACTAAGCGGGTCCTATCGAACAATCAACAATTTATCAACGGACTCGCCCGATCGACTGACCTCCTCCTATGTAGGTCAATGCTCATATTCTCGTGGTAAGCACCCCAGACTCCACTTTCGGAAACCCTTCTTATCACCACCCCATCCCTTCACCAATCACAACCCGCAGAACTATTCCAGGATGGAGCCAAGAAAAGTGCAACTGATAAGCCTTGCACTCGTCGAATCGTCTAATTGCATCAGGACCCGCGATAGCCCAGTACCCCAATGGGAATTGCTCTATGGAGTAGGGGTTGTACATGGGTTTTTGGTCAGCATGAGAAAAGTATGATCTCTGGGGAAATCATTCCGGGAGCCAACCTACAAATCCCGCGGCCGTGGTTTAGTTTACCCACCGGCTTATTCCTGTGCCATTACGAGACGAATGTACTTTCAAAGAACCCTTATCTTAGGTCCGGATAGCAGGTCCTAACGTACATTGGACGTCCCTATCTAAGCTCAGGCGCTAGGATAGAGTAGTGACTCGCCGTCGGCTGGGGTTAGGACGTGCGAATTCGGAGATTTGGGTCTTTCTGCGTGTCGGCGTGGTTGTTATAAAACATGTCTCCCCTTATCCCGAATGTCATGGTTCGCCAATTGAGACTTTAACTTTATAATAGGGCTAGGAAACTTCCAAATCCGGTTCATACTTGAATTGTTTGGTCGATTTGCTCGTCTTGTGCATACTCATCTCTTGCAACCTTCTTTTCATCTTTTTTTAAAACTTTCGAACTTATATACCTTCGAGTAGACCTCGTTGATCTATTGGGTCTGGGTTTAATATGGCTGTCGCTTTCACAGCGCCTTTATCCCAGGGCTTTGGGTATGGCATTATCCTTGGATTGGGATTTGCTTTTGCCCTGGTCATGATCTTTATTACATGGGCATTGAAACGGTAAGCTTTCAAATCTGTAATGATTTATCTCCGAATTAAATCCAGTATCTAACATACTATGTTCACTTTAGGTACCAACATGAAGTTCAAACCTCCGAGATGTTCTCGACAGCTGGTCGTTCTGTCAAATCCGGCCTCGTCGCTGCTGCCGTCGTTAGTAGCTGGACATGGGCGGCGACTCTGCTGCAGTCGTCAGCAGTCGCGTATAAATATGGAATTTCGGGCCCTTTCTTCTATGCTTCAGGTGAGTGCCATTTATAGGATAAAGCCTTTACGACATAGTGCTAATATAGTATACAGGTGCAACCGTGCAAATCCTCCTTTTCGCGACCATTGCCATCGAGCTAAAACGACGAGCACCGAACGCGCATACCTTCCTTGAAGTGATCCGGGCTCGCTACGGCACAGTTGTCCATGTCGTTTTCATTGTTTTCTGCCTCATGACAAACATCCTCGTCACGGCCATGCTATTGACTGGTGGTTCTGCGGTCATGACCTCCCTCACTGGGGTTCACACTGCGGCGGCTTGTTTCCTGCTTCCCATTGGTGTGGTGCTGTATACTCTCTTTGGCGGTATCAAAGCTACCTTCATAACGGACTACATGCACACTGTGGTTATCTTGGTGGTCATTTTCCTCTTTGCGTTTTCAGCATATGCGACTAATGCCGAGCTTGGCTCGCCAGGCAAGGTCTATGATGCCCTTGTTGAAGCTGCAAAGAGACACCCTGTCGAGGGAAATGCGGAGGGAAGCTATGTCACCATGCGCTCGAAAGAGGGTGGCATTTTCTGGATCATCAACTTGATTGGCAACTTTGGGTTCGTTTATTCCTCATCGCCCTGGATTAAATAAGCTAATACCTACTAGAACGGTTTTCCTCGACAACGGCTACTACAACAAAGCTATCGCCGCAAGCCCCGTCCACGCTTTTCCCGGATATGTCATCGGAGGTCTTTGCTGGTTCGCCATTCCCTGGCTCTGCGCCAGTACAATGGGTATCTCGGCGCTGGCCTTAGAAGGCACAAATAGAATGAGCGACAACGATGTCACGGCCGGACTAGTCCTACCCTTTGCCGCAGTCAAACTTCTCGGATACAGCGGTGCAGTGGCCACCACATTGATGATATTCATGGCTGTCACTTCCGCTTTCTCGGCACAGCTAATTGCCGTTTCGTCCATTTTCACCTACGATATCTGGCAGGCGTATATTGAGCCATCTGCCAAGGGCAAGAAGCTTGTCTGGGTATCGCATATGTCTTGTATCGTCTACTCGATCATCATGGCTGGCTTTGCCACGGGGCTTTACTACGCTGGTATTGGTATGGGATATTTGTATTTGCTTATGGGTGTCATTATTTCCTCTGCTGTCTTCCCCGGCGCAATGACTCTTCTCTGGAAGGGCCAGAATTGGATTGCTGCTGCTGCTTCCCCACCGCTTGGACTCGCTGTGTCTCTTATCGCATGGCTCGTGGTTGCGAAGAAAGAATCCGGTATTTTAACCGTGGACACTACAGGTGCAAAGTAAGCTCTCTTCCAAAATTCTCTCGCCTGGCTATATCGGACGCATTTCACTAACGAATTCTTTTAGCTACCCTATGCTAGCAGGAAACGTGGCTGCCCTACTCAGTCCAATGATCTTCTCCCCACTCTTCACATTCATCTTCGGCTCCCAGAACTACGACTACGAGTCCATGCGCGCAATCCGCAAAGTCGACGACTCTGAAGTCGCGGCCGCAGCACACATCGACCTAGAGCTCGTCCCGGGCGAAGGAAACGAATCCTCCACCGCACAAACAGAAGAAGAAGAGCGTAAGCTCAACCGTGCCGCACTATACTCGCGCACACTTACCGTCTTCATGGCCTTCGCTTTTCTCATCCTATGGCCGATCCCAATGTACGGGAGCTCTTACGTCTTCAGTAAGAAGTTTTTCACGGGCTGGGTTGTTGTTGGCATGATCTGGCTCTTCTGCACATTGTTTGGTGTTGTTGTTTTCCCGGTGTACGAGGGCCGTGAGAGCATTATTCGTGTATCGCGAATGATGTTCCTTGATCTTATGGGTCGGAAGCCGGTTGTTTGGCGCGGCAAGGAGGATTCATCTCATCCTTCTGGTGTTGTGACGCCGACGGAGGTTGGAGATGAGAAGAGTAAGGATGCAGAGGATATAAAGCCTTCTCTTTAGGATATGGGATGATGGTACGATAGGTTTATGATTGCCGGTCGGTCTTTGCGCTTTACTTTTTATACCCTGGCTTGTTTTGGTTTCTTTTTTAATAATATTTTTGAATGTGATGTGCTTCCACTTGTGGATTTCTAAAAGAAAAGGTGTTACAGGTATGCGAGCCACTTAAAGGGACCATTCATCGATAGCAGAGGAAAATAGTAAAAGAAAGTAAATAGTAAAACCCGACGCCGGAACTTGAACAACTTGAACTTGCCGAGATCGGGCTGTAGCACGTATCACACTCTCATTGTGCCTTCGGTTTTGGCCAAACAAACGACTTAAAAAAAGCACTGTGATTGCCCGGGTCTCCAAGAAAGACCTTGGAGACTCATTTGTAGCCCTGTTGCTGTTGCTGTTGCTGTTGCGGTGGCGGTTGTTGTTGGTACCCGCCATAAGCCTGAGGGGGTGGCTGAGGACCCCATGCCATGTGAGGTGGTGGCCGTGTTTCAGGAGTAATATCAGGCCGATCCCTGAATAATACTGGTTTAGATCCGCATTGCCTTGCTAGAGAAGATGATGTGACATACCGAAGATCTTGGCTCACGCGACAGGTGTAGCATAGAACCTCCTAAATTAAATGTTAGCCCAATGGCATTGATTGAGAATCAACAGTTTTTCAGAGGTCCTGTATTTACCTTGTACTTGTGGGTTGCGAGCGGAATCAGAGGCTGTGTCATGGTGATGTTAGTCATCTCGTCCTATCCCCCGCTATAAAGGACAACACAGCAACAATCACAGAAGGCGTACAATGAAGCAAATGGTGAAGAATGGCCTAGAAATAAGCGTTAGATCGTAATTTCCAGTATATTGCCAGATTCGGTACATACCATCTAGTCACACAATGGCCGTTCCAGTGTTGGCCTACAATGGTGGATATGCATTAGTGTGACGCCCCCCAGGAGGCAAGTCGCCAGTGATGAGGAACATTAAGAAAGGTCACTCACAGTTATAGCAGTAAGCTCGCACCTGCTCATAGCCTTCGAGCATGCCCGTGAACTCTGTGGCTTGAATCAGTATCCCGAGGTATAACTACTACTAAGCAGGGTGGAGATGTCCACAAGGTAAACACCCGAAGAACGGTGCCAGGAACAGGTCCCCACTCTCGTGTTCGGAAGTTCCATTTTGACAATCGGACATGATAACATACCGTGAGTTCCAAACGTGATACAGAATGCCATGATGATTGATGAAAGTTAGAGAGGGAAATGGTGTTCAATGGGTTGAAGGCAGCGGCATTTGGGGGCGCTGGCTGTGGCTTGGCTGCTTGGCGGCACGTGAGGTCCATGTGATCCAGCATGTACGGGTACTACAACAACTCAAACATATCCTAGTACTCAGACCTCACCAATTGAAGCTCTATGTAGCAGATAATAATGAAATCCCGGAAATATTCGATACTGATTTATGACAGTATGTACAGAATGCCGCAACTCTCTCGCAAAGAAAGCGCTTTTTGAAAATCAGGAGAAGAAAGAACCAAGGTTGTGAGGCAAAGATAAAAAGGATCGCTTGAAATGGTATTTTGCGAGGTTTCTCTCGGGATCTCCCCATCTGTCGTCTTGGTATTCGTTGCCCTTTACTGGGTCTTGAAGAGGAGGATCGCGCAATGTCCGAGGTAGAAGTAAATGAAGTGCTTCGTCTCTGCCGGAAGATGAGTATCTACAGAAGGTATGAGAGTCGGGGGGTTCATAACTGACCGTGAGTTACGAAGCTTCCAAAGTTCCGGCCAACAATGCAGTGCCAGGTAGCACCCTTTCGAGAGTCGAACTGGAGGGGTTTATCAGCAACGGTGTGGGGAGGGGTAAGGCGGGCAAGGAGCGAACTTCTTTCTTGATGTACTGCGCGATGTCCTGGATAAAATAAATGTGAGAAACTGCACTGGAAATATTGGCATTGTTACAGGTTCGTAAGAGGACATACCTTCTCAATGTGATACTTCTCCATGGCCTCGATCGCTAGGGTTTATCAGTCATGGCTCGTGCGCGGATTGTTCAAGTCACCTACCAAGAGCAATGGCCTCCTGCTGCATATCCTCGGTCTATCAAGCAATGTGAGCGCTGGAACTCTGGATGTGAATATCGATCTGTCCTACCATATCCACCGACTTGATTTGTGCTGTGCCTGGCTGTTAACAAACAAAGTCTGGCTCTTGGTGAAGTTGGAACTCACCCTCCATCTTGTCCTTTGTTTCAAGAGTCATTGTTGAGGTAGTGGGGGGAGTAGTTTTCCAAGAGGTTCGTAAGGTCAGATCGTGCAGCCGCAGAGGGAATACTCTTGAGAACAGACAGCTGCGCTTTGCGCGTGATGGAATCGGGTCGCGCCTTCTGACCGCCTTCATGGTGGAGGATAGCGCTGTGTAAATACTGCCAGTGTATTCTTTACCGCCTACTATATGGGTGGAGAGCTCCAGGTGGGCCTCGGTCCGGATGTACTAATTCCCGACGATCAAATATTTTAGTCGGAAATAATTTATAATTTTGTTCGCTTCTTCCCTCTTGCACGAGCTTTCGTCGAACGCCAAAATGGAGAACACTCGCGTGTTCGTCAGTGGTCTTCCACCGACATGCTCCAATGATCAGCTTCGCAATCATTTTGCAGTCCGTTTTCAGGTCACTGACGCCCATGTCCTGCCCAAGCGCAGGATGGGATTTGTTGGTTTCAAAAGCCATGATGCGGCTCAGGAAGCAGTCAAATACTTCAATAAGACATTCTTAAAGATGTCCAAGATCTCGGTAGACATCGCCCGGCCGGTACGTGAAGTTCGTTGTGAACGGAAAATTTTTTCCTTTCTGCCTTTATTTCCCCTTCTTCCTTGCCGCCCCACGCTGACCAGTTCAGTTGGTCTGGAGACTGACCAGTATGTAGATTGACTCTAAGCCCGAGAAGTTCCCTTCTCGCTATCGTGATATGGACAAGGACAACCAGTCCTCGGATAATGCGCTTAAGCGTAAGAGAGAAGAGAAGACCCAAGACCCTAAGCTCAAGGAGTACCTCTCATTGATGCAAACATCCTCCAAGACTCGCACATGGGCGAATGACGATGGCATGGTGAATCCAACTGAGGAGCCTGTGTCGGCCAGTAACCAACCGACCCAGGACACCGCTGTCGTCGAGGAGTTGCCTTCCTACCCGAAGAAAGCTCGTGTGCAGGAAACCTCTCCTGGTGAAAAGGATGAGGCACCGAAGCCTGTGGTTGTTGACCAAAGCGGAGCTGATGAGAGCGTGGACACCCCCATGCTTGATGACCAAGAGGGAGATGGAGATGAAGAAGAACAAGGCGAAGCTGCCCCTGTCTCGGATGCCGATTGGCTTCGATCAAAGACTAGCCGCCTTTTGGGTCTTCTTGACGAAGATGAGCAGGCCGACTTTGATGACCACAAGGTTGCAGAGCCGGCTAAGCCTCGGAGTCGCACTCCTGATGAACCTGAATCCCGCAATGCGGCAATTGAGAATATTGCCGCTCAACCCCCTCAACCCACAGCTAATGATGACGAAAATGAAGATGATGAAGAGCAAGAAGATGTAGTTCGGTTAACGGCGGAGCAGATCAAGAATACTGATCTTATCCGCGAGTCTGCTCGTCTGTTCGTGCGAAACCTTGCTTACGATACCACTGATGGGGACCTAGAGCCGCTTTTTGCTGAATATGGCAAACTCGACGAGGTTAGTGACACTTTCTCCTTTTTCTTCTTTCTTATTGCCCCTCCACCCCCATTCGTACCAGCATCCTTGAGATGCCTCGGTCGATCGCTCGCATGATGAATTTCCTGATAGGGACATCCGATGCCAAAGGCAGATGATGTGAACAGGTCAAGATATTTTAGTAGATGCTTCTTGTTTTTCTGAAGAGCAACCCAACCATTTCACCTGCACATGCCACTCAATTTGTTTTGACCAAGCGCTGATGAAATTTTAGGTCCACGTGGCCTTTGATACCCGCCACGAGAAGAGTAAAGGTTTCGCCTACATTCAGTTCTCCAACGCGGATGCGGCGATCGAAGCCTACAAGGCCCTCGATGGAAAGCACTTTGAGGGTCGACTCATGCACATCCTGGGAGCCTCTGCCAAGAAGACCTACAAAATTGATGATCATGAATTGTCCAAGCTCCCCTTGAAGAAACAGAACCAAATCAAGCGAAAGCAAGGTGCTACTTCTTCTTCATTCAGCTGGAACTCTTTGTACATGAACGTGAGTATCACTCGTTTCTTATCAGTAGAAGTTTAAGCTAACTGTTTCCAGGCCGATGCTGTGATGTCTTCCGTTGCGGAGAGACTCGGAGTCGCTAAAGCAGACTTGCTTGACCCTACATCTTCCGATGCGGCTGTCAAGCAAGCGCATGCTGAAACGCATGTAATTCAAGAAACAAAGGCTTACTTCGCATCAAACGGAGTGAATATCGACGCCTTCAAGGGTCGCGAACGTGGAAACACTGCGATCTTGGTGAAGAATTTTTCCTATGGTGTGAAGTCTGGTGAGCTACGAAGCATGTTTGAACCTTTTGGTCAGATTATTCGTCTCCTTATGCCACCCAGCGGTACTATCGCCATTGTAGAATTCGCCAGACCTGACCAGGCACAAAAAGCTTTCAAGGCCCTTGCCTACCGCAAACTCGGGGATTCAATTATCTTCCTGGAGAAAGCTCCTCGGGATTTGTTCGACCCTAACGTGGCTCCCAAGGCCGTTGCCGCCGATACACGCGGGAAGGGTCAAGGTTTCTCTACTGCGGACACCTTCGCAGCTGATGAGTTGGACACTGGCATGACATCGACTCTCTTCGTTAAGAACTTGGATTTCTCGACTACAAACGAGAAGTTCTTGGAGGTCTTCCGGCCATTGGAAGGCTTCGTTACCGGACGTATCAAGACCAAGACCGATCCCAAGAAGCCCGGCCTGACCCTCAGCATGGGTTTCGGTTTTGTGGAATTCAGAACCAAGTCCCAGGCTCAGTCGGCTCTTGCAGCCATGAATGGCTACAAGCTCGACCAACACGAGCTGGTCATCCGTGCCTCACACAAGGGCATGGATGCTGCGGAGGAGCGGAGGCGCGAAGATACTGCCAAGAAAATTGCAGCCCGTCGGACCAAGATCATCATCAAGAACTTGCCGTTCCAGACCACGAAGAAGGACATTCGATCACTTTTTGGCACATACGGCCAGCTCCGGTCCGTGCGTGTTCCGCAAAAGTTCGATCGCACGGCTCGTGGTTTCGGTTTCGCGGACTTTGTCAGTGCTCGCGAGGCGGAAAATGCCATCGACGCGTTGAAAAACACGCATCTTTTGGGTCGCCGACTGGTGTTGGAATTTGCGAGCGAGGAGGCTGTCGATCCCGAGGAGGAGATCGCGAAGATAGAGAAAAAGGTAGGGGAACAGGTGGACCGTGTGAAGGCCCAACAGATGATGGGCGGCGGACGGAAGAAATTCACCGTAGGGGCCCAGGAGGAAGCATGAAGGTCGCGTCCCTTTTCCCTTTCCTCCCTGTAAGAAGGGTTGTGGACGTTGACTGGGGATTGGCCGATGGCGCATCCCTTGCGTGGTGGTGGAGGACGACGATGTACGATTTCTTGCATACGCTTTTTCTGGCGTTTTTTTAATTTTTTGTACCTGCGCTCAGAGAGAAGAGATACCCCGAACACGTTCCTGCGGCTGTCAGTTAAGCCCTGCAGATTTTTTAAGACCCTCGTGCCGCTCATGTGCTTCTTTCTGTTCCTCCCCATTCAAGGTGCTGCAGTACCCTTTAACCCTAACCCGCCAATGCTCTCCTTGTATACTTCCCTTCTCCCCTCTTGGTCCCTTCCCATCCAAACCCCACGCGACCACCACTAGGATCAAAGGGTTGTGAGTTATTTGTCGTGGTAGTCCTGAGATGATCACTCGCCTACATTCCAATGGGTGCGTTGCGGTGGTCTCGACATTCCTGGGCCTGGGTTGAGCAAATGGGCAGCGTCGCTGGACATCCGACATTCTTCATGGGTGTCCATTGCCACCGATCACTGACGATTGTTTGTCGACACTGACCAGCATGATAGTCGGGCAAGGCCACTGTCCTGCAGCCCAAAATCTCCGAGTCTTTCGTGACTGGATCGTGCTGCTCCAGCATCTCCAGCATCCCTTGCATCCGACAACACTTCCTTCAGATCATACCCTTTCTTGACTCCTGATTTGTCGCGGCAAGGACAGATGGCGGCCGTCCTTTGCTCCCCACACGGCGTCTGGGCGCGCGACGGCCAGGACTAGGTCCTGCCTAGGAGTATGGAGATGGCGTTCGAGGGTCGCGGTGCAGGCAAAGGTCGCTATGCTGCTATTGGGACTACACACCCCTCCCCAGGGGAGTTATTTTCCCTATAAACAGCATCTTGCTCGCTCTCACATTCTCTTTCCAAGGTCCTGACATTCTCTTCCACCCGTCTGCGTTCTTGAGCAGTTGTGTTTGTGACTGTGCTGCGTTCTTTGCCAGGCAGTAAGCATTTGACGGTGCCTCTCAACTCCCTCCTCCTTGGAATCCGTCATTCTTTTCGAGAAGCCCGTCACTTGGTAAGCTTGCCATGGCTGCTGACTGGCAACCCGAGTGCCTTGTGCCTCAGAACCAGCCGTCCCTCGAGGCTGTAGGAGCTCATACCGACCGGGCTCTGCAGAATACCTCTGGGAACGTTCAGTCTTACTCTGATACCTTCGCCCACGGGGATCCCACTGCTCGAGATGACCATCTTCAGCAGCTGGGCTTCAAGTATCCTCACCATGCTACTGCCGCCCACCCCGTTGCGGCCCCCAGCCTTGCTCAACAACAAGCAGTGGTTGCCCGTCTTCATGCTCGCAAGCTGCGTCGTCTTCACTCCGTTGGGCCTAATGTAGCTCCTCGACGTGGACGCAGCTATCTCAAGTCTCAGAAGTATATGGAATATCGAGCACGTCCTCGACGTGATACTGGCAAAGATGGTGAACCTGTTTGGTCTGATGAGCTGGAAGATGCATTCCAGCAGGGTAAGTCTTCTTCATCCAGCTTCATACACAAGAACATTTCAAGTCTAATGGCATATACAGCTCTTGAAGCAAACCCTCCAATGGGCCGGAGAAAGTGGTCGGAACGTGGAAAGTCATACGGCCGCAATGAATTGATTGCCGAGTATATCTTCAAGTTGACCGGCAAAAGGAGGACTCGCAAGCAAGTGTCGAGTCATTTGCAGGTTCTCGATTCGTTCCTGAAGGGCGATCCTGATTGTGAGTTTACTAGCTTGTCGTCTTTCAGTTTCGGATATTAATACCATATGGTTAGGGGAGCGACTTGTTCGAGAGCAGTCGGGAGACAGATTGAGCGGGCATTCTCAGACATCCGTCACTCCCAAGTGGAGATCTTCCATGGAGCATCCAGCAGCACCAAGTCACTACGGCCATACACACCCCACCTACCATGATTCTATGAGAATGATGCAGCCTTATGGTGGTGACCTCCCCCCGTCTCATTATACACTGGGCTCTAGTATGCAGGAGGCTAGCACCAAGAACATCCACGGCTTCAGTTTTGATATGTGGGTCAGTGCTCCTCAGCAAGCGAACCGTATCGACAAGGCCCTTCACGCATATACCCGTCTTCAGGGAGATCTTCATCACCCTAATGCACCTCCCATGCCCCTTGAGGATGTCCCTGGATGGCGCACCTCATTCCCGCATCTGGCCTCATCTCTTGACGAGATGAATGGTCCTTTGGACTGCGATATCATTATGTTGGAGGTGAATCTAGAGCTGATGACTGATTTCCCCCCTTCCGGCTCCCGTCTTGGTATTCAACTAGACCTTGACTTCGGACACCCTACCGCTGGGGACGTGTTGATGGTCAACCAGATGGACAACTGGACTTGCAGCACCCGGCTATATGAAGAAGGGCGAGAGCATTGGGAAACATACCACGATCTTCCCAAGCCCCAATCAACCAAGATCAAGCCGCTTTTTGAATCATCCTGGTGGGCCAAACTCTTCACTGAGCTGACCCAGGATAAGCGCATTGCCGAAGATTCGGGCCAACCCGAGTCTGTCCATGCTACGGATGACCGCACTCGTCGGTTCCTCCGCTCTCTTTCTGCCGTACAGGAGATTCGTGCCATTCCCCCTGCCTCACGTCGTCTTTCAACCCAATTCCAGGGTCACCAGGGCGAAGAAAGCGAGCGCATGGCCATTCTAGTCTGGAAATTCCGTCAAACCCGACCCGGCGAAGTTGGTACAACCACCTGGCGCCGTCTGATTCCCCCTCCTGATCGGGTTCAAACCAACAGCCCCCGGCAAAGTTCCGGTGTTGACCTTCCTCCTCTCTCCCTCGACTCCATCCTTCTCAACAAGCCCTCGCAAAGTGTTTACCAGGCACCTCAACCTCAAGACTTTACCCACCACCAGGCTCAACAGCAATCTCAGTGGCCTATATACCCTCCTTCCCACGATAATGTGGCTAATATCTTTAATTCGTCCGGTCAACTGGACTTCATGACCTCAATCACCAAGGCGGAAGATGGCCTTGGTGACAAAACCGCTGTGAGCTCGGTTCTGGATTCATTCCCTACCAGTCTCGCCCCCGAGACATCCCAACCGACCAGCATGAGCGCTAGCAGCGGTGGACCCATGATGCTCGGTATGCATGGTATTCCCATGACCCATCAGAGCCTGGGCTATAACATGGGCCATGACGCTAGTCAGTATGTTCCATCTCAGCAGCATGGTGTCAACCTTCACGATAGCCATAGCGTGCTTGACGGCTTCTTTGGGCCCAGCACACAGTCCCTCGATGACCTCAGTCACGGCCAGGCATCTTGGGGAGCACACTCCACCTCCATTCCTGGCGACGTCAATGCCGGCGGATACCATCACATCCCTTTCCAGACCGAGCCCCAGGTCTCTTCCTCACGCGAGACGCAACAGCCACACCATTTTGACGGCTTGATGCCGGCGGATGATCTGATGGACAAACTCGTTGGACGTCTGTCTAATGGTCCTAGCATGCATGGGGCGGGCCCTGAGCATGCGAATAACGGCTATTCAGAGAATCCGGTGGATGCGGTTTAATGATACGCAAGAAAAAAATTACTTGGTAATGATAATATTATTTTGGAGTCATATACTCTTATACCTTACATCTCTTTTCTTTTTTCTTTTCTATCATCTGAGAGCGGCAAGGCAAACGGGGTGTTACTGGGGCTGTGGAGTTCAATTCTTCTTCTTTTACATTTCAATCAAATTTCTTGTATACTTGAGAACTGGCTTCGACATTGTAAACTTGGTAGATAAAGATAGAATAAACACAGAATAGTGGGGGTTATACTACTTTCTTCAAAGTTCTTCAATTAACCCCCACTTTCAAGGTTGGGGGTGTCACGGAGTTTCTGCCGATACCCCGCACGCCATTCGTTATTTCGCTAAAACATTGCCGGTCATTGGACAAAACACAAAGATGTAGAATGTACAGGAAGACCCACTAATCCGAATCCACTTGAACGCCGCAGAGCTACGGGTTTAAATAGAGCTGGGCCGGGTTACATTCCCTCCCGAATTCCACCCTTTGCCGGTCTCGCTCAGATAGAGTCTTCAGAAATGGGGAAGATCTTCAACGCTGCAGAAGGTACAGTTTGCCCGAGATCGTTGTCATCAATCTACTATCAGACTAATCAGTCCCAGTTGCTAGTCATAACACCAGCAAAAGTTGCTGGGTAGTCCTATATGGAAAAGTCTACGATGTGAATCACCGAACCGGGTGCCCTGTCTAACCAGAATGACTACGTTGACACTTAATTTAGGTGACCAATTTCGTCGCCGAGCATCCAGGAGGCGCAAATGTGATTCTAAGGCTCGCAGGAAAGGATGCAACCGAGGAATATGATCCTGTACATCCTGAAGGCACGCTCGAGGGCAACCTCAAGCCCGAGGCACTTCTCGGCAGTATTGATCCCGCCACAATGCCTAAGTCTGAGACACCATCAGGAGGCTCTGAGAAGACTTTAGAAGACGTGCCAGTGCACACGCTCCTCAATATGGATGAATTTGAAGAACTTGCCACGAAAAAGATCAGCAAGAAAGCGTGGGCATACTACTACTCCGCGGCCGACGACAAGATCACGAAGCGCTTGAACACTGAGGCCTTCCGCTCAATTCTCTTACGACCTCGGGTCTTCATTGATTGTACAGAGTGCAATCTCGACACCTCTTTATTAGGGAACCGACTTTCTCTGCCTATATATGTGTCCCCAGCCGCCCAGGCTCGTCTGGGTCATCCATCTGGTGAAGCAGGCATTGCCGAGGCATGCAATAGTATGGGTGCGCTACAAATCATCTCAAACAGTGCATCCATGACGCCAGAACAAATTGTCGCCAACGCCACACCGGACCAGGTATTTGGATGGCAACTCTATGTAAACGACGATCGAAGCAAAAGCGAAGCCATGATTGCGCGAGTCAACAAACTTGACGCGATCAAATTCATCGCCCTAACTCTTGACACGCCAGTTATGGGCAAAAGAGAGGATGACCAGCGTTTCGGCAATGTCATCGACGAACTCACGGAACAGTCATCACCTGAAGCCTTTAAGCAGCGCGAGAAGCAAGCCTTTGCAGGCATGGATCCGAGTCTAACCTGGACGGAGACCCTCGCCTGGTTGGCGAAACATACCACTCTCCCTGTTGTCCTTAAAGGTATCCAGACGCACGAGGATGCCTATATTGCCTCCTTGCATCGGCCACAGGTGAAGGGGGTTATCCTTTCCAACCACGGCGGTAGATCTCTTGATACCTCACCCCCGGCGGTTCATACGCTGCTTGAAATACGGAAATACTGCCCTGATGTTTTTGATAAGATTGAGGTGTGGATGGATGGTGGTGTGAGAAGAGGAACGGATGTTGTCAAGGCTCTTTGCTTAGGTGCCAAGGGCGTTGGTATTGGGCGGCCTCCACTCTGGGGCTTGGCTGCTGGAGGTGTCGATGGCGTGAAGAGGACATTACAGAGTAAGTTGTAAAGGCGAGAATTTCTTGTGGTGACAGAGTGCTGACTGTTATTTCCCAGTTTTGGCGGATGAGACCAAGACTTGCATGCGTTTGCTTGGGGTTCAGAGAGTAGACCAACTTGGAATGCAGCATGTGAGTTTTTAAATCCAAGCCTAAACCTTTATTTTCCCTTGAAACGCGAGAAGCTAACGGCTTGGCTCTCTAGATCAATTCCCGACTAGCTGAAAGGCAGATCTACGATGGACCGTCCGGTCTTGAGGTATGCCGTGCAAGTCACCGGTCAAAACTCTGATATTCCGATAAAATCTTTCTTTGGAACTGAATAGAAGCCAACTTAACTACCTAGAATTGGTTAAAGATACACATTTCAAGTTTGGGTACCTCAAGCAAGTTCAAGTAGATGATGAGCGTGTTTTACCAATGGAGTATATATAATACTAGTACGTAGTAATACTTTAACTACGTACCTCCTAGTACTTTTTATAACTAGTATTCAACGATGCATAAAAATCAAATACCCACAAGACTTGTAATAAACCAAAGCCATCACCGATGCCAGTCTGTTGTCATATACTACTACTAGTAGTAATACTGATAGTTCATCGAGTGCCAAGACTCTTCCTTCTCCGCCTCTCCGCATGTCCGACACGCCGCTCAATTTCACCTCCTCACATCCACTCACCTTCCACCTGGGCAATGAGCAATTCCTCCAGGATGGCCACGCGCTTAGGTACGGCTGTGCGCATTCACTTAAAGCCTAAATCCCGACACCAACTATCCGACACTCGCTTGATCCTCGATGCGCTCAAGAAATTTGGCGAAGTCAATACATTCAAGAACCTCAAGGTACTAAGACCAGGCCCACTGCCGAGCCCCAGCCCAGCTTAAGATGCAAGACTAAGCTTCATTTTTAGTTCGACTTCCATCACGCGAAACCAAATAACATCAATCGCTGCATTCGTGTGATCTTCGACGAAAAAGAAGCAGCAGAACGCGCCATCGCCGCATCGCCTCTGAAAGTCTCCATTTCCCAACGACAACCACAATCACAATCACAACCAGCAAACAACCCCTCGTCCACCGAACCCTCTTCCTCAAACCCATACACAGACTCCGCCCTCAGCAAACACACCTCAACTTCCCACATCGCCCCCGCGAATCAAGTAATAACCTGCTCAATCGAGCCAGACACCCACACAGAAGCAATGATAACCTCACGCACAATGTTCAACGTCTACTCCACCCGCAAAAAGGACAATCACATTCTCCATGACCTCATGGGTCCAGAAACAAACATACCGCTCCCACAACTAGCCGATACGATCAAACGCGAAGGGCTGGACCATTACGACAAGAAAAGGAGGCCGGATCCCAACGCGCCGACCTTAATGGAGCTTTACAGAGAGGGCGTACAAGCTGCCGCTGATGCAAAGAACCCGCGCTCGAAAATCGTTACGTTGGAAGAGGCGCATAAATCGCGTCAGCATCAGCATCAGCACGAGCACGAGGCGACTGCTCGCGAAAGCGGGTTGAAGCGATTGGCTAAGGAGAAGACACATCACCTTCAGACGGCGGAAGATTGAGAGGGGGATCTTTATACGCGCTTATACTTAGTCTTCTAGACATTGGAAGTGGGATTCGCTGTTCCCGGCTCGTGCGGTTTGGCTGGATAACATTGGGCATACCGAAATGACATACCCACACCTGCAGGGCCTGGCCCATTCAGCTAGCCGACGCTCAACGACGTTTGATTGCTTGGGACTTGGGAACCTCGCGGCCTCGACTATTTTGTCGGTGATACACTGCAGCTGCATTTTACCCATTTTCACACGACAGGCAAAGCATGCACTAGCAGCTTGAGCAGTGTCCATGAAACCAAGCTCAGGCAGGGCCAAACGAAGAAGAAATTGGACGGTGATACCATGGAGATTGAGACTCCCTCACTCGCTTGGATTCACCTGGTTCGACATGGATCTGTATATATGGAAGATCGCATCATGGCGGATCTGATCATCGGATATGCGAAGTATACATGATATCCGAGCCAGTTACAGGAACTCTCATCAAGCACAATCTCATTCGTATTCGTTGCTCATCGAGATTTGTCATCTGCTAAAAACTGATTCTACAAACAAGAAAACGCCAAAGGCAAGCTAGCATCCCAGCCACGACCTGTCAGATCAAAATAATAGAAACCATGGTAGAGGACAGGGATCCATCAGACCCGCAAGTAAGCTGGCGCAGACACAAAGGGTTAGTACATATTGCCCAGTCACATTATTCGAGTAGTTGGGAGCGGGGTGGAGAAGACATACTTGCGTCAATCTGCACAATCTGCGGAAGTGCCAGCTTCACCTTATTCCGGTAGACAGCAGGACCATTCATCTGTAAGGGATTTCCCTCGAAGTAAACCGTCTGCAAGTTCTCCTTGTCCTTCAGTTCGCGCTCCACCTCATCGAAGCTGGAGAGCTGGTTGTTCGAGGCCCAGAGCTCCTCCAGGTTCTTTAAAGAGGAGAGATGTTCTAAATGGGAGACCTGGTTGTTGGAGAAGTCTAGGACGCGCAGTGCGGTGTTGTTTTCCAGTCCGGTTAGATCGGTGATTGCGTTGTGGGAGAGGTAGAGTTCTTCGAGATTGGGGAGGTTGGAGACTCCGGTGATGTTGGTTAGGCGGTTAGATTGGATAGAAATGATGCGGAGATTTTGAAGGGCGTCGAGGTTCTGTTGGATGAGTGTTAGTTATAGTGATAAGGTCGGTTTTTCAAGTTTGATTGGGGATGATTGTTGATACCTTCATCTCGACGATTTTGTTCTTTCCGAGCCATAGCTCTTCCAATGCGGCGAGATGATCCAGGTTTTCGATTTCCTGATCCAAGTTAATATAATCCACTCATTTATTTCATCTGCGTCATTCTGCGGCCTATGGCATAATACATACCCTAATTCGATTCGCTCCAAGCTCGAGATTGCGCAACTTGAGCAACCCTTCCAACCCCTCGATTGTAGAGATCTTGTTCTGTACAAAATAGATATCCGTCAAGTGGACCAGATGCGAGACGTTCTTGATGTGCTTGATCTTGTTGAAGCTCAGATCCAAGCTGGCCAGGTCACTGAATTCATCCAGACCCTTGATATGCGAGATAAGGTTGTCATAGAGGTCGAGTTCTTTCATGGATTGGGCAACGTTCGAAGGGAAATTAATGCGCTGTATTTGATTTTGTCGAAGACATAATCTCTATATCGCAATTTGTCAGTCAGACAGACCTCGCCGAAAAGAAGGAAAAGAAAGAAAATCAGGAAAAGTCGCCGGACAGAAACCACCACTACCCACAGTCGGAGACTCAGTCACAGCGCTATACCCAGGGATTTACATACCCGAAGCTTCTCAAATCGTTCAAGATGTAACGCCGAAAGCGAAGATATGCGACAATGCACGAGATCGATTTCCTAGAGAACCCAAGCCAACGATTAGTGACCAGCCAACAACGCCCAGTTTTAAGACCAAGGGAAGCCGCTTTAACCCAACATACCTCTGTATCCACATCCTCATCTGCCAGTAGATCTGCGAAAGTCCATCAGTATCAATTTCTGCAACGACGCGCCACCTCCACTGTGCCCCGGAGAAATTCCCCTACCCTCGTCCGCATCGATTTCCTCCACGGGCGGTGCCTCCGGGTCGGAGTAATCCGAGTCCTCTAGAGCTTCCGGGTTGGTGATCACTGCTTTTGGCTCGACGCGCATTTTGCCGTCCCAGCCTTCCTTATTCTTCATGTTCGGTGCGGTGGGAAGTGGTAGGGTGGGATGATGGGAGGTCCAATGGCGGGCGGTGGGATGTTCGATGCGGGGAGCTTCCAAGAGCGCGGGCGCCGAGGTTCCGTCGGGGTGAGGGGAGAAGAGAAGAAGAGAATAGAGATAATCGACCGAGACAATTTCTTCAAATCAGTGGGATTGTGCAAAGGGGCGACTTGGAGACGGTTGGAAGTGTCCAGGTGTGGGAGGCGAGCTCTCGAGTTAATTTGAAGGTTGGTTGGTCAACTTGCTGGGACTCGGAGCTCGATGCGGCTTTGGCTACGAATAGGTGCAGGTGAACCATGGGATGCAGACAGTCGACCTTCAACTTCTTACTCTCCTTGCTTTTACGCGAATTAGAAACAGTCACAATGGGCCAAACTACTGTGTATTCCTAATGAGACATTTTCCTCGAGGACTATATACAGCATAAAGTGCCGCAGGCCATATACATTGGAGGAGTCAATCCAGCAATATAATCCAAAGATCTTCTCCGCGGTGGCATCATGGCAGAGTGTATTAGATGATACCGCCACAGAGAAACACCAGTCAGTCGCCATCAACAACTAAAGTTAAATGTGACAAACTAGTTAAAACCCTTAGCTGGGCAAGGTAGCAAGGCATCGGGGCAGAAACAGGGGGAGAGTGCTGAGGGGAAGACGGGATACAAGGGGGCATAATAACCAACAGACGCCTGCAGAATGCATTGGAGAATGCGAGGGTGATTGCGATAGAGGGAAGACAACAAGGAAAAATTCAGGGCATGACAGGGAATCAACGGGGATAAGAAATGGGCAAAAGCTCGCTCAGAGCATGGTCAGATAAGTAAGATCACAATGCCAAAGAGTTGAAAGGAGCAGAAAAGGAGGAAGATGCCAGGGGTTATTGTGGGCTATACGGGAAAAAAAGGAAGGAAAGAAAAAGTAAAAAGAAACCAAAAAGAAGAGCAGCAAGTAAGTGAGAAAAGGGGGGGGGGGGTGAAAGACAACAGATGCAACAGATGGGCCACGACCCGTTGGGGAACCAGTTCCAATCTGGGTCAATGGTCGAGCGTCAGAGAAGAGAAGTTATAATGGAAACAAGAGGCAGGGTGAAGAAGAACCCGTCATTCATAGGAAAGACACAATGCTGGAAAGCTGGGAAAGGAACAGAGGCTTTTTCTCGCACCAAAAACAAAAGAAAGGACGCGCTCAATGGGGAATCTCAGGCGTAAGAAAGATCCGGACACGAAGTTTCACAGGGTGATGTCCAGGACCATGCTGACATCTTGGACTTGTTGTCCAGCAAGATCCTCGAGAACGGGAATCAGGTCAAGCAATTCGTTGTCATGTGCGTCAGAGAACCAGCTGCTGATGGGTATCGCGTGTTGGGGGTGGAAAATGTAGGAGGTGGGGGAGTTGTCAATGATGATCGTTTCGCGGAGGTCACGGCCGACTTGAGAAAGATCCTGTTGGAAGTTAGCAAGTGATGATTTCGAGACAGAGTGGAACGAGGCTGACCTTAACATAGTTTCCCTGATGATTATAACAGCTCTCGCGGAACAGACGGTGGTGAACGACGTTGTGAATGTCCAATTGATCCAAAAGAGGATCACCATACTGCAAGGAAATTAGTACATAACTCATCTCCAGCATGATGAGGCGGGTAGGGTCAACGAACCTTGGAAACTGATGCAGTAAACACTACAACCTCATATAGCTCACCAACTCGTTTCATGAACTGGTCCACACCAGGGCGCTTAATCACATAGATGTTGTGGTATTGTCCCTCGATCTCCACTGGAATTGTGAAATCCGCACGTTCAAGGACCTGGATTCATGGTGAGCTTACACGGAAACCGTTTCTTTACTGAGATGGACATGCTTACCTTGAAACTGCTGTGTACGAGTGTTTCATCGAGATCCAGGACGAGGCATTTGCGGTTCTGCAGGTGCGGCACAGGCGGCGGAAGTAACCATTGCTGTTCGCCGGCATCTGGTGCGATGGGGGGGCTCAGGGACCGGCAAAGGGGGTGGTGGGGGCAGTACTGTCGCGGGTTGCACATCTTCCTCGTGTGTCGAGTCTTCACCTTCGCCAACTGGTGTCTTCTTGTCAATCGATTCGTCCGCGGGAAGGGCATCATCACCGGTGGCCGGTTCGTCTTGTGGGTGAACTCCATTCGTTTTCACCTCGGTTATTACTCCATTTGGGGTCGCGGTAGTACTCTCTTGCTCCTTTGTGCTCACTGGAGCTGGCTCAGATTGCCCGGCAGCGGTGGAAGTGCCCTCGCCCTGCACATCGGCAGGAGCGTGCGAGCCTTGCTCTTCGTCCTTGGGCTGAGATTGATCGGCGCCGACAATGGGCTGGGTCTTCTCATCCACGGCATATGTAGGATCTCTAGACTCCACCGTGCTTGAGTCGCCAGTTTGGGCTTCTGCTTTGTCGGGGGTAGGCAGGCGGTTTGAAGTGGGCGGTAACTTGGTAGTTTTCTTCGGAGGGAGAGCCGAGTCATCCCCCTCGGCGTCAGGAGATGAGCAGCAAAGGAGGCTGCGAAGCTTAGAGATCTTTTTCGGCTGAGGCTTTGAAGGGCCATTCATGTCGGGGGTGGTTGGGGTGTTCGTCTCATTGCTCTTCTCGACGTTTGCCACGTCCTGAGTCTGTCGCGATCGGCGGCTACTCGCCCGACTACGGTCCCTCCTCGCTTTCAAGATACTAATTTTAGAGCTTCGTCGAGACTGCTCGTCCGGCGCAGCCTCATCGGCACGGTCCGAGGTCGATTGTTTGTCCGTCTTAGAGGAGAGTCGCGACGGCATTGGGATCAAAAGACGGTGTTTCTTGGGTTCGTCGGCAGGTTCCACAGTATCTGAAGAGGTTGCAGCAGGTGCGGCCGCGGCCGATGAAGAAGCAGGCTCAGAAGGCGCGCTTGGCTTGGATTCCTGGGATTCGGCGACATCGGTGGTGATGTTGTCGGGAGGCATCTCGGACCCTGAGAGCGATCATTAGTATTCGCGACCGGAGGATTCCTCAAAAATGGCGCATAGCAAGCGCAAAGTGAGCCGGGGGCAAGGGGAGAAGAAAGGAACTCACCTTTGGTCTCTGGGGTTTCGGGGGCGTTCATGGGTGCTTTGCCCGCAGACTCGGGAGCTGAGGGCGCGGAATCTCGCCCCTCGCTCTCACCACGCATCGGGGGTAGCTGCGGCGAAGATGAAAAAGGGTAGGATTGAGAGAATTCACCGGAGAGATCGGCAGCGAGGGTGAAAGGAGTGGGCGATCAAGAGAAGAGAAGGAGAGTGCGGCTACAAGGATGTCAACACGGCCTCCTGGATGAGCGATCTGGAGAATCGCACGTACCGCCTTTTGGCCCCAAAGGTCAACAACGCTGCCAAGACACGACAGCGAAGAGAAGAAGGCAGCAACAACGCAGGCGACAATGCAGACGCAGACGCAGATGCAGATGCAGATGCCGATGCCGATATGCAGCTGGAGGTGCGTACTAATTTGGGGAGGAAGAGAGGGGAGAAGGGGCTGGAGGAGGAGATGGATGTCACGTGGGTGGTGAAAGGTGGTGAAAGGTGAAATGGGAAATGAACTGGATAAACGGAATGAAATGGGCCTCTGGATTGGCCCTGGGCAGACTTTCGGGGTCTTTCAGCTAGTGCAAGCACTAGCGCTGAGGTCCTGCTACAGAACAAGTCCTAAGGACCTAAGCGTGGTGGGTTCCAACTGCACATCATTCACACCGGCGGCTACGGGGAAGCAGTCATGCAATATGCACATGGCATAGAGATGGTACTCCAAATTGTACTGAGTACCTTCAGCTGGTGTTATAGATAAATCTAAAGAATAATACTACGTAGAAGCCCCCTTGACCGTATACTCCGTACTCGCACTCCTACTCCGTCGACGATCCCACCGTTCTAGGGACTGACTGAAGGGTCTGGGCTGCAGAAGAGCGAGTGTGATGGGAGATCGAGGACATCCCCACTTGGTCGAGCGTGAGTGGGTGGAGTCGGGGCTGCCCCTTTTCGTTGGCAGGTAGGCACAGCTAAGGTGTATGGAGTGAGTTGGAGCTCAGTTCTCAGGACTCTATATTCATACCAGTAGTAGTACTAGGTACTATGGTACTACTAGTATAGCTGCAAGCTTCCAGCTCCCGCTGCACTGTACATCTCCCGTGCCATGGGATGCCGCTACTTCAAGGTAACTTTGGATAGGTAAGATATACTCGGCACATGGGGGAAAAAAAGAATTGTCCAAGGCCAGGAATCGAACCTGGGCCGTCGCTGTTGTCCGAGGAAAATTGCGACATGCTACCACTGCACCACCCTGGCTTTCTCAGTCTATAAAGGACCCACTGTAAATTGTGAGCCAATAGAATGCCCCGTTTTGCTACACTCCAGCTACCCCATACTATTTGCTCACGTGCTGCCTCCGCATCCCGAGGTTCACCTTCACATGCAACTTGAATGATCCAACTTACTGCTCCTTCAACTTCAAGTTCTACTCTCCATGTTTCCTCTTAAACACTCCTCCCAATAATCAACACCTCCATCCTCCTTCATACACCCTACCTTCATTCCAAGAGCTGGTCTCTGGCTCATGGCACTGCATCGTCATTAAACAACGGCTCTCGGACCAGGGCAACAATGGCCGCCCAGTCCACTCTTCGTCGCCCAGAGGACCCCCTCCTGGCCCTCTACCTTCACTACTCAGACCTCATCCGATCCCGAATCAGCAAATCCTCAAAAACTACCCGAGTAGTCGCTACGATTGCCCTGCTACTCTCCATCATCGGCTCCGCATATGGTGGATATAACTGGTTCCGAGAGGGCGCGAAGGAACGAGCTCGAGGCCGCCGCTTACTACGTCGAAACTCCGGCATCCGTGGCAAGGATGGCTCGCGGACGATCTATGTGCCATATAAGGGCCATCGGACATCCAAGGTTCTGATCCACCCGACCAAGCCGACCACCTTCGATGCCCATCGGCGACTCTTCCTCAATCCGCCCGCCTCCGCGCGCACCGGAGAGGAGGGGTCGGCCAATCAAATTCCTCCACCCACAACAAAGCCGGGTTTAAACCTGGCCTTCTTGCACCAGTTCCTCAGTCTTGGGAGTATCATGGTCCCTCGATGGGGAAGCAAGGAGACTGGCCTGCTCATGAGCCATGGCGTTTTCCTTTTACTCCGAACATACCTATCACTCTTGATCGCACGGCTCGATGGAGAGATCGTTAGAGATCTGGTCGCTGGTAAAGGCAGAGCATTCATGTGGGGAATCGCTAAATGGTGTGGTATCGGAACCCTCGCCTCTTATACCAACGCGATGATCAAGTTCCTCCAATCCAAGGTGTCGATTGCCTTCCGGACCCGATTGACGCGATACATCCACGATCTCTATTTGACAGACAATAATAACTATTACAAACTCATGAATATGGACGGCGGGATCGGCCAAGGGCCCGACCAGTTCATCACCCAAGACCTTACCTTGTTTTGCTCGGCTGCAGCCGCGTTGTACTCCTCGATGGGTAAACCCATGGTTGATCTGTTTGTCTTCAACTATCAGCTCTACCGCTCCCTTGGCCCTCTTGCTCTCAGTGGTATCCTCGCAGGCTACTTCAGTACGGCTGTCGTGCTCCGGAAACTGTCCCCGCCATTTGGGAAACTCAAGGCTGTCGAGGGTAAGAAGGAAGGCGACTTCCGCGGTCTACACTCTCGCCTATTGGCCAATGCAGAGGAGATTTCGTTCTATGGCGGTGCCGATATCGAACGTGTTTTCCTGGTTCGCAGTTTCAAAGACTTGCAACGATGGATGGAAGGCATCTACAGCTTGAAAATTCGATACAACATGCTTGAAGATATGATCCTGAAGTACTCCTGGTCCGCCTTTGGCTACCTAGTGACCTCCTTGCCGGTTTTCCTTCCCGCCTGGGGTGGCTCGGGTGGTGCTATGGAGTTGGCCGATATTCCCGAGGGAGAGAAGATGGGCCGAGAGCGTGGCCGCATGAAGGAATTCATCACCAACAAGCGCCTAATGCTCTCGTTGGCTGACGCAGGCGGCCGCATGATGTACAGCATCAAGGATATCTCAGAGCTTGCCGGCTACACTTCTCGAGTCTACAATCTCATCTCCACACTTCATCGCGTGCATGCCACTGCCTATTACCCACCTCGAGGCTCGCAACCGGAGCTTTATTCTCTCGCCGATGCCCAAGGTACCACTCACAATGGGTTTGATGGAGTTCGCTTGGAGCAAGTGCCCATCGTGGCTCCATCTCTCTACCCGATGGGTGGTGACGAACTCATCGAATCGCTATCTTTTATCGTCCACTCGGGAGAGCATTTGCTCATCTCGGGTCCCAACGGCGTCGGCAAGTCTGCTATCCCGCGTATTGTCGCTGGATTGTGGCCCGTTTACCGGGGTCTGGTCAGCCGACCCCGAGGATTCGGACTGAGACGGCATAATGTTCCTCCCCCAGCGACCGTACCTGAGCGTTGGAACTCTCCGCGACCAGGTCCTTTACCCTCACACAGAAATTGACATGCACGAAGCCGGTGAGACAGACGCTTCATTGCAGAAGGTTCTTGATGATGCCCACCTAGGCTATCTACCTCAACGTGAGGGCGGTTGGGATACCCGCAAAGAATGGAAAGATGTTCTCAGCGGTGGTGAGAAACAGCGGGTTGCCTTGGCCCGACTATTCTACCACGAGCCCCGATACGCATTCATCGATGAAGGAACATCGGCCGTCTCTTCTGATGTGGAGGGTGTACTATACGAGCGGGCGAAGGAACGAGGTATCACTTTGATCACGATCTCGACACGTGCCTCCTTGAAGAAATACCATACCTTTAACATGACCCTCGGTCTCGGAGAGGAGGGCGAGCGCTGGGAATTCGAGAGAATTGGCACGGAGAAAGAGAAGCTCGGCGTTGAGAAGGAGATCCAGGAGCTACGCAAACGTTTGGATCAGGTGGATGAGTGGAAGCTTCGTCGGGAAGAGATCGATAAGGAATTGTCGAAGGTCTGGTCAAGTGATGGTGAAATTGCGCCGCCGCCTTACCAAGAGAAGGATGCAGAACCAGAGCTGGAGACAGAGACAGAGACAGCTTCGGAGGTACCTTCGGAAGTGCCTGCTGAAGGCACGGCTAACTGAAGTGATTGATGATACCTCGTGCGGAAGGGCATTATCTGATTTTGATTTTTGAAACGTATGCTGTATACCATCTGCTTTTTCCTGTTTACGAAAGCAAGAATATTGGACTACAGTACGTCCCCAAATGGTGTCACCACCTACACCCTTCATTTGTTTTCGACCCCCTACTGCAAAGATCTACTGTACCGTAATAGGGCTCGGAATAACTCTGGAGTATCAATATTCCTGTTAGATCCCAAGGTTACTTTACGCCAAGTGTCACATGTAGCTCGTGTTTCATTACCGTATGGAGTAACTGAACGATCATGATGACGTTATAGAATCTACCGCAATAGTACATATATACAATGTCGAACCCATGCAGCCCGCAAGGTTTTTAGCTTTCAAGTGTTGTGAACTTTCATAAGACACTGCTTGACTATCGGGTTCCTGGCATCGAGCCCTTACAACGTTCAAGTTGTACTAAACACGGATATTATATCCTACCATGCCTACTACGCCCTGCCATCGGATTCCTCATCGAGCCCTTACAACGCTATACCAAACACGGATACTATATCCTACCATACCTGCAGTGTTTCACTATCGGATGCCTCATCGAGCCCTTACAAAGTTGTATCAAACACCGACAATATATACTACCATGTCTACAGCAAGGTTTATCAACGACAACATCACAGTGTCGAAAGAGACTGATGTGAAGTTGAAACTCTATGATGAAAATGATACTGATGAACCTTGTACTTTACTCTGCCCCGGAGAGACCAGGAAAAACTTTACTGGAAGAATCATTAGCATTGAACCTTATTCAACCTATGCTGTTAGGTCCTGGCAGGTTTGCGAGGATGTGGACTTCGATGCCAATAAAGATGTTACTGTGACGGATCAGAGTAAGCAAGCTATTTAAAGCGACTAATGAATGAATACTGATTAGTTACCTAAGCAATCGAACAAGGAAATAAGGTTGTTGGGTTCGGTTAACGCAAGGATGGCCGGGAACAAAGGCTGCTGAGTATATGTAGGGAATGCCGTTTTCAACTTCAGCTGTTATACGCAATTCATCAAATGGAATACCACACAAATTGTTTACGATTTTGTGGATTTAAACTGATAATACTGCTAAGCAACAGATTAGGCAAGGTGTGCTATAAAGCTTAAATCTTTTTCCATGTCAAGTAGTAGTAACTTTGAGATTAGTTTCGAACTTGGGATACAGTATTGTAGTTAATTGTTCATAATCTTCGCGGAAGGGACGATAAGTTTCAAGGTGATTATTGTGTTAGTTGTATTAAATTATAAGAAAATACACTGTGATGTATGTTAGTTACTCTTCATAATAAATAATACGTGCCCCATTGACAAGGGTACTCCGGAAAAACTCTTAATATAGACGAGCGTGTCTTGGCAATTAGGAGTTGAGAAACAATTGAAGAGTGAAGGTGGTAACAATAGTTTGGGGGCTTACTGTACAATACCCTCTGTCCCATCAGATAGATGTGAATCGTAGAACTAATTGCCATCGCAGCTGCATGGTTCGCTTGTTTGCAGTGCTAGGCCATGTCTGGTGCGTCGTCAAAGTGTGGTCTCAGGATGTAGAACCCAATCTTTCAAAGTCACCCTCAACACTTTCTAGTGAACCCTATCTATCACATTCCATGACATTTTTGATTTAATACGGTAGTGCCAGCTATTTAGTATATCCCGACTCTTTATCAGACATCTATACGATAAATGCCCCCACCGGTAGCTCCACCGCCTCCCATCTTCGGCAGCTTCCAAATAGAATCGGCAGTACTGATAAGCAGCTATCGGCCGCTCTATTGCGACGCGCGACCATCACCAACTGCTTGTTTGTCCAAAATCAACTCCCCACAACTGCCCCTCGTTTACGTCTCGCCTTGTTTTTCAGATTGTCCTAATACTCTCTGGCTACAAGCATAACGCATCTGGGGCACCACCGCCCCGTGCAGCTCTTCCCACCGACATCTGGGAGCTGCTCGACACAATTCAACATGGCCGAAAGTGATTTCTCGGAAGATGCCAATGTGGTCGTTATTCCAGTAGACGATAGTCTCAGTGATGGCAAGAAAGAAACATGGCCCCTCAATGACCCCAAGTACAAATATCGTGCTGTCGACGATACCAAATGGAGAGAAGCTCTCGCCGAGATGTGGATCGAAGACACCGGCGCCAAAGAAGAGGGTAAGTTCACTGGCGACTATTCTAAATCTCTGGACCTCGGAGGGATCTGAGAGACTGCCTCTGTTTTGGTCTCTTTATTTGCTTTCCACCTTTCACCTTTCGTCTGGTACGTCTTGGCTAACTTCTGTTGCTCCAATAAGGTGTCGCATACATACTTGAAAAGCTCCCCGAAGGGTACCGTATCTTCGACCGGCCTCGAGGAACAGATCATACAACTGTAAGATATACTTAGGCTTTCGGATCCTCACTTTTATTTCTTTGAGCTCACATCTTTCCAGCGTGATGCCTTTCTGTTTGGTCATCCCAGCGGATCTTATTTCCAGTCACGAGCAACCTTCATCGTTCACTTTCGATGGTTGATGTCTGAAAGAATTAACCCCTGCAAATGCAAACTTTGCATCAAACCACCGAAATCTTTGAAACCCGCGAAACCTGCAAAAATACAGCCAGTGGCAGCATACCAAGCAGTCTCCTCTAGACTGTCAACGGGCGGATTTAAGCAACCACGGATTCGTGAGTTTTTCCCTTTTATGAAGCATGCTACTGCATCTCCGTGCCTAGCACCATCATAATCTCCTCCAGTTCAATAATTAATGATATAACGCCTTCTCTAACAACCACCATAGGTCGAACCAGAGCCGAACTCGCGGCAGGACTCAGCCCTGAAGAGGCCATGGCCAAACGCGCAGCCCCTCCAAAAGATGCTGATAGGAACAGTTTCATCCTTGGGCCTAACGGCGCAGAGGGCCCAGATTATTGGCGAGCATGGATCCTACAGCTGAAGAATCAGTTCCCCGATCCCGTGGAGATCGAGGTAAACCAACCGCTCAATAAGAACTGGGTGTTTGGCAAAGACCTCCTGGACAGCTGTTTTCTCCAACTCGGCCTAGATGCTACTTTCACTCCACGCAGGGGTGAAACCGTCCTCTGGACTCGCGAGATGGACGGGACACTGGAGTGGAACCGGGAGACGCGGACTTACCAAGTCCTCGGGTATGATGGTACCTGGAAGGGTACACCCCAGTGGCAAGCTGGAATTATCACCCAAACCCCTGTCTCTGACGACAAGGTGATCTACCCAGCAGACATCCGTGACCTTACTTCCGAGGACAGCCTCGCCAACGTGACCAACACCGGTTTCCGTGTCGAGTGTGTTCCCGACCCAATCGCCGATGACAAGAGCTTCTCAAAGCATGCAAGCTATGTTCCCCTGAAATGCATCAAGCCGATGAATTCCTGGGAGATATTCCTGGACAAGGTCCCGCGCGAGAAGTGGCACCCGACAGTGGAATTCGCCCTCACAACCACTAGCTCCTTTAGCTTGCTGCATCACCAGTGGTTCCGAGGCACCTGGCCAAACGCTCGCGTCCATTCGAAGGGAGTTTGGGTGGGCCACGAACTGCTCGCTGTTAAAGATACGATCCGACTCAAGCCTTTCCGGTTGACAATCGAAGACCTAGAGGACCACGACAAAGCCAACACGGCCTCCCACAAAGTCACCGATGTGATGACTATCAAGGACATATGGCTTGAATGGACAGATTGCATCGACGACCCAGACAGAGAAGCCTACGCAAAGATGGCCACAGTCTGGATTCAGGGCCAAGTCTACACCCTAGACAAGGACCGTCTGAGTCGCCCCAGTCCATTCGGAGACAGCCCCCTGGAGAAACTCACCGACCACGAGGTGGACTCTACATTCAACCAAGTGGGCATGTCGGAATACGGCGACTGGTACCGCATGAATGGCGGTACGACCTGCCAGATCACACCTGGCTCAGTTCTAGGTCGATGCTATGAGCCCGTGCCAACCAAGCTCCACTTCGGATCTTTCGACCTGGACTATGATCTCCAAAGTGTTCTCAAGGCTCGTCGGTACAGCTCGCAGGTAGACAACCGCATTCCTGAGGGCCATATCTGGTTCTTTGGAGATAACCGTGTGGAGACGCTTGGCCTGGCAGAGCTGAACGGGATCGAAGTCGGACCTGCGGCCGAATTGCACCGGCAACCTCATAGATGGGTTTCAATCTTGAAGATAAACGAGGGCATACACAGCCCAAGCGATGTTAGGATGGCTGATCTCGGCGAGACTGGCAAAAAGAGAGGACGACCACCCAAGACATTCGAGGAAATTGGCAAAACCAGCCGTCTGGTTAGTAGCGGGTTAGGTCTGCAGCCCGATTCCTCTGTTGAGGACGAAGACGTCGAACTCGAATCCAACAGCGAAGAAGGGCTTGATAAGGCAGAGTTGACCAAATCGATTCCTTACAAAAACCTCTCGTCATCTGAGTCAGACGATAAGATAGAATCTGGTTTCGCAGCGGGTATCCAGGTAGTCATCGATGAGGATAATGATGAGGATTACACCGACGAGGAGTAAGAGAGTGGAGTGGGTACTATTCAGCCACTGGGATTCTGGCCAGGGTGTTGGGATCTTATGAAGTCGGCCGGAAGTGAAAAGAATTTCCATGAGAGAATCTGACGAGTAATGACATGTACAATACTAAGTATCTTCGCGAGGCAGATAGCTCGGCCTCGATGAATCAAAACGCTTACCTTGATTCTTTCTCCTACTGAATCTCTGTAGTAGAACCTGGGAAGTCATTGTAGAATCAACTCGTCATTTAGTATAAAGCCTCGAATGTCGAAAATCCTGCCCGGTGGAAGTCTTCGGACACAATTCATCTCCAGTTGTACTATATAAGACCTGAGAAAGTACATACACAAGCATCGGCATTACTAGTAACCCCCAAACCACAACTCAATAAGTCTTCTGCACAACACCCCTCGCAAACTCAGCAAAAGTAACACCATCATCCACCTCCTCGCCAAGATTCGGCTGCGTAAACACAGCCAAAGTATTCCTAGCAATCCGCCCAGTCCCCGTCTTCGCCCCCTTTACAAAATGCGGCACAGCCCGGAACTTCCCCTTGGTAATCATCTGCAATGCCTCACCTGTCTGGAAAGCAAGACAATCCTTAGGAATATTAACCTTAACAATCTGACCTGTTCGCGAACGAATATACAGCCCCGCCGCGGGATCCGGCGACGAGGGCAATTCAGGAAGAACATCCCCAGCCGAAGAAGGTAGAGACGGAGACGAAGCTTCTTCATCGAGGAACATGGCCGAAGTAAGACCGGTCAAACAGCCATGATCAACATGCGTCGCACACCAGTCATCATCGTTACCCGCTTCGTCTGCGCCCTCGTCTGCGCCCTCGCCCTCGCCAGAGGGAAAATAATGCAACAATCTCGCCTTAGTAGTCAAACTCCCCCTTACAACCCGCTGCAAATAACCCTTGGAATACCCCCCCAATCTCCGACTCCGCAAACCGATCACAAGCCCCCGCGACCAGAGCCGCAGTATCAATAATCAACGAGCAAAGCTCCTGCACCCCGCTGCGAAAACCGGGCAATTTCCCCGCATCAGGCCAGATATTCGGCGCTGTGTATTGTGGGAAATCGGGGAATCCGTCGGCAGGGGCGTTGTTTAGATTCGGATCTTGGTAGAAGGCGCAGTTTATGTAGTAGGAGCCCTTGTGTGTGTCGTATTGGCCTGATTTGAGGGTTTCTTTGCCGCAGGACCAGCCGACGAGGTATTTTGATTCGGGGCTTTCGAGGGTTTCTGGGGTGCAGTTGTTAGTTTTTTTTTTGTGACAATTTACTTTCTTACTTGATGTATTATTCCCTCTCTCTTCTTTTGGGGTTGGATTGGGGTGGTTGATTCAGGACCGTACCTAGTTCGGCGGGTGGGAGGGCTGCTAGATACGATGAATTGGAGAGGACTTGGGCGCGGAGTTTAATGAATTTCTCTGGCAAGTCCTTTACGATCATGATTCCCAGGGATGATGGGCCAAAGGCCTCGGTGAGGGTGTCGAATGAGACGGTGCCTGTAATGTGTGATGAGCTGTGGTTCGCAGTATCGGGGTGATTGGGATGGGATTTATATCCAACCATTTTCGAGATCTTTGAGGCTGACGGTGACTGCCTGGGCCACGGGTGCTTGAGGGGCACTCATTGTGTTGTGTTGTGCTGGTGTGCTGTGGGGATCTCTCGATGGCTTGATGGTTTGATGTTTTTTTGGAGGGTCTTCTAAGTTCCCAGGGCTTCCCCGCTTAGACCGATAAGACGCTTAGCGACGGCTGAGGTTACAGTTACAGTGCTAGGCTAGTGCGGAGTCAAGATATCAGGTGAAATGTGAAGATGGTCATTGGCTATTAAAGTTATTGTACAGGGGTATTAATTGGAAACTGGAACAGGGAACATGGAACATCTACATCGCACACACAACAGCCTCCATTTACTCAGTGCGACGGCTGACAGCACGGAGAGTGCCAAATGGCAACACATCAGCGATACGCTTGGCTCCTGTGAAAAGCATGGCGAGTCGGTCAATGCCACATCCCCAGCCACCGGTGGAAGGGAGTCCCCATTCCAGGGCCTCGAGGTAATTCTCATCCACCTCGCCCGGTTCTCCGACGGCCTTGCCGAAGCGCAGCTGGTCCTCGAATTTGCGGCGTTGCTCGAATGGCGAGTTCTCCTCTTCGTAGGTATTTACAATTTCTTTCCCTTCGATGAAGAGTTCACCGCGTGCGGCGACGATTTGCTTTGTAACGGGGTGTGTGAAGGATTTGGAGAGCGGGGAGAGGCATTCCGGGGGATTGATGATGAAGGTCGGATCGATGCAGTCGGGTTCGACGTAGATGCTGCACAATTCGTCGAGGAGGCGAGGGAGAGTGGCGTTTTCGGGTAAGGGGAGGGAAAGGTCGTGGAAAAGAGTGCGGATCTCGTCGAGGGCAGAGGGGGAGGTGAGGTCGGGGAGTTTCCGCTGAATACGTTCTTCAATGCCGCCGATGAAGTCGATGCGACGGAATGGCGTGGCGAAGCTAGCAGTCGTTGGGTTAAGGGTGCCATCTTCGTTGAGGGCTTGAATATGGGATGCCATTCCCGACAAAAGGTCCTCGGTGGTGCGCATCAAGTCCTCCAGGTTGGCATAGGCCTGGTAGAATTCGCAAGTCGTGAACTCGGGATTGTGTGTCTTGTCAATTCCTGCCATACGTTAGCAATCTATATTCTCTTGTGCATCCATCTTCTTCTCAATTTTCTCCTCTCTGTTGCATACCTTCATTGCGAAAAGAAGGGCCAATCTCAAAGACCTTGTCGAATCCCCCCCCACGACCAACCGCTTCAGCCACAGCTCCGGCGCAATTCGCAAGGACAGCTCACGATCCGGGAACTCTGTGGCCGAAGTTGAGAATGGCCGAGCAATAGCACCACCGGCCTCGGCCCCTATAATGGGGGTATTGACCTCCATGAACGACCGGTCCACGAAGAATTGGCGCAGGTACTGTGTCAAAGACGACCGCGCACGAATGATCTGTGCCACCGATGGATTGGCCAAGAACTGAACATGACGAGGATAGGGCGAAGTCTCGTGGGAACTGTCACGAAGAGGGATATCGTGTAGACATGGCGCGAGTAACGTAGGAAGCTCTGTCGCATCGACCGTGAGCTCGCCTCGGCCAGTGCGATGTGGTTTACCAGTAACAGCTGAGAGGAATCAGTACAAAAGACCCCATATTTGTCCACGGATATAGCGGATGGGAAAAATGGGCTGTCATACAAAAGGCATCGCCGCGACGAAGCAGACGATATAGCTTCTTAAACTGCTCGGGAGAGACGCCTTCAAGCTGGCGCTTGTTGCACATCACTTGAATCTTATGACCATCTTGCACGATATCGAAAAAGATCAATTTGCTCCCGGCCAGTCTATAGGTACGAATCCTACCTAAGCTAATCTAAGTATACGATACGGAAGATGGACGCAAAGGTCCTAGAAGCTGGGGTGACCTACCAGAGACCACCACCGGCTCCTCTACTGATTCATTGTTGCCCAGTTGGCCATACCGTGTGCGAAACTCGCCGCAGCTCACAGTGCGTGCATCTGTGACCAGGCGCGGATATGGGTCACTGCTGACCTGAGAAATCTCTTGCACGCGCTCCTGGAAGGCCCTCTCCGGCGATGCAGATGCAATACTGCGGGCAGACTGGTGGGTTAGTCGGGTTGTTGTGTTGGTGGTTGCAATCCGTAACGGGGACTGGATTCGATCTGGCAATGCTGTGCTGAGGACAATGTTAGCAATGTCCAGATGGCAATTGAAATGTAGTAAACAGTGCAAGAATTTTTTGAAAATTGGTCAGATTTTTAAGTCCGTTGCGTTCATCTGCCCGAAGGCATCAACTGCAGCGGTTCTGAAGCAGGTGGGAGAAATCATCATAATAAAAAAGGAAACAAAAATAAAACAAAACAAGGCCGAAGCCAACGACAGCAATGTCTTACCTGTTCCGACTCAAGCCCTTCAAGCTTTGAAACAAAACTCGAGGGCGGATTGAATGCATCGCGAAGGTGCAGTGCAATTGGGGAGAAAAGAAAAGTAAGTTGGCAAAGTCGGAAGTGCAGAAAAAATATGTTCTCAAAGGCGGAGAGAGACCTTTCTGCGGTGGAGCCTCCCAAGCTGCGCGACCTCAAGACTTCCGGTCCGCATCCAACTTGACCACCCCCATCCATCTCATCCATCCATCCTATGTGAGTTGACTCCCCTCCCCCCCAGCACCCATCACGAAATTCTCCCTCTTCTAACCCACCATCGCCAGCTTCACCTTCCACCAACACCACACTCCACATATTCATAATGTCGTTCCTTTTCGGCGGCCAGCCCAAGATGTCCTCGGAGCAGAAGATCGCTGCTGCTGAGACTGAGGTTGAGATGATCTCTGACATGTTCAGCCGGTGCGTATCTCAATCATACAATTGAAATGGATGATTCTTTCCCCCCATTCTGCCACTTGACTAACCCCCGCGCTAGTCTCTCCGAGTCCTGCTCCAAGAAGTGCATTCCCGCCGACTACCGCGAAGGCGACCTCAACAAGGGCGAGTCCGTCTGCCTCGACCGCTGTGTTTCCAAGTTCTTCGACGTCAACATCAAGGTCAGCGAGAAGATGCAAGGCGAAGCCGCCGCCAATGCCCAGCAGGGTGGTGGTGGTGGCATGGGCTTCGGCGGCAGCATGTAAAGTGCTGAAGCTGAATGTCGCGACACAACAACCCAGAGGAAAGAAAGACAATTCGGTCAATTGGTGTATAGAGATTGATCGCCGAACTCTTTGTTTCTTTTTTATTTGTTTTTGATGAACCTGATTCACCTCTTCAGGTTGGAAGCTCAGGATGGCCAGAAAGGGTCTGTTTGATGATGGACACGTTTATACCGTCACATTCGAGGTGAAGGACCACCGATCTAAGGTCTATGTACAATAGGATAAAAAATGGGAAAACATGGAGAAATGTACCAAAAATAACAAACAAAAAGAAAAGGCAAAGTAGCTATACTAGTATCGTACAAGCGTGTCCTCGTAACAGTCGCCTCAAGGTGCTGGGAATCCGAATGACCGCCTCACCCATGCCATCCAGGAAATGCTGCTCTGCTCTTCCTCGCCTTGGAGCAGACCTTTGACCCGCGTCTCCACGTTGAAAATGTGTCGTTCAAAATCAGTCAATCCCTCTTCCATGTCCTCGACTTTGGACTCCAGAACGTGAAGCTCATAATCAAGTTTCGCGCCCAGGAGCTCCACACGCTTGACGCTGTCTGTGAGCTGAGAATGCTCATCCGTAAGAAGATCACTAGATCTCTCACGAAGTCGCTGGTAATCGCCGAAGCGTTCAAGATAGACCGTGTTGAGTTCTTCGTAGCGGTCAGAGAGTACCTGGTTAAGCCCGTCCACGGAATCGACTTGGCGCTCGACCCAGGGAACACAGTGTTCACTTAGTTCGAGAATTCGAGAGCTGAAGATTCGCGCATCGGAAGCCAATATGTCTTCTTGGGCAATGGCTTCCTCTAAAGTTGCGTTATCCTTGACCTGTGGCTGGCCAACGAGTGGTTCCCAGGTCAGCACGACTTCTTCAACATTGCTGAAAGATAAATGCCGCGGGCATCGACCATCGTCCCGATCCGCGTCTCCATCGGGGTTGCGGAGCTCTTTACAGCTCTGGGGCCGCCGTAGAGCCATCATGGCCAGGCCAGCAGCCGATTCATCGTGGTCTCGTTCTCGATCACTTGATGCTGCAGTAGAGTGGGTTCGCGTTCGTTCGATATCAGATTCCTCGTCTATACTTCGAATAGGCTGTAGCTCTGGGACTTCATCGACTTCTTGAGTCTGTACATCTTCCTCGTTGGCTGGGGGTGGGGAGTCGATATGGATTTCGGGAGGTTTCACATCGGAACTTGTATCGGGAGCCAGGGAGGTCAACTCCTCTTCATTTTGGGTTGCCGACTCGTCAATTTTTGTCTCTGGCAACAGGTCAGACTTTATTCTCCTGGGCATATGTCTCTCTGTGTCGCTATCGAGAGATGGCCGATACGCGATATCATGGTGTACATCGGTGCCTTCACGAAATTGCTTGTGGTGGGAACGGATGCCGACTGCATCTTTGAACCGACCGAGACCAGCTCGAGCGTCGGATACTCGTCCACTGACACCCTTTTTTCGATGCTCTTTTTCTTCTATAGTCAAGGATTCAGGTGTTTTCCACTGCCGGTCCAGTCCAGATGCAACTCGCTCGGCATGCAAATCCTCCGTCGAGTGCTTTTTCCGACTGGTCCAGACGTAGCCACCTTGGTCGTCTTCGGTAAACATCATCTCCGAGCCTGGGGCATTCGTAAACCCAGTATCGGTGCCACTCTTGCGGGCTTTTCCAAGCCAAAGCCACTTGGCCCTTGATCCGTAAACACATTGTACAAAGTAATCAAGGTCCAGAGTTTCGACATCGGCAATGCCGCCTTTCTCTCGCCCGCGGACCATTCCCATAACCATCTCGCCGCCCTGACCGCCGAGTTCAGTCATGGTGGATTTGATCGCGTCGCTCCATCCTTCAGAGTTGGCTGCTTTGGCCGTGACACGATGGAGTCGATCCAGAGTCCGCCGGTCAAGTCTTCGCGAGCGGTTCATCTTTTGCGACTTTTGGAATCCACCAATTCCTCTCTTCAAATTATCGATATCAAAAGCATCCTTTCCAACGGGTGCTCCACAAGCGTGAAGGCGGTTTCGCGCACCCAACAGCGTTCCTAGCAGGGCTGCCACGCTAGTCGGTCCCAGGACTCCATCACTAGGTTCGACATTGTACAACTCTGTACCGATATCCGCCCACCAATCTTCAATCGCCTTTTCAGTAACATCACACAGCAAGCCATCCACGTATTCAGGAGCTAATTTGTCAAACACCATCAATGCAATCTGACACTGCTTGACCATCTCCATAACGGCAGTTTCCGCCGGCACGCGTTCACTCGCACGATAAAGCTGGTAGAATTTGGCTTCAGTCGCAGCCAACGGCCGCTGTAGCTTCAGGCCCGCGCGACCAGCGCAACCAAGCCGTTTCAAATTCTCATTGACAATGAAATCATTCCGATGTTTCCTGATATCGCCTTCCGGAACCGGGAGAACCATCAGTGAGGACGGGAAGGAGCCCAAATCCGTCACCATGATCGTGCCCAGCGGCGTTTCCTTCGACCGAGCATGGTATTTCTTCATCGCGTCGAAGTACATCTGCAAACGGGGTGACCATGTCGTCTCATCTGTTGGAACACTCAACACGCCCGCCACAACTCTATGCGACGGGTCACCGGTATATGTCGATATCACAAAGGTGGGATGGCTCCGTGAACAGGCCCAATTTTCAACAATGTAGATCTCGTACCCCTGGAGGAATTCCCGTCGATGCAGCACGTCTGTAGATGGATCTTCTTCGAGGTATCGGAGGGCGACCGGGTCGGTGAAGACGATGCGTTGGTGACCGCGTGGTAACCGCTCAGGGACGGGGTCGTTCGTATTAGAGGCGGGGCTGCTTTTGATCGCATCGGCCGATTTACCAGCATCGGCCGGCGCAGCCTGTGCGGCGGACTGCATGGCGACGGCGGCAGCGGCTTATAGAAATGTGTTATGTGACACAGCTGGGGAGAAAGGAAAAGTTGCTTTGAGCAAGGACCATTTCAAGACACGCAATGTTCCCACACCTCTGTCGTCAGGGAAGCGCTGACCTTCCTTGTATCCTCCTGGTCGATCGCTCAGGTAGGAACCACTGTGACATGTCCTGGGAATGACTGTCGCGGCATCCCAGCGGTTGGAGAGGTAGGTAGGAAGGAGGAGTAGCAGTAGCGGTAGGAGTAGGAGCAGGAGTAGGTCGTGGATATCCTGGAGGTTCGTGCTTGGAGGCCCCGAAGGCTGCAGAATTACCGACGTCACGACGGCGGGCGGTGGAGGATCGACATATCAGGTACGGCGAAGGGCTACTTAACAGGGGTCTGCAAGGGACGCAGGGACTATCACTAAGCAACAATAGGGGTCGCAGGAGTGGCTGTCATGGAGGGTTTCGACGCGCTACAGGAGGTAGGATGGCAACCGGTTCTCGCGAATATCTTCCGAGGGTGTAGGTACAGGCGTAGTAGGTACACAGCTCGAGTGGATTAATTCAACGTGCTAATGTTTACATTTACGCGTCGCAAGGCTTGCTAGGATATTCTCTTCTCTACAGGCCACCAGCATGGGCAGCACAGTAATGAAAAGAAGACCATGCGGTACATCGTGGATATCATCCAGAGCACCAGCAAAAAGCACGAAGGCCAAAGCCAAGGTACTGAAGGCAACTTGTTTTTTCAAAAATTCCTTGTCGACCCGAAGGCCAGCAAGAGTGGTCACGTAGGTAGTTTTCAACTAGCAAAAACACGATCTCGGATTTCTCCTCACTGATACGCGTCAAACCCGTGCACTAGGATAAAGAAGAAAAGAAAAAGAGGAGGAAGGGCGGAGAGCGGGAAGTTTTATTTATACGGCCCGGTGACTCACGCTAGCCATAAGCGAGAGTGGGGCTTGGCCAATCAGACAGTTTCCTGCCTGCATCAGCAGTGGGACTAGTCCCTTCTAGGAAAGGTCTACTCCGAAGCAGGAGCTCCTCTGTACTCCGTACGAGTAGTATCAGTATAAGTATGAGCATTCTACAGCTGACACTGAGTTGGTACTGACAGAATGTACTCCCCTAGTATTAGTATCAGTAAATGTGATCGTATCCTCCCTAATCCACCATCATTCTGTCCCACTGTGAAATCCCCTTTGGCCAAACCCGCCCTCACTTTGTACGTTAATCACCAGTCACGTGTCATGGCGTAACAGCGGCGATCATCCGGAGTTCACGTTAACGTCCCGGTGACATCGGCCCTCCATTCATTTGATTCTCCCACCACGATCACGGTCTCCATATTCATGTCGCTTTTTATAGATATACGGGGCTCTTCAAACAGCATCTAGACGATCCCCGCTCTCCACCCACATCTCTATGGCCCCCGATCTCGTTGGGCGGTAACCACTTCGACTCCGCATTAGACCACCCGAGGCCGGCCCCTCCACTCACCATGGATCTCGTCCAGAAGGAACATGACCGACTATTGAAGAGGCTCAGGGCCTCTCATGGTCTCAAGCATGTCGATTCCACGATCGATCTACTGCAGTCCGCTCGGGACACCATCGCTGCGGGTTCGTAAACCTATCCGGGTTATCCTTTGGTACTGCGGGGAAGAGCTAGCTGTACAGCTTCGCAATCCTCCACCAACGTATACCATGGCCAGAACCATCGCTGACATTCTGCTTGCTGTGTAGATCCGAACCAAGCCGCCGTTACCCTGGCCAAGCTCCAGAACCCTGTGAAATCGGCATTCGACTCGATCAACGATAGTCTGAAAGAAACCCACGGCGGTCTCAATAAGTACACCAAGTCTCTAGATAAGGTACCTTCACATCCTACCGACCACATTCCCTTCCCATCTTTGTATCCTCACTAACCTCCCCTCTTCTCACAGCTGTTCAAAGATCGACCCCTCCCGAGTACCGAGCACGATGCACTCTACAACCAAGAACACCTCATCAACCGTGCGATTGCGATGCACCTCCTCCGAGAAGGGCAGTTTTCGGTCGCGGCCACCTTTCTCTCCGAAATCGCAGACCAAAAGCCCACAACACAACAAGAATCCACTTCCCGCCCGAGCGAGAAACCCTCCAGTCTACTGGACATCGATGAGGTCCCCTCGACCGAGATCCGCAAGCAGTTCGCCTCGATGTACTACATTCTCCACGAGCTGAAGGAGAAGCGCAATCTTCTCCCTGCGATAGAGTGGTCTCGGGAACATCGCGAGGCCTTGGCCGCTCGAGGAAGCAATCTGGAATTCGAACTGTGCCGTCTCCAATACGTCTGGCTCTACCACAACAAGTCTCTCGAGCCAATGGATTCCCCCGGGAACTGGGAGGCCGCCATCGAGTATGCGAGACGGGAATTCCAATCCTTTGGGCCGAGATACTTGTCAGAAATCCAAAAGCTGTCAGGCGCCATGGCCTTTATTGCGAACCTCCGAGGTTCGCCTTATGCCGCCACCTTTAACAACCCAACTGCGTGGGAAGAAGTCTCCCAGTCATTTACCCGGGAATTCTGCTCCCTTTTGGGCCTATCGGCGGATTCGCCGCTTTACATCGCGGCAACAGCCGGCGTAATCGCGCTTCCTACCCTATTAAAGCTCCAGACCATTATGAAAGCTAAGCGTACCGAATGGACGTCGGAGAATGAGCTTCCGGTAGGCAATACTCCCCTATGGTTAAAGTGGAGAGCTTCCATTAACATAATTCCAGGTCGAAATTCCCCTTCCGCCCTCATATCTCTTCCATTCCATCTTCGTCTGCCCGGTCTCCAAAGAACAGGCGACAGATGAGAACCCTCCGATGATGATGCCATGCGGGCACGTCATTGCGGAGGAGTCACTCAAACGACTCAGCAAGGGTGGCCGATTCAAATGTCCCTACTGCCCTAATGAAAGTCATTTCAAGGACGCTCGAAAGATTTTCCTATGATGACATGCGACTCACCCTTCACCTCTCCACCTCTCTCTCGCATACTCTGGCCCTCTTTTTTTGTTTTTCCCAGCAGCAGAAATCTCGAGCTGGTACTCTTACGGCGCTAGGATACGGCGTTAACAGGATCTTCTTTAGTCTGATGGGTTGGGTCTTGAATCTATTGAGGATAAACTATTCGATTCTCTTTCATCATTTGCGTAGAGCCTAGGGTTGCATCAAATGAGCTGACCCCTAGTGGCATAAATCTTTCCTCCTCTTCTAACACTAGCCATATTCGTCCTTGGTGCATTGTACTTTGCTTGATTGAAGACTAAATCCCCGAAGCTACTAGACAATATACAGTACAATCAATTTTTTGAAAAAGTTAGATCACGCCACTAAATAAAATCGGGCACTGCGCCCGGGAAAAGATCAAAGGCCACGCTACTGCATACTACCTGGCGATCCCCCAATATCGATTGATCGAGGGTCATATTTCATACTCTTCTTTTCCAAACGAATGAAAGCTGTGTTATTGTTTTTTGCTCGGCCTTTCTTGCTCCTGAGAACAGTTGTATTGGAGGCAAACTTGTCCCGGCATGCCTGTAAAGAAACCATGGCATAATCGCTATATCGGATCTTCTGCCAAGCCCTCAAATTATAATTGCAAACCCCGAGTCCACTTCCACCGGGTTCCGGCATCCAATCCAAAAATCAGTCCGAGCTAGCTCCATCGAAGCTGTCAAGTGCAATTTCCCGTCTCCACCCTCGTGCTCAAACAAGTCCCTCATTGGTGGGAGTCCCGTGACCACGCGCCCATTTGGCGACGATGGACGCGTTTCAAACCGGTCATGACGCGTCGAGGGGTCCAGTCCTGCCTATTCAAGTTATATCGATTGGTCGATCGTCGGTATACCTGCGTCTGATACCAGGAACAGCTTGTAATATACTGCATAGCAGTAATATACCCATCCCGACCAACTGCTCCATCTTCCAATATTATAAATAGTCGCATTACCCCTGAGTCCCACGACTCAGGGTTTCTTCCACTTCCAATTCCACAAGGCAATCAATCCTCTCTCTTTCATCGTTTTCCTCTTTTGCTTTCCCCGTACAATTCGGTCAACCAGGCCTCTACCACATAGCAATCCATCATGCTTTCTAAAAGAACCCCCCAAACCCCGGATAACTTCTCCAGATACCGCGCAGCGAAAGCCTCGACGACACGGCCCCGTCGAGTGCGAGAGAGCTCCTCTTCCAGCAGCTCTCGCTCTCGTCATGCGCCCGTCCCTGAGCGGAGACAAAGAATGGTCACCCCTCCAGATTCAACGTACGTCCTCCCACCCATCACAAAAACCAACCTAGACTTGTATCGCAAAGAGCGCTGCCCTTTTCCTTTCTATCCTTTTTGAAAAGAAAAAGAAGAGCCTTGGAACGAAAGAATGAAAAGTAAACCCCTAGACAAAGCTAACAACTCCCAGCACACCCACAAAAAGACCAACATCACCCGTAATAATGCTCCGCGTAGGACCCGAGCAACGCCTCTTCGCCGCCCACGAATCCATCCTCATCGCATCACCCTTCTTCGCCGAATACTGCGAACCCCAAACTCCCAGCCCACTAGTCCGCGCCGCGCCGCAAATCCAGCACCCAGGAAAACGCATCGAACTCCCCGACGAATCACCAGAAGTCCTCTCCGCTATCCTGGAATTCCTTTACAAAGGCGACTACTACCCACGTCTGCGACACAATGCGCGGCGTCGGGCGTGGGAGCTGGAAGATGCGCGTGCGGATGGGGATGGGAATGGAAATCCTGGTGCGACGGTCTATCATCATCGGGGTGGGTTGATTTTGCGTGATACTGCTATCTAGTAAGTTTGCCTCGACACCGTGATCCCATCCATTTCATTCCGTACCATACACGTACCCAGCCTGGGCTATTGAACGAGGAATATAAAGTAATACAGTATACTATAATCCAATGCAATAAATTGCTAATGCACGTCTTCCCCTCCCACAGCTGCGCCGCAGAAAAATACAACCTACCCACACTGCAACGTCTCGCACTACGCAAACAGGGTCTGCAAACCGGCATCGATTGCAGTACTATCCTTGCCAGTGCACGATATGCGTATGCGAATACGCCGGAGACCGAGTCAAAGCTCCGAGCGCATTATCTTGCGCTGATTATTCGGTCTCGGGGCACGTTTAAGCGCAGTGGGACTATGCAGGTTGAGATGGAGCGTGGTGGGCGCTTGTTTTTTGATCTTTTTGTTGCTATGTGTAACCACATGGTGAGTTCGGGGGAAGTTTGCGATGGATGGGGTTCTGGTTCGTCGTGATTGGTCGTGCTGATTTTGGGTTTTTAGGATGATGATTTGGTTGAGGAGTTGTCGGGTTGTAGTGGTTCTTTGCGGCGGTAGGGACTGGTAAGATATTGAACGAGTTGTTGGGTTGGGGGTTCTTTTCTTTGCGCTGTTTATACCCTTGTACTAGTATTAGTGTTATTTCAATTGTTGTATATCTATCTCTATTATCGAGGGGTGGGGGGGGGGTCTTTTTGGGAATGTCTTCATTGTTATGGTTGTAGTTAGTTATTTTACTTCATGCTTTCTTATTTCTAGTAATCCTTCTTGTAATTGATGTTATGGTTGGGTGGTGGTTTGACTCGGTGGGCTATAATTACGTATGTTCCCACCGGGACAGTGAAGCCACCAGATGATTATCAAGAACTCCACTCCGCCGTAGTATTCAATGTGGACTTTATGTCGTCCACTCTTTCCCTTCGCTGTCTGCTGTAAGGGAGTAGGGGTATCGATTGTGGCGAAGGAAAGATAGATCTCAAGGTAAGAGATGTTGCTCCTGCGTGTGTATCTCCCTTCGAAGGGATGTCAAAGAGTATCAAGGACTCGTGAAATAAATTTGCGGCAATTTCATGATCGTCAAGAAAGGTAGCATAGTGCTCAAAAGCGTCGGTATGTCTTGTGATGCATGATGCCCTTTATACGCCGGTCCCTGGGAACGCAGAATTATTCTTGCTCAGGACGACGATTCCCCGCTCTCGGGCAATGTATCCTTTCATGAGGCCCTATATATAGTTAGTTGACGGTGATCGCTCGACCCGGGCGTGATACAAACCTTGTATATGAGATTGGCCAATAAACACTCCACCTCGTCCATGTCAACACGGGTTCGGCCCGTCGCATGGGTACCGATTCGTAGAGCAGCCGCAAACTCGGCGACTGGAACACGGGTTCGCCGGATCGGGGGCTGGCCATCCTTGGCTTCTTCGAATCCCCCCTGCGATGAAAACTTTGCGGAAGAGGTTACGCAGCGCGATATCGCGGCCTCGCTCGAGGGGCAGATAAATTCGTCTCTTCACAAATTCCTCCTCGCCGGCAGACATAGCTTTATCGAATCCGACCAGATCACCAGTCCGAATACAGTTTGATAGAGGTCGGAAAAGTTTCTCCAGCCGAGGGAACGGAGCTAGGAGTTGGTTGCTGGGAAGGGTGTGTGTTGTAACCAGATGGCAGGGAATGAGATATGTGAGGATCAATCTAAATATCAGTGAGCTGGAGTTCGATCAGGAACAATGGTGGGAAACTGACTCTCGATTCTTGTTAGCGTGCCGGTAGCATAGCCTCCAGGCATTAGTGAGATGTTCTTCGGCCTACCAAGCGTTTGGTGATTAGCCACGAATGTCAAACGCAAACAGGATGATTTCGCATACCTCGGCATAATTCTCGTCCAAGAAATGTATAACGCCAAGATAGTACTCGAATGTTACTATGTGCGACTTGGGAAATGCGTCCAGCGGGGGTAGATCATCTGATTGAGCCCTGATGGCCCGAATGAGGTTCTTGGTGAGGCCAACGGAATTGATCTAGATGTTGTCAGCAATGTCCCCGGCAGTTTGTGGAGGTGGCATGATCCTACCTTGAAGTATGTCTTGAAAAGTAAGTTGGTGGTGTTGTAGATCCCCCACTTCCGAGACTCTTCAATCGGAGCCCTAAACAAGTGTCAGCGATGGCTTTGCCCCTCCAAGATATTGAAAAACGCGTACCGGTCACTCAAACACAGAGTGAACATTCGATTAATGACCCGAGCAGCATCCTCCAAGGTCGCATTTTTCTCGAAATCGACCGCCATCTCGTCCTGGAAATCTAGGCCGGACGAGCCCTGGGAGGCGATTTGAAGATCGGCCTTGATCGCAAAGGTGCGCAGGTACTTACCCACGGTGTACAAGCAAGGCAGAGACCACGCAGGAAGGCCAGATTGAATGGAGTACCCCCGAATGACTGCATTCGCCACTTTCTTCCATGCAGTGAAGATAGCGACGGCACTAGCCCCGGGGTGTCCGGCTTCCCATTTCAATATCTCCCCCACGGCCTCCCAATACGCAGCGAAGATATCGACCCAGGCATGTTGTTCGGCTTTGGGGACTCGTGGGTTTTTTCCATGGAAGAAGGATGAGTTGAGATCTTTGGTCAAGTATGCGGGATTGGAGAAGTTGTAGAATGACAATAACCGATCGGGGTCATCCCGAGTCGCAATTGGAGTTAGCACTGCTGCGAGACCCGGGCCGGATCCGTTATTGTAGGCATTACGGAACTCAGTCGCGAGGGTTCCCATGATGATCCCGCTCTAGAAAGTATTTCAGGTTCAAGCAAGAGGTCGATTGCTGGAAATCGGGAAGTTATCCGAGCCAGAAGCGCGGTCAAAGGGCACCCCCGTTGGCGAGAACCCGCCCTTTTGGCAGTTGGAGATGTGGCACAGGCGGGGGAGACTGTGGCGGTGCTATTGGTAGTGGCTGGTGTTGGTCCTAATCCCGATTGGGGCTAGCGTCCAGCTGATTCGCTCCACTCGGTTAAGCGAGCCCTTCGGGGCTGGTAGCCCTAAGCAACTTCACACTCCCAGCCAGATTTCCCTCCACCGACGGCACACTAACGACTCATCAACCACAGCGACAATCACAGTAGGTTACACCTCTATACTGTCGTATTCCAGACCGTTGCTAACATACTTATTTCCAGATGGGTAAGTGACCTTTTTTGAATTTTCCGATCCTCTGCGCTCGACTCGAAGACGATATACGGTGTGTGCGAAACCGACGAGATACTATGCGGAGCGAATAAGTCATCGACAATTGCATCAAGACCGGGAAGAGATGGAAGGATTGGCACAGTCTGACTCGAATCAAATCGAATGTTGAAGGATGAATTCGCACAATGCTGCCGGTCACGATCATGTCGGATCTCCATGTCGAATTTTTTTTTTCTTAATCGCCAACCACAAAAACGAACACGAACACTCGACTCCTTCGCCCGCTGAGAATCTCGTTCAACCGGAATTGCACACCCGATCATCTCGACAAGAGCGCAGGCGCAAGAGGAATCCACCGACAAGATCGGACCTTCTTGCTTGCAGACCAATCCCCAACACCCGAATAATAACTGACGAATATCCCACACAGGGCGTCTTAACGAGTACCAGGTCATTGGGAGGCTCAACCCTTCGGAGCAGCAGCCCACTCCCAAATTGTATCGCAGTACGTGTTTCGCTACTATCGCCTTGTCTTCCGGACCGTTGCTAACATTGTTATTTCCAGTGCGGATTTTCGCCCCTAACACTGTGGTCGCCAAGTCCCGCTTCTGGTACTTCATGTCTCAGCTCCGCAAGATCAAGAAGTCCAACGGCGAGATCGTTTCCCTGAACATGGTATGTGGGGAGATACAGAGAGTCCATGGCCATCGGTTTTGAAACTGGTACTAATTTCGCTTCGACAGATCACCGAGAAGCGCCCTCTCAAGGTCAAGAACTTCGGTATCTGGATCCGCTACGACTCTCGTTCCGGTACCCACAACATGTACAAGGAGTACCGTGAGATGTCCCGCACTGATGCCGTCGAGGCTCTCTATCTCGATATGGCCGCTCGCCACAGAACTCGCTTCGGAAGCCTTCACGTGAGTTTTTTTTTTAAGTCTATGGCATCGCAGTGGCACCAGTTTAACCTTATTTCTCTACAGATCCTGAAGGTTGTTGAGATCACCGACAACGAGACCATCCGTCGCCCCTACATCAAGCAGCTCATCCAGAAGGACCTCAAGTTCCCTCTGCCCCACCGCTCCGCCAACCCCGGCAAGAAGATCTTTGCCTACTCTCGCCCCTCCACCTTTGCTTAAATGTGTGGTCGTTTTCGGGATTTCGGAGATGGAGTATGTGTGGATGAATAACTGCGTTATGGCCATGGAGTGCATGAAAGACCGGCCGCGCGGAATGGCCTATGTGTCCCAGTCTATGGGAGGCAGTTTAGATATCTCTAATCCCGTGTAGTGATGTCTGGGGTTTAAATTTCAAAAATATCGGGTTCATTGTTCTGCCTTATCCTTGCATGCAATTCCTCGTAGACTTTCTCTCCCGCTCTCTCGTTTTGTAGGGAATCTACGATGGCGTTTTTAGGAGGCTCTGGCTGTGATTGCATTCCAAGGTTGAAACACTACATAGTATGGGCATCCATTAAACTGCCGCTTTTTTTGTACGGTGGGGTCCGAGTATCTGTTCAAGTTACACATACACTCTAGAATCAACATGAAATTTTAGTATTGGTCTTCAATTAACCATTTAACTCTAGAACCCTACTGGTCAGTAGTTTAAGTAAAGAAATGTTGGCGACCCCTGTCTATGAAGTACCTTGTGAATCTGGACTGCTTACGCATCTGTATTCATTGTAATCTTTGGGGCTTGCCAGTTCGATTTAACCATTCCTCTTTCAAGCGACGGTGGTTTTCTCTTGATCTAGTACATTGGGGCTTTAAACTGCACTATTCTGCAGAAAAGACCTGAAATGAACATAGTTCATATATCCACCCGCAATGGCCCGAGAAATGATGTGCTGCAGCCAGGCACCGCTTATTGCGTCATGGGGAAATAGGGTCGGCAACCGACCGTGTCCGCTTTCACAATCCGATTTCTTCCCCGGTTAACTCAACCTCTCTCCTTCCATCTCTCCTCCCCATTGTTTCACCTAAGTTGTCGCAACAATGTTCGCTCGTCAGACCCTCCGTTGTGCCCAGCCTCTGAAGCAGGTCCGTGAAGAACCCACCCCCCCAATCCCTCCCTGCGAAAAAGCATTGCTGACCTCTCCCTCCAGAGCTTCCGCAAGTACTCTGCGGAGGCCCCCAAGGCTGCTGAGTCTGCCCCCAAGCCTCCTCCCAGCCCTCCCAAGAAGGCCAACCTCGCCCCCGTCTACGTTGCTGTCGGCCTCGCTGGTGCGGGCGCTGGTTTCTGGCGCTACAGCACTGGCGCCGCTGCCGAGCCCATCAACCGCCCTAAAGTTTTCAACGGCGAGGACTGGATTGACCTGAAGGTCGCCGGTATCGAGACTCTGAGCCACAACACCAAGAAGATTCGTTTTGAGTTCGATGACAAGGAGGCCGTCGGTGGTCTTCCCGTTGCCTGTCAGTCGCCCACCCCACGCCCCAATTCAGACTTATAACTAACATCATCAACAGCCGCCCTGTTGACCCGATTCAAGCCCGAGGGCAAGGAGAAGAACGTCGTCCGTCCCTACACACCTACCAGTGATGAGAGTAAGCACAACTCCCCCGCCTCGCATGATATGGCGTCCTCGCTAACAAATCTCCAGGCCAACCCGGCTTCCTCGAGCTCGTTGTTAAGTCCTACCCCGGCGGCCCCATGTCCCAGCACATCCACTCCCTGAACGTCGACCAGACCCTAGCCTTCAAGGGCCCGATCGTCAAGTACCCCTGGGAGGCCAACAAGCACGACCACGTCTGCCTGGTTGCCGGCGGCACTGGTATCACCCCCATGTACCAGCTGGCCCGCCAGATCTTCAAGAACCCCGAGGACAAGACCAAGGTCACCCTCGTGTTCGGAAATGTCTCTGAGGAGGACATTCTGCTGAAGAAGGAACTCAACGAGCTGGAGAACACCTACCCTCAGCGCTTCCGCGCCTTCTACGTCCTTGACAACCCTCCCAAGGAGTGGGCTGGCGGCAAGGGCTTCATCACCAAGGAGCTTCTGAAGACTGTCCTGCCTGAGCCTAAGGAGGAGAACATCAAGGTCTTCGTCTGCGGTCCTCCTGGTCTGTACAAGGCCATCAGTGGTGGTAAGGTCAGCCCCCAGGACCAGGGTGAGCTGTCCGGTGTCCTGAAGGACCTGGGCTACAACAAGGACCAAGTTTTCAAGTTCTAGATGGTTGTAAATTATAGAGCTGGCAGGGAGACGTGTGCGATAGCGATGTATAGAGCATTTGCTGTTGCGTATGTTCTCCGAGGATATCCAAGATAGCGTTGCTCCATAGGACATTTAGCAATATCCATTTCAAGTACTACTAGTACCTCGTAAATTTGAGGATGTTGCAGTTCCAGGCATACTACTGGTAGGTATACGGTAGTTTATTGAAATAGAGGACATTGAACCTAAACTTGAACCTCAGGAAGGTCGTGGTTCCAAATAGGGTGCCCAGGTGTTCCAGGCTTAACTTGAATTTCGTTAAGGATGGGCCCGCCCGGAAGCTTCAGCTGACACCGGAAATATATAGCTGCCCACATCCACCGTGGGCCGAGTTTAAGTTCTTGGAAGAAATACTTCACAAGCAATTAAAAAATATTTTTAATTACTATATGTAAATAAATAACAGTAGTTGCAAGTAATTTAGAGGATTTTATCCAAGTAGAGCATACTAGTAGTGTTTAAGGTAACCAACCATCTCCTCATCTTTTCACTTACTCGCGAGTGGTTATGTCACAGAGTTAAACGGATGGAGGGGCAGAGAGATGGAGGAGAAGGGGGCACCCGGGCAGGGCAAAGCCTGGGTGCCCCGGGTACGAAGGACGGCACGGGTCACAGTCGACCCCGTTAAATTGTTAAGCCCTGGAGGGCAGGCCTAAGCCTAAAGCAGCGCTGGGCCGCATGCCGTGCCCCCCCCCAGTTGTGGCCTGCTCTCTGCCCGAGCTTTATTTAGCCCTCGCTGCACCCCCCGCTCCTGCCTCCCCTTTACCCCCTCCCGCCGCTTTCCCCCCTAACAAATCTCTTCCCCCCCTCACTGCCTTAACCATCAACCTCCCCCCCCATCATCTCCATACACCATCCATCATGCCTTCTGATGAGACTGTTGCTGTCAACGTTGACGAGCTCCGCAACACTAAGGATGCGGTAAGTTAAATCCGGTTCCCCTCCTGTCTCATTTCAATTTTTTTACTCCCCGGCCCTCTCAACTTTTTGTTTGGCTGTTGTCCTTCCTGTCCCTTCCCGCGCACTTCGACGCGTCGCATCTCAACAGAGCTGTCGCACGCCCATATGAATGTGTCGCCTTGTCCCTCACTGCCTCAAAAGTCCTCTTCCATGTCTTCCAGATGTTATGGAAAGCTTCGTTCAAGCTCTTTTGCCTTGACGTGGTGGGCGCGTGCCACAACACTGGCGCGACACCCCACGCGTGCTTTTTTTTTTGCCCTTCCATAGCGCCTCCTCATCGTTCGAGGATCTTTTTTTTTTTTTCTTAGCGCCTTGTTTCTTATCATGATTCGTCCTTTTCTCTGAAATTTCATGCCATTCAAAAAAGACCGGAACTATATGCGAATGCTTGCATATCTCATTCACTTGACGGGCGCAATTGAAACTAACCGCGTTACAGGTCCTTCTTCGGTTGATGGGACTTCAAACTTACATCGCCGACCTCAGCAAAGCATACATTGAGCACACTAACAGCGTTATTAACGGCGAATCTGCCGCTATCAACTTGCCCGCTGTCCCGACTCACTTGACTGGTCAACTTGATGGTGGCCTTCACGCCCAGAGCCCTGGCGTCAAGTCCGAGGCACCCAAGAAGCGCAAGCGCGCACCCGTCGACCCCAATGCACCAAAACGTGCCCTGACCCCGTACTTCCTGTACATGCAGCACAACCGCGGCAAGATCGCCAATGACCTTGGAGACAATGCCCGTCCCAAGGAGGTTGCGGATGAAGGCACCCACCGCTGGCAGAACATGCCCGATGAGGAGAAGGAGGTATGTTTACTATTCTGCATTGTTTTCTATACTCTTTGGTGGTCTTGATGCTCATAAGTAATTACAGGTCTATAAGCAAATGTATTCTGAGAACTATGAGACCTACAAGAAGAACATGGCCGCCTACAAGGCCACCAAGGCTGCTGACAACGACCCTGCTGCCAACCAGCTCCAGCAAGACTTTGCTGGCGCTGAAAACTCCCGCGAGACTGATGATTCCTCTTCGGATGAATCCGAGGAGGAATCATCGCCCTCTCCCCTCAACCTCCCAAGGCCAAGACCCCTCCCAAGACCAGCAAGCGCCGCAAGAGTGAGGGCAAGAAGGAAGTTGTCGAGTCTCCTGTTGTAAAGCAAACCTCGCCAGTCAAGAAGCGAGGAAAGGCTGCTGCCGCCGCCGAGCCAGCATCGGTCAAGGCCACCCCTGCCACCAACAGCCGCAAGGGCAAGAAGCGCAAGAGTGAGGCTTAAGCGATAGTTGGTTTTGGTTGTCCTTTTTTCCTCTACTTTATCTGTTTCCTTTTCTTTCTTCTCGTCTCTACAATTTCCTAGGGATCTCGAGGGTGAACTTTTGGCCAAGGCGTTCATCACAGTGTTGTGTTCTATTTGATTTTTAAAAGTGTGTACCACGGAGATGTATAACTATCTATCATGAATGATTGAACTTGGCTTAGTTCGGGTGTCTTCCTATAGGGCCGGTGGGGGCCCTCCACTTATTTCCACCCAAATCTACCCGAGTAAAATTGCCAGAAACAAAAAACGAAAAGCACCACCACGAACCATCATGCTAAGCACTCCTAGTCAAATAACTAGTGGAGACCATTGGCTCCAGCTTGGAGAAAGTAATTAGAAAAACCGTGACTAACACGGCCGAGCACGAGGCCCAATCGGCCAGCACGGCAGCTTATCTCTGGGACTCTCCCACTATCTCCCGCTCCGCCTGTCACGGCATTGCGATGGGAATAAAATATACCGACCTTCCCCCCCCCCACATTCTTAATTCTCCCTTCCCAAACCTTCGTCCTTCAACTTTCGATCCTCCTCCTCTGGCGGACCCGAGACTTCAATCTTTATAATATTTCCCCCAGCTCCATCGATCTCTCTTTTTCAGTCCCTGTGCCAAGCTTTCAAAGTAGCCAGGTTCGGGTTCCACCCGCGTCATGCAGCTCGTTCCTAAGGAGGTAGGTCTTGTTACAGCCAAGCCTGGGGTTTCCCAATGACAGTCGTTGACTCCTCCCCAGCTTGACAAGCTCACCATCGCCCACCTTGGGTTCCTGGCACAGCGTCGCCTGGCCCGGGGTGTGCGTCTCAATCACGCCGAGTCCGTGGTATGTTTCTCAGTTTCCTCTTCCCCGCCTCTGCCCGGGGTAAAAAAAAGTTGAAACGAACAAGTATCGAGGAGGCTAACTAATGCGTTTGTTCCAAAGGCCTTGATCTCTAGCGTTCTGCACGAAGTACGATCCACTTTTCTCCCTATATACCTAATTGATCCACGACTCTGACATCTATTTCTTTCGTTAATAGCTCATTCGCGATGGCCACTACTCCGTCGCCGATCTCATGTCCATCGGTAAGACCATGCTAGGTCGTCGCCATGTCCTTCCCTCCGTCCTCGCGACTCTCGTCGAATTGCAGGTCGAGGGTACTTTCCCTTCCGGTACATACCTCGTCACCGTCCACCACCCCATTAGTAGTGATGATGGAGATCTGGAGCGCGCGCTGTATGGCAGTTTCGTGCCTGTGCCTCACCGCGACGCTTTCCCGGAACCCGACCCCGACGATTTCTTGCCTGAGAAAATGCCCGGAGCGGTCATTCCGTCAAAGCATGCCCGGGTCGAATTGAATGACGGAAGAAAGCGCATTCGCCTCAAGGTCATGAGCAAGGGCGACCGGCCCATTCAGGTACGTGTGGAAGAGCAATCACCAATATCACCGCAATCGGGCGGAAACGGAGAGGCAAAGCTGACGCCGAAATGACACAGGTGGGATCACACTACCATTTCATCGAGACCAACCCACAATTGCACTTCGATCGTATTCAATCCTACGGGTTCCGCCTGGATATTCCCGCCGGCACTTCTATTCGTTTCGAACCTGGCGACACAAAGACCGTGAATCTGGTGGAGATTGGCGGTAACAAGGTCATTCGTGGAGGTAACTGGCTGGCAAATGGGCCATTGGATCTGAGTCGGGCTGATGAAATCGTTACAAAATTACAAACTGCCGGATTTGCGCATGTTCCGGAGCCGACGGTAGATGCTGCTCTGATCACCGGGTTCTCCATGGAGCGTGGGGCCTACTCTCGCATGTTTGGGCCGACGACCGGTGACCTGGTGCGCTTGGGCTTGACTAACTTGTGGGTCGAGGTGGAGAAGGATATGACGAACTACGGCGACGAATGTACCTTCGGCGGAGGCAAGACCATTCGTGATGGCATGGGCCAGGCCTCTGGGAGATCCTCGGCTGAGTGCGCTGACACCGTTATTACGAATGCGTTGATTATCGACTATACTGGTATCTACAAGGCCGACATTGGTATCAAGGATGGATTTATTTGTGGCATTGGCAAAGCCGGTAACCCCGATGTGATGGATGGTGTTCATCCCGATCTGGTGGTGGGTGCTACGACGGATGTGATCGCTGGTGAGAACAAGATCGTTACCGCGGGTGGATTCGATACGCACATTCACTTGATTTGCCCGCAACAGGTGGACGAGGCCCTGGCATCGGGTATCACTACCTTCCTTGGTGGTGGCACTGGCCCGAGTACTGGATCGAACGCCACTACTTGCACCCCTGGACCGAACCACTTGCGTCAAATGATGCAGGCCTGCGACAGCTTGCCAATTAACCTCGGAATCACTGGCAAGGGCAACGATTGTGGTAGAATTAGCATTGAGGAACAGATCAAGGCTGGCGCTGCTGGTCTGAAGCTGCACGAGGATTGGGGTTCCACGCCCGCCGCTATTGATAACTGCCTGACAGTCTGCGAAGAATACGATGTGCAAGCCATGATTCACACAGATACCCTGAACGAGTCTGGATTCGTCGAGCAAACAATCGAGGCTTTCAAGGGCCGTACTATCCACACATACCACACCGAAGGTGCCGGCGGTGGCCACGCGCCAGATATCATCTCGGTGGTGGAGCACCCCAATGTCCTGCCCAGCAGTACAAACCCGACCCGACCCTTCACTCTCAACACTCTCGATGAGCATCTTGACATGCTAATGGTCTGCCACCATTTGTCCAAGAACATCCCCGAAGACGTCGCCTTTGCCGAGAGCCGTATCCGCGCCGAGACCATCGCCGCTGAGGACGTGCTGCACGATCTGGGTGCCATCAGTATGATGTCTTCGGACTCACAAGCTATGGGCCGTTGCGGAGAGGTCATTCTCCGCACCTGGCACACTGCCCACAAGAATAAGACCCAGCGTGGCCCTCTGCCCGAAGATGAGGGCAAGAACAATGATAACTTCCGCGTCAAGCGTTATATCAGCAAGTATACCATCAACCCGTCCCTGGCCCAGGGCATGGCCCACATGATTGGAAGTGTGGAAGTGGGCAAGATTGCAGACCTGGTCCTTTGGAACCCTGCCACTTTCGGCACGAAGCCAGTGCAAGTTTTGAAGAGTGGCATGATTGCCGTTGCAGAGATGGTGCGTGTTTCCCCCTTAACTTTTCCTACGAATCTATATTAAATTTTCATTATAGGGCGATCCTAACGGATCAATCCCGACCATCGAGCCGATGATCGTTCGTCCGATGTTCGGCGCTCGCGTCCCAAGTACATCCATCATGTTCGTTTCCCAAGCGTCCATTGACGAGGGCATCGTGCAGACGTACGGTCTTCGCAAACGCATCGAAGCAGTGAAGAACTGCCGTACTGTCGGAAAGAAGGATATGAAATTCAACGACACAATGCCCAAGATGAAAGTTGATCCGGAGAGTTATGTAAGTGACCTTCCCCCCCCCCCAACCCTGTTCCTGAATCGTGCTGACCCTGCTTGTCCTAGACTGTCGAAGCAGACGGCATGCTGTGCGACGCCGAGCCTGCATCTGAATTACCCTTGACGCAGGCGTACTATATTTTCTAAACATCGGAGCTGTGCATCTGCGAAACGTGGCACTAGTGTTGCTGTGTCACTGTTTCACTTTACCTCTTGGGGGCCTTGAAGGGACGATTTCTCGTCAATGCCTGACTGATTGATACCTTGCTCTTGCCCTTGCCCTTGTCCTTGCCCATCTTTCATCTCTCCCACGCCTTGACGCATTTTCTTGTTCGTATTACTCTTTCTTTGTTTTTCGGTTCATGTTTTTCCCATTTTTGCATTGCCCGGTTTCTATATACCTCATCTCGAATTGCGATTTCCGGGCGTTTTCGTGTCAGCGAAAGAGCGCTTATTTTTCATTTCATTTCATTTCATTTCATTTCATTTCGTTTTCATTTCGTTTCTGTTCTGTAGACAGCTACGAAAGTGACGATTTCTTTCAAAGAGTCTTTCAACTATCTATCTATATGATCACTATTCACTCCATTGCATTCCATCATATCCCAGCTTAATCCCAGCAACCGACATCTCTTACTCGGTTCAAGTTCAAGTTCAAGTTCAAGTTAATAATTTCCAAATCCCGCCTAATCCCATGGCCGAGGAGAGAGGAGACGTTACTTTCGGCCAACAAAGACCCACCACGCCACGTCTCGGACCTCGCCGCATCGACGGCCCCTAACTAATTCTTTCAGGAGTTGGCCGAGCCACGACCCCGCGCTAAATAGTACCTGGGCGGACGGCGCCTTCATACGAGTATTAGTTATCGGGTCGGACCGTGGATCAAGCCACGATTACATCTCGAGGCTTTGGAGGGGTCATGGCGGATTATTGGCGGATTATTCAATCTACGTGAGTAGGTAGAGTCAAGACGCTGGATTTCTAGTGGGAAACTCGGGCTGGTTGGCTGGCTGGCTGGCTTGGACTTGAAGGTTGGTGATAATGCAGTGTAATTATGATAGAGAAATTATCTTCAAAATTCCAAAGGAGCAAGATAGAATTCAAGCAATAGTCCAACTGGAAAAAGAGAGAAAAAAAAAACCAAGTGAATCAAACTCTAGGTTGTGGTCTAGTCACCGAAATGGTTATTTTTGTTTTAGTAGGGATCATGTTTTACCAAATGTGTTACGACGAAACAAGCCATACCCCATGGTATCCTTCCTCTGGGATAAAGAAAAGAGATGGCGCATCTCGCTCAGTGGTCACGGTTACAGCTCCATCTCCTCTTCAGTATGGTTATCACCAGCTGAGACCATCGCCATATCTGCCCATGATTCGTAGGTATCTCGCATTGCAGCAAGGAATGCATCAACACGGCCGCGAGTGCGAGCTTTCATTCGATCACGAACGACTTGTGCTCTTTGTTCCCGTGCCTCATTTGGATCTTCGGAGCTAGGCTCTTCGTTCTCTGCGGAAGGGGCAAGTAATGATTCGGATATTGAGATTGATAGGGTGTCAGTTTGCTGGCTATCTGGGATTGGCGTTGGATGGATGTTGTGTTGCGGTGGAGATTCCTCCCCGTCCTCGTCAAGGTTTGATGGTTGAAGAGATTCCGTGTTTGTATTGAATGGCGCAGGAGTTATGAGCTGAAGAGACTTTTGGGTATTTCCTTCATCATTGGTGATGCCCTCTTCCTCTGATGTCCAGGAGGATGGAACATGCCCAAGTTGGAGTTTTTCGAGATCACAGTGCTCCTGTAGATAGCGATGTGCTTTCCTTACTTCGACACGCTTCGCCTTGACCTGATCAGTGCCGTCGAGCTGATTCCTTGGAAGTGTACTCTGCTCTTGAAGAGAAGATGCGAGCTGCGGAAGCGATAATTGTGAGCTGATATGTTCTTCTTCTTGCTGTTTTTGCGACGAGGCTGCTGGGTCACACTGATCGTGTGTAGTCTGTGCAGTACTTTGCATTTTCAAATATTCATCTGTGGTAGGGTCTGCCGTATTGGACTGTATTTCGTAGTCCACGCTGCTGGATCGAGTGGATTGAGTGGCGATATCATTTTCATACCGAGGGCGCTTCCTCGGGCGAGAATCATTATTATCTGCGTCCTCGAGAATTTTACGCATATGCGTATCGTGAGAAAAGTCGTTTCCCGAGCAAAGGTGGCCGAAGAGTCGTTCTATAGACACATTATCGCTCCATGAAGATTTTTCGACTGTGCATGGATGGATATCCTTTGGTCTAAAAGCAGCGACGAGCTCGCATAGTTCCGAGTATGATGAATGACGCGAGTAAGGAAAGCGCTAGACTTATGTTAGATAAGTCGTGCACCATAGTAGACAATGGAGACTCACGATTGAACTCGGTAGATTGATCTCAGTACTTTGTGATCCTAGAGATTCCTCACCGGACAGACTTTGGCCGAGTTTCGTCACCAGTCGCTCAAGAGGAATTTCATCCTCCTCCTTGACGCCATAGAGATCTAGCGACAGCACCTTATTTCTCGACTCGAACGCTTTCGATATAGCTTTCTGCATCTGTGATAGGACGTCCTTATCTTGGATGTGTTGAAGGCATAGTTGCTCCAACGCCGCAAGAGCAGTCTTGTCCGGTAGCTCAAGCTCATGAACCTGGTATAGATCACCGAGACCCCCACCAGCACCGACCTCTGGGATTTCACCTCCGTCGCTGGTACGATTCACGATAGGCGTGATGTAAACGGTCTTTGACCCACGAGCTACGGGACATGATACCCCGGGCTCGCAGCTATGAACTCGACCGGATTGATCACCGCTCAAGCAGCCTGCAATAAACTTATTGCCAAGCTCGTATCCGCAAAGTGCTGGTGCTTCAGAGGTGGCTTTACTACCAGATAGCCGAGAGAGAGATTGATAGAGACCCATCTGGTAGCGATCCACATGGACCTTGGCTGAGGCTTAGAGGGGTTTCCTTGAGGTCCAATTGTAGTTGGGAGACGGCATACCTGTGTATTGAGAGCTGCTGAAAGAGCGATCCATACTTCCTCATAACCAAAGGTCCATGATCTGAAGTAGAATACAGTGTCATCAGAATATGCATCCACTTTCTGAAGAAGCTCGGCGAGCCCTTGGGCCTTGGATGGGAATGTTCGAAAAGGATTTGAATTGCCAGCAAAGGTGGTATCAAGGTACAGCTTGTCTAGTCGCTTCTGTCCTAAAGTGTATGGTATCAGAATGGGATGTCGCACTAGGCTGTCGATCCACCATCGCTCCGCTGTCTGATGTTAGTCCAATAATGTATTCGATGTATGAGAGGGTCTGGGGCTGACCTCGGATGTCGCCAGTATAGATGATCGCTTTGCCGTCCCCCTCAATTAGAAACATCACAGCCCCGGGGCAGTGGTTGGCATCGAATAAAGTAACCCGGATTCGCCGCCGGGGTGTGAGTTCAATATCAGTGGGGGTGTGCAACGGAATGGGACGCTGTCTGTTCGTCAGTCGTGAACGTTGAAGCCGAGGTGTTGTCTACCCGGAAAGATTGTATGAGGGCAAAGAAGATATTCATTCGAGTAGCTTTAGTCATGGAGACCGTTGATACTGGTGTTCGGATTCCATATGGTAGGAAATGCCGGCGAATACTTTGATTTGCGTACACAACATGAGGTTCCAAACTGACCAATAGTTTACTGAGATGTTTGTAGTGTAACCGACGCGATTCTAAAATTCCCTTCTGAAAGTTCATTCGATGGGGAAATTTCTCAAGGCGTAACAGTAGCTGTGCAGTGCCGGGTTAGTCGGAGATGTTACATGTTTAGCAGCCAACTAGGCAAGGGTCTTGGAAGGATGGATCCACATCCCTGTCGGCTCCTGATTGCTATTTTGAGATCCCACGCGGCACATCGCTGGGTTTGCGATGATGCAGGACTGCAGATCGACATAATTGGAGAGAGGGGTAGTGGGTACATATCTATCCTTCTAGACCCTTTGGATGATCCAACTCAACAACACGACTCACCTCGCGGGTGGCGGAGGAGCAATAAATGAATGGAGCCCGAAAGGACTCTAGGCCCTGCAGATGGTCACTATGCACATGGCTCAGAAAGCAGGCCAGCGGTGCCGGTCGCGCAGGGCTCTTTCGAAAGTAATCGACTGCAGATAATCATGATCAGCTGGCAAATCGTAGATCGTCAAGATGACCTTTGAAATTGGTGGTGGTGGTGGCAAGGCTGACTTGTAATATCAGGGAATTCTGTAAACAATGAGAAAACCGACTTGAAGAGAAGAGCAAGGGTAAAATAGCCAACCTGGCAGGACACCATCAAAGGTCGACATGGGTGATGTGGATGTGGATATGGATGTACTTTAGTACAAGTAGATGGGGGGGGGGTGAGTTGGAAAGGTGAAGGAGAATCCACTCAGTCGGTCCAGCTGGCCGTGCAGCGCCAGCGCACGGGGAAGGCAGGAATGCGGTGGCACCTTCGCACCTTCCCTTTTTCCCTCCTTTGTTGGACTCGTCACTTTTTACTTTCTCACCTGACTTTATCTTACTTTGATATCTTCTTCCTTATTCACGTTCCCTTTCCCTCTCCAATTCCACCTCCATGGCAAATGTTTGGTGGATTCTTTCCCCCTCGACTCTAGACCATCAGCCCCACAGTTAAACGCCCTTCCAGATCGCATCCGACCTCTTCACCCCCCCTTCCCCAAAACAAGAGGCGGGTGGACGGCGGCTCGCCTCGTTTCAGACAAGCGGCTGAGACTCGCTGTTAGGACACGCCAGCACGATATCTTCCCTCGTTCCCATTTCTCCCCTCTTCTTCAATTCCTCTTCTCTTTAGCTCCCCCGTCCCTGGGCTCTTCCTTCTCACCCGTCATGCGGAAACCATCACTCGCCCAGGCCGTGTATAGTGCGACCTTCCCGCGCCCGCGCGCCAGCGACCCCGGCTCCTTTGCAGCGCATATCACTCGCAATCTCGTTCCAGAAGTGCGCATTGAAACAAATACGTTCTACGGTCCCTTGGATTGCATTGAGGCCCAATATCCCGGTTTGGATTACTCCTATGGCCCGCATCGCATGAGACTGGGTCGGTTTACTTGGCATCGCCGACTCTTTCACGTCTTTGATAAGCTACGACTAACAGAGGCCGAGATATCGGAGCTCTGTTGCTGGGAAGGAACCAAATCTGCTCGTCGGCGATATGAGGCCGAGGAAGGAATTACTGTCCGAGACACTACAGCCAGTGGGGTACGCCCTGCGACACCGGCCCGAGAACCTTCGGTTGAGATTCACCACTACGATTGTTGCGGGACAGAAGAAGAGTTCGAGCTGGATCTCGATCTCGACCAGATCATAGAGACTCGTAGCGATGACACCGTGCGCGCGAGCGAGTCTCGTAGCAGCTCGAGTGTGGCCTCGGAGTATCGACACGAGTTTGAGGAAGACTACAGTGATGATGAGATGGAGAGTTGCGGCGTAGCCCTGAACCAACGCTTGCTGGACGCCATGGCCGCGCGCGATCAAGGAGCTGATGTGCCCCTTGACGAGGATTGGGAGCAATGGCTGAAGGAGGCTGGTGAGCGTGGAGGGTACGGCGACATGGTGCATGCGATACGCACCAATCAACCCCTGGGCTTCCTTCCCGAAGCACCGACATCAATACGACACAGCAATCCTCGTATTACTACACCGCGGGCGGCCACATTATCTGCAGAGCAGTATCTCTTTCCAAATCCGGCTGATTACATCGTCTTCCCCCAAACGTCAAATCGCCGCACACACAGCACGGCGCGTTGAAGTAGTCTTTTTGCTGCAAAACACACACCTTGCCCCAACCCCCTCCCCAAAACATCGCCACCAACGTATTTTTACGAGATATCATGGCTGCATTCTCCGGCGCATTCTCGCATTTTCCTTCGCATCCTCATTTCCCGGCGGACTAGCCCTTTGCAGCCCATTTCCGGGTTTTCTTTTATAGCTACTGATGTGTTCCGCTTTGGTATCAAAGCTGCGCATAGATATTCTCAAGTTGCAGTTGTCGCAAAGCGATAGCATGCTCCGTGCTCTAATACCCTCGATCTTTGCACCATTTATTTTCGTTTATCCAACCCATTAGGTCCCGAGGTTACTACTACCATTCGCTATTGAATTCAACGCAACTATCAGATGATGATGTATGTCAGCAGTAGATTTCTACTATATCTTCAGACATAGCTTGAAGCAGGTCAAATCAACTCCGATATTCTAAGATATATTCACATACAAAATATAAGAGTTTGGATTTGTAGATGTCCGTCCTCTGTCCAACTTGAACCATTCCAAGGTTAAGCCGCACTGGCAGCTATCGTGGGTCCACCGATAAGCCTCTCATCTCTTTCTCCACCTCCACCTCCGAGTCCCCTCATCGCCAACTTTCCCCGACTCCCAGGCGCAATGTGGACTACTGCCTGGCCGAGTTGAATTGCAAGTCGGATTGAAAACTGAGTAACCTCTTACTTCCACACTACCCTGCTCCATGCTGCAGACCCCATCCCTAGCTCCGATCGTCGCACCGGCTTCACGATGATCAAGGCAATCTTCTACAGCAAATTCGACACACAGGAGGGTAAGGCCGAACCAACTCAACCCCTTTGTCGCATTATCCGAATACTAACACAAATCTCATCTAGGCCCGAAAGTCGTCCACCAAGTCCCGGACGGAGCGATTGTTCCATCCTCGGCCGCACCCACACAACCCCTCTTCCTGCCCTTTTCCGACGTCTCATTCTTCGTGATTCCTCGCCAGGAGCTCTGCGGCAATCTGCTGCAGGTCTGTACTAATGGCTATCGCGTCTTGGGTTATCCGATCTGCATGAAGTCCGCCCGTTATGACCGCAATGAGTTCATCTTCAACTTTTGCATAGTGCTCGCCGAAGAGGATGATTTCAGCACATATCGGAGCGTGGTGCAGAAGCTTGCTGATCTGATGCATGCTCTGGAAGAGCAGAATGGCTTCTTATCTCGAGACTTTTCAAAAAGCGGGGAGGGCAAGGTGCACAGTCTGTGTGAGATGTTGATGGAAGACCTCAATAACTACTGCGAATGCATGATCCCTATCGGTAGGTCGGCCACTTTTTTTTCCATTCTCACCAGCTTGGACTAATCGCCAGCAGACGATCTTAATACGCTGAACATTAAATTGTTCCCCATATACCCATCTCCTCCGAGTGTCAAGGCGTGGCATGTGCCTCTGTTTACAGTTCGATACCAGGCCTTCATGGACGAGAATTGGGACTTGACTCTGCAACGGGTATGTAGAAACTACTGTGGGAGAGGTAATACCCTCAACTAACCCCTTGTACAGATTGTACCACATATAAATGGCGTCCACAGTGTCCGCATCATCTCCATTCTCGCTGATACAGACTTCTCTCTCACATGTCGTGCCATCCGACATCTTCTATACTATGGATGTTTGTTCATCCTCGACATCTTCTCTTTCTCAGCCATCTATGCCCCCACAGCGCAATTCAGCTCAACCATACCTTCAGACGAATCGATGCAACTGGAATGTGCACGCTATGTAAACACACGCTTTGCACCACATCCTCCCATTGGGCCCCGAACACCACTCCCACCAGCACCAGCAGCCACAAGCAGCGGGAGCGGCGGAGGAGTCGGCGCATTAGCCAGCTCGCTCACCGACCCAGCAGCCAGCATATCCCGCGACGAGTCAGGCTTCGACGCAGAAGAGATCTGGCCACTACTAGGCGAGACAGAAGACGGAGGGACCAACGGCACCGGCAAAGCAATTCCGAGCTCAAATTCACCCGAAGATGAGGTAGTCCCAGCTACCCCAGGGCAAGGGCACCGAGTCGTTGATGGCGTGGGAATCGTCGAGCTGTACGCAAGTCTAAAGCAAGGCCAGAGCGTAAAACAGTGGTATTCAACCCACAGCCGCGAACTGGCCAACATCGATATTCGCCGCTTCATCACATTCGGCGTCATCAAGGGCTTTCTATATCGTGTTCATAAATATGCTTGTGCAACTGGTCAACCCGCGCCGTCGACTCGTTCTTCTAATATCTTACCACCGGCGCATACTTCGACCGGTCCGTCTTCACGAGCCACTACCGGCACTAATACCCCCCTATGCTGCATCTAGTGCTGGTGACGAGACGCCTATTTCGGCGGCGGCCCGTCGAGAAGCGAGTCGTGAGCGGTCGGGGTCTTTTCATAGTGGGAGTCGGAGTGGGCAGGGGGTTGGGGCGTTTGAGGAGGAAGATGATGAAATTGATGATCGGACGATATCGAAATATTTGGATGGTACGCACTCGTTTGATCAGATTTGTACGGAGTTGGAGATTAGTGAGCGGGATTTGACGGTTCGATTGAAGAGGTATCCTGGGGAGGTTTTGATACTTCATCGGTGATGTGGTACTTTGCTTGGACGGTGCTTTCCAGATACAGTAGTTGTCTGAGTGGTTTTTATAACCGATTGATACCCTTAAGTTTGTGAATCTGAGCTTTTATAAACCAGTCATGGCCGACCAGAGCATGAGGATGGCAAGAGGGAAAGGAATACTCAACCCTGTTCGGTAATTGGACAAGCTTAGATTTGATAGGGGAGAATTTACATTTGATGTTGATTGTAGGTATCTATTCGAGGGTAGACACATTATGGCCCAGAGTACCTCCCAGCCAGGCCGAATATGCAAAGACAATGAACTCAATTAGCCCGCGGGATCAAAGCACAAAAACATGAAAAGGTATTCGCAAACGCCGGGCCCAGCCCATCATTCCAGTCATATCGTAATAGTTTGCGACAATAGGGAGAAAATCGCCACAAGGGGAAGGGGGTGATGTAAGATCTAGAAGCCGAAAGCCTCTAGGATTGTATGGTTATTACCATGGGCAGCATCTACTCCTCATCCCACGCCTCCAATTCCGCCTTCTCGTATTCAGCCATTGTCCCCTGATCGAAGATTGTCTCTCCTTCCGAGGGGATAGTAGTCTTGATATCTTCGAAGATAGGCAAGAAAGCATCATTCCATCGCTTACGGCGATCCATGACAATTTTAGCCGCATCGCCGACAGCCGGGCGTGAAACACCCGCCCCAGCAACATGACTACCGCCACCTGCACCGCCAGGACGATGTTTAGCCTGGGAGCCCTTCTTGCTCTTGCCCATGGTCCGGGTACGCTTCAGATACGCCTGTTGAACCTGTGAGTCCAAGTCGTCTTGGATGGTGGTGAATTCCAGCAAGGCCATGTGTTCCTGAGCAATTTTCATGATTCGAGCTTTGCGCGCGTTGTTGACGACTATTTGCTTCTTCAGCTCGCTCTGAAGGAGACGGAGACGTTCGGAAACCTCGTCGTCGAAGTGTGCGTCATAATCGGGGTTATCGTCCGGTCCTAAGAAGCCGATGTAGCGGAGTTCTGCCTTGGCGCGTTCGTCAAGTTGGGCGTGGTCGAGTTTGGCAACAGAGGTCCTGAATCCGGTTGGAGAGGCATCGCGGAAAGCTGTTGCTGGAGGGAGAGGCTTTTCTTTTTCTTCTGTCTTTGGATCTAGCTCGCCATTAGGCTGGTCCAGGTCCATTGAGTCTCCTCCCAATCCACTTGTTGTAGGTATGTCTCCGTTGGTCGATCCAGCATTTTCTTTGTCCTCGGGAAGCGTGCGGTGTTCATAGCGTAGCAAAGAACAGAGTCGACTGATGAGCGGTCCAACTGAAACTTCATTGGTCTCAGATTTTTCGTCCGTCAGGGTGTCTATGCTGCCACGCCCTTGGTTCAAGGGGAGTTGATCCTTGTCATCCTGGTTCTGGTCGTAGGAAACGCCGTCCTCTTCCGACCATATTTGACGGTATGACTTCTTTGCCCGGCGTGGGTTCATAAATGGTGTTACTCGATCTCCCTGTATTCGGTCAGCAATTGGATTCTTGAATAAAGCCGTACTGTAGATCTCACCCTTTCCCTCAGCCAGGCAATATCCTCTTCCGTCAGAGGCCGGACATACGGCTCAATGTACGCCAGGAAGGTGTTGGCGCTAACTTGGTTGGAAGGCTTGGCGTTGCTGAAGTCTTTGTCCGGGGCAATACCTGCCATCATGTGGGCAAGATCGCTCTTGGGGAATACCGCAACACTGTAGATTTGCTTCTTCTCCTCGTCCGTTGTCTCGGGGAAAACATCGCGAATGTGGTAGACGGTCGGGTCGTCGAACTTGACTGGGTTTTCGCCGAATACTTGGATCTGGGGTACGGAGGGTTGCGGTTCGGGTTGGTGAGAGCTGTCGCTGGATTCTGAGCCGGGACTGCCAGGAGCTTCATCCCCGTCGGCGCCAGTCGTAGCACCGTTGGGGGACAGCATTGAGGGGGGAGAAAGGGAAGAGCTTCCTTCCGAGGCTGCGTGTTTGGAAATTTTCGATACTGGGGAAGCAGCTGTGTTTGGTCAGTCAATCGGACATTGTGAAAGAATGGAATACTGGGCAGCAAATGATGCGACAAATTTGCGGGGTGGAGAGGTGGTGGGCAAGAGTGGAGTGACCTCAATGACAATGAGTGCTGGGATGTTAGAACTCGCTTACCTCCTTCAACTTTGGTTTCTGCTCCGTCCTGACGCGCCACATCATGGGCACCATGGTTTAAAGGTCGCTCTTCTTTGCTTGCCCGCTCTTTGCGCTTCTTGGTCTTTTTGTGAACGGGGTCGTCTTCCTCTTCCGTCTCGCGCTTGAGCTTCGCCCGATCCCCAACCTCACGGGATAGCTCTTGATCTTCTACCACATCCTTTCTCTTATGTACCAACTCACGCATGCCTTGGTTACAGGTTTCCCCGCGAGAATCCGCCATGTCGCTGAGACTGTTAAGATGCTCCACCAAGGCTTCCAGGGTTTTGGAATCGGGAATGTTGGGTCCAGCAACCAAGTCAAGCATCTCAGCATATTGGCCATTGGCCGCATCGATGAGCTTTGTTACATCGCTTTCAAGGTAGCTCGGTAATTGAGCTGTCTTCCCAGGAGCGCCACCTGCCGTAGATGGAGTTGTGTTGCGGCTGCGAGATTGGCGCGGATCGCGGCCTTTGCCTTTGCTTTTGTAGGCGGAAGGCATCGTGTAGTGTTTTTCTATGAGTCACGCTCGGCTTCTTCGAGGGAGAGGACACGGGAGGACGAAAGAAGGCGTGAAATGATGAGTGGGAGGGTCGGAGGGTCTTAGAGGGTGCTGATGGTAGTCGAATAACGCATGCTGTCAGACACGGTTTATCGCGATTCAATTTTCATGAGCCAGGAAACTCTATTCGATCTTCACATGAGCCAAATGTAGCCAGACGCGAATGTAGCGATGATCCGATGACGGAGACTCAGCTCTGCTATGGCATGTACTGGGGCGCCTTGATCTGGGGGAGCTACACGTGATCGCGCATCGCGATACCTGGGCGGTGACGATATGCAGAATTGTTAATATGCGATCATGATTCAGCGCCAAGACTAGTCATGCCTTAGGCCAAATGTACTGTTCTTCCGGTACTGTGAGAACTATAACAGAAAATGGGGGATAAATAATCTCAAAGAATTACAGATGCCGGGATTGTTCCAATTTTCTATCCGACAAGTTTAGAAGAATATCGTAACTAAGTAAAAGCAAATAAGCACGGTTCTAAATCATACCTTCTCGGCTCACTAGTTGTATAGATATATTTTGAAGTGGTTTAAGTCAAAGGTTGGGGCCAGAGTAATTCAATAATCAACACTAGCACTACTGTATTAATGCCTAGTATGACCTCAGTATTTTCACAAAGCAAGAGATTCCAATATGCTGCTGATCTAATACCTGCTAGTAATCCTCCACGGCTCCCGCAAGCAGCATCCGCAAACGGATTGCCCGATCCGGCCGTAGATCACTACTATAACCTCAGCCCCCACAACCCTAAAGGGTGAACAATCTATGGCAACAGAGGCCAGAATCGGTAAATATGCAATCATTCTAGTTGATCGCAGCCTATGTTTCCCCTTTTTCCCACCCTGGAAGCAAGCCTCCCCGGTGATTTTGCCTCGTGGTTTCTCAGCCTTGCCCGCATTCTTTAGACGGATACGATCTCCCCTGACATTCTTTGGGGCCGTCGTCGATGCGAAGTTGGCCATAGTGACCCTTTTGGGATTCGGAGTCGCCGCGACCGACATACTATCGAACTAAGCAAGATTTCTCAAAATGAATACCCTTCGCAATCTTTCTTGTTCTCTCTTCCATCATACTCCCACGACGAACCATGCTCCTACACTTGCATGTTGTCTCCATTGATTGACCCCATACAATGTTTACCTCTGAACAACACAACTACAGCATATTTTAAAGATCGATCACGACCATGTCTCGCACTGCCCCACCCGATTCGGAAGCCACTGTCGCCACGTTATTTGCAGGCCCCGGCAGCGCCTCTAATTCCACCTCCTCGGTTAGTGTACGTATAACCTCAACCCTGGCGAGATATGAAGAATGTCTGGAGGCTTATAAGCGACAAATATGTAGGAGAATGTGGGATTTCGATTCGTTCTCGACCGCACGGTCCAAACACTCTCCAGTAACGGCGTCCCCGACTCTGGCTCCGTGTCGGGTCTGTTATTCGTTCCGAGCCTCAGCCCGAAAGATCCGTGCAATAAAGATCTCGCTTCGTTTATCCCATCCAATGTGACGCGGCATGAGGACGTTTCAGAATTTGGATACCCGGTCATCGGACTCGCCCCATGGGTATCTGACGACTGCACTCAAAAGTTCTTAGCTGCCTCACGAGATGCTGGCACAGCAGCTCTTGTTTTCTTCCAGCCAAACAATAATAAAACGGGACTCCCACCCCCTGCCTCAGACGATAATTGGAAGTTGAAAGACGAACGTTGGAGAAGCGACAACGAATTCCCTGTCTACGCCATTCCAGGACCTGCAGGTACAACTTTGATGGGGGAACTGTCGTGGTTCTCCGACGGACAATCCAAGAACTCAACTAATAACCGAACTCGAACTACTCGGAGTCACGAGAGTGATCGATTGTTCACCATGATTGATACGAGTAAGTTTCCACTCTATGTGAGATGGATTTACTTAGGCTAATATGTTCCAGACACAACACCAAACCAAGAGCCTAGCCTCTGGAGCTTCGTGCTCGCAATCCTGGGAACAATAATTGGACTTACTCTCGTCCTTCTTATTCTGTATCGAATCATTCAACGCAAACGACGAGAGATGCTTCGTGAGCGCATCAATTCCGGGGAAGTCGACATCGAGCAGTTGGCTTTGAATCAGCTTAAGGTCCCGAAAGAAACCGTGGAGAAGATGCCGATGTACATATATCTGGGCTTTACGGAAGATCCAGAGGTAGATGCCCCCAAAACTCCTGTGGAGACAGAGGCCACAGAGGTCGACTCGAGCAGCACCACCTCCACTCCAACTTTGACGGAAGGACGGCGAAGCACAGAAAGTGACGGTGGCATCAGAAAGCCCGAACCAGCTGTGCTAAAGCCAGACGCCAATGACTCAGATGACTCAAGTTCGTCAAGGAATCCCTTCCGGCTGAGCTATACCCAAACAACCTGCGCCATCTGCCTTGACGATTTTGTTGCTGGGACTACAACAGTTCGGGAACTACCCTGCGGTCATATTTTTGACCCTGGGTGCATTGATGCATATCTCACAGAGACTAGCAGTCTGTGCCCTCTCTGTAAGAAGAGTGTTTTACCATCAGGGTCGTGTCCGATCTCAGTGACGAACGAGATGGTTCGACAGGAAGCGGCGACAAGGAGAGGGCGAACTTAGTTGCACATAAGGAACGGAGGGGATGAGAGATTGGAAATAGTCAGCATCAGTGAATATTCAGCGAACTGTGTTTTTGTGTTATTTTCCTCAGGCAAATATGGAGAGGAATTCTTTGCATTGCATGGAGCGTTGTGATTTGAAGGTTATCGTGTGTGAATGGGTGTGCATGTTGAGACATTTTATCTAGAAATGAGAGAAGGAAAGCAGAAAAAAAAAGCTTCTCTAGCATGATAATGTTTTTTCAGAGTACTAGAATCAAGTCAATCTGCTGTACTAGAGATATTCCTGAGGGTAGCAAGAAAACGTCGTGGCTGTAGTATACATAGAGGACCTGCTCGTACTGTAGGAATCTGGAATGACACCTGAGGCACCAACTGAATGTGGGACCCACACCAGTCATATGATTGGCAGAAATCCGACACTCGGCTAATCGCTAGCGTCCCACACACAATCCTCGCCCTCGACTTTGGTAAAGACTCCCTCTCGAACTTTTCTCAGTTGCGACAACGACAACCGACGACCCTGCTCAGCCGACAAGGTACGATACCACACACTCCTGTCCCTCTCAATTGCCATCGCCATCGATATCGCCATTCATTTCCAGTCACTGACTTCAATTCTGTCCAGATGGGTGCCCTCAAGTACGTCGAAGAGATCCAGAAGAAGAAGCAGTCCGATGTCATTCGGTTCTTGCTCCGCGTTCGCTGCTGGGAGGTGAGATAAAACCCTTGCGACCCCCTCGATTGCCTAACATCTCCGCCGAGAACACGTATACGTTAGCCATGATAATGCCGCCAAAGTGGTAATTACTGGGCAACCCGAACGATACTCATTCGGCGGAAATGATTTTTTTGTGGCACGAAAAAGACTCCCTTGAGGGCCTGTGTCTTGCTATACACTCGTTGAACTTTGCTGAGAGTGCATCAATATAGCTCCGCCAGCTGAACGCCATCCACCGTGCTTCGCGCCCCTCCCGCCCCGACAAGGCTCGCCGTCTTGGATACAAGGCCAAGCAGGGCTACGTCGTCTACCGCATCCGTGTCCGCCGCGGTGGCCGTAAGCGCACTGCTCGCAAGGGTGCCACCTACGGCAAGCCCACCAACCAGGGTATCAACCAGCTCAAGTACCAGCGTGCTCTGGCCGCTACCGCTGAGGAGCGTGTTGGCCGCCGCTGCGCCAACTTGCGTGTCCTGAACTCCTACTGGATCAACCAGGACTCCACCTACAAGTACTTCGAGGTTATCTGTGTCGACCCCCAGCACAAGGCCATCCGCCGTGATGCCCGCATCAACTGGATCTGCAACTCCGTCCACAAGGTAAGTCCCCGAAATATTATACGCTTTGTTCTTGCCACCGTGGGAGTGGTTGTCCGGATTGTACTGATCAAGTTTTTTCTCTCCAACAGCACCGTGAGGCTCGTGGTCTTACCGCTACCGGCAAGAAGTCCCGTGGTATCAACAAGGGCCACCGTTACAACAACACCAAGGCCGGCCGCCGCCACACCTGGAAGCTCCAGAACACCCAGAGCTACTGGCGTTACCGTTAAGTGCGTTAGTGCACTGCGGTGGTTTGGGTTGGAAAATATTGGCTGCATGTGGTTATCTCTTCGAACACTTCTCGCCCGTACCGTGTCTATCACGCCGGGACCGAGTTTAATGCAGACCGGCAGGTTCTGCTTTTAGCCAAAAAGCCATTTTGTTTTATGTTGAATTTCCCCTTGTTTAACGAAGTATGACCGGTTCAACTCCTCCTGGCGCCATTGCTTGTAAGACTGGCCAATGCTAGTTTTTGTAGATGTAGATCGGCCTGGAGGTTTCTATTGCCAGTCTGCGTAAGCGGAAAATGGTGTGCTTGACACCGGTGGTAACGTGATTTGCAGTTACAGAACCAAACGTAGTGTATCTGCGGAAATCAAACTGCCCCGGGCTATCGATTGTAGCAATCAGATACAAGTACTACTGAGTACAGTACACAAGTACGGAGTACTTTCCATTGCAGATCCTGAATACTCCACTTGGGAGACCTGTGGTGTGTCTAAAGATAGAAGTCAGTGACTTTGTGGCCTGAGACCTGAGGCCAACACTCAGACTCGTACCTTCCCTGTTACCGCTAGCCGCCTTCCCAATCCGTCCAGGGCGACTATGAGATGCTACAACGACCTCTTCTCACTGCTGACACTCTTTGTCTTTGGTCTTTGACACCTTTCAATCGCTCACCGCAATAAATACCTCCTCGTCCTCGCTCAAGTACAAAGAACACCTCCTCACCCTCACCCTCGCCCTCGGCTCATTTCCTTATCGTCAACTTCCCCACGATCCATTTGCATGTCCCTCGTTCTCGAACCAAGCTCTATAATTTGGCCCCTTGTCCAATATAAATCGTCCTGGCTATTCCAATAGCTATAGGCGTTCAAATGTGCCCCGATGTCCTCTCGATCCGGACGTAATCCGCCGATTCCCTCTCGCTCCAACGCCGATTTCGGTGGCCTCCTTCCTTCGATCCCTTCCTCGAGTTTGGCGACAGAGCGTTCTCTCCGCCGGCCGATCGAACCTCACGATGCTTCAACCATGTCAAAACTAAATGGTGACCCACCGAATAACTCATACCGCCGCGGTCACCATCGCTCAATCAGTCATCCGTTCACATCGGCGTTGTCGAGTATTGGCAAGAAGCGTGACAAGGCAGCACCCAAGCACGACAAGTACGACAAAGAAGTCAAGTGGGATTCAGATTCAGACTCCGATGAGATCACATACCCGGCCAAACCAATATCTTCGAGCCCCCGGAAAGATTCAACTAAAGCGGGCCCAAGTAATGGCACCGCCGAAACCAAATGCGGGACTTGCAACTCGACTGTTCGGTGGCCACAGCACTTGAACGTGTTTCGATGTAGTGATTGCCTTATGATCACTGATCTTGATCCGGATACAGTTGGGGAAGCTAAGAATGCAGGTGGTACCGAGGTGGAAGATCGAGGGCATCGAGTCCGTGGAGATCGTCCTCCGCACTCTCATTTGAATCCAAAGGAGGCTCATGTTCCATTTGCCCCTCCAGACTTCATGGCTGGTAAAACATCCCTCCTTTCTCGAGCTTGCAAATATTCAACTGACCTGGTCGCTAGAATCACTTGTATCGGCAAATCGACTTGGTGGCATGATTGATGGATGTCTCTCGAAATATTTCGACAGCCTTCTCGATGACACTCATCATAGATCATCACCCGATGAGAACCGCACCGGTAGATTGGATGTCCCGAGAGTTCAGGGTGGTACAAATATACCAACGAAAGACTCTCGTGGTGGCCGCCTACCGCCCCCCAAGGAGGATCCGCGCAGTCGCAGCACATCGGCTTCCAGCGAACATGGAAGGATCTATGGCACTAAGGAAAAGCCCAAGTTCCTGATACCACATAAGGGTAACTTGGAGGAAAAGCCTTTGCCAGATTTGCCGATTAGGGCTCGTGCAAATTCGGACTTGCGCTCGCATCTAAGACCCGGCCGTCGCCCCTCTGATACGCCTCGACCCCCAGATTCGGGGAGTCCGGACAAAGACGACCAGCTTTGCATCTTCAAGCGTTTGGAGAACTACATCATTGCTGCGTTTAAGGGTAGCAACATTATGAACAACTCTTTCCCCACATATCAGCCATCAATTCGATCTGCCAGCAGTGGTAACCCACCGCAAATGAAGATGGACCCCAGGAAAGAGGTGGATCCGATGTTTAATGTTCCTGTCTTTGAACCTGATGCCAAAACTCTCCTTTTGGGAGACGTGGCCGAGAACTCTACTTGGTGGATGACGGAATGGGCACAAGCTGAAGGACAAATTCACAAGCCTTCCAAAGATCAAGGGTCTCACAGATCTCGTGCAGTGTCTTCCCGAAGCCCTCGCGTGAACTGGGCAGAGGTCAACCAGTGGTATCACCTAATCCTGACGGCCGGTAGCTCTTGGAATGAACAATGGACCAAAAAGAAACCTGACCCAAATCGCTCAGAGGCTGACCGTGTGCGGACCAAGAAATGGGAATCAGTTGATCTAGCATCTATCGAGAACGAGATCACAGATTCTCGTCTTCACCTCCAACGGACATTGATGAAGGCCACCGAAAATCTTTTGAAACGTCCACGTTCTATCTTGAAGAAGCCTGAGGATACTAGGTTCTTGTTCATACTGCTTGCGAACCCCTTACTGTCCTCACCAGGTGCATACTCTCATGTGCGAATGACACAGACTTCTCACCGTGACGATCGTCGTCCTTCAAACCCTAACAATGTCCGGTCAACCACCAGAGACGGAAAATCGGCAGGGAGAGAGCCTGCTGCGGTTGCCTCAAGCCACAGTAGCGCCAATCACCATTACGGCGTCCTCAAACGAATCCTCGGATTACTGGCTAATCTCCCAAATGAAACACATCATACGTTCATTTCCTGGTTTTCTCGATTTTCGCCCAAACAATTCGAAAGGCATGTGGACCTGATAGGTGGCTTTGTTAACTATCGACTTACCCGCCAGCATGGTCGCAAGCGTACCCAAATCGCTATGGATGCTAAGGATGGCGATGAGCTTGTTCCAAGTTTTGCTAGCGCTGCTGGAAACACACCTGCCGAGCTGCATGCTGCCATTAATCGACGAACCCCTCAAAAGAAACCGACCAAGAAGAAAGAGGCGCCTATCATTTATGCAGAAGACTGGCAGATCCGTTCCGCGGCAAGAATTATGTCTCTACTTTTTGCTGCAAACAGCAGCAACCATTCGCGCAGACCAGATGGCATGGAATCAAAGGCACGCCATCGGACCGAAGCTGGAGCAAACAGCCACGCACGCCAGCAGGGTTATATGGTCTCCATTGATTCATTCTACAACACACTGTTGGACTACTCGGACTTGATCGGGGACTTTGAAATTTGGGAGTCAAAAAGCTCAAAATTCTGCTTCTGCAGGTATCCTTTCTTCCTCAGCATCTGGGCAAAGATCCGGATCATGGAGCACGATGCTCGTCGTCAGATGGAAGTAAAGGCCCGAGAAGCGTTTTTCAGTAGCATTCTCAACCATCAGGCAGTCAGCCAATATCTTGTCCTGAAGGTTCGACGGGAATGTCTTGTCGAGGATAGTCTTCGTGGAGTGAGCGAGGTGGTGGGAACAGGGCAAGAAGAAATCAAGAAGGGTCTTCGGATCGAATTCCTTGGAGAGGAAGGTGTTGACGCTGGTGGCTTGCGGAAAGAATGGTTCCTCCTGCTGGTACGGGAGGTGTTTGACCCGGACCATGGTAAGTAACATAATTCTGAGCTTGGAAGAATGTTTCTAACAATTTCCAGGTCTTTTCATCTACGACGAGGACTCGCAGTACTGCTACTTCAACCCTTATTGTTTTGAATCATCTGAGCAGTTCTTTTTGGTTGGAGTCTTGCTGGGGCTTGCCATTTACAATTCGACCATCCTTGATATCGACTTGCCGCCTTTCGCGTTCCGGAAACTACTGTCGACAGCTCCCCAGACGAATGCACCGCCAACAGCCAATTCCCGCCGGACGAGGTTCAAGTTTACGCTGGAGGACCTTGCGGAGTATCGACCAGCCCTTGCCCGAGGACTTCGTGGCTTGTTAGACTTTGAAGGCGATGTTGCGGAAACATTTTGCTATGATTTTGTTGCCCAAGTTGACCGGTATGGAGAAGTGGTGAACATTCCTCTGTGCACAGGGGGCGAGAAGAGAGCAGTGGACAATGAAAACCGTGGCGAGTTCGTTGAACTATACGTCCACTATCTTCTTGAAACAGCGGTGGCTCGACAATTTGAACCGTTCAAGCGTGGTTTCTTCACTGTTTGTGGTGGCAACGCTTTGTCACTCTTCCGACCCGAAGAGATCGAGCTACTTATACGAGGTTCGGACGAACCACTTGATGTGCTGTCTCTACGCGCGGTAGCCACCTACGATAATTGGAAGTCTCATCGGCCCGAATCCCTTCCCGTCGTGCAATGGTTCTGGGAATTCTTCGAGGGCGTTCCGCCCGAAGCACAGCGAAAACTCCTCTCATTCATTACTGGTAGTGACCGCATCCCCGCAATGGGCGCCACGAGCCTCACAATTAGACTCGCCTGCATGGGAGATGATTGTTCTCGCTACCCGATTGCGCGTACCTGCTTCAATACACTCGGCTTATATCGGTATACAAACCGGGACAAGTTTAGACGACTGCTCTGGGATGCAGTCGTGAACAGCGAAGGATTCGGCCTGAAATGATCATCTTCCCGTCTGCTCCTGGTCGAGCGACCATGATTTTATGATTACTTGTGCATTGTATAGATGCAATTACTGGGCGTTGTAGTCGCCTAGAATACACGGAGTTAGTTGTTTCTGATTGCGATGAATGTTGAGGTTTATGTTCTATGGTTTTGGGTGTTTGTGAACATACATACAGTGACACATTGCTGGTTGGTTTGAGTTTCGAGACAGAATATTACCAACTTAAATCTCGATTTTCCGTATCCTTGGCATAAGGCAGTCCTCTATATACTAGAATGGGCTGTTTCGCGAGGCCTCGATGTGCCTGTAATGGAATACGTTGCACGTCGTGAAATGTTGTTTCCTTTTGAGACTCACCTGAGCAGCTGCTACTAAGGTTGTTTGACCATAGAAACCATCGTCAACCTTGCAATGCGGTTCTTTTATCTACCGGGGCATGGATGATAGTATTTCGCTGATAGAACTGAAGAAAATGAAGTAAAAAAATGTAGAGAAACCGAGAAACCAATGATACATTAAGCACATTATAACAGCAGATTCAAGTTATTCCACCATCCTCCTTAGATACAACGAGCCATCGATTTTCACTTAAATCCACAAACCAAGAAACAAGAATCGGAAAATTACTCCTGCGCCTCAAGTCCATTACCAGGCGGCACGGGGAAAGGGCAGTTGATCAGATAGTTTCTGCAAGGAATATCACTAGGATCATTGGTCTCCGGAACAATGCGACCCTCGTTCAAAGGCCATCCAGTGTTGATATCCTGGCAACCACCGCCAGAGTGGTCTTCGTGGTAGTTGCTGCAGTATCCACAAGTGTGGTCGTTGAGAAGGTGGTTCTTAGCCACTAGGAGCGAGAAGTAGCCCTCGTACTTGAAGGAACGAGCTGCGTTGATCTCGTCGCCGGAGGGCGAGATGGGGTCGTGATCGACCTCGCCGGTCCAGAGCTCATTGCCTGTGCAGCCGGCTGTGTCGTAGAGGACGACCTTGCCGGGTTTGGCTGCGGCTAGGGCAGAGAGGAGGGTTATGACGGCGAGGGAGGAGAAGTGCATTCTGGTGATGTTGTTCAGGTTTGGATTTTCTGAGATTGATAGAAGAGGAAGATGAGGATGGAGTGATAATTACGAGAATAAGGATTCCTTTATATAGTCCAGCAGAAAGGCTGCGTGATTTTGTGGTTACATGCCAAGCTCAGGAGGCATAAAACGATTATCCAAGGCATACTGCAAGCAAGTTCAAATGAAGTATAGATTGACTTCGTCTGTCTAATCAAGTATCACGAGTAAAGCACTCCATAACAAGTTTCAGAATTGTGGTAGAAAGTTGCGACCATATCGTCATTATGTGGATCTACCCTGATATAATCTTATGCTTGGGGGCCAATATATGGATGTGAAGGTTGCTTTTTCGGGCGTATATGTGGAGGCTAAAATTGCATCTGCCGATAAAACGCCGCGGAGAAGGAGCGTGAGAGTTAAATACGCACAGAGAAATAGCTCAAATTTGAGCTTGACAATGGGCGCCAAAGGGATACACCGGTACGACGAAGGAGAGTTGAGTGCATTGCATACATTGATAGGGTAAAATAGGCCCCGATATGAAGAAATTCAATATTTGCGGGAGACACAGGCTATTACGAGAAGTCTAGACACTCCATAGATAGAGTGATATGATATTAGAAGCAGCGGGGGCCTGAATTACCCCTTATGCTAACAGATCAACATAGCCAGGACCCAAAATTCTAGCTTTGGCAGATCTGCAACAGTGGCTGTTTCTTACTATCCAAGCGTCATTAGAATCCATGGCCCCCAACGCCAACCAAGCTCGTCGCTTACGCCAAGAATAAATGCGACGCCATGTTGCTCCTTGGCCTAAACCTCATCGATCGTAGTATATTATGCAAGACTGGTTGCTATGGTTCTAACACACCTAAAATATGCTACAAAATGGCGAGGCAAACCTGCATACCTCAAGTTGTAAAATGAGTTGTCAAGCAGAAGAGATATTCAGTACGCCGAACAACCTTAATTCAGGAGCGATGGTTCCACTCTTGCTTACAGTGGGGACATTCGGCATGCCATGTATAACAAAGGTTAGTTTGGAATGGGGGTTCCGCAGTGGGTTTACGAGATAGATCAGCAGGATTGTGTAAAGCCGTCTACGGAGTACTACTCTGTAGTACCTTGATATTTGCACATCGGGAATTGGTTTGGAGTAGATATTAACATTCAACTCTTAAAGAGGAAAACCAAAATTTTGGGATAGACTCCGGCATATTTTACGCCGAATGCCAAGAAGAGTTTGACTGGTAGCCAAAGCGTGTCGAAGACTTTTGCTTAAAATTCCGGAAACCGGGCTACTAATAGATCAAGGATAAAGGAATGCTAAGTGTGCTAAGAGAAGTTACAATTAAAAGTCCTCTATCTGGAGGGACATATCGATCATGTTGATAGTGGTAGCAATCTGGCCAGGTATTATTTCCTCCGTGATATTCGTCGAGACCTGGTCCTAGAGAGTCAGACCAGGAGGAAATCGAAAGATACCTCACACTGATCATTGAATCACCACATCTGCAGACATACTTAGACAGAAGAGGGTGCGCAAAATGCAGAGAGAACGGAGTGAAATTTATAGATGTGACCTAGATACAAAATTAGAGGGTAGTAAACTGCCCCGATGCGTGTCCAAGCGCCAAAATATTGCCTTTGGCAGCCGAGGGGCAGAGTCGATAGTCAGGGGGAAGCCATATTGCCTTTTGACCTCGAATGGTCACCCACTGATTTTCGATCCGAACGATATTGGCGACCGTCGTCGTCAAATCAGGCTCAATATCGCTGCATGGAGCTCGCCTGTGGCCACATTCCAAAGGTGAACAGTGTTGTAGCGAGGCGAGTTGGAAATGGTCTTCAGTATAAGATCATTTTCAATGAAGTCTACCGAGTCTACTATAACTGAATGGCCTTTGAGGGTATGTTTAAGTCTTCCGGTAGGTCAGCACAGCCCTCCAGGCCGTAAAATTTGGAGCCTACCTCGTAGAGGATTAGACTGAGCGTTAATCGGGCCATTGTTGATGCCTATCTGCAGCCCATAATCCGCATCGCGAAATTTTATTATTGGATCCATACTTGTAGAAGTTCTCTGGAATTGTGCGAGGCATGGTGTGACGTTCAAAGGTGCGAGCGCGACCATGTGATGATACGGGACTAGACCATTTTAGTAAATATGCAATGCATACATGCCGAATTGAAGTGACAATGCCCAGTGAACAATTTTTTCACTTCAATACAGAATAATATGAAATATTCAGTAATATGGCCTTTTAATTGCCACTGCAAAGTTCCATATTATAAATTTATTTCCAGAATAGTTCCTTGAAAACTACTTCGCCTATGTGATTAGGGTTGACATCTTCCATATCTCTGGCATTCGAATTCCATAGTGGGGGCCACTGTACAATAAAATATGATAACTGCTATTAATTGAACAAAAAGAGTTAGGTTTATAGAGGGCTATAGATATTTAAGTCCCCTCAAAATCTCAGCAAAGATGGAGTAGAAAACCTTTTTGCTGCGGCATTAATGTGCCGGTAGATGCCGTAGTATCTGCCGAAAGCTAAATAGACTTCTACTAGTAAGTTCTATGCCGTCGGCCACCAGATCAACGACCGAAACAGCTTTGCATATCCGATCTTAAGTCCGTTGGAATATCCGGAGTTGAAACTAGATAAGGTATAGCTATAAGCTACAGACACCCCACCATGACATGTAGATAGATTCTTCACTGCGATTAAGGAATCTCAAGGAACTCTAGCCAAATGCATCTGAAAAAGCCCACTCTGATGAAACAGTAAATATAGTAGAAGCCCCTTCGATTCCATGACCCCTTATAGATTTGCTACCTTGGAACTCGCGGCCCATTGAACGTATTTTGTCTGACTGCACTCAAGGAGAGCCTTGGAGAGCATTACTAGATGAATAGGGAAATTAGGCCGACCCCTCAATACTTGGAAAATGCGCCAATACGCCTGATCATACCCCGCGCTCGCCAGAATGAGTCGTGTCGCGCAGTAAGCCCCACACTATCCCCATACTCTTCCCCACACGAACCTCCACAGAAAGATTGAATTTATGCAAGAGTTCGGCACGTGGGGGTCCAAGGAATACTTCTAGTGCTAGACTGGCTCGCTGAGCCGATAACTCTCCGCGTCCAGTATCGGTACAGTGGACCGATCACTCGGCCTCAAATACTAGGATTCCGAATGCACCAACTAACATTAATTCAAAGACGATAATGATGGTGGCATATCCCATAAGATCTATGCCGATTGACTAAATCTCTCAGTGGAAGTCATGCAACGAGGAAGAGGAGAAAACTTGGCGCATGTACAGCTATTAGTACTGTCTGTGTTCTGCCGAAGTTTACCCAGCTCTGAAAGTTAAAATGTCGACCAGATAGGCTTCTTCCCCGTCGCCCGATCAAAAATGTCCTAATGTACACCACTTATTCAGCGCAAAGCATAAAATCGGGACTAGTGTATGTTACTATAACTCTAATTGTGGGGAAGAGCCGGCATAGTCGGCGGCCCCGGACGAGTTAAACGGGGAATTAGCTTGCTGATCGTTTGGCTTGGAGCTCGGCCCGGAAGAGTATGGCAGCACTGTTAACTGAGGGGTATAATTAATAGACTTTGAAGAAAGAAAAAAAGTATTTAGAGGGCCATGGGCCTCGGTTTTGGTGGAAGTTCTCGTTCATTATCTCAAAGCATAGCTGTGGAAGCCATTGCCTAGTGCAGAACGGAACTATGTTGTCTCAAGGAAAGATTGGAGTTGCTTTGGCAATTCTGTCTATGTGTGGCCTGGGCCATACAGAAGAGAATATCACTTCAGATACTCACTTTTATGGCCAGTCTGAGCCCGTCTATCCTTCTCGTACGTGAAACAGGCACATGTATAGGCTTACTGAACTAATATGTTATAAAGCAAAGGGCAAGGGGACAGGGGACTGGGCTGATGCATACACAAAGGCAGCAGAGCTAGTAGCTCAACTAACACTGGAAGAGAAGGTTCGCTTACTACCAGAGCTCTGAGTCACCGTCGGTGAAGCTAATGAAGCCCCGAAGAATAACCTTACCTATGGAATCGCAACAACCGAAAATGGTTGCTCTGGAAATATTCCAGCTATCCCCCGAGTGGGATTTACTGGAATGTGTCTTCAGGATGCTGGCCAGGGAGTTCGTTTTACCGATTTTGTTAACAGCTACCCCAGTGGTATCCATGTCGGAGCGAGGTAAGAGAAATTGATCCTTTGAACAATAGGGCCACGCTGAAAAGAGAACCCACAGCTGGAATAAGACTCTCGCGCACGATCGTGCCTGGCACATGGGTGGAGAGTTCAGGAAAAAAGGTGTTCAAGTCGCTTTAGGACCTGTTGTTGGTCCCCTTGGCCGAGTGGTAACTGGTGGCCGAAATTGGGAAGGTTGGTACTATTGTGACTACGGGAAAAAATCCACAAAACTAACAGTTTGAAAGGTCCTTCCAATGACCCGTATTTGGGGGGCGTGATGGGTGCAGAATCTGTCCGAGGTCTCCAAGACCAAGGAGTGATCTCAAGTGTGAAGGTAATTATAAGCCCAGAAGACATAGTGAAGATCCTGAAGAAAGATCTGACAAGTCAACTTCTTTAGCATTTCATCGCAAATGAGCAAGAGCTTTACCGAAACCCTACCCTTGATGCCGAGAACCGCACTGTCCAATCGCTTTCGAGTAACATCGACGACAAAACAATGCACGAGCTATACCTTTGGCCATTCCAAGACGCACTCAAAGCAGGAGCAGCAAATATTATGTGCTCATACAACCGCGTCAACAACTCTTATGCCAGTCAGAACAGTAAGACATTGAATGGTCTTCTCAAGACTGAGCTTGGTTTTGAAGGATTTGTCGTTACCGACTGGGATGCACAGCACGCTGGCGTTGCGGCAGCTAATGCTGGGCTTGATATGGCTATGCCGGATGGCCAAACCTTTTGGGGCAACAACTTCACTGAAGCCTTTAAGAATGGAAGCGTTTCGGAAGCTCGTTTGGATGATATGGCAACCAGGTATGATTTTTCCTTTTTCCCTTGATGGAAATCAGTCATTGTACTCATGTCCACCAGAATCATCGCGTCTTGGTACAAACTTGGCCAGGATGAGTCGAGCTACCCCAAGCCTGGAGTTGGAATGCCATACAACCTCAGCGAGCCTCATGATATCGTCAACGCGTTGACTGCAGATGCTAGGCCTGTTCTCTTTGAAGGTGCGGTAGAAGGTCATGTTCTTGTCAAGAATGTGAACAAGTCACTACCTTTACGGTCACCAAAATTGTTATCTGTGTTCGGATACGATGCCAAAGCCCCTGATTCTTACATGCCAAATGGACAGAGCATTCTCACCAACGCTTGGGCAATTGGCTTTGAGCCAGCAATCTCCCATTTCTCGGAACTTTCCTTTGCTGCGACGGTCATTGATGCCCCGTACTATAGCCAAGTTGCCTTCAATGGTACCTTGAGTGTTGGCGGCGGTTCAGGTGCAAGCGCTGGTCCTTACCTGAGCGCACCTCTTGATGCTCTGCAGCAACGAGCCTATGAAGATGGAACGGTGTTGATGTGGGATACTTCCGATAACCCTGGGACAACTGGATTGATGGAGGCGTCTGACGCATGCCTTGTTTTTATCAACGCGTTCGCTACAGAGGCTTCCGATCGGGCTGGAGCATATGACGACTATTCAGATGGTCTTATTAACCAAGTTGCAACCACATGCACCAACACGATCGTCGTTATCCATAACGCTGGTACTCGTCTGGTGGATCAATTCGCAGGTCATCCTAACGTCACTGCCATCATTTTCGCACACCTTCCCGGTCAAGATTCCGGGCGAGCTCTTGTTTCTCTGCTATATGGCGATGAGAATTTCAGTGGCAAGCTTCCTTATAGTGTGGCCAAGAATGAATCCGACTATGAGAATTTCTTTCATGTCGGGGCGACCACTCCCTATGGTCTTTTCCCACAAGATGACTTTGAAGAAGGTGTTCTGACTGACTACCGTTACTTCGATGCGAAGAATATCACTCTTCGATATGAGTTTGGCTTTGGTCTCTCCTATACTTCCTTTGAGTTCTCGGGTCTCGAAGTTTCTTCTGTCGAGGATGGTATTGCCGCGTATCCCAGTGGTGCTATTGAACAAGGTGGTGCGGTTGATCTGTGGGATATAGTTGCCACCGTCAATGCTACCGTCCAGAACACTGGGGATCGAAGCGGCGCAGAAGTTGCCCAGATCTATATTGGCATCCCGAATGGACCCGTGAAACAGCTTCGTGGGTTCGATAAGGTCAAGATCCCGGCGGGTAAATCTGTTCAAGTATCCTTCCCTCTCACTCGTCGTGATCTCAGCAGTTGGGATGTGGTTTCCCAGAAGTGGCAGTTGCAGAGTGGGAGCTATGATGTCTTTGTTGGCTCCTCCAGCCGGAATCTTCCTTTGAGAAGTACACTGAATGTCGTGACCGACGAGAACTGATGAGCCCAGAGAGTCAAGATGTATATAGGGCTTGAATTTGTCACTATAATATTAGACGAAGATGTTTAAATCCATGATTTAGCCAACAGGCTACAAGTTGATGAAGAATATGCAGTATGCCAACCAAGTAATACTGTCACAACTTGATTAGGAAGCAAGATTCTTCCCAGCCTGCCACAAAAGATAGAGACAGCTTGCATTTCCCCACCACCAAACTAAACCGCGTAATTGACTCCAGGTGGGATGATCAATGAGAATATAGACAGCTCCATAACAAAGCCTCGCAAGTGTGTAAGACAATCCCGCAACATTGATAGTCTGGGTAGGAACACCCGCATGTGATGCAAATAGAATGCTCGCAACGAGAAGAGTAAAGTTCTCAACCGAGTTGGCATGCGCCGCTTCATTGCGTTTGAGCATGCCAAGTTGTTTGCGTGTCAATTTGCCATCTCGAACAGCTGCTTCACCATATTTGGCGAGATCCTCGCGTGGTGATGCTTGATGGTCGACACCGTACCATTGCTTGAGGGTACGCGAAGAAAGAACACCGTAAGCGTATATGAAGTGGAATCCAACGAAGGAGGGGCCATAATTGGGTATAGATGTATTGAGGGTATCGCTGGCACGGAGGCCAATGGCCGTGAGGATTGAAGCCATAATTAACAGAAAAAACGATTGAGCTTGCTAATGAAGAGTTGAGACGAAGAAGATTTTGTCAGGAATGAAAGCTGGAAGGTCCCGGATATGCCGGCTTTGAAGGATGCATGGCGTCCGGGGGCTAAAATCTCACGTCTTTAAATAGTGGTAGTTGAACGGAGTGCGGAGTAGAAAGTAGAAAGTGAAGACTCCGCCGATTTGCCTTCTCCACTTAACAACAGCTCGACCTCATCCCACCACTTGCCAGCAATATGGTCAAACCCCTCACATTCAAGGGCGATAAACCCAAAAAGCGCAAGCAGCGCGACCCCGACTCCGAAAAATCCACCAAGACCCGCAAGACTGAAGTCCCCGTGGTGGAGAATGATGACAACCCCGAGGACCAGAGCTGGGTTTCCGCCGAGGCTGCGAGCGACATCGCAGGTCCTATAGTGCTTGTGCTTCCCTCCGACGAGCCGGCCTGCGTTGCAAGTGATGCCAATGGAACAATCTTTGCGAGTACACTGGAGAATTTGGTCGAGGGAGACCCCGCGACTGCGGAGCCTCACGATGTGCGACAAGTCTGGGTTGCGACGCGCGTGGCTGGTACCGAGTCATTCAGCTTCAAGGGACACCATGGAAAGTACGTATTATATTGTCTCGTCTCTGCCCGAATCTATGTCTCTCGTTGATCGAGGCATTCCAAGCTAATGCTGCGTTCTAGATACCTAAGTTGCGACAGCCACGGCCTCTTCAGCGCGACCGCCTCCGCCGTCTCCCACTACGAATCCTTCCTGGCCATTCCTTCCGTCGATATCCCGGGCACATTCGCTTTACAGGTTAGAGGTGGGGACTCGGAGAGTTTCATGGGAATCAAGGAGAGCGCGAAAGCTACAGGCGGCGTGGAAATCCGCGGCGATGCTACTACGGTCTCCTTTGAGACGACTGTGCGCATTCGCATGCAGGCACGATTCAAGCCGCGTCTGCGCGCGAATAAGGAGTCAAAGGCCTACGAGAAGATCAGCCAGAAGGAATTGGAGAGTCTTGTGGGGCGGAAGTTGGAGGATGATGACGTGAAGCGATTGAGGAAGGCGAGACGCGAGGGCAATTTCCACGAGGTCATGCTGGATGTCAAAGTCAAGGGCAAGCATGATAAGTTTGCTTGAGGCCTGCCTTTTCTTGACCCACTTTATACCAAGCAGAGTTGATTCTCTGATCTGGTCGTAGACTCTCGGGAGTCCGGTATATATCACGCTGGGACGTGGTAGCACGGCCTTATCACATCTTGGACATCACTCGTTTGATCCTAGAGCCCCGTGGAATCCCGGGCATGCCTTCCCATGGATATTGCCATGTCCTTCTTTAAATCCATAAGTTGGCCTGGGCGTGAAGTCTCGATTTCTTCTCATCGGACTCGGATGCTCATTGACGTGAGCCACAGGCCCTTCTCCAAGGCCATCCCTATATAGCGTGTGTCTCCCGCGACGCGTGACTCCGCGGTTCTTAAACACCGTCACGATCTAGAATACTTCTAATTGTGTCCCAGTTCCATGATGATTGGCAAGAAGTACCATCATCCCGCTATTTGGCACCGTTGAATACAACTCTAAACTCATTTTATCCATAACAACTCGGCGACCGCATATAAAGTATCATCAAGTATTACTGCAGACCATCAAGCTCAGGTATTTTGGAGGATCGCAGATGCAACTGGGCAGAAGTCCATCTGTACTTGTCTCTCAGGATACTAAGCATCCATGGATTTAACTTTGATGATGATGCTTTCCACAAAAGATATCATCACCCGTTGCAGCTGTCGTGTTTAAACCCCACGAAGCCACGAAAAGTACGCCCACGAAGCCAACCGTACCAGTCCAGGAGTCCAACCCGTTCTCAACCCTTGAACATTCCCCAAATCTAAACACAACCAGCCTAAATTCTACAACGTTCAAGTTGTCCCCTCCGAGTCCCCGGATGTATATCGGGCCTTCCCCCGCACTGCCAAAAACCTTGGAAGAGGGCTATACCGTCCCTCCAATCAAACAAGGATACTACTTGGCTAAAAAGCGGCACAAAGCCCACTAGTCCGTTCAGGTCCAGTTTCTGCATACTTCGGTACTACCAGGGAATGTCACTACAGGTTAGACATACCCCTGTTTGTGGCGTTTTCCTCCTTGCCAAGAAGGGTTTGCTCACATTTCATGCTCATGCTCATGTGAGGAACGCACGAAAGGGAAAAAGTCAACGGTATTCGAGCTGAGGCCCAGACTCGGAGAAGCTACGATGAGAGGAGGGATAATTTCCGGATAAAATGGAAATGAATAGGCCCGCTTTCCTTTTCTCTCTAGGCTGTAGGCCGCCAAGTTGGACGCGGGTTACTTATAGAGGGATGGGTTAGCCTGCTTGTCTTCTTTCCCTGGCATACTTGGGAGTGTTGCTTTTTTTTATTACCCTTTGGACTTTGTGCTCAAATGCATACCCCTCTTCTTTTCTTGTCACTATTATCAATTGGTGCTGGTGCAGTCCCAACCTATGGACTCGGCACGACCTCAGGCTGGGATTCGGCATACACAAAAGCCCAGACAGCACTTGCAAAGCTGAGTCAAGATGAAAAAGCCGGGATCGTGACCGGGATGACATGGGAGGGTGGTCCCTGTGTGGGAAATACCTACGCCGCCAACTCGATCGGTTATCCATCGCTATGTCTGCAAGACTCGCCGCTGGGTATCCGATTTGCGAATCCAGTTACAGCATTTCCCGCGGGTATCAATGCCGGCGCGACTTGGGATCGAAGTTTGTTGTATGCGCGTGGTGCGGCGATGGGGGCTGAGGCTAAGGGTCTTGGTGTTCATGTTCAGTTGGGGCCTGTGGCTGGACCGCTGGGCAAGAATCCTGATGGTGGGCGCAATTGGGAGGGTTTCTCGGCTGACCCTTATCTCAGTGGTGTTGGGATGGAAGAGACGATTCGTGGAATGCAGGATTCGGGGGTGCAGGCATGCGCCAAAGTATGTTTTTTTTTTCTTTCCCTTCCCATTTGGGAAGTTTTGAGGTCTTTTCTTTTGACTGACTCCGCGAATAGCATTGGCTTGGTAATGAGCAAGAGGTTAATCGTGATACGATTAGTTCGAACATGGGCGATCGTGAGACTCACGAGTTATACGTGTGGCCATTCATGAATGCGGTTAGGGCGGATGTTGCATCTGTGATGTGCTCTTACAATAAAGTCAATGGGACTTGGGCCTGTGAGAGCGACGAGATCCTGAACGAACTTATGAAGAATGAGCTCGGATTTCGAGGGTACATTATGAGCGACTGGAATGCGCAACACACTGGGGTGAACAGTGCCCTGGCCGGATTGGACATGACGATGCCGGGAAGTGATTTTAACACGCCTCGCGGCAGCATTTTCTGGGGCTCAAACTTGGTCGAAGCCGTGTCCAATGGCTCGGTGCCACAATCTCGCCTTGATGATATGGTCACTCGTATCTTGGCTGCTTGGTACCTAGTCGATCAAGACCAAGGTTATCCGGAGGTTGCTTTTAGCTCTTGGAATGGTGGTAAAGCCAACGTTGATGTGACTGCTGGCCATGCCTCTGTAGCTCGTGCCGTGGCCCGGGACTCCATCATTCTATTGAAGAACGAAGCCAAGATATTGCCGCTTGGACGACCGGAAAGTCTGGCTATCATTGGGCAAGACGCTATCGTCAATCCTGGCGGACCTAACGCATGCAGTGATCGCGGTTGTGATAATGGGACGCTAGCAATGGGATGGGGAAGTGGAACTGCCGATTTCCCAGTAAGTTCTCCAGCCAAGGATATGAAGAGATTGAAACTAATGAAAATATATAGTATCTCGTCGGCCCTCTCGAGGCAATTCAAAAACAGGCAGACCAGCATGGAACAAAGATAGTCACCAGCACCACAGATAACTTCACAGCAGGGGCAGAGGCCGCTGCCGCCGCCGAGACAGCAATTGTCTTCATCAACTCAGACTCAGGCGAAGGGTAAGCATTAACCGAAGAGCATCCACTATCTGATCAACCTTGATAATATCCCCAAACCCACAAGATTCTAACATCCACCCAGATACATCACAGTAGAAGGCAACGCAGGAGACCGCAACAATCTAGACCCCTGGCACAATGGCAACACCCTCGTACAATCCGTCGCAGCCGCGAACAAGAACGTGATAGTGGTCATACACAGCGTAGGACCAGTGATACTAGAAACGATCCTCGCGCAACCATCCGTGAAAGGCATAATCTGGGCCGGACTACCCGGTCAAGAAAGCGGGAATGCCCTAACGGACATCCTATTCGGAACGACCTCGCCGAGCGGCAAATTGCCCTACACAATTGCCAGACAGCGCGCGGATTACGGCGCGGGATGGATTAATGCGCAGAGTGACCCCTTTTCCGAGGGCATCTTTGTTGACTATCGCCATTTCGATGAGCAGGGTGTTGAGCCGCGGTTTGAATTTGGTTATGGGCTCTCGTATACGCGGTTCAATTATACTGGGCTTTCGGTTAGTGTATACACAACTCCGGGACCTGCGGTTGGATCTGTTGTTTCTGGTGGACCTGTGGAGCTTTTTGAGTCTGTCGGTACGGTTACGGTTCAACTTGTGAATTGTGGTTTGGTTGAAGGTGCGGAAGTAGCGCAGCTTTATATTGGGTTGCCGGATTCTGCGCCCCCGAGCCCACCGAAGCAACTGCGTGGGTTTGAGAAGGTGAAATTCCAACCTGGTCAAGCTGGTACGGCTAGATTCGAATTGACGCGACGGGATCTAAGTTACTGGGATACACTGACGCAGAAGTGGGTTGTTCCTAGTGGGACATTCAAGGTCTACGTGGGGGCGTCTAGTCGAGATATTCGCCAACAAGCGTCATTTCTTGTTGGAAATTAGTAGTTGAGGTTATTGAGAAATGAGAATATCCTTCAGATCTTGGTATATTGTTCAAGTAAACAGTCTTACTACTATTTGTTCATTCTCTTCCTTCTTCCCGAGGCCCTTCTTTCATTTTCTTTCTCCATCTTCCGATATAGCAACGCAAAGAATAACCAGAAAAGAGCATCAGTATCAGGGCACAGAAAGCAACGCGTCAAACTTCCAAGTGTCAATTTCTGAAAGATCACAGAGTATGACATAAAATGAGTCATGGAGAGAGAACTTTTGCACAGAGAGTCATAAACAGACAGACAGCTTAAGTGATGGGAAACTTGAACAGCATACTGTCCCATAAGAACAAACAGCGCACGAGCACGCAAATAATAATGATAATAATGAAATTGAAATAAAAGAATGGAAGAACGAAGAAAACTTAAATAAAAAAGAGTCTTGAAATTATGAACACTAGAACTGAGCCAGATCGTTTCGAGTCTATTCAATAAAAAGGACGGTGTAGCCGTAAAGAATGTGGGGGCTCACAAAGTATAAGCCTGGGTATGGAGTCTAGCTAGCAGGAGTAGTACACGGGAAATTGGAAAGAAAAAGCAGAGAATAGGAGGGGGAAAAACGCAGACCAGAAAGACAAAGAAGAGAGAAAGTATCATAAAGATAAAAAGCAGGGAAATTCGAAGTTAACTTGAAAAAGAAAAGAAAAACATTCTTTGGCGGAAATTAAGCACAACGGACTGGGACTGTGAAGTCTCCCAGGGTGAGAAATGGCCACTGGCCCGGTGGTCTAGAGAAATCTTCTTTGTTTAAGGCGGAGGAAATCTGGAAGATCGTGAGGAGAGAAATTTGTCGGGGCGGATTGTACAAGTAGTTCGTAAAGAGTGTAGTGGAGGTGGGGTTGTGTTGAGGAAAACGATGAGTGAATGCCATCACGAATTGAGTGAGAGACCCTGGAATCGACTTGTCCACTCAGTTTGTGCTGGGTGCATGCGAGCCGCAGCGTTGCCAGCACCGCCAGAAGGGTAGTCGGCGAAGCCTGGGCCCATAGGACCGAAGCTGGTGGGGGAGTAGGGCGCGAACGGGTCGCCTTGTGTGGTGTCAATCTGACGAGTGGGTTGAGCAAAGGGCTGGTAAGAGTCGGTGAATGCTGTTCGAAGCGCACCCACTGGATTGGGCATGTTTTCACGACCGGCGTCGATCGGATCTCGCCCACCATAGGCACTACCCTCGTGTTGGTGGCGACGATCTGGGTGCTGTTGATCTTGGCTGTAAAGTGGGTTGCTCATACCACCAGGCCCTGGAAGACCGGCAGACGGAGGTGTCACAAAAGAGGCCGGATTGATCGCGGACATCCAGATCCGCGTCTTGTAGATCTTGAACAAGTCGGTGACCAGCGAGTTGAAGTTGATGTAGGAGTCGGCGAAGTAGTAGAAAGTAAGCTTCTTCCAATCCCTATGTTGAGAATTAGTTTGTTTATTTAGAAGGGAGAATAGAAAAGAGGCCCTGGAAAACATACATTTGGAACTCGGCGTCGAGAATTTCCATATTTAGGCGATGCTCAACGACCTTTTGCTGGCAGACCCGCTTGGCCTTGGCTTCGTTCCCTTCTTTGTCGCGCAGGGTAAGAATCTCGTGGTTTTGCGCAAGACGCTTGATAAGTTTCGGCTTGATGTCTGTAGCCGGTTCTTGGACACCGGCGGCATGAGGGCCCATTCCACCTGTCGCACTGCGTGTATTCAAACCGGCATTACCAACATTGGAGCCCTCAACTTGACCCTGTCGGGAGAACATCATGAGCCATTTGTAGTGCTCTTCGGCGTATTGCTGCTTGAGCTCTCGCGCTTTCTGAAGAGAGACATTGGCATGTTGGACAGTGCCCAGGTCGGTGCCTCGATCGGCCTCGACAATGACGAGATCGCCTGATTTCACCTGGAGCCCGGTATCCTCCTGAATGTAGAAGACATCAGCGCGATGGCACTTGAAAGTGACAATGTAGAGAAGCTGATTCTGGTGGGCATGAGACAGCGCAGGTGGCTGTCGGCCATAGGCTCCGGACATGGCGTATTGGTTGAGGGCAGCTGGAATGCCAGAGGTGCCGTCTCCACGTAGAGTTTGTTCACGGGGATAATATGGTTCTGGCAAATGATTTGGATTTAGAGCCGCCTCGGTGGGATATTGATGGAGAGCCGAATACTCACGAGGCTGCATGGACGGATTGGGGTAGTCGCTCGCATTTCCGTATCCGTCATCTCGTTCTCCCAAGCCAGCTCGAGGAGTGGCTGTCGCATGGGAGTCAACTGAGCTGACGGAGGCATGGCGCATTGGAATATCAGCGAATGAGTGGCGGCGACTTTGCGGAATATCGGCCGTACTTCCAAAGCCTAGAGAAGTCTGCCAGTGGCCCTTGCGTACGTTTTCGAGGGCGCGATTCTCCAGAGGAGAGGAAGCAAATGATGAAAACTGCTGCTCCAGGTTCGCCGAATGCTCCGAGTAGCGTCGCCCAGTGTTGCCGCGCATGACACCGTATCCATGGATATCGCGCAACTCCCCTGGATCCTCGGGGGCGATATCTTCCTCGGGAACACCTCCGTGGATGCGATGTGCTGCGTGTAGACCACTGGCAGTGGAGGCAGTGGAGGATGCGCGGTCACGGTAGCGATTATCCCTTTGACCGGCAGCTGCAGCCTGGCGCAAGAGTGCATTCTCGCGCGCGAGTTGTTCAATCGTTCTGGCTTGGCTGGCCGAATAGGCGATATCGCCGTCAGAGCCCAGGCTTGATTCTCCGTCGTCGTCCTCACGGACACGTCCGAGCATTGCAGGATCGTGTCCCAACTCGCCGAGTACGCTTGGCCGTGAGGCCCGAGGCTGGCCAGAAGACATTTGACCAGGGCCGCGAGAACGACCACTAGGATTTGGATACGCACCACCGGTGCTAGGCTTGTTTGCTGCAAGTCCCAGGAACTCTGGGTCCATTTGGCCGACCGAGTAAGATTGTGAACGGTATGTTTTTGGGGTTGGATGGAGGGGAATTGAGAATGGAATGGCCGATTCTCCGGAGATGGTGCGGGCGATGGGACTGAGCATCTCGTCGCCAAGTGAGGCGTTTACAGCTGGAGGGTTGGTCATAGTTGGGGAGGGCACGATCTCCGACAGACGAGGCGGGGGTTCCTTGCGAGATTCTGTGTTCCAGATACCAGTTCCCCACGGGTACTGGTTGCCTCCAGCTTGATTCCAATTGAAGGAGCTGCTGAGGCCAGGGCTGGTAGCTGAAGCCCACGGTGGCTGATCACCGGACGGGCTAGCAGGGTTGGAAGGAGCAGATGCGAGAGGTCCACCGGGGAGTGAATGCTTCCTTTGAATGGAAATAGGCACCTCATTCAGCCAAGATGTCCGACGTACAGGCTTCGTTGCTGGCGCAGTGATGGTCTGAGCCAAAGGGTTGTGCTCGCCGTCGTCATCAGAAGAAGCCAGCGCTTCGGAATCAGGTGTGGAGCGGCGCACTCCAGGATGACCTTTCTCGAGCCTGGTAGCATTCGTTGCAGGCAGCGGAGGTGTGCCCGACATCTGTTTGTGGGGTGGCGCAGACATGATTTCAGAAAATGAATCCTGCTCCGGGGTCAGCGGTTTATTCACGGACTGATATCCAGAATGACCCGGGCTTAGCGGTTTTCGCATCGCCGGGATGTTATTTGCGGGGGTAGATGGAATGCGGAGGGCAGGGTGGATCGGAGGGTTGCTGACCTGTGTCACCGTTGGGTAACGAGTGATGGAACTGTACTGTATAAGCGGAAGTTAGGCTGTTGAGCACACGCGACAAAGCACCAGTCTTTGACCCGCGCGTTTGAGATGTTGGAGAAGGAGAGATCAGTCTCGATCTTTTGAAGATATTGGAATGGATGCGGTATGTGCAACACTGGCAAGAGGAATAATGGTTAGCTTGCTGAAGGAGTGGAAGTGAAATGAAGAGAGAAAAAAGGATTTTTTTGTTTGAAAAAGAGAGGCATGAAAGAATTCTCAAACATGTTTCGAGGGGCAATTCAAAGCAAAGAAAGACGGAGTTGAGCAGAGGGGGCACGTGTGTGTGGCATGACTTGAGGCTCGCGACAAAGCGGGGAGGCTGATGAAGAGCTTCAACGCGCCGCCACAGCACAAAGCCCAATCGCACCGGCGGCGGGCTGAGACAGACTCACGACCGGGCCGTTGGATCTGGAGGGAAGTGGAAGAGGTTGGGCATTGGATCGCATTGGATCGCATCGCATCGCAAGGCAGCGTGTGCAGGGGCGGGCTCCCGGGCGATGCGATAGCGCGCCAGATGCGGAGATAAGGCGACAAATGATAGTGGGAACGATTGAAAGCTCGCATGCGACGAAAGACTCACCAGGTAGAAGAGGAATCTAGGATCAGTCTACGCCCAGGGTAGGCCCGCCAGACGCCTTTGAAAGGCAAGTAGAGTATCAACGAAGGAAGCAGTAATCGTAATCGTGGCTGGAGGCGGAGAGGAATAATGAGCGACCGCGCGATAGAGAGGAGGAAGAGAGAGAGAGAGAGAGAGAGAGAGAGAGAGGAGAAGAAGGAATAGAGAAGGAAAGGGATAGAGAGAAACCGACCACTCTAAAAACGAAGAAATCAATCTATTGAAGAACGCGCCGGTCTCGTGGGTCTCGTCAGAATTTCGACTGCTTCAAGTTCACAAAAAGCGCGGTCACGGGGTTGCGACCGGGGCAAGTCGAAACGCGGAGTCGTGGAGATGTGGGGGGGATCGACGATGGCTGCTTTCTGCTTCTTAACTCTTGGGTCTTGCTCTTGCTCTTCCGTTGATTGAATCTTGAAACTTTGAATTTTCAGGCGAAGTCCTTTATGGGAAAGACCGCCGCCGTGGGAGGTGAGGCAATCAATGCGTTTGCGGAAAGTTGGGAGAGAGAAATAGGGAGAGAGCGGTGGTAGCGTGACCACGAATGACGATATGGAGCACCAAGTCCCTTCAAGGGAGGCGCATGGCGAAGGATAAAAGGGAGTGGGAAATATTAAAGAGAAAGGAGGACAGAGGAGAGATAAAAGTAAAGAAGAAGAGAGGAAGAGAAGGAGAGAGAGAGAGAGAGAGAGAGAGAGAGAGAAGGGAAAGAAGAACAAAGAGGGGGACGGATCTGGCAAGGTCGTCCCGAATTGATGTTCAGGGGACACGGACCATTAGGCTATACGGAGTACTACATTGCATAGGACTAGTATAGTCTGGCTAGTATACTAGTAGAGTATACTCTAGTACACTTTGGACTCTGGATACTATGGATACTCTAGACACTCCTACTCGCTACTTCTGACTGGATTGCAAGCGAGGGCCCAGATTAAAGCCGCTATGCAGCCTCCGTCAGCCCACAGCATCTTTGGCCCCCCCTCCTCGCACGGCCCACACATCGGGTCACACACTTGCGGGGTTGTGGGAGTGTAGTGTGCACACTGTACGGCACTGTCCTGGTTATCTGGCGAGCTACCAGTGCCAGTGGGGAGCAGGGAATCCGGGGGCAAGTGAGGGCACTGGCATGGGGATGGGCATGGGACAGGAATATCCACGTCATGGTCATAACCAGAGTCAATATATTCATGGCCCAACCTTGACCAGTCCTATGGAACTTGAATCACCCACTCTACCCCGGACACATACTTGAATGACACAAATGTGGGGGGGAATGGCCCAATGGGATCATCCAGGCCGATCCATCATTTGCGGGGAGAGCTTGGACACTGACCTTGACACTGGCACTGGCACTACTAGTAGTAACATGCAGGAGGCTTTGCTGGCCCCTCCATTCCACTCCTTTCCGGGTGATTTTTCCTGACCCTTCAGGTTTGGAGTTGCATTCTAGATGATATCTACTAGTACTATAAAAAATATTGGTCGGGAGTACATCTCTGGACTGCATCTCTGGACTGCATCTCTGGACTGCATCTCTGGAGATAGATGTTCTGGACCTCATCCTCATCCTAGTTCCCATCATCCACCACCGTCACCACTCCAGGATCACACCACCATCGTAGGACAGGTAAGATCTTCAACTTGTTTCCCCTCCTCCCGCACCAACCTAATTTGACTTGTCTAAGAGCACCTGGACAAGGCCAAACCACGGTCGCAAATCGAATCATCCGCCCCCTCCGAGCTTCCGAAGCTATACTGCCTCTGCTTGGTTTGGGGTCAGAGGTTATCCCAAAAGGACCAACAGTGGATTAAAAGTGAGTGGACGGGGACGAGGACCGGGGCTTGTGGACTTGTGGATTTGGTGGACCTCGGCGGCGAAAGCAAACAAATGCCCCGCCTTGATCTTCGGTCCGCCGCACAAAGTACGCAGAGTAGCACTTGCAGCAGTGCTTGGAGCAGTACATGGTTACTTGGAGGAACAGACGGTATTCTCGCCACCACATAACTATAGCTCTATTCCATTTGAGTTTGTAGAGTATGTCTTTGTTATTTGATTTGATTTGATTTGATTATTAAAGTTATTTAAGTATAATACCTAGTAGGTACTTCATAGTAGATACATCTTCATCCCATCTTCCCCTTCCCTTTCCCTTCCCCTTCACCTTCACATGGCCCGACGATCGCCCTACTGCAACGCCCCTCTTGTGTGCATCCCCCGCAATCCAAAAGGGTTCAGCTTCCCTTCTCGCTAAAGCCCACTCTGAGATCTGGGCGAGCCCCGTTCAAGTTCTAACTAGTGTTTCATCCAATATGGGGTCTCTATTTTAATCTAGGAGGGATTGTCACCAGATTCGCCTACATGTATTCACCCATGTACTGTACCAGTGGGCAACAAATTCAATTTCTAAAGCAACTTTACTTTAATAATAGATTCGCTAGACTGAATAATTTACATACAACTCCTATTTTGTTAAACCCTGTCGTGCTGGGTAGATTTGTTAAATCCTGTCGTGCTTGGGATAGAGCATTCCCATCCCAGTCAAGATATCCCACACTCTATCTATCGCCTTGCGCATGCATCGACAACAAATTAGAATCTAAGGCGCACTGTCCAGCGGGCTGCTGGCCGTTGCGCCCTCGCCCTTCTGCTGTCGCAGCTTCTCTTCGAAGCGAGCGAATTCATGCATCGAGATCGCCTCTTCTTGATCAATGACCTGCTCCACGCCCTGGACCTCCTCGATCTGCAGAAAATTCGAGTCAGTAAATGGACCAACATAGATCACCTCGCCCGCGCCCTAGCCCCAGCTGCTGAGCGGTCCACGGAAAGCAATGGGAGGCGTATTGGGGGATTTGGGGTGACTCACATAGTGCATGAGCATGGACTCAATACCATTCTTCAAGGTAACAGTGCTAGAGTCACAAGTACGGCAAGCACCACGAAGCTTAAGCATAACAATTCCATTCTCGAACCCACGCAGCTCGATATCACCACCATCCTCCTGGATAGCGGGGCGAATGCGAGTTTCGAGAAGTTCCTTGATCATGCTAATGACCTCGTCATCCTCCTCATTAAAGGCAAGGGAGTCGTTATCGAATTCCTGCGCGCCCTCCGATCCGTCAGATTCCACTGTCGACACAATCGTCTCACCGGAGGTCACGGTTTGCGTGATGAGGCTGAAGACTTCCGGCTTGATGTGCGCCCAGTTGATGTCGCTGGACTTGGTGACGGTGATGAATTCGGGCCCGTAGAAGACGGAGGTTACGCCTTCGACGTCTAGGAGCTTTGCCGCGAGTGGGGACGGGTGCGGTGGTGCGAGGGTTGAGCGGGGTGTGAGGTATTCGAGGAAGGACGAGGGGAAGTCTTCAGGGATGACGCGGTGGTTGGGAATGAATTTCAGGGCCTGTTGAAGAGTTAGTTTTTGTTTTGTAAGGGAAGGATGCTTGGTGATGGGTCATCGGGAAACTCTTACATCGGGGTTAGGTGTGTTTTCCGTCTGGATGAAGATGGTGCGCTTGCTGGTCGGGGACAAGCCGTTGACTCCGCTGGATGCAACGGGTTGCTGATGCGGTCGGACTGTCGGCCTGCGACGAGTCTCTGAAGCTGTGAGTGTTGGCAGACGGGCAGCGCTGGATACGCTCCTGAGATGGGGCGAATGCTGCAGGCCTGATGATTCGGCTGCATGACTCGGAGACGGAGGAGCCCAGGCGGGCGCCGAGCAATGCGCGACGGAACATGGTGGTAGATGTTGAGCTCATAGACATATTATGGAGGGGCCTCGGGGTATTGTATGTTGCAAGAAAAGGAAAGTGAGAGTTATCTGTATCGGAGTAAAAAGTTGAAGAAGCGCCGCATTTCGGCTCTGACGCAATTACCCGGTCAGGTGACTGGTTATAGGGGAGGGATGACAAATGGGACAAATGTGCGGCACGCGACTGGTCAATCTGACCAGGTGGACCCACACCTAATAGATACTGATCAGTATAAGGGCATTTTTTGAAGTTAAGTCAAGTAAAGGAAATTGATTTCCCCAGGGTTACCTCGCCTTTTTCATATCAAAACTTATCGGCTTACAGATTATCTTTCAAAATTCCCCTGGGGATAACCTTTGCTTTCTCGTGGCCGCTTCGTGTTTAGGCGAACCTACCTTAAGGTACTATCCGAACCATGTCATCGGTGTATCCGATGCTGTCAAGAAAGAGGATATGATTATAGAAAATTCGACTACGTGGATAATGTTTGCGCATATTTGATAGTACCTTAGCCATTGAAAATTCCGCCAAATCATAATTGGGATTGGTGGTGCTCCCGCTGATTGAGAGCACAGCTTATTCATCATCTCAAGAGTAAGCACTCGAATGGATCAATCATAGTAATAGAAACGAGGGTGATAATAATGATCCAGAAGCAAAAAGTGACCAATTTTCCGATTATCAGTCCATTGACACTGCCGCATGACACAGTCTGCGTCTTTCCTTCAGCAATTAAGCTTGCCACATTTGGCACAAGAATCTCTGACCCCATAATCGCAAGCCTTTCCGGTTCCTCCCTGGCACTCGTAGACATGGCTATTGATGCAAGCCGAATTTATTAGTTGATTACCACAGAACTGTCCCTGGACCTTGTTGCAAACGCATTTAGTAGCTTTGCAGGCCCGTTTCTCGAACTGGTATCTCTTGTGTTAGATACCACCATATCTACTTCACTTATTGAGTATTTTGACTTGCAATGTTATCGAGTTCTCTCTTCATCGGCTCCGGAGCGGCAGCGCGAGCCTCCAGTGGCTCGGGAGCAGCAGCAGCAAGGGCGGTAGAGGCCAGGGCCAGAAATGTGAAGAGACCAGTGTACTGAAATGTGGCTGTCAGTGGTCAAAATCTTACGGGATGTTTGGATTTTCCGTTACCTTCATTTTGAATTGATTGAGGGCTGCGGGAAGCTTTTTGAAAAAACGGAAGACTTGGAATTTAGTATACTAAAGCTTGGTGTCCTGGAAAGTCTCCCAAGTGCGTTGGAATCGAACTCATTTTATAGACCTCTGCCCCGGGCACGAGACATTATCCATGAAGATAATACGAGCTTTTCCATGGAGAGAATACGAACTATGTGCTGATCCTAGCTCAGATAGTCCTTTAACAGACCATTCAGAATGTCCCCTCTTATGCGTAGGCAAGTTGATGGCTGCTAGTCTTCGTGTTCCCAATTTCGATGTAACCTAAGAGCGCAAGCGGCTCGTGTTGATCAGGGGTGGTCTGTGACTACTAAGCCTTTACATACCCCATTGGAGAGTAAAGAAAAGCCCTGATGCATACTAGTAAGATGTGAAGAGGTCTATTTCCAGACTATAACAGGATCCCCGCACAAACCGGACCCCGCGTTGTGAAGAAATCTCAAGGTTTTACTGGTATGCCCGCAACTAAATTTCACTACATATGTGTCGACATTAATTACATCGATAATTTACATCTCTGACTTGATAACAACAGCTTCGGATTATTTTCGACTGCTGCTAGATGATATTTATGCAAGTTGGTCAAAGATCTCAGCCTGCAAGCACCCAAGGGAAATTGTGATTGATTGAAGCCCTGCAGAGGCCCCGATTCATAGTTCAGCCTTCTTGGTAGCCTGCATTTGCTGCCACTCCCCGCTTTAACTTTAGCTGTGAACATTACAATACCAAAACCTAGATTTTATATTAATTATCAGCCAAATCGCACTATGATGTCGATGTGACCTAGTTGCAATGATGCATTGAAACAGTGCCGCGGGGTATATGGCAGCAACAAGTGGCAGAAGAAATCTGCTATTTGGGCCAAATCTAATCCTTTAGGAAGGGGGCAATGCAAAGCCCAGCCTAGGCAGCTGTACGAAAGCCGCCTGGCTTCAGCGATGTTTCTTGGTGGCACTAACTGTACGATAGAATTACCTCGTTTGGCTGAACGAGACAAGGAGAGCCTGGTCACCCGTGCCCTTGGTTTTTAGTTGCACCAGAAACTTTGCAGAATGGCATATAAGGTCTGCATAATGCTCGGTGACCCTCGCCAGGTCCTTCTGTACTAGATCGGCGGCCTATGTTGCATATGAATGGGTAGTATCAGCTGAAGGAATGTCTCAGAGAATGAAAGATATGTGGCCACGAGAATAACCGAGAAAAATAAGGGGCTAGCCAATCAAAGAATAGAGCAGAATAAAGATATTTCAGTATAATAGGTGCGACTCTGCGCATCATAGAGAATGGTATTCAATCGCGTCGGAGAAAAGTTCTTGACCAAGGCACCCCGAGTTTCCCCTGCATCTTGCCGAAGGTGCGACCAAGTTCATCTCTGAGAGAAGCCTGTTCAAAGCCTTTATTTGACTGCCGATTTGAGTCCCTAGTTTGAATGAGATGGTCGGCGTGCCCCTATTAGCTCTGGGAATTTGATGAGGGAGTCGAGTATCTCATTCATGGGTTGGCGCCAAGGGTGATCGAGGTCTGCTTCCTCCGGAATGGGTTGTAGCCATACGCAGATCGTCGCATCCGGATGGCATTGCATATCGAAAGAGTCTCTTATCCATTCAATCAGGGGTTCAGCTTGATTTTGCGTCGCCTGCACGCATTGCATCCTTCGACCTCAGGATTTATATGGAGGCCCTCCCAGGTGCAATGCGACTAAAGACTGGAGCCAAGCTGCCGGAGAGCCATCCAATCAAGTCTCGGGAATATCAGCCTGAATATACTCAGAGTCGGATACCCAGATCCTCGGATCTTCAATATTTGGATCGGCACCTGGCAATGTTTCCCGTAGAGTATGGGGTAAGACTGGATCACGTGTATATGTGGCTGCGACTGGCGGCAACTTGTTGGCCTCAGGCATCAAGATGCCTCTTTCGGATCATTTTATTTTTTGCTCTGCGGGCCCGCTAACTCCGAGCTCTCTGCGAGAAACTCACCTCTCATAACCTTTCCGAAAACGACTCAAGCGACATTCTAAGTCACTGGGTGAATATGACGGACTGGTATCGAGTTATAGCGCCCTGATCTGTCGAGCAAAAATGCCCGGTTCTTGCGAAGTGTGTTCTTCGGAACCATCCAAATACCGCTGTCCGATCTGCGCGTTGATGAGGTACCAAAACCTGCACCTTGGAAGATTTAGAGATGGTTGACTGACACAGCTTCTGCTCCTTGAAGCTGCTCGCTCGCGTGTACTCAAACTCATAAGATTTACTGCGCGCCCAAGCAACAAGCCTCGAACGAGTCATCTACACCAATCAATACCGAACAACCCGTGCAAAATGGCGTCACACACCACGAAGAAACAGATGGCGCCGTGCGCGGAGGTGATAAATATAAGCCCGCATCTATTGCGGCCTCTCCAGAGCTGACGGAGCTCTTTCGCCGGCAGCCAAACCTCCGAGACCAACTGCACGACATATACCAGTCAACACTCGAAGACGAATGGGTAGAATGGTACACGCCTCCTTCAAGAGGTCGCTTTAATGTTCGAGGTGGGAGAGGTGGGAGAGCACCCACCCGTCGCAGTCGTGGTCCATGGACTTCCGAGAAAGGTTTCAACCGCGGTGTGGGGAGGGTGCGAAAGTTCCGACAGGACTGCGAAGAAGGAAGCGAGACCGGGGCTGGTGCCGAGGCCTTCATGCGATTCTGGGCCTTGGTTAACAATAGCCAAGACGGGCAACCGGACCAGTCAAGGAGCTCAAGTTAGCGGGTTATGCATTTCATAAGGCGTTCGGTTGGGTTGGTTCTTTTATCGGGCTTTCCAGTGGTCATTGCGGGACCATGAAATTGAGTGTACGAATACATGGAGATAATGCCCTTAATCTGATCTTGATAATTTGTTATTTTATTGAGAAAGTGACTGGGCCAAGATACTAGTAGTGCTGCCCAGGCGTATCCGTGGTTACTAGTAGTGTGATCTGCCGTTGAGTTTAGCGCAGGGCTGGGTTTGAGATATAAAGATGGGGAAACAAGATCAGACGTTTGACGATGAAACGGGGAGATCAAACTTGCCGAAACAGGACCCAAATATTGTTTCATTTATGGGTTTACTATTTGCCTATGCTACGTACACAAGCCCCGCCAAACGTCTTAGAATAGACCATTCGATGTGTAGGTTTACGTGGAGACTACGACATCTATGCCCCAGTATTCGGATAGGCTCCACTAATTCAAGCAAAATGACTCAGATTGAAAGATTCAAGTAAGTCTTTGAGACTACTATTTCGGTCTATCTATAAATGGTGTCTCAAGGGAGGCGTTTTTCTACGGTCTCTGACTTGTTTCATTACCCTTTCCCAGGACAGATGCAGTGCGCATAAACAGGGCTATCTCACAAAGAGGCTGAGACGTCGCATATGATACACGAATTTTTGAAAAAGAAACTTGCGTCATCTCCGCCTGGCATTAAATTGGGATGGCATGTTGCTTACAGGGATAAGTGGAGCCCCCCTAAGCGATAAGTATTGTCCAGTCTTTAGCGACGGTGGCTCGAATTGGTTCATTTGGCTCAATAATTGTGATCCTACCAGAGGCCCAAGCCCGGTAGAGGAGCCGCGGGGTTGACGCATGGTGAGATGGGATTCGTCGGTTGACAGCTGCTAGGCTAGAGCTGCAGGAGCTACTTTCGCCTGGGGGGGCCCCTCACTGAGCACAGCACGAAAGAACGCAACACAGAACTCTGAGCGAGTTGGCCCCAAATAGCATCTTATTTTGAGCATATCAAGGATGCAGAGAGTGGCCGTGTGGTTCATGGGATGAGAGATACATGAATCGGACTGGTCAGGTTTCTGGGCCGTGCGAGGCTAAACCAGATGTCCCTTTTTTTTCTTCTTCTTCTCAGGCCCCGCGAAGGACCTGTCTGGGCCCCTGGCTGCTTGGTATTGTGGTATGTATTGTGCATCCACCACGACCCGAGGCCTCGGTTGCGTGGTGCGCTTGGCTCTGGCTTTCATGCTTCCCCGGGACCAAAGTACCCTAGCTGATCCTACTCAGGTCACATCGTGGCCAGCCTGGTATACAATAGTCGCTTTCGTACTCGGGGCTCATTTGAACAACGCATGCGCATTCATCGGCTGAACCGAGTCGGAGTGGGGTGGCGGTGGAGGGATGGATCCATCGTGAAGTCTGAAGTCGTGGCGTCTGGATACCGAGTGGCAACTGTAAACAGCAGAAGTGCCAGGTGTTCGGAGAAGTATGGAGTATATAGTCAGTTAGTGTAAAAAACAGGAGTTCCCGGCTCAGCTCAGGTTGTTCGGCCAGGGAGCTTGACTAGCGAATGAACGACGGAGAACCGGTGGAATGGCAATGGGCGGGCTCGTGAGATCTGGAGAACGGGGCCACCGATCACTCCAATGAGAATCCAGAGTTCAGCTCCCAACCAGAATTGGGATTTTTGAGATTTGAGATTCCAGGAAAAAGATGGGAATAAAATAATAGTACATAATAAAAAAAATACCAGATCCCCAGAACCGGGAACATTGTCAAGGGTCCCGCGGTGATCTATCGATCTGGTATCTTTTTTTTCTCCTATTTTATTTTATTATATTTTATTGCATTTTTCCCTGTTCACTATTCACTCTGTTCATTGATAAATGATTGCAAGTCTCCAACTCCAATCCTCTCTTCCCCTTTGACGGCGGGTTCCCACTTCCCACCGTTCCACGGGTCTCTCTTGTCTTTGCCTCATTCCATATCTCCGAGCACCACTTCTTCTCTCCAATTCTCCAGTCTCACCCCCTTCTCTTTCCCCCCACTCCTACACCTCCCCGCCTTTAGGACTCTTGTGTAGGGTCCGAATTGGTTTGCTGCCGACAAGAAGATCCTATTCACTGCGATCCGACCCCCGAATTCAATTAGTCTCAACCCGCTGGGAAACGATGGATATGCTGCTGCAGCAGTCCGCACCAATGCAATAGCCGGATACACTGACGCCTCTCCCTCCTCGCAACCACACTTTCCCACCACATCCTCACCTTCGAATCGCCACCATCCGTTGCGGCCCTCCATGTCTTCACAAGCTCGTCGAGAGCGAGCCATGAGTGATCGAGCACAAGCGATAACTGCAGCCCCTCCGCAGCGACCCGGAATGGGGAGTCGGACTTCATCAGCCCCATCAGGTGCATTACACAAGTCGGATCCAGGCCGCAGGTCGGGACCGAATGTTGGACACACCCTCATGGAAGAAGAGGAAGGACCTTCGGATGGGAGCCGCAATGCGCCGAAGCGATCCCGCTCTCGGCAGCCCGGCGACGAGGTGCGTAGCACATGTACTCACGTACTGGGTCATCCATTCCCCAGTCAATCGCGCAGCAGCGTGCAATGGGATCGTCTGATTACTAAAGGCAGTATTCTCCCCTGCAGGAACCCTCCAAACCCGGTCTACCGGAAGTGACCATCGCCGTCGTTGGTCAGGATAATGCGGGCAAATCGAGTTTCATCAAGTGTGCCTTGGATATGAAGAATACCCCGTCATCTTTCTCAACGAAGAAGAAGATGTCTCTGGATGGCTCGGTATACATGGTTCGTTTGTTGGAGATTGAACTACAGAAAGTCACTTTGAGCCAAGACCAAAGTATAGTCTGGCCACGACTGGAGAAGGACACTGCGCCTCCCGTTGTCGATGGTGTTTTGTTGCTTCACGATGCTACCCAAGCCGATAATTTCGACGAGGCCAAAGAACTCATAGGTATGTTGAGAATGTTCTATATCGCATACCATCCGCCTGTCCCCGTCTTCCTCTCCCGGGGTTCTTTGTGGTCGACTTAGACATGCATCTGTTTGCGTTTGATCTTTCTTTCCTCTTTTTTCCAATAAAATCTCGACTTTCAGCTGGCTGACCTCGGTTGAACTCAGATGCACTTGACGCACCCCCTTCCCCTTCCCCGTTGTTACTCGTTGCCTGCAAATGTGATTTGCGACCAGAAGACAGCGAATTGGCTGTGGTTCACGAGCGGCACGAGATCTACCGAACATCGCCCGACTCACCCCGATCGCAGCAGATGTGTATCGCTTTGGTCTTGCGAGCTGTTATATCGCATCGAGCAGGTGAGTGAATCTCATGATCTCCCCCCCCTCTCCCCTCTCCCTTATTCGTTGTGGAGAAGAGAAAAGGATTGTGAGCCATGACCCCTGCCACTCCAAGTGGGTCACGGCACTAGCATTTCGCTACTCGTACCCTTTCCCTTCTGTCAGAGCCCACCGATCGACAGAGGAGCCCCAAGAGCGAAAGGAGTCCTCCAAATTCGTGGCGTTCCACTGTTTCTGGCCACCGCTAACCGGATCTTATTCGCCCAGACCTCGCCGCTTCGTCTGACCGTAATCCTAATCCTCCCCTTTCCCCCGCCCCGCCGCGGACGACCACAAAGTCCTTTCAACCCACTCCTCCCCACGACTGGCATCACTCCCGATCAAATTCATCAACCCCCACCGCCATCTTCACCGGAGCCGCTGGCGGCTCGACAATTTCAGTCTCGGATCGTGTCGAAGGGAACAGCGGTCACCGTCTGCACAGCGAACCGGCCATCCCTTCTAGTCTGGCGCAACAGCATGCTTCTAGTTTATCGCGAAATGCCAGGAGTAATTCTCAGCCGGTTCGACCGCTCACCCCGCCATCTGGCGCGCGACTGAACAATCGTCGACCGTCCGCACAGCTAGACAACTCCCCGACTCTGGAAAACTGCCACCAACGTACCCCGTCCGCCTGGCGGCAGAGTGGAGCCTCCGACGCCTTTAATAGCTTCTTGAACATGGAGGACGAGATAGAGAACGGGCAAGCCATGCCCCCGGACAATGTCCTGCGCCCGAAACCCAGCAGCGAGAGCAATTCCAGCGCAGAGTCGGGATTCAGCTTTGACGAACTGGTTGACCGTCTTGTCGCACAACCTATGTCCAAACAAGACTCGAAATTCGTCTCCATATTTTTATGTCTATACCGAAAATTCGCCGCCCCCGGGGCTCTCCTCAATGCTCTGATCACCAGGTTCGAGAAGAACGAAACTGGCAACAGTGACCAACTCGCCCGCATGGCAGACCAGCTGCGATTGCTCAATGTGATTGCACTGTGGGCCTCAGATTATCCCGGCGACTTTGCCCACAACAAAACTCGCAAACGAATCAACGACTTCGTGGCTACTCTCGAGAAGAGCCACTTTTATATGTTTGCAGCCAAAGAGATTGGGTCTTTCCTCGACTCTAATTCCGAAGATGACGATGCGGGCTGGGCCTTCAGCGATGGAGATGCTGATGATGCCAGCCCCACAGAAACCTTCTTCGACAACTCCGGACGGAGTTCGCCGGCCCCGTTCCTGACAGGCACATATGACGATGGCGACGACAATGACGACGATGAGGAGGAAGATCCCATTTACAGCATGAGCAATCTGGACCTTAGTGATGGTCCACATGACTCAACGTCACGCCTATCGGGAACACTATCCATTTCATCAAATACCGACAAACCGTCTGGTACAATGAACCAATCATTTTCGCTCTTGACTGTGGAGGCTTCGCAAAAGGAAGCCCTGCGCCTAGAACTGAACTCCCGAACCATGCTCACGAAAATCCAATGGCGATATTTCATGGAAACTCCCGATGAAGATTTTGCGCGAGAGTTGACTCGAATCGATTGGATAATGTATAACTCATTCCGACCCCGAGATCTCGTGCGGCATGTGAGTTTATCGGGCGTGGAGAAGGATAAGATCAAGAGCTTGCAGAACGTGAATAGGATGATCCGACAGTTCAATCATCTTGCCTTCTTTGTGGCAAGCATGATTCTTCTTCGTGACAAACCAAAGCACCGAGCGAGGTGCCTGGAGAAGTTCATGTCGATCGCCGTCAAACTCCGCCGTCAAAATAATTACAACTCCTTGGGCGCACTTATTGCTGCTATCAATGGTACCCCTGTCCATCGTCTCACACAGACACGGGAATTGATTCCCATCCAAAACCAGAAGGATTTCATGCGCCTTGTCATCCTTATGAGCACCCAGCGAAGTCACTTCGCTTATCGCCTCGCGTGGGAGAACTCTTTTTCCGAACGCATTCCTTTCCTCCCGCTCCATCGCCGTGACTTGGTTTCCGCGGAAGAGGGCAACAAAACATTCGTCGGCGAGAACAAGTCCCGTATCAATTGGAAGAAGTTTGAGGTCATGGGCGAGGTAGTCCTTGGTATCCAACGAAGTCAACAATCACCTCATCCTCAGGCCCAAAAGTTTGACGATATCGAAAGAATGGTCCTCGACTCGAAGTTGTCGGGCGACGAAGAGGTAAGCAGCGCCCCTTGTTCTCTACCAAAGTCAATATTCTAACCCGTGATTTCCGCAGGACTTATATGCCCGCAGCCTTCAAGTTGAGCCAGCCACCGGCAGCGAGGCCAGCCGGAAAAAGTTCGGCTGGTTACGCGCATAGGCCAACACCCACCTCATTTCCTAGAAGGAAACATCACCTATTCAACTATCCATCATCCTAAATCATCCTAGGACCTCTACCTACTCCTTGATCTTTTATCCGCCATACCCCTTTATCATGTCGAAACGCTTGCTATGATTGATAAATACCGTCTGATTTTGCTTCACCATGCTTTGAAGGCTAGCACCACAGCATGAAATGATGTGACGCTTGGAATGACAACGTTTTAAAAGCTCCCTTACCGATTTTGTACATAGGAGTGCGTTGATGGACAGTGATGGTCGTCGGTCACGACACAGAATTATCATACCCAGTATATATGACGAGCTAAACTTTGAATCTCTATTCCTTGTAAATCAAAATTAAAACAATACTAGTACTCACTCCTGAAGTCTCTATCGAATATTCCACCCCCGACAGACGAGGATCGTGGACTAGGAGGGAGTCAGCCACGAATAGGGAGTCGGTCACAACTGGGCGGTCGAGCGATGTTTTAGGATATGAGTGTTGAAAGCATCTCAAGTAATAGATGAGAGGTCTTACAACCTTACAGGTTATAGGGGGAAGGTTTCGAGTCGTGATTGACCGCCCAGTCGTAACCGACTCCCTACACGTTCTGAGGAACGAACTTTGCGGTCCTAGGAACAACGTACAGCATTCCCAGGGCCTGTTTGTTTCCTAGGAACTGGTGAAAAGGACCCTGGGAACGGCGGTAATGGCCGTAGGAGCTTATCAGGTCTGATTAAAAACGTACAAATCGCTGAAATTGCGAAATCTAGTAGTATGATGATCTATAACTACCCGAAATCGTGTTGATCTAGAAGTACGTACAGCATAGCACAATGTTTCTTAAGGCTCTGCAGGGACAGCGTAAGGAGTAGCTTAGGGCCAATTATGTCGCGCTACTAATAATGCCCAGCCTATGAACGTTAGTCCAGAGTCGTTTTGAAGAATCAGTCCTCTCATCACATAGCGTCTCAAAACGTATATCAGACTGCTTCTCCTTCCTATCTAATGCTCGTTCTCTGCTGCCTCTATCTTGCCCTACTACTAAATATTGCTGTTGGTTTGAGAAATTCCGGTAAACATATCGAACAGACTGACAAAGTCTAGAACGAGCTCTATTCAATAGACTGCCATACACACTAATAGCAGACGCCCAATAATCGAATCGTTACAATATCTCAAGCGCTGAACAAACCACATCCAATCCTCCTATATACAGGAGTAACCAGACCCTCCAGAATGAGTCAATATACGAATCCTAGCATACCCATATCGACACCCATCATGAAGTCTCAAGTCTGTATTCCCATCCGCAGCATTATACAGCCTATTATTAATGCCATCGATGTCCAAAGCGACCTCGCATCTTTTAAACCCGATCAGCGGACGACGTACTCGAACAGACTTTCCTGTCTCATTCGAACTAATCCGATCGGTGTAGATCGATGGGTGCATGGCGATCAGTAGTCCGTATGTTGTGGCGAACCTGGTCCAGAGACATATTTTGCTGACTGTTGGGAGGTTGTCGGTTATCCAGGCAAGAGTGAATGATCCGATGAAGATGTATGAGTAGAAAAATGGGTTGTAGTATGGGATTGTGTAGTATATATTATATGGTTTTCGGGGGCGCTCGTCATCGTGGGAGTTGTTAGGGAGTAGGCGGGTATTGTCTGGCATTGTGAATATTTAGGGAGATAGATGGGGGAACAATCAGCAAACAAGGAGCCATTTTCACTGCAAAATCTTCAGGCCCTGCAGATCAAATTCTCCACCAACCTGTTATCAGTTCATCACAGCTATATATAATCCTATGCTGAAAAATCGCGTATTCTAGGCTTCTCCTGTCCCCGCAGTTCAGAATTCAACCACCAGGCCCTTAGTCCAAGATATGGTTGGGGGCGGTGACATTATATTATATTGACTCATTTACGACCCTAACCCGGAACCGTCTTGGCAGCGCTAGGGCCAAGCACTAAATTACAAGTCTTTCGCTTTGGCCTGCACTCGTACATGCAGCCAACCATATCAGCCCGGGCGCCCAGCAGTGGGCCCAATATCGGGCGCCTTACTAGAAAGTCTCGGCCTATAAAACATGAAGCAGAGCCACGATACCTTCAGGGTCTGAGTGAAAATTCATTTTCCATTCTTCATCTTTCAAATCCCCACTGATATAAGACTCTGCATACTACACCTACTGCCCCAGAATCGTCGAACTCCTGCCGAATAGCAGCATCACGAAAATGAGCGCCTGGTACAAACGACCACTCGACTGGATTTACTTTCGACGAAAGAAGACTAAGACACGCAGTCATTCGCAGCGAGTCCGGGCTCGAGAACGAGAACTGAGACGGCAACAGAATGGCGAGACTAGCCACGACAAAAAATGGCACTTTGACCCCTTCAACGGGTTGAATACGCGCTGGAGTTGATATAAGCCCAGTTGTGAGAAAATCTTGGCTTTCTGCGGGTTCTTGTTGCAGGTCCTGCATCGGTCACGATAAAGCAGCCACACACACACACACACACACACACACACACACACACACACACATGTATATATATATAAATATTATTTATCCCTTCCACGGTTCATCTTCGCCTCGGTCAGCAAAGACAACAAGCGCGGACCTCATTCCACGTCTGCCGCACGCTTGCAATGAGGCCTGTTCTCGCCGAGACGAGATGAGCAGAGATAATTTGATCCGAACCTCGACGGAGAAGGAGTAGGAAAGGCCTGCGACACCTCAGCTATCTACATAGAAGTCCCCTGACCCAGCCAGCAACCCCGACACTAACGGTGTCTCGCCGGGTCACGTGCCCAGCAACGGCCCTTTCGGGCTTTATCACCAAATAACCAATTTACCCTCCGATCAAAAAAACCCCCAAACCAAACCACATCCAAAATGACACAACCTCTCACAAACCAAGCGCGAAGCACCTACCGCGCCCTCCTCCGCGAGATCCCCAAGGTGTCAAAATCCACCCCATCGCCAATCCACGCCCGCCTCAGAACCCTCTTCCGCTCCGAGCCGCAAACCGCCTCCACAATCAAGACAACTTCCCCAGCCTCCTCAATAGCAGGGACCAGCGGCACGGACGCAATTCCCTTCTCCACCCCGACCACAAACGAAGAACGCGCTTTGCGCTTGCAGGAGGCTGAGCAGTTGGCGCAGTATGCTCGCGCGCAGCGCACCTATGCGTCCCTGTTGGAGCGGTATAACCCCGGGATGAACATGGATGAGGAGGAGAAGATTCGTCTTACGGCCCGACGGGTTGGTATGGATTTGCCTGATTTGTATGAATCTGAGAAAAAGACCGAGTGAGCTTTTCCTTCTTCCGTCGGGGTGTATCGATAGGGTTAAGAATGGCGTCGTTCAATGCATGGATCGTAACCGAGCATGAGGCTTTACATGCTTGGAGGCTATTGGTACAATTTGGAGGAAGTGTGGACAGTTATACAGGAGGAACCTGGGTATCCGGATACCCTGTGAGATTGTGTACTATATTTCATGGCTATTTTTGTACAAAATCCACTCGTTGTGGAATTCATGATATCTCATCTTCATCTGATATGGCTGTACTTGTAGCTGGGTCTGTGAGGCTGGCGGTGGTTGTAGTTGTCTCGAAAAGACTAGGTCAATTGTTTGCCAGTCGCGAGTTATGTTTACGCCATATCTAGGCGATGCCAAGTGCCTATAATCTCCAGGGGAGTCCTTGGCAACCATAACTGCCCCTGCAGCGCTGCTGTCAAGCCATGTCAGACTGTGCTTGAGCAGCATGGGAATATGGGCGACTGATGTTGGCCATGGACATAATATAGTAGCCTGCGACACATTTCCAAAATGGGCTGCGAGCAAGCAAGGTGGGATGGGCCATTCTTCATGGGATGGATCATTCTTCATGGGATGGATCAACCTTGGTGGACATCTCAGCTGTTGGTTAACTGAGTGCGCTCCATCTGGCGCATCAGTGTTGAGCTACCTTCCTCATCTTCCATCCCAACCTCAATCGCAGTCTTGGGTCGGTTGCGGTTGAGACCTTCTAGGAGAGTGCATGCCTTGCAGACCCGTTGACTGGAGATGTAGCCGCAACGCTCACAGTGACCCAAGGTCTGGCTTTTAACAGCCTTGGAGCTTTTGACGGTCTTCTTTGTGTTCTTTTGGGGAAGTTGAATCTCCGTCTCGTGTGCCTCGGCAGTCTCATTCTCAGTCAACTGCTTTTCCATGGCTGCCATCTCGCCACCACTCGTGCGTCCATTTTGGCTGCCGCAACCGCCGGTGTTCTCTTCCTCTGCTGCTGTGGTAGTTTTCGAAGATTTGCCATTTTGGCTCGTGTCTCGCGGGACGAGGGCGGCCATATCCTCGCCGCTCTTGACAATGTCCAAGATGGAGCTGGGCCGGATCTTCTCGAGGTCTTTGACTAATGTACGGGCACTGCCACGGAATGCCTCTGGAGAGTAGATACACTCGGTTGTGAAGTAATCGAGTTGGCGGTGGTGGGCGTAGAGAACAATCTCTTTCTCGTAGGCGTACTTCAGCGGTTTGCTTCGCTTGATATCCGAGCCGCCGGAGGCAGTTACAATACTGGTTCCGCGAGAAAGACGAGGCAAATCGCCACGAAGCAAGTTCATCATGACAGTTTCAGCAACGTCGTCCGCATTGTGACCCGTGACGACATGTTGGATGTCCAAACGCGCCGCACCCCGATCAAGCGCCTGTCGCCGAAACACGCCACAGTATGTGCAGTTTCCCTTTTTGCCAATTTGCTCGACAACCTGATCCATAGTCCATCCGTATAATTCGCCATATCCCACGATCGTCAGCGGCATGTCGTATTGCTTAGCATTGCGCTTGACTGTCTCCAGACTATCATCGCGGTAGCCGCGAATACCCTCATCGATGGAGAGTAGGCAGAGGTCTAGTCCGTAGTTATATCGTTCGTTCAGAGTTTTCAAAACTGCTGCTAGGACTGTGCTGTCTTTGCCGCCGCTGGCTCCGATCGCGATTCGTTCGCCGGGGAAGAAGAGGTTTGTGCCGGTGATCGTTTCGTGCACCTCGGTCTCGAAAACTTCGATGAAGCAGGCCCGGCACAATTTGTGTCTGTTCTTGGGTCTGATAATAACAGCGCGCGCCTCCTTGCAGTTGAAACACGTCGTTGGGGCCATGATTGCGTGGTGGTTGTAGAGGATTCATGGAGGGGCAAAAAAGAATTTCGTTTCCCCGCGGTGGGCCCGTGCCTTCCACCAACTGGCGTGCGTACGGTATACTTCCAGCGTATCAGGGGTTTCCTTTAAAGAGAAAATGATGAGGAACAAATATACAAACAGGTTCTAAAAATGGGAATTGATTTATTCACTACCTATTTAACTATAAACATGAGAAGTAAACATATTCGCATGCGACTCGGAGCGTCACATAGTAAAAGCGCTATTCCCGAAATGAGTCGTAAGTCAAGACAACAATTTCTCATTTCTCACTCTGGCCCAAAGTGTGTGGCTTTCCCTTTCGTAGTAAAATATTGGCCGAGCACGCTGGCAATCTGCTTTTTTTCGCCATCTGACGAGCAAGGTGGTGAATATGGTGCCTCCGATGGACAAGGGAATATGGTTTCGATCGATCTGCATAAAGTTTTAGATCACTATTGAGCTTCTCAGCAAGAAGGTCCGTCTTTTCTTCGGAGAAGGCGAAGGATGTTCCGATGATTTTCAAACTTTTGGCAACATGATGTAGATCGGGTGAATGCCAATCCGTTGATACCCAGGCTGGCTTGACATTCCAGGGCCATCGGCGTTCTTTCTTGAATGCCTCCCACCAGTCTTCAATATGCAATCGCCCTTTCTCTCCACTGACTGCATGAACACATCCACTTGAGCCGAGCGCTACGTGTACCAGAAGCCGTTCGGCGACAACATCCACAGGAACTTCATCGATGGTTGCTTCTTTGTCAGGGTTCTCGCACCGAGTGGCGAGATTGATCTTCCGTCCTGGATGCATCGCATAAGCTGCCGCACAGGCTGTTGATGGAGAAGAGTATGAAGTGGTGAAGCCGTGGTATGGAAATTGGTCGGCGGGTCCAACGACTGAAGGCCGGATGATAAGAATCTTGTCCGAAGCATCTTTTAGCGCGGCATTGTTTAATACGAGTCTCTCCGCCAAATGTTTTGCATAAGCATATGGCCATGGGAAATCATGAGTCTCATATTCCTCTGTCGTACCCGTTTTCTGCAGTTCTCGATAGACGTGGGGTGCCGCTTCCACTGGATTGTCGTCGTTGGATCCCAGGGGATACACTCGTTCCTCCACAGCAACATCTGATGACTTGCTTGTCGTCCAAAGATGAGCATTGACATAAGCGGTGGAGAGAAAGACGAATTTTTCCAATTTAGCAAATTTCAGGGCATATTGCACCAGGCACACGGTGGGTGCAATCACCGTGTAGTCTAGTTCGCGGAGTGAATTACTCAGCGCTATAGAAGATGCAGCATGAATGATAATATGCACTTTTCGCTTAAGCATTTGAAGATCCCCGTCTGGGAGATTCATTGTCGCGGTGTCTCCAAGCTCGCCGTCCAGAATTGTCATGCGATTGCTTTGGGTGAGAGTTTCGGCCACCGGGGCTGATAGCATCTCAGTCCATTTTGTCGTCGCTCTCCTAGCACGAAATAATTAGTATGCCCAATTGGCTATATTATACTAGGACTCGAATGGGTACAACTAACTCGTAGCCACCTCGACACAATACATAAACATGTTCTGGAGCCGCTTGACTCAAGAGCCTATAGAGTAGCGTTGTGCCAATAAATCCCGTCCCCCCAGTGACAAACAAAATTTTGCCATCGTAGTAGTCCCATACCATCTTTGATGATGAATGGAGGTTCTAGGCCTGTTTTAAAGTGACTCGGGATGACAACTTGAAGCGAGGAACAAACCTTCAAGGAATACGCATAAACGGGAGGCCCATATTTGACAAGCAATAGTACTAGTACTAGTAGCGGTGGAGCTCTCGGCGGAATATATAGTCGGCGACCTAAGGTTCTTGGCCTAGATAATGGAAACAATTTCCTGAAGATACTGGATCTCATCTGGCCCTTGGAATAGCTCGAGAACGAGCCGAATGCAGTTTTCTGCAGCTAAGGTGAGGGGGGTGCATATTTGTGTAACCACCACCGCAGGGACCACCCTGTAACGCGAACCATCCACGGCCAATACATCGGTCAAGAAGCTCCTCTTCTAACAGAAAAAGGGCAATTGATTGCCACTATGCAGTGGCAGTGAACGAGAGGGTGCAAAATCTAACCATATAGTTACTGGAGCTACGCTCAGAGCCCGAGTCTACGGTCGTGTTCGGTTGTGCAAGGTGCTAGGACCGCCGGCAGTCATTACGAACAGGAGTGCATCCCAAATCTGCCTCATGAGATGATTTCTAGAGGGATCCGATACATGTCGAGTGTTCACCGCTTCATGTGAGACTTAAATGAACATAAGCAAGGCCCTGCGTTTTTGGCACACATAGATTGGAAACTGAACCAACACATCGGCGCATAATACTGCGAACATTTCCATAGAAATGAAGCAGGGACCAAGAAAATCGCCATGATTCACATGTCTCCGGAACCCAAAGCAATTAGAGCGAGCGGATCAACTGCCGATTCGAGCCTGAAGTGCATGAAGCAAATTCTATCTGAATTAAATGTATGTTTGACGATTGAGACATGCAGATGTCCAACGGCCCAGCACTGGATATCTCAAGCTCCACCGGTTACTTCGTCATAAAAACAGTTCTTCCAGTCTCCCAAGGGTTGACTATGTAAAGACTCCAGGTAAATACAGTTTGTGATGAATGTGATAAATTCTATTTGGCTCTGAAAACCACTAAATTTCGGCTTCCAGACACGTTTCGACTTCAGCAATCTCATGTATTGTCCTCTGAGAGAAATCCCTTTACCGGAGAATCTACGCCGTTTATTTGATCTACATGATAATTTTTCAAGCTCCGAGAAAGCCTTGTATTCTCCAAAATGAACAATTTAATAGCTGTTATACATGCTGGCGCATTCATTTTCCAGGTGCCCCTGAAGCCGCATATCGATCAAGTTCAAACCAGTGGAAATAATAACCATGATCTCTAGCCTCCCAAACCGAAGTCAAAGTTTTCTCGAATCGGACGCGTGACTGCCTGGAAAAGGTGACAATGTCCTTCATCTTTCCGAGGGCGGCATTCCTGGAGTCTGATTCTACAATCTCAAAACACGCAGCGAGATATGGAAGCGCGGTGCATGGAACTGAGCGTTGGGTAATTTGGAGAACCATATCAAACTCGTCAA